TAGGTAAGATGTTTATAACGCAATCCTAACGAATGTTTAAACTGATAAAATTCTCAATCTAATGCGAAAGAGAAATGAGAATTACTAGTATTAGATCGACAAATATTGAATCGAGTAATATTGAAGGAGCTAAGGATTTAGCTAGCGAATATTGAAGTATAGAGACAGTCTATTAATATATTTAGTGTCAATATATATAAAAGTAAAGAAGTATTTTAGGGTGTATTTGATTCGGGATAAATTTATGTCGAAATTGATTGCTATTTCGATATCTGTATACTTGAATATCAATATATAGGATAATAGGTATCTAAGTGTATTTCGGCATAAATATATACCAAAATAGATAATTAAAGTATTTCAATATATATATATCAAAAAACAGAACAATAGATATCTAAGTGTATTTCGGCATAAATATATACTAAAATAGATAATTATAGTATTTCAATATATATATATCAAAAAACAGAACAATAGATATCTAAGTGTATTTCGGCATAAATATATACTAAAATAGATAATTATAGTATGGTCACACTAATATTGAGGACGAAAATATTCAAAGGAAAGAAGGTGGTGATGGAAACTAGGTCTATAGTGATGGTGATCGAGGGAAATGAAGAATAATAAGGGAGAAAGATAGAGAGATATTAAAGAGATATTGATTTCGGCATAAATTTATGCCGAAATAGAGAGAGGGTGACCGACCGCGGTGGATGCCAAGACCTTGCTGACTAATATGGCGGTGGCGAAGCGATGGCGAGAGCCGGCGACGACGAGGTCGGAAGATCTTTTGAGAAGGGGGGACAGGGTCGGGCGAGGATGAGAATGCTCTCGAGGGAAAAAGATCGCGATTATCCCGTGGATTGGTCTAACCCTAAGGCGAAGTCACCCATTAGAATGAAAAAAAGGCTATCTGGCAAAGACGACCTCATTGATGCCATTATTCCCAAACACTTTGGTGTCGGATGCCGTCGTCCAACGGTAAGAGCCCTGCTACCCTTTGGTATCTCCCAATTTAATTACATTCATCAGCCGGGAAATGGTTTTCTCGAAGCTCTGACGCTACCGCAAACCCACGTCTTCACAAAAGAAATGCAAAAGGTTACCGAGAAAGGCTTTGTTGATTTCGAAGGGGTAGAGCATGAGGTTGATCTTATCGTCTGTGCTTCAGGGTAAGTTTCACCCGTTGGAAAGGATGGTATATCTAATAGGCTGTAGCTTTAACACCAGTTGGAGATCCCGTTTCCCAATCATTGCACATGGCAAAAACGTCCAAGACCACTTCGTAGGGAAGCCCACGTCATACCTGGGGATTGCGATACCTGGCTGTAAGGTCAAGCTCTATTTAATCGTCCCTACTGATCTGAAATCCAGTCCCAAACTACTTCACGGGAATTGGTCCTTATGGTCCACTCGGTCATGGGTCTTTCCTTCCTGTTCTCGAACTCGTATATCATTATTTTATTCAAGTCATCAGAAAGTTCCAGCGTGAGAATTTCAAGTCACTTCAACCACGCAAGGAAGTGGTGGACAAATTTGTTGAGCATGCAGATCTATTCATGAAAAGAACGGCTTGGACAGGACCGTGTCGGAGTTGGTTCAAACAAGACAAAGTCGACGGAACTGCTGCAATCTTTCCGGGGACAAGATTGGTATTCTTTGATGTGCTGTCATCGCCACGTTTCGAAGATTATGAGATTGAATACCAAAGCGGAAACCCATTCAACTGGCTAGGCAATGGGTTTGCTTTATGTGAGTTCAATGGCGGTGATCTTTCTTACTATCTTGGAAATGCTGAGAATCCGGGTGGGATGTTGCCACCGCAGCCCAAGACGCCCCTGGATGCAGGACGGGTGAAGGACCCCGTTAGTGTAAGCATGGCAGCATTGCCAAAATACACTGTTATTTAGACCAGGGGATACAACTGAGCACTTGGCTTATTGAGGCATGCGAACTTTGGTGAAAGTTGTCAAATTATGCAGTCTACAACAAGGAGTTCACAAACGCAGGCCTATCTCATCGTGGTGTTTCCTGGCCTTCGGGTTCTGTGGCTCTTTGTAACAACGACTATTTCTTGGCAGATGATCTATATGTAGCACGTCGCGCCTGGGACCGCCTCTGGGACCAATGCACAGGCCACGGGACACATGGACCTCACGGGTAATCCCTGCAACAGACTTGAGTGGCAGGAGGCGGTCGATCGAATCTCGAGGGCTTGTACAGAAGGAGACAATGGATGGAAAGAGGCTGGATGGTGGACACTTCCAGCTTGGAAGAAGGTCAGTATATGCATCATAAGCTGGAGTGTGGTATTACTCACTATTTTCAGTCATATGGTTTGCAAAATTCTGCCAACAATTTCTGCTAGATCCGAAGTCGTTCTTTGTGTGAGAAATACCTTCAACTGGTGATTCTCGCTTGGTGTAGGATCAAGGCGGTATGACATGGAGGTTTATATGTCAAATGCAATATATCAAAATGGATATTCGACGAAGTTTTACTTCTAGAGACAAAGGTATTTCACCCAGGTTCTGTTAGAAGTTGCACTGACACCTCTGAGTTTCGTTTGGCAGTACCGCAAGATGTCCATTTTCAATCATAATTGCTGTTGCATGAGCTGCGTGAAATACTGAACAGTCGAACAGATAGAGTACCTAGACTCCGTCAATCTCACAGTAGTCCGAACATTTTCAAGAGACGTCTTCCTGATTCTGCCCATATCAGTCTATCAGCGACGCGGAGCAATCCAGAATAGAGTATCTCGGATCTCATATCAGTAGGCTCCATGAAAATTCTCGTCAGTCAACAGAGAAACTGTGCTGGCAGCCATGGATGTAAATGAAGAAGAAAAGAGGAAGGAAAGGATGGACAACTACGACGACAACGAAGATGATGCAGCCCAAGAAGAACGTAGCTGAGGGTAACTTCTGCGCATAGATTATGGATCTCGGCTCACCGCCGCGAAAGACACAGTTTCTTGGCTCCCTGTACTGCGTCTACGCCAGCGAATTGGATGTGAGATGATAGATGCTCGCATGAAATGTTCTTGTTAGGTGTCAAGCCAGCCCTCAGTGGAGTGGAGGAGCTACTGGACACCACGGCTGGTCAACCGTGGCAACGTAGTCAGCCTTTTAGAGAGTGAAGAAACTCAGAAGACCTCAGTCGATTGTTGGCATTCCGGTGCGAGTTGAGTGGCCAACTCCGCAGACGGTGTCTATTCGGCTAGTAATGGACGAAATTTTTTAATTCGCCCTCACGCCACTCCTCCTTTGTTTTCATCCCCAGGATCTGGCATTGCTTGGCAGTTTTGATTGTCACTTCCGGATCCCAAAATGGTAAGAACTTCTGGCGAACCAAAACCAATTTCAGCCACCGCCAAGCGGAACACTGAACTGTTTAGTTAGCCACGGTTGTTACTCTTGGCCACTTGCTCATATAAGTAAATTTCTCCACGCTTCCGTTGGGTCGTAATTCTCAAAAATGACCGAGTGTCTTGTGAGGCAAAGGATCCGCCAATGACGGGCTTACCTACCCTGAGATCTTCTCTTGGTGGGCCACAGAAGTGAGGGTTCATAGAGTGCTTCAATATGTGTCTCATCCCAATCGGGGCGCGGGCAGTATAGGAAGGCTTGGCTCATAGACGACTGTTTGAATTGCACTAGTACGTCTTGGCCGTGACAGAACGCTGACGAACGTACAATCGGAGCTTCGCAGGATGTGGCATGTCTTAGCCCATCACAACTCAGCAGTCGTGTGCAACCTAGCCTTGAATGTCCGCTGCTGCTTCCACAGTGTGATGCCCGTGGCCCTGGCCCTGGCCGCAGGACGAGACTGCATTCATCTTTTCAGTAGGGAACAAACGGGTGTCTCCCGCACAATGACGCTCTCTTCAAACCATCCCCCCTCCTCCCCCTCCCCCTTTCGTCTTCATTAACACTTAATCGATTTCAGCTCATGAGGTAGGAACCACGCTTAACTGTGGGCTAGAGATGTTCAGATCATGAATTCTCAACTCCATCTTAGCCGCCAATCAGCGACAAACATCTGACTTCGTGGCATGGTCGATATAGAACTATACAAGCATTCTTGGAGCGTGGGGAAAAAACCCACCATAGTATGGAAGTCTCCAAAGGTTGAAGGCATCCTCTATGATGTACGGAGCAATTTGCTGCAACGTTCTGTCGTCGTATATAGGGCGAAAGACGGTTCGGGTTTATCTTGCTCTCTCGAGGTATTCCAATCCAAGGGTCCAAAGCAGGCTCATGCTAGGGCGGTGGCCACGGTTGCGAAGGAGAGGAGGTACGTCGATTACGAAATCCTGCTTATGTGCAGTCATTGTGATGAATGTGGTAACAAACTGCCTAAGACATACGAGTTATGGCCCTATGGGGCCAAAACAAGGCAGACTTCTCTCTATTCCTCGACAGTGCTTGGATAGCATATATAGATGCTCTGGGCTCCTCCTTAAAAGAAAAAGAATTAGAAATCATTTTAGGATTCAAAAAATGGTTCACCACTCATTCAATCAGTGTATACCTTCTTCACATTGTTTACCGCGTATCGCCAGTGGTGCACATCAAAGGCATCACCGTGATCCCACAGCTCCAGGGATGCGTATTCATCGAGCGTGCCTGTCGCCTATACCGCCGACAGTAACGGTGGCAGGATCAACTGCCTAAATGGCTCCCGAGCATAGCTTTGCTAGAACTAAGGCGTTTCGCATCTTGGGTGTGGCATTGGTCAACACACAATATGGGCTGACCTATGTCATGCTTATTATGATTTATAGGTCTGGCGCAGTGGTGTGAAGTTTGGACGTTGCGAACGCTTGTGTATTGCCCAATCTTCGTAATGACGTACTCGCAACGCCATCGTTCAGGATTAGGTGGATTGCGAGCAAAGCGCTTGCCTGCAGACGTTACACATCCCGTGGCTTTGGTGAAGGCTCTAACGTAGAAAGTTATTAATCCACAATAATCTCGTCCTTTGATGGGCCATTCGTAGAACGCCAATCGTCTGCGGGAACTCGAAATCTCGTTCTAGTACGAACGGAGGTGAAGCTGTGGGGAGTCAATGAAGAAGCTACAGGAACCGGGTTCGTTGTTCTGTACTGTAGGATTCTCTGTGAAGAAGATCACTTTTCGAGTAACTAACATTTGGGTAGTTTTGTCCCGCCTTCGAGGTTGCGCAAAGGCGAACTACGTCTCAGCACTAGCTTAAGTAACCTGTTACCTTGACTTCGTACAGCGTACCACCCCTTGGACGAAATAATGCTTGAGGGTATGGATGGAGATGCAACAGATCCGCTGGCGAACTAGACGTCAGCAGTATATGGAGTCCGGAAGCTGCGTTCTCAAACGGGTGCTCGGCCCAGGTGCCCTCTTGCCGCTGAATATAACCTTTCGACGTCTGCTCAAAAAGTTCTGCACTCACGCCTTGCTTCCACATACAAGCATGCCATCGAGCCGCGCCAAAAGCTGCACGGACTGCAAGCAGGTCAAACTGGCATGTGATTCCCGGAACACCCACTCGAAACCCTGCTCGCGTTGCAAGTTGAAGAATCTCAAGCGTCGCTTCGACCTAAATTCAAGCGAACTCCTACCAGAAAGTGGGTTTTCTATCGATTCAAAGCACGAATAGACTAACTGTGGCCAAGGCTTGTGGAAAAAACCAGTTTTGAAGTCCGCGCTTTGCGTATCAAATAGCAGGAGGCCGCCTCCGCAATGTTGCAGACTTTCGACGCGGTAGACGTCAACACAACAGATCACTTGAGTGAACCCTGTAAGTCTACTAAGCCTAAATCATTTCTCTTTCTGATCAGCATGCAAGACGAGTGAAGCCCTGGCTGGAGACCACCGAAAACGATTCGACCCTCATACTCTCTGGGCGCCATTAACTTAGATGCTCATGTCGTTATCAAGGTATTCAAAACTGTATGCATTCCACGAGTGGAGGGAAGAGGCAGTCCCAACTATTGATCTGACTCTGCCAGCTGCGAGCAGTAAAGTTCCAAATAGCAATCCAACATATTAAGCCCCTGCACTCCTTGCTCCTGCTCTGCCTGTGGGGGATTCCCCAGACCCGGCAAAGCTACGACCCGTTGTGGAATTTTATCGGAATGGTGACTAGCGTTGCCATTCAACTCAACTGTCACAATCCGGTTCCTTGTGGTACCGAAGCCATTCATTGAGAGGATAGTTTGGCGATACCTTGGGCAGTTAGATCTCAACGAAGCACCTGACGCGCGATTGGCCAGGCGAGAACCAGGGGTCGCGACGAAGGCACCGTACATCCAATGCTCCTGGCTCTGCCGCACCATCCATGCATCATGAGACCTCGTTTTAGTTCGGCACAGCCTTACTTTGAGCCATCTGGGTCGCCTCATCCTCCTTGTCACCGAGAGCTAGCCCCGCTTCTGGGTCACCATCCACTTCCTGTTCATGGATCGTGGGCTAAACAACTCAGTCTCATTGAGCTGATGAACCTCGTACACCTCATAGGCATGGATCGTGAGATCCATTAGCCCGATATGAAAAAGAAGTCGCAATATGACAAAGGGCGCTCTTTCCACGTTTTTTTGTCCTTGTAAAGGTCTTAGGTGGTTTTACCGAGGCCCAGTCTGTTGAACTAAGTCCAGCATCGTCTTACCAAGATACCGTATAACGATGTTGAGAAGGAATGTTGTGATGAGGCTCAACCGACTATCAAGACACTGACAAAAGCCTTATGGAATGATTCCGCATGCTTGGTAATTGTAAGGAAGCTTCTAGTATGTTACTTTGATGTATATATATTTCTACTTCCTCAGGAAGTAGAAGGACGATAATAATACATGCTTTCTGTCCTGCAACAGCGAGGGTGTCAGGACCTTCACGGTGTATAGCCCTGCGGAGAGGTAGTTGATGCAATGTAGTCTATTGAACAGTCCTATGTAACAACGACTCATCGCTTGAAGAGCGAGGAAGTCGTCTCCGCCTATTTCGGGAGGGGATCTCCTCTTGTATCCTCTCACCGCCTTGGAAGTGTACACTCGACATAGTCGAGTGACACGCCTCCTTATTGGATCCTTTATTCACCGAGGTGCTGAGGATCTGGCTATTCTAGCCAATCACAGCGTCTCGTGACAGAGGGGTAGGCAATAGTCGGGGGTCAAATGGGTTGTATTGACGAGTCTGACCCCTATCACTAGGAGCTCAGTGCCACAAGCCACTAGATCCCCACCCGAATCGCAGGCTATTTCCATCGACCCTGTTAGGAAAGGACGAGGCAAGGAAGACTACCATCTAGCATAGCAGGAAGTGCACCTCCCACTAGAGGGGAAGCTTACAAGGAGCCTTCCCCTCCTGATTGAGGTAGAGACGACTTCTTCGCTCCTCAAGCGATGAGTCGTTGTTACAGCGGACTGTCCAATAGACTACATTGTATCAATCGCTACCCCTAGCGCTATTCTCAGTAAGGTCCTAACACTCGGGTCCTTTGGGGTATTTATATGGCAAAGAGAGCGTCTATTTTCCTCCTAGTTGCAGGACCTCCCTCTGTCGCATCGGGGACTGCCAGGAGGTCATCGAGCACTGCCGGAATCCATCGGCCGTCGCCGAGGCCATATCTTTCAACATAAGGTCAATGATATAGCCAAACATAGTGAGTGTTTAGTGAATTGAAGGATAAGTTGCACACTTGCGTCGGGGGTTAGGTTCACTACGTCGGATTCGCATGTTGCCCAGCGATGGTGACGAAACTCAGAAGAACAATTAACGCCCGAAAGTTTTGATGCGGACTAATTGGATGTCTCTGACTGGTGTAACCCTCAAGAGTAATAACACATCAGCTTCGAGCAGTCAAACGAGCATAGTCACATCCTAAAACTAGCACCTGCTCTCGGACTGGAGTTCGGAAAGGAGAGAAATCAGCTGTATCAGTTCTACGCATGGCCGTCTCATAATTACTCAGAGACATTGAGCGTGGTTTTCAATGTTGATGATTTGTCACCACAGATGATTAGGTAGATCCTCTCCACAGCATCATTTTGTAGTTCAATATAACTTCCCTTGTGAGTGGCCTCGGTAGAGACACTTTCTCGCCACTCTTCTTGGTGCAGTCTAAACCCTTGGCGAAGATGCTATGATCCTGACAGATCGCAGGATACGTGACTGCGAAGACGGGGTCCAGCTTCACCCGTTGCCGGTCATTCATTCGAAGCAACTTGAAGAGTTTCAAGGCAGCTTTCTTGGACAGAAAAATATCTTCCAGCAGCATCGGTGTCCATTGCTCTTCGTCGTCATCTTGATCAATATGGTACGGACTTTCAGAATCAGCAGCCCATTCCTGTATGTGGCCGAAGCCTTCATCGGGTGCTGTGTAAGGCATGAGGCCAAATCTGGTCTCTCGCTCATCTCTAGAGATTGTTTGTACAAGGTCCCAGATTCGGAAGTACCCCTGACGAGGTAGCCCTTCTCGTTGTCCGAGCAGTATACCAGAAAGCTCCGATTCAACCACGAGAGCCGCAGACATCTCGCATATTATCTCATCAAGCATCCAACTGTGAGAATAGACTTCAATCAGCTTGTCTCTGATTGATGGGAAGAAAACCCAATCGATTATTGACGGGTACACAGAGCATAGCTGCATGGCGGTAGGTCGGTGGCAAGGGAATAATGCCAGATAACTTTCTGAGCACGGTTCCAGCCGCCAACGGATAATTCTTTCGACGGAAGCAGAAGCAGTCATGTATGCCCACCAGACCCGCATTTCCGGCCAGGCAGTATTCACAAACATAGAAACCATGTTTGATACTAGTTTCGAAAGGCTGCGGGAGGTCAGCGACGGAGCTCATCTGGTCCCTGTGCGAGCACTCACATTTCACTTCCTCCGTCTCGGTGCCGAAGCTTGTACGCTTTGCTTTGTTTGATAAAGTATTCACATGCAGCGAGATGGCTGGAGAATACAGAAGAGAAATTGGCGTTTCCAGGTGGTGAAAATGTGCCTGTTTGAGACAGAATATATGTGTGGGTTCGGTTGAGATCCCCAATTTCTGGTTCAAAAAAATCAAAACTGTTGCCAGCACGTAGTGTGTGAGTTGCTCTGAAGACCTCGTCGAAGGCATCTGTCGCCATACTTCTTGTTGAAGCGACATTTTCACCGGCCATAGGGAAGGGGCTTTTGGCCCCCAGCAGCCAGTTGAGATTATCTATGTCGGATCTTTGGGCCTCACCATTTTCAAGGCAATATGTATCAGGGGTGGAAACATTGACTTTGTTCCCAGACGGGATAGCCGCTACGGCCTCGGGTTCATCATCTGCTCTGATTTCATTCAACCTCCCAAAGCTCGGTGCTTCATGTCGATTTTCTTGCAACAGTTCGGATTCGCCGCTCCCGTCCAGGTTCGGGAGCGTCGACTCTAAATCATAGGGCGGTCCTAATCGCAAACTTGCACCAATGGAATCTGCCACGTTTGAAAGTGCTGTGCTCAGTCCGAGAACTCGTTTTCGTGCCGAGAGCAATGCATTCCGTAGCATTTTATTCTCAGACTGTGCTGCTTGGAGCCGGCTGTCATCACTCCGTGACGCATCTGCCAATCGTGACTCCAGCTGCTGGACATAAAGAGACTTGCGCTCTCTGAATAATCTCTGTGAGATTCGATTTCTCGCGCGTCTGCTACCCGTGAGCTTGGATTGTGGGGTTCTGTCTTTTGACGCACCTCTGCGCCGCGGCGCTTTGGCGCGAATCTGGTGACGGGACTTTGGCTGGGGACCTTGATGCCATGATGTTCCAGCTGATTTGATGACTGTATCTTTGAGATCTAGGTCGACTGCTCAAGGAAGATGGGAGGAATCGTAGGTACACATTGATGACTAGTACCCCAGCTGTTCTCCAAGGCTGCCTTGGTTGAGGGGTTCGCTTGGTCATCATATTTGTCAACCTCTGATGACCAAATTCCTCGTATCGGGAAGTTGCCGTGTTCGTCCAAGCAGCCGATAATAGCAGCTGAATCCCTGGTACTTTCAGACTTGACCTCATGCCGATCTTGTGTGATTATTGGCAATCTAGTTTTATACAGTAGCTGAATTCTTGTACCATCAATGATACCTTCTACGGTCAATTTGGGTAATCAACAGAGAAGAGTGGACGCTATTTGAGAAGTTCGTCGCTGAATTATGATACCAACGCCCAATGGACTCGAAACGACATAAGATGCGAATTGCCTACGCACATAAACCCCCGCAGGGACTTTCAGCGGAGAAGGCTCGGGTCGTCCAACTCCTTGCTGAGCGTCGAGGTTCATCGGGGCTTGCCTCCCTGGACTTGGCGATGCTCCAACTCCCCTAAATTCACCGAAGGTCTAGTCCCCGTTCCTCGCAGGCCCATCTCTAATAGCGCCTTCTGTCGTGCTTTTAGCTAATCAGTGCCTGCACCACTTGAAAATGGGCGATATATCTATCTGCAGCGAAAGAGAATGCTTCAATTCAGGTGGGCGGCTTGAAAGTCCAGGGCGTTGTAAACCCAGACACGCAGGTTGCAGATTACCTGCGGATCCAATATGCCACAATCCCAGCGAGATATCGCCAGGTGAAAGCCATCGACCTCGGCCAGCCTGAAGGCGTTCTCGATGCAACCCGGAAAGGGCTCCGATACCCACAGTTCTCGATCACCAGGGACCAACGGGCACATCTGTACGAGGGCATTCCGGACAGCCAAGGAGATCCGCTGGACGAGTTTGGGTGTCTATGAGTGACTATCTACGTGCCTCAAGGTGGTTGCGGCCCGCTGCACGTTGTCGTCTGGATTCATGGAGGCGGCTTTGTCTTCAATGATGGGAACTCAGAATATGACGGGAATTATCTCGTCCAGCATTCTGCCGCGACAGGGAAACCTGTCATATTCGTGGCGATGAACTATCGCCTGGGCTTCTTTGGCTTTCTGACTTCGAAAGAGCTAAGAGCTGAAGTTGACGTGGATGGTGAAACCCCTTTCGCAAGCCTTGCCATGCACGACCAAAGAGTAGCACTACTCTGGGTACAGCAGCATATCCAGGGTGTTGGTGGTGGCCCAGCGAATGTTATGATAGCTTGAGAGTCCGCGGGCGGATGGGGCGTACTTGCCCATCTTAGATCGGACGTCCCGGTCTGTCAAAGGGGCATCATACTGTCGGGTCCTAATCTCGACTTCCCGACCCAGAAGAGGTGCAGGAAACCTTTGATGGGCTTGTGGCCAACATCGGAGTCGCGGCTGAAGCATCTGCCGAAGAAAAACCGATGGCCTTGCGCAAGATGGACTTGATAGAAGTGGTACAATCGTTACTACCACGGTTTTCCACGCCTTGCTGGGACGACTAGTGGTTTGTCTACCATGATGGCAAAAGGCCTGTCACGGGCGCTGCTCCTTTCGATCATTGGGTCAAAGGCGTTATGGCAGGCGCCATTCGAGACGAAGCAGCCCTCTTTGAACCCTGAGAGGAATGGCGAGCGTGGACGCCCCAGCAATTCGAAGACCACGTCGAGTCCTCATTCACGGACCCACAAGTCACCAACGACATCGCAGACGCGTACGGCATGTCCAGCAACCCCCCAGTCGAGAAATACCTGAAAGGCCTCATAGCCAGGGCCACGGACGGCGCCTTTAGAAGCTTGCCGTACATTTTCGCGGAGGCCTCGTCGAAAAATTCCACGCCCGTCAGCGTCTATAGATTCAAGCAGGTCGACACGTTCGATGTGAGCCCGCAGAAAGGCCACGCTTGTCACGCCATTGACAACTCATTCTTCTGCCGTTTCCACGCCGTGGCTGGCCCCAACGCGGACCCTGATGTCCGCGTGACAGCGGATCGGCTCTCACAGTCCATCTTAGATCTCGCCTATGGAACGCAGCCCTAATCTGCTTTCCATCTCAAGCATGAAGTAATGGTTCTAAACGGCGAGGAAAATCACCTTGAGGAAGTCACCGGGCACGATCGCTGGAGAACTGTTGCCACGTCTGGAGATTTGCCACGAGAGAACGGGACGTGGCGGGCCACAAGTAAATTGTTGGGGATCAGGCACTGTTCGATGGAGAGAGATTAAGTTAGAAGACCCAAAGCATTCAATGCTGAACTCGACAATCCCGTGAGCCAATCCCTATGAAGTACTCAAGATTAGGATGCTCTTTCGGGTTTTGGTCCCCAGAAAACCGGCGCGGGCTCGTAGAGAGCGTTCGGAGAGATATTCGTGCAGGACAGAGAGGCAGTCCTAGAGGTTGGAGGTTCCAAGTAAGACGTAGAAGTGATGATGGCCGCATGATGTATGGTAGGTGTTTGTAAGGAATATGCTACTGGGGTTGCCTTGATTGACGCAGTACGGTGCAAAGCAGTGCTCTGATCCCGTAACGCGACTCAAAATCGCAGATGAAAGCAGGCGAACTCTGACTTCCCCATCACCGCTCTCAATTCTAGGTGATGTTATATCCCAGAACCACGGACTTTTGTTCCGGGATAATTCTTGCTTTCAGCCCTGCATTTTATAAAGGTATTTCCCTTGCTTGATTTTCAACTTCTCGCACTATCGAATTATCTTAGAATTCAAACTTCTGTCCCACTAGATTCTCACTAACATCCCAAAGCCGCGCTGCAAGCTTTGGATCATGCGCCCATGCAGGGGCATCCGCAATTTCGGCATCAGCTAGAAAGATTCCCTTCCCATCGCCCTTAAAATCTGCTGGATCCAGGCTGTCGTCCAATCCAGCTCTTAAAGACGTGGCACATCCTTGATCCACCGACACAAACATATTCTTGAATCTCTCCGCCACAGCCGCGAACTTCTCCGGGTCCATATGGCGGGCCAATTCAGTCATTATTGCCCCTGGGTGGAGGCCGAAGCTGAGTATACCATACTTCTCGTAGAGCTTGGATGTGAGCGCTAAGGAGAATAGAACGTTAGCTGTCTTAGACTGCCCGTAAGCCACCTCAGGGCTGTAACGATCCTTTTTATCAACATGTCTGCCGGTTGAAGCAAGCGCCTCGTATGCAGGCTGCTCAGCTTCAGGGAGGGTTTCGTTGACCTTGTCGAAGTTGATATCTGTGAAACGAACAGGGCTGTACACGACACCTCGGGACGAGACATTGACGATCCGTGTTGTGCCTTTGGGGCTTGCCTTCGCAGCTGTAATGATTTTCGGCATGATCAGGTTTGTGAAAAGGAAATGCCCAATGTGATTTGTCGCAAATTGCCTTTCAATGTTTTCGGGACTAAACTCGCGCTGCGGAAGGCTCATGACCGCAGCATTGTTGAAAACAAGATCGATCTGCTGAATTTGGGTGTTGGACAAGATCGAGGAGGCGGCTTCCCGGCAGGACTTTTGCGATCCAAGATCCAGTGCCACAGGAATGTATGTCGTGTTTGGCGAGCCTGCCTTCCAAGTGTCGATAATCTCTTGGATCTTCGACGGCGTGCGACTTGCCAAGATAAGCGTTTTTGGGGAATGGACACTGAGGATTTCGACCATCTTGCCACCAAGACCACCCTTATTGATTCCAGTGATCAGAATGGTTTTGCCTTTGATGGCTGAAGAGAAGATCTCTGCGACCGATGTGCCGGTCGTGGACCTGTCGAAGACATGTTTCAGAGACGCCATGTTGATGTGTTGAGCCTGCCGTCCTGCTAGGCTGCTAGGAAGTGGGATATAGATGGGAGGGTGAAGACTCAATTCACGAGCAAGGGACTTAACTTTTGTATGACCGACCAAGCCTCGGGCTATCGTGGTCTCGAAGAGCCTCATGCAAGCATCGTTTACATCTCGGACTTTAGGCAAGCTAAATCCGTTCATACGCAGGCACTGCTGCCTATGAAGCGAAAGAGATTATCGCTACGTCGGAGTTTACCAGAAGGTGAGGATTCTCTGGCACCGGTGTCTATCTCACAGCATGACGGCCTGTGGCGCCAACTAGTTCCGGTGATATTGCTCAGGGGCTCCGAAATGGCGAAGTGAATTTGGTAAGGATCCTGTATGCGACAGGTTTTCTCGAGAGATTCAGGACGCGGAACCACTAATCCAGGATCCTGTAAACAGTGCGGATGGGCCACTGTTGAGACTGTGGAAAAAGACATAGGTTAAAATTTTGTTCTGCGCAAATCAATATCGACGCTGCTTGATAATGGCGGAATAAGTTTGCGGACACCACACTCAGAATAAATGATACTTCGCGCTTATCTTCCGGCGCGTTATAAACCCAAACAGTGACTAGCCAGATTTCCACGCCATTTCCGGGATTTGATCTTTAGGCTTAAGGTCGATCTGATGGGCATAAGTCCAGTGTTACGGGAAGAGCATAGGTGGCGAAAGTGCTGTCAACAAATAAGAGGAACTTCGACCATATTCTAACCCAGGATGGTCATCACAATCTCAGCTGGAGTTCATGACTGGCCCATGTAGCTTTCCACGTTAGTAGACTGATCTGTTCGCCTAACCTCCAGGCTTATCGGAACTTCTTTCCAGGGATTGAGCTTCGTACTCTTTCTGAGAGGTTTTCCCATCCGCAGCAGGGTGCAAGACGTGATTCTTTGTCCTCAGCTACCGTACATGCCCGGGACGAGGGGAGGTCGTGCTTGGCGTGAGATGTCACGCCGGATCTGAGCCAACGGACGCCTACGTAGACCTTTGAGTTATGATCCAGGTACAGCCATAGGTCAATGAAGAGGCACGTGTGCATCACCAAATCCGTCGGGAACCGTGTTCGGATCCGTCTGGACCAGAATGAACGTCGAGCACTAGGAAATACTATGCAGCTCTCAGGTCGGCACGAGGTCTTGTGTAGTACGTGTACAGAGTTGTCGTAACTAGACTCAAAGCGTGAGAGAAGAATGCGAGATAAGAGTGACTCTCGAGCTACATCTCACAGCGGCATGTTAATCCTCGGTGATGCCATTTGCCCAACCCTCCGCCTTTAGATCTTCTACCACCAACTTCGCCCGAATCTTTGATGTTGTTTTACGTTCTTATGCAGCGCTCCGGTCCGATGTTCCCTGACGCTCTTCCGATTAGGAAGGCAGAGGCAGACCCAGTTGGCAGACGTAGCGATTAAGGTCAGGAAATTGATTCGGCAAAGTCGCACTTGAGTCGAAAAGCCGGTGTTGAAGGCCTTCGCAAAAACCTTCAAAACTTCCGAAGTCGCAAGTAGCGGTGATGGTTCTTCCCCATGAGTCCGTGACAACCTTTGCACCCCAGAGCATTCCGTCTTTGCCGTCTGCATCAACCGAGATTTTCAACTTCAAAGGCTGCGTGTCCAAGATAGTGGGATGCATATTCCGCCTGGCGTTGTGTTTGTTGAGGAATTGTTGCAAGCAAGTCATAAACGCTCCCAACGCAGTAGAAACTTCGAGCAAACAAGCTTCGGCGACAGTGGCAGGCTGTCCCTTTGTACTGCGAACCGATGATCTCAGGCTTGACGGGATGCGGTACAGCCCTCCAGAGATTGCTGCACCGTCAATACGGGTGTACTCGTGAAAACCTAAGTTCACGTTGACATCAAGGGTTGATAGAGAAATCTTACGAGGAGAAAACCTCCGATCTGGCTTAAGAAGATGGCAGTTTTCTTGTTCTGTCCTTGTTCCATATCAATATCAGTGTGTATGCGTAGTGTGTGCAAGTCTTTGAAGACGGCAGAAAAGCGGCGAAATGCAACATTACCAGGGATGGTGTTCCTCGGCACTTTGGTGATACGCTTGCTGAGAGGATCGACCATCGCCCAAGTTGGTTCAACTGAGCCTAGTGCCTCGGGCAAGACCGCGAAAGTCTGCAGCGGGAAAGCATTTCGAAGCCCCTCGAAGACAACACCATGGTTACTGACAGTCAAAATGAAACTTCGCCGTGTGTAGAGCTCTCGGGCCCGGCTGCTAAAGCGCCGACAGGTGGCAGCAAAATTGGCAAAGCTGGTTATTGATATCGTCCTGGCGTGGGAAGGCTGCGCAAGGACGCTGAACACGGCTCTTCGGGGAGCTCTAGCGACTCTAATCCCGGAGAAGCGAATGTAGACAATGTCATGCGTACACGGCTCATTTCCGGAGATAAATATGAACTTGTCCCAGTCATCAACTTTTACTGCTCGTCTTGTGCTCTTGATTTTGCGGTATTTAAAAGGATTCGGGGTCGAGCGCCGAGGTATAAGGCACTCGAAAATCTGACCAATCACTTCGTTGGGCAAGTCGGCAAGCTTCTGTGAATCCGTTGCCGTGAGGGTTGGGGGAATCGACATTCATGATTACTTTAGACGACGTGGCCGTTAGGGTTTGATCATGTGGAGGCAGTTCCCATCAAGTGCTTGGTTTCGTTCGTCTCTGACGGGTTACAACTTTATTTCGGAGTAGGATTGACTAAAAAGAGCAGAAAGTCCGGCACCCTTCGAAGTACTTTGAAAGCCAAAGCTGCAGGCTGGGTGTCCTTTGAGAATTTTTCTCAGATCGGATGAGATTACAAGGAGTAGAGGGCGTGAACCTCTAAACTGAATGAGCTGAAGATGTATTGTATGTTAGCAGCTGCAATAAAAGGGTCATATTGACGACGATCTGGAAATGTGGAAAGCAGTGGCACCCACTTCACCACCTATAGTCGCTCCTTCGGACGGATGTGCAGACTGCGGATGGACTCCTTACGTGGCCTCTCGTTCTATGGCGGTTCTAGTGGCTTCGAACTGAGGCTTGCGGGGCGAAGACTGGACCATCTAAGTAGCGCAGAATTATATGAGTTCAGCAGGCGTGTTTTAGCTGCTGAGGATACCAAACCCAAATTCCATCTTCGCCGAAGCCTACGAGTCCTTGGTCTGTGGCAATTCAGACACACATGAACTGTCCGACATCGAGAGGCTCCATAACCATGATGCATTGGTCGGACGGTGCCAGCGTCGAACAGCAACTTCACTGGCTGACCTGGAGACTGCCCGCCATGGGCCCTGGAGAGACCTCTGCGGATTTGATGCAGGTGTAAACAACTAAAATCCGTGGGGCACGCGATGGCCGTTCTGGCCATTGGAGCACCCTTGCTCGAGCCACAGTTCTGCGCTCTGGAAGATCCTCGGGAAGGTGGACCACTTCACCCGACCCCGCTTCCATTGAGAGAGAGTCACCACGGCCAGCCCGTAAGCGGCTCCTGCGACCTTCGATCACCCCATGTGGCACCGACTGCAATCCTGTCTGGGTTGCCAAGGGCACCTTAGAAGGATAGTTGTAAGAACAAATAATCTCACTTAACATGTACGAGACGATGTCTTAACCAGAGACCCGTTTCTGAGACCAGATCAATATGATCCGACGTGCAAATAGTTTCCATTGCCCGTGCGACTTGGCGACCACATCATCGCAGTCGAGGCACTCGTAGGTTGACTTCTGCAACGCCAGTACCAAATACGCACGCATCATCGATGAAGCGTAAACAGGGACCTCCATTGCAGTCATCAGTAATGAACCAGACCTGCGGAGGTGGTTTAAGCGCACTCGTGCAAGACTTATTCAGTTAGGCGTACTCGTACTTAGGGCAGCTTTCCCGGCTTGGCTCCCACTCGAATGCCTGTATCGATCTGCAACTTCACTGCCACCGCGCCATGTGGTTAACGACTATCGCCTCGATCGCTTCACAGCGGGCTCGAGTTACGTCACGCACACGAGCACATTGTTAAAACTAGTGTATTTCTGCGCGTGTCGACCTCCGACAAGTATTATTCGGACATTGTCTGGCGGTGCGTTGGGCGACGTCCCAGGCTAAATGAAAATGTCGCTCCAAACCCCGGTCGGAATCTATCATTGCGGCATGTGCAAAGCCGAGTACACTCGAGTGGACCATCTCGTTCGCCACGTACGCGGGCACACCAAACAGCGACCGTTTGTTTGCACGATATGCTCCAAGGGCTTTGGCCGCCAAGATCTCGTGAAACGGCATATGTTGCTTCACAGTGAGTGGGACGACCTAAGTCCAACAACCGGTGACGGGAAACCCAGGCAGACCCGAAGAAACGGCCACCGCGTCCATCAAGCGTGTCGGCTCTGCGCTGTTAGTAAACTGAAATGTACCGACGAAAAGCCCTGTAAGCGATGCCTGGAAAAGAACCTCTTCTGCGAGTACGATCAAGACTCGAACGTGATGGACGTCGAAGCTGGGTCGGCATCAGGGGCCCAACCTTGGGCCCGCAATGATGCAACCCTGACCGAGAAGGACCATCAGCTTGACCAAACAATGAGACAAGGAGTCACTCCGGACTCAAATCATGGCATTGCCGCCGCGGATCCTCAATCGGCCCATGTCACCGCCCACCAGGGAAACGCCATGATTGAATTGCAGAATGGAATCCTCCCAGATGTCCTCGGCGGCACTATGAACATTGCAGACCTGGATGAGTACATTACGTTCGACTTCAATCCGGTCTTGGATGAGGTTGAGTTCTCTTTCCTTAATGACTCCAACGTTTCCCCCGCGGAGGCTCCAGTACCTATTTCTCCGGCCTCGAATCGGAGCGCCGACTCGTCCACTATGGGTGTTGGCTCGGAGGTTTATCGAATGTCGACATCTCTAAATGGCTGGGCTCCGGATAAAGACGGTATCAGCGTGATGGAACACCAGAATTTAATCCTACCGATCCATGTCAGTCCAATACGACTACCTGCGTTGTCAAGATTCCGGTCTGTTTTCAAAAAGGATTTGTCCGGAGCCATGAGAGATCGGATTTTGACCATGATTCTAAGAACAAGTCCAAGAAGGACATTGGACAGCATCATCGGGTCGTTTCCCTCCCTTGAGACTTTGCAGAATCTCATTCATTACGCGCTACTTCACATGACAGAGCGTCAAGTTGTGCCCTTTGTCCACCTCCCTAGTTTTGCCATCAACCAGCAGCGTCCCGAGCTCCTCTGTGCACTCGTGGCGTATGGCTCGGTGTGGTCGCCCTCCATCGTGGTTCGCAAATTTGGTTATGCAGTGCAGGAAGCTGTGCGGATGAGTGTGAATCAAAGGGTGAGTCCAAGCACAACGACTTGTGGGCCCGCAGCCTGACATAGCCTCAAGCTTGAGGAGGAACCGACAGCGTTTCGAGATCTAGGAATCATTCAAGCGTTCTACATCCAGCTCTATCTCGGCTACTACAGCGGTGTGGCGCGCAAGATCGAGACCGCCGAGGCCAATTCCATGCTAGGGACGACCATGTTGCGCCGGGGCCAGATGTTGCGAGCCGAACTATACCAACCCCCGCAGGCGTTTTTAGATGTCGCAGGATTGTCTCTGCGCGAAAAGTGGTTACGATGGGTCGAATCAGAAGCTAGAAAACGTCTTGTCTATTTTGCCATGGCGATGGATGCACACGTGTCCATCTCACGAAGGATCAACGTCCTGTTTCCATATGCCGAGATCGAAACGCCACTACCAGCAACGTCCAAACTTTGGGAGGCAGATACGCCCACACTCTGGCATGAAGTTCTGTCCCGGGAAGTGGTACTCAGTAAAGAGCAGGCCCTCTGTCTGCGCAGCATCTTGCGCCAGCCACACGCTGTGGAGGAGTCTTACGGCCTTTGTGATGAGAACAGTCTCGCGTTTATTGTCTTCTCCGGGTTCTGGGCGTTGATTCAAGAGTACAGACAGATGGAATCCATCCTCTCCAAAGCGCAGAACGACAACGACTTCGTCATCAACTCAAGATATTCGGAACTCAGTACGACTTTGGACCAGCTCAAAGCCGAACTCAGCGACACCCACAGTCTGTGCCCAAGAACAACCATCATTCAAGAACTAATCTCACTGCATCTCAATGCATCATTCTACGACCTGTCCGACTATACTGGACGACGAACTGCACAGGACGCGCAAAGTGCGATGCCGTATGTCCTGCGCTGGTACCAAAGTCCGCAGTCTCGGATGGCGCTGTGGCATGCCGGACAGATCTTCAAGGCGGTCCATTTATTGGATCCAGAGACTCTGGTCGACATTTATGCTATTGCCCTGTATCAAGCCGCGGTCATATTATGGTTGTGGGGTCTGATGCGGAAAGGACAAGCAACCTCCGCTGATCCGAGCGCGACGACAGTAGTGATGGACGGAGATGAAAGTCCGGCCGTCTTGAGGTTTTTCAAGACGCCACGTGGTGTCCCTGTATTGACGGGAAAGGCGGGCAGGCTGATTCCTCTCCACGAGCCCGCCATGGTCGTTGATCTGGTGGGCGACCTGGTGCTGGAAAAATGGCCCTCTGGACGGCTGCCCTTGACAACCGAGGAGGTCTTGCGGCTGATGCGCGGATTCTCGAGCATCTCCAGAGACACTGCCAGGGTGTGAAATTGACGCTTCATTGATCCTGGGAAAGTCCACATTCGAGCTGCCGAAGTTAATGGGGCCCTTTCTTGTGCACACTGGTGACGCACATGCCGAGGATATTTCCTGCATGACATGCAGAACCCGATATAGGCCATACGGGCTTCAGGCTCTTGGGTACTTTGGACATTAATGGAGGGAACAAAACTTCAGTCCCCAGAATCGCGCTTTTCTTCTGCAGTTTCCATTCTCCTCGCAGACTAGCCATGCCTAGCAAAACTAGCGACGACCTCCTCGCCGTGAATGACACTTCGTTCTCCTATATCGTTGAAAAATGTGATAGTACTGTTGAAGAGCTTCGAAGACCGCGTTAGATGCAATGTCTACCGCTGCAAAACCACCAACATAGCCTCAGCCCTCGTGCGTGATCAGACTATCGACCACCCTGTTGGCTACCAGTGCCTCCCACTGACCTTCCGCCAGCGGTGGCCTATGTCTCCATCAATCCGACCAAGGACTTGAATTACAAGATCGATGCCCCGCCGGGTCAGAGGATGCTGTATATAGCTAGACGTCGCGGTCATGTATGAGAGGAGGACGGCTATGTAGGGTGGATGTTGAAGCCGATGTCGGGATGATGGGGGAGTTGGAGCTTGGCAATGCTTGTGCCACGAGCGACGCTTAAGGCCCGAATGAGTCTCCTGGTCTGTCATGGTGAAGATGTTCTTGACTTCCTTGTGCTGATGCCGTAGTAGCATCTGCCGTCCTTGCGAGGCTTGGTCTTTTGCCCGTACAAGACGCTGCTAGGCCTCGACGCCGTAGAGCGAGACTTCATTGGGGCCGATACGGACAACGCCTCCTTAAGCGCCTGCCTCGGCCATACCTAAATCCATTTTTCACCGAGCACAGACGCTTCAGACCGGCCCAGCGACACACTAGACGTGAAATGAATAGACCGAGACCACTGCCGAAGACGATAACGCTTCTGCGTACCCATGTCAGAGCTACAAATAGGTAGCCCTCGCCCAAAGGGTCTCTGCCAAGGTCCCAGTATCGGCCATTAGGATGCTTGAGTCCGATTTGGCGCGTGGTTCAGGTCGGCCTATGCAAATGGCGCAGCCGATTCCTCGGGTGGAGGCCCACTCGGCAAGTCATAGTCATACCTTCACACTACACCCCAGCGCGACATCACAGGGCGTAGAGGGTAATCCATCGGGGGTTTTATAGGCCTGAGCAGTCTTCAGATGTTACACTGGAGCCTCGTCAAATTGGTAAACGACGAAGTCTACATAGTCGTACGTTGTCGTTACGCTGGCGATGCAGGACGCCGCTGATGCAAGAGGGTTTCCACAGCAAACTACACAAGAAACTCTCATCCTTCACATATCTCTCCCTTGTCCTCGTCTTTGATCAAAAGAGTTCTCACCTCTCCTCTGCATCCAAAATGACCCCCCCTCAGCACCAGACTACGAGCTCTTCGCCTGCGCACACCGTGTTCCTAACCGGCGTGACCGGCTTCGTTGGGGGCACTATCTTAGCCACGCTCTCCGAGAGGCATCCTGATGTGCGCATCAAAGCGCTCGTCCGACAGGAAGCCGACGCCAAAGAACTCCAGGCAGTCTACCCCAATTTCACCCCTGTCATGGGCACGCTTTCTTCGCTCTCCCTGCTCGCATCCACGGCCGCGTCCGCCGACTTTGTCATCCACGCGGCAGGAGACAATGTGGAAGCCGTGGGCGCCATGATCGAAGGACTTGCTTTATCGTCCGGATCCGCGACGGCTACTCAAACACCCACGCCACGCCTCATCAGCTTGACCGGCCCACGAAGTCTGATTGATCTGTCAATTCCCATCACAGGCGTAGCTAGGAGCGACAGCAAGATCTGGAGTGACATTGCTGATGCACACGCCATTCTGGACCTTCCCAGTCATCGCATGCATGCGGGCACCGATCAAGCAATCGTCAAGCACAGTCTCGCTCGAGGTGTGGGCACGATTCTGGTGTCGCCCGGTCAGCTGTGGGGCCAGGGCAAGGCCCATTTGAAAAAGGAGAGCAATTCAGCCATGTACTACGCGACGGCCAAGAGCCGTGGCCGAGCCTTCGTCATTGGTGATGGCTCAATAGAGTGGTCCTGGGTTTCTATCGGAGATTTGGGTGCGGCGGTGGTTTTCCTCCTGGAGCAGGCCATCCTGAACGGGCCCGAGGCAAGGCAACGACTCGGAATCAACAAAGAGGGTTACTACTTTGTACAGACCGGAGATGTGAGTCTGAGGAAGAGGGCGGACGCCGTCAGTCAACGATTGCGATTGGGAGAAGTCGAAAGCATCTCGATCGACACCGCAGCCAAGATTCATCCATTTGGGCCGATTATGTGGGGGTGCGGTGAAAGAACCCGCGCAGACAAGTTGGCTGAGTTGGGATGGAAGCCAAAAGAGCTGGATTGGCGGGTTCTGATGGAAGAATATGGGGGGGAGAGGGCATAGGTGATAGACCTAGCAACGAGACCTTCTCTGACCGATTTGGAACTAGAAAGCAAAACTTTGGCCACGTCTTGTGAGTCTAGTTTTGATAAGGCTTACAGGATGGCAAGAGATCTACTCCGTACCACCAAGAGGTTCGTGGGATTTGCCATGAGTCGAGCCAAAACTATACTGCCTCTACACGAAATGGTTTTATTCTGTGCGTTTCTACGAAAGCAACCATCTACCGCTGCGAACAGAAAGAACAGACTACACCAGCAGCCGGACTCCGTGTTGTATCTGGAAGTTGGGGAGTTTATTGCTGGGTAGGCCACCGGGGTTGATCTTGCAGCTGGACCAGAAGGCTGACGCACGTCCTGGACAGCTTAATCGCTTTTCGCACCGCCCTCTTTGCCCAGCTCCGGATAGTGGCTCATATTGCCTAGATTTTACTTCCTTCTCCGATGCCGGATAAATGGTATTGGCCTTAAGATTCGACCGACACCAATTAATGCAGAGAAGAATCCTGGCGTGACCACGAGGGTTTAATGAGTAATCAACATCAAAATATAACGCCATCTACCTTAGATTAGGACCATATTTTGAGATCATGTGGAATCATCCGAGGCCGTTCGGGTGTACTACGGTAAACCAACGCTTCTAGATTGTTTTGTCATCATCCGAAGTGATTAGTATCCTCCGGCACATGTCATGGGGGTTAGGCCACGGGTGTACTTTATATGAAGAGTCTGTCTTCTAGTTATATCTCCGCCACTAGCCGTACATAAACAAGTATCCAAGGAGCAATTTAGAGGCTCTATCACGACGTATAATGTTTAAGTCTATCCTCCTCATCGGCGCGACGAGGGTCGGCAGCTTCGGTGACTATGTCGCCCAGGAGCTCATCAAGGATTCAACCTACTTTAGTCGCGTTGGATTCTTCGTTGACCCTTCGAGACCCGCTGATGAATCTAAGAGGGCACGCCTAAGAGAACTACAGGCAGCAGGATTTGAAATTGTTGAGTCTACCAACTTTGCTTCTCCCGAGCCCTACAAAGGATTTGACTGCGTCTTGATTTTCCTCGGAAACCACGGTCTGTACATGCAGCCGACCATTATTGACGCAGCCATAAAAGCGGGAGTCCGTCACTTTTACCCTAGTGAATACGGCGCCGATCTCACTGTCGGGGAGAACTGGACGCAGCGCTACTACAAGTACAAGGTCGAAACTCGAGAGCATCTTACATTAAGAGCTACTCAGGTTGCAGATTTAAGTTGGACAGCATATGTCCTCGGCCGCTTGACAGAGTGGTCCGTCATCTCTCACTTTGGCTTTGACAACAAAAATAGGAAGGCAAGGATCTATGGGAGGTCGTCTGGGAGACAAAGTCTCATTGGTGCCGCCGACAGTGCAAAATACCTAGTCGAGACCTTGAAAGAGCCCCTCTCGGATGACTCGAAGGGTAAGCAGAGGACCTACCGCATCTCAGGAAGCAATCCGACGTACGCCGAGATATTCGAGATCCTTGAGCGCGTGACTGGGAAAAAGTACGAGGTCACGTATCTTGACGTCGAAAGTGCCAAGGAAGAGGAACCGCAAGCAAAGAGGGCAGGCGATATTGATGCTGAACTGGCAGCGAGTCACAAGCTAATTCAAGGAAGAGAAGGGACGCTTGTGCCTAAGCCATGGGATAATGACCGATTCCCTCACATTCACCCCAAGGGCGTTGAGGAGGTGTTGCGTGAAGCTTTTGCGACTGAGAGAACGAGGAAGTGGTTTGGTCTGGAATGATGTCGTCTGAAGACTAACGGTCCTATCAACGATGAAGTAGGAGTTGTGTGCCTCTGTGCATAAGACATCAGTGGTCACTCTCTGAGGTTATGGGGACCAGAGTCACACCGTTCTTGCGACCACGCGTTCCCTCTTCCTGCAGCTCTCCTAGTGTGACGGTTACTGAATGAGAAATGTATAAGTTGTTAGCCTCATTCGCACCACCCTACACCCGGGTAATATCCTCAACTCCCACAGCATTAGGGTCCCCTTTCCGCTTCGTTTCAAGACTGGGACTCAAGACTTAGTACCGATGTCTACCAGCACTGTCCCATTCATCTTTTTAGGCTTCTCTTCTCCTACCATCATTATAGCAGTCGACCGCTTGAGGAATTTCTCCTCGTCAGGTACAACAACACGAAGATATTCCTCGTCACCAAAGACCTGTTTTCAAATCCACTTAGTGAGAGCGGACCTTTTACGGAGTAGAGTTTTAGGCCTTACACTCAGCAGATCCTGAAAGGTTTCGGCAGCAATAGTGACAAGCCCGTCCCAGCTACCAACCTGGACGCCGAAGTCGGTGAGGACAGCGGTGGACTTCTTGTCGACATGAAACTGCTGTAATCAGCATCTTACCACCAACGCCAGTTCACCGGACCAACCTGCGAATATGTGACCACCTTTCTCTTGACAATCTCAATGTTCAGCCACACTCGAGGGTGCTCTTCTGACCAGCTACCCATATTAGCAAAGCATCAAGTATGTCCATGGCTATACTCACTATCGATGAAACTCATCCTCGGTAATTTCGTCACGTTTACTGACCAAGATTCTCAAGGAGCAGGCCATTTTGGTGTTTAGAGTCCAAGGGTATGACGCGTCAAGATTTCAAGGGCGCTGTCTGATTGGAATCACCCAATCGGTGGACCGGGGAAAGCTAGGGGTCTTATATACCAAAGAGGAATCCCAGCGCGGGCGGTAGGTATGCTACATCTCGGCAGCACCCAAGAGATCAAGATCCGTGAAAGACGGGTTTACGTCCGCCCCGCTTCAGCATCCCACGCTGGTGGAAACTCCGCGGGGTCTGGCAGCCCCGGTTGCAATCTTACCCCGGAGAAACTTGGCTTCGTAGAGCAGACGAATTGTGGCTATTGTCATACTGCAAGGAGAAAGGCCACCTACCTCGGAACCGAGCAAGACTCGGCAGCGATATAATCTAGCGGAAGCGATCACCTAAACTCCGTGCCCTCGTTCTTGCACTCGGTCATAGAAGATATGGCGCGAGCAACAGCCATACCAAAACAGCTGTTGGTGTTGGTGGCGGACTAGGAGTTGTGGAACGCACCGAGAAGTATATACCTCCACCAGAGTCGTTAAAGGAGCTACACTTACATGCACACCAAGCTTGACGACTCTCTTTTCGCACTCCGGACAATCTAAAGAGGGTGTACGACAGCCACACAGGCAGAAGAGCACTCACCCGACTTGTGTATTCACAGTAACATGGCTTCAACAGATCTCGTAGTTCATCCACGCCCACCATTCCATGCAGAGCTAATCTAGAACTAGTACTCTTCTCTCAGCAAGCAATTTGGTGCTGACAAGGTGTTCAAACCTGATGATACATTGAAGTACTTCACTGCTCAGTCGTGTGCTCAAATTCCAGCAATCCATGTCCTCCCTGAGAGTGCCGAAGATGTCTCAATCATCATTAAGACGGCAACGGAGCACCAGCAGCCATTTGCTGTAAAATCTGGCGGCCATGGTGTATTCGCCGGCGCCTCCAGTATCTCAGGCGGCCTTCTTATCGACTTGGCCCGAATCAACAAGACAGAAGTTGCAGATGACAGGAAGTCGGCTTGGATTGGAGCAGGCGCTAAATGGGGCTCCGTCTATGAGGCGTTGAACAACCATGGGCTCAGCATCCCCGGTGGGCGAATTTCTTCCGTGGGTGTAGGAGGTCTCACTTTAGGGGGCGGAATCTCCTTTGCTGCAAATCGGTATGGTCTAGCCTGTGACAACGTGAAGAGCTACGAGGTATGGCCCAAAATGAAATAACCATAACCATTTTGACACCAGAAAACCTAGGTCGTGCTTGCTTCAGGAGAGATCATCCAAGTTACGACTGAGTCACACCCTGATCTTTTCTTCGCTCTTCGTGGCGCAGGCACCAATTTCGGTGTGGTGACCAGGTTTCAATTCGTGGCCTTTGAACAGACGCAAATCTGGGGAGGAGTGAAACAGTATTTTGGAGAAGACCAAGTAGTCACCCTGCTGGACAAGTTCTGTCACGATCAAGCCCTCGACTCCGAGGTCGCCGATATATATGCCGAGGCCTTCGTTATTGTGGCGTATGTACAGCCATTGCAGAAGTACATCACAACCGCAGTCTTGTCTCACGGCGCCACGACCGACAATCCTCCCGTCTTTGAGGGTTTCAACAGATTGCAACCCTTCCAGTCTAGCACGAAAGTCCGCTCAGTTGCTGATTTATGCATCGAGTTGAATGCAAACAATCCACATGGGTTGAGGTGAGCTTCAAAGTCTTAGCTGGCCAAATCTGGTGTCTCCAGCTCACAAACCACCAACAGGTCAAAAGTCTTAAACTTCTCCGTTACAGGTGATGCCGAAATCCTTTTGAAGGTGATCTCCATCTACAGAGAGGCACTTATACAGCACAAGGACAAAGTCAAGAACTTTGTGCCGGCCCTCCTCATTCAACCCCTCCTGCCACGGATGCTTCCAGATGACGAAGGTAGCCATACGCTAGGTGTTAGCAAGAAGGATGGCCCGCTGTATAGTAAGCAATGATTCTAACCTACGTCGTTCCACTGTTGGAAGGAGTGGCTCACTTCTCCTTAACACAGTCATTTGCCTCCTGTGGTCCTGGACCGAAGTCTGCGACGACGAGCTCGCCATTCAAATCGCCTACGACATCCGAGACAAGGCAAAAGCCGCCGCCAGCTCCGCAGGGAGATTGCACCGCTACGTCTACCTCAACTACGCAGATTCGGACCAAGATGTGTTTGCAAGCTACGGAGAAAGTAACCTGAAGACGCTCCTTGAGGTTAGCAAGAAGTATGACCCCAATCAGATCTTCACCAGGCTGAGGCCCGGCTACATCAAGGTCGCGAGATCTGCTCAGGCGAAGGAATCTGCATGTGCCTAAAGAAGGGACACAGTAGATGCTTCCGATCCATATGAAGAGTACAAGGGTCCGCTTAGGAGTTCATTTGTGATTACTTACCTGAAAAAGAGCATTCCATGATGGAACTTTGCAACACACCTTACAATTTTGTGTTCGCATGAATTTTATTGGCCATGTTGTGGTTTTAGGGTTTGCTGGTGCTCTAGTTCCCAAGCAGTCAAAGCTCTAAAACCAAGTTATACTATTTATATGACACCTATCAACATGCTGCTGGACATGACAGTATGCGTAAGCCCAGAAATCCAAAAAAAGAAACCCCGACAAGAACTCTCCCATCAATTGGTGTCCATCTTTGTAGGATGAAAGGTTGATGGTTCCCCATTCAAAGGATGGGGGCGCTATGACTCTACCTGTATATAGGCGTAAGCAAAGTCCCTAGGCTTCGATGGCTGGATGACCAGCGCATGTACTGAAACACTCCTCTCAGCTCTATCTCTACCCCAGATTGTCACAATTGAAGAGTACATCCATCTATTGAGATTGGCGACTCATGGATCGATGGCGGGCAAGACTTTGCCTCGACAATCACCAAATCCGAGTATCACTTCCCCAGTGTGCTTATCCCTTGCCCATGCTTGCATTAGGATCTCGTCTCCATCTTTCAGGAATGTGTCAATAAGATCAGAGGGGAGCGAGCTGAGCCGTGCACTTGGCAGACTACGTTCCATGAGACAACCGATCCCCGTCTTCTCACCGTTGCCGTTCCTTCGCTGCAGCCGCCATGGTTAGCAGCCACATGACATAAGTCGCTGCTAATGAAGTACCTACTGGGCTAGAAATGGTTCCGGTACCAAAGACATCCCCCACCAAGACGCTCTCACCGGCTGAGGCGAGATGCGTGATCTGTTGGAATGGGGTCCAGTGCAGCTCGTTGAGATTGGTCTCGCAGATCATATAAGATTTCCCGTCTCCTGCGAAAGAGTTGTGAGCATTGATCCCAGCAGAAGCCACAAGCTGACACCCACTCAGAAGCTGCAGAGTAATGTCGATATCAAAGGTCGCTGTGTTGTCCTCAGGCCAGGTTAGATGCGGAGGAGGCGCTGGCTCTTGCTTCGTTTTGGTAGCACAGCTAGAAGCCTCAAGGGCTTCAATGGGTACAATCCAAGAGCTTACAGTAGTTGCAGTACCCTTTGAGTGGAAAGGGCCGAGCGGCGCCATTTCATACCCTTGGATCTGTCTCGCCGACCAGTCGTTCAAGAGCGTCAGGCCGAAGATGTGATCTTTTGCGCCGTCAATGTTGAGTCTTTGGTTCCGGGGCACAGGTTTTGAGAGCCAGACGCCCATTTCCACCTCGAAGTCCATATGGGATTCAGGGGCGAGGGTGGCGCCTTCATATTTTCCGAAGCCCGCATACACGCCGTATGGCCGGTGGAAGTCTGTGCCAGATACAACCAAGCTCGAGGTCCGACCATTGTAAACAGAAGGGATAACATACCAACTAGGCTTGATTGGGAGGTTGAAGATCTCCGAGCACTTTTGGAAGTCAGAAAGGCAGGGTGAAAAGCACCGTCGGGCTCACGAACATTTTTGTGATGCTCGAGCGAGCAGTAGAAGTCGGAAAAGTTCTCGGTACGCATAGGCAAATGATTTTTAACCTCTGAAAAGGGTAAAAATGCCCTGCGCACATCACCAGTCTCTATGCCGGATCTCAATCTGGTTCGGAAAGCCCTGCGGACGTCTGGTGGAAGACTCGCGAATGCATTCCAGTTTCCCTGCTCGATGTGAGATTATGACTTTTTCGCCTGAGATGAATGGTCGACTAACCGCAGCGAAAATGTCACTTGACAAGTCGGGGATATTTTTGAAAAAGCCGTCCTGATGGAGTTGAGCAATATCGATTGCAAAGTCCTCGAAAGCGACCGCACATCTCTTGCAGGAGTGGTCCTTGGTGGTGATAACGCCGTACGGGAGATTGGCGATGGTGTAAGCCGCCATAGTCGTGATCCTAGAGCATTCAGATGCTCAGTGAGGCCCAGGTCTACACACATGGGTCATTCCATGATAACTACATTGTCAAGAGCCTGCTGCTGAGTACAAGGACCATAGGACAGTGTGTGTAAACCTTGCCGATCAGTGACATGTTGACGCCGCATGGGATCCGAGAGCAAATCACGGACCCAAGTCCCCACCTGTGAAGGCGTCATGAAGGGGTATGTGTGAGCTTCTCGTAGCACGAGTCTTCGACAAGGGGTGTGGGACGTCAGAGCGTTGTGTCTGTCGCTTGTCGGAATCGAGCACTCCAGAGTCAACCGAAAGTTAGGACGACGGAACCGGGAACTGAGTTGTCAGCGAGATGAATAAAAAGCTGATTAACAATGCCGTGGTTTCCAGCCCCTGCATTTTTCGTGGCGGCCTTCTGTTGAGCTACGTACGAGGATTACTCTCCGTGGTTCAACTCGCCGCTCAAATTCATGTCGCGTCTAGAGCTACGGTGTCCAACACTCTCGAACAGATTATCTACAATAAGTCCGTCCCTCCTCAAGGATTCGCCCCACCCAATGACGGAATGTTCAGAACGGATCGAGTGAGTCTCGGGCGTGTTCTTTATTGCTATCTTGCCAGAGTTCGCCAATTTCAGCATGATCAACGTTTGATACCGCCTGATGCTACATCCGCGCTGTGATATCCATACATCTCCATTTTCTGGCCTCTAATTTCGACCGGTTTAGCAGCTGCGAAGTGTCAGTCCCATGAGGCAAGTACTAGAGAAAAGAAGTCAAACAGAAGAGAGCCTCTTACCGATCAAGACAAAATACAGTCTGGCGGCTGTGCTTCCGGAATTTGTCCAGCCATGTATTGTACCTCGTTGGACACATATATCGCCGGGTTTCATGTCCACCTTGACACCGTCGTCGAGATAGCTTCCCATGGCTCAGTCATTGACCCAATGCCGTTTACTATGGGCCACAAACCAAGAAACTTCTCCATGCATCAGGATTCCAAAGTCCATCGATTCTGTTCGGTGGAAAAGCATTTCATTCTGTATCTAGAGCGTCAGCTCAAAGTTGCTTTTCTGACCGATTCGTTGTGAGGGAGCCCACCGATGTAATCCTCGGATCTATATCCACGACTCTCATGATTACGCCATCTTTGTTCACGAGATCACTGGTTCGTGTCTTGGTAGGGTCAAAGTTGCCATCTTCCGAATTGTCAACGGGGAACTGTGTACTTTCCCAAACCACACCAAGACTTGCTGAGAGAGGTGTTCTCTGTAGCGCAATACGGCTGTCGGCGAGGAAGACTGCCTTGCCGACATCGTTGTGTCCCGTGACGATACGGCGAGGGTCGGGCAACGACATCTTCGGATGTGACGACGCGTGGTTTGCCGACGGCATTCGTGTTTTGATCAACTTTTTATGGTTAGGCAGGTACGGGGGCATTACGTTGGTATTTAAAGGCGAGTGCAAGCTGTCCAGACTGTGGCCGAGCTATGGTACCCCGTCCACAGGTATCGATATGAGCGCAAATCGTTGCGCTGGCAGGGTCTTACATGACTGGAAAACACATCACAGACTACGTCTGAGCCTGTCCAGAGATGCCGCCACTCATTTCGCAGCTATCGGTCGTCGAGAACACAATGATGATACTGAACTGCAAACCCACTGAACCACGGTCTGACGCACGGCGGGCAAGTCGGTTCCGGAAAGGGACGCTGTCCAGTTTGGCAGTGTTGAGGTGATCTAGTACATTACCAATACTGTTCTGCAGTAATCATTCCGAAGTGGTGATCCCTGTCACCATTAGTAACCCTGGACCAGCCACTGGGCCAGGCTCGTAAGGAGATTTAGTATAAAGGATTAGTAAACAGGAATAACGACCCAAGTTGGTATTGCTTGGAGCTGCTGACTTGCGGGGTAGGGTCCGGCACTGCTCCTACCTGCGTAAATGTAGAATAGTCTCGGTAGCGAGGCATCCTGTCGGTGGCGAAACTTCGTTGATCTCCCTTTGCCGAGGCTGCTGGGTCAGATCGAACCGATATCTGCCTGAAGTTGCGAGGGATTTCGTCGACCCTGCTTTCAGCTTTGGTAGCAGAACCGACACATAGCCAGTATGTCACAGCGTCAAAGGAAGCAGAATTCGAGCTGCGATAGCTGTCGCTCCTCGAGAATTCGCTGCGATGCCCTGCAAATGGGAATTGTGCCACTCTCTGGAGGGGCTGATACTGCTCTCCGCAATGGCGTGTGCAGCAACTGCGCCAGAAAGAACCACGCGTGTACGTTCAGCGTACGTGACTCTGAGGGTATAACGTTCTTCACTGTGCACCAGGTAGTTAATCTCCTCTAGTGGCTTCGTTCGTCGAAACGCCGGGTTGCCGACGCTCCACGAAGGGCAACAGAAGACAGCCGCGAGGCAGCAAGGACGACGGTCCAATGTGAAGTCTCTCCTGTAGAAGTGGTAGGTTTTAATGCCCTGTCACATCTATGGACCAGGTGAACTGCTCGACAAGATCTTCTTCTGACCTGTCAGACTTTATCAGCGGAGGTTGCTGCAGCGTTTCGCATGCGGGAAGGTGTCATCGACACCACCATGTGGCATATTTTTTCCTCTATCTTTGAGACAGCCGTCGGTGTATGGGTTGGCAGCGGTTGCTGTCCGTTTCCTGGATTACCAGACGTAAGCTTACTGCATGGGCAGCTCTCGTTGAGCGTTCATCAATGACCCTATCTACAGGGGTCCCGAACCATCATTTCACGCCTCTTTGTGAGTCTAGATGAGTGGGCGTGCCCCTGTCCGCATCACATCACTGGCCCGGAGAAGGTCTTTACTACTGAAAGGACTGACTGTGTCCGGGCTGACAAGGTGGTCAATCACGCACTGGGTGCCGCTGTGCATGCTTTCAGTGTTCGCTGGCTCCCACTGCTCGTGGGCGAACGAATCCGCGAAGACTTGTTGAACACCCTGAGTCGCAGGCTTTGGCACGATGCACGCACCAAAGTCCTATCGGTCCTTCAGCGACGTTGTTTCAGGTCGGTCCTGGCGCTTTATGTGTTTGGGATGACGCCCATACCTCCGGGTACCGAGGATTCTCCCGAAGCCCGAGGAAGTTTGGGCGAAGTGTGCATCGATACTGCACTGCGTCAGTTGCAATATCTGACTGCCAGTAAGGACCTCAGCTGCTTTTCATCAGCAAGCATTGCTCGCCAGCCTGCAAACTCAAAGATTCCCGGTCACGAGCGACTATATCGGGACGACGATGGCTATCGGCTGCGCGAAACTTTGTCTTGCTGGGCTGGATTTGTGTTTGACACTTCTGCAGCACTGAGTACCGGGCGTCCCTCAGTTCTATATGCCGGTGTGTTTGCTTTCGCACAGGATAAAACCGTTCAGCTGCTCAGATCTAGTATACGGCAGTTCCATAATAACACGGAGCAGTGGAGACTCAGTGGCTTTGATGTCACTAATCAACGGGCCATTACCATAATCCAGTCTGCCAGTGCCTGCAAAGGTCTGTTATGGAAGGCAATAGCATGCTTGCGCGAAGCTCTGAGTTACAATTATGACAACCCGGTGGTCACTCAAGCATGTACTGCCATTCTGGACATCAGGCAGATATTCGAGACCACCTATGCGCCATTGCTAGCGGCTTGTAAGCGAGCCTTGTTATTTCTTACTGAGGAGGCTCAGCTTCATTGGTGTAAGTTCTCGGCGGCTTCTGTTCCTTCACGAGAAGCACCCGCTGACGCTTCCAAGATTTGCTGGCTCTTCATTATCAATTGGGGATGTTGATCCTATTTGACACTCTCAAGAAGTGCAGCAAGAGTCACATGCTTCCAGATTGTGATAGACTCCAATGTCATGCTGTTCAGGAGACAGTAGAGGTCGTCAGCTTCGGAATGCAAAGCAAAGTCATGCTCCAGGATGTGTTCAGGTCCCATTTGCCCCAACGAAGGCAGGGCACGGTAGTATCACTTCTGAGCATCGACCCTTACCCACACCATGTTGCCACTGCCCTGGACTTGGTAGCAAATTATCTGGTCGAAAGTTTCCAAAATGGTAATGTTCAGCAACAAACATTGCATAGGATTTTGCAGATATCCACGGAAGCTTTGAAACAAGTCCCTCAGTGCTCGGAATCTTTGCAAACCATACGAGACAACATGAGCGATAGACTGGGATCGCTGCTAGATGCCCAGTCAGAGATGGTGACGGGATTCATCGAGCATTCCTCAGAGCCATCACCAGGCGGCACCGCCGGTGTTGCTCAGAACGGAGCTGGCAACTTCGATTTCTCGAACTCTCCGACGAACGCTGGGTTGGACGCAACCGCAGCGTACCCATCAGGAAATGGCGCTCGACCATGTATTCATACCCCCCTAGACATGTCAGTGGCTTCTTTCGAGCAATGGGACTGGAATTCGTTTGCAGAAGCACATTTAGATTTTGATGACCACGGAGAAAGCATGTTTCTGTCAGAGCACGGGCTCCTAGGGGTATGTGGCAATATCAATCACCCTATACACTCAGAAGTCCCCACGAACTGATCTTTGGCACAACAGGACCCTTTTTACTTTACATGATTTAGATGTGTTATAACAGGACTAGATATGGAAGCACCCGATGCACAAGGCTGTCATCAATCAGGTGGCATGAGTCGAGAGTAGAGATCCGCTCAGAGGATACCTTCTCATCACCTTCCAGCGCTTACTCTACCTCGCCAACCTCTTTAGCCTTTGCTCAGGGCATGTTGTGAGTAGAGGGAAGCGTAGGTTGCAGGGCTTCTCGAGAGCACCCACTGATGTGTCACGCGCCGAGGATCTAGAGCCCGATGTACTATGCAAGGTGTTGTGCGCTGAACTTGATATCTGTACAGAATACTGAGAAATTTATTGATATTGACTGCCTCCCTGTACCCTCATGTACGCAACTTGAGAACTCAATAGCTTGGTGCACACTTCTGTCTGTGTACTGCCTGGAAGAAAATCAATCTCTAAATCTCTTTTCCTGAGTCTCACACACACTTCTCAGGCAACAACAGCCTTCTGAACCTCCTCAAAAGCTTTGATAATATCTTCAGTCAGCCTCTGAGACCAATCATCCAGACTGCTCTTGCCCAATTCTCCACTGATCATGGCTGCTCCAGTGTCGGCACCTGTTGGGCCACCGATGAAGGGGAGTTGGGGTCGAACAGAGGCAACCTGTGTTACAGCAAATTAGCCAGTATTCTTCAACTGAGCTACATACACTCAGTTGGTATACCTTAAGACCCATCCTGCTTAGGATATACTCCAATTGGTCAGATGCATGCTTGCCTCCACTGAGACCATATGTGACCAAAGCAATAGGCTTCCCCTTCCATGGATGGAAAATATAGTCAATGGCATTTTTCACTCCACCTGGTATACCGTAGTTGTACTCGGGACTGATTAGCACATATCCGTCATGACGAGCAATATCCCTTGCCCAGCGTTTACTGTGCTCATGAGTGTAACTCTCAGGATCGGGAATCATAGCTGGGACGTTGGGCTCGTCGTAGACCGGAAGCTTGAAGTCGGCGAGGTCGATGGATGAGAGAGTTATTCCTTCAAGGCTTGCATTTGTTTCGATTATGGTCTTGATGAAGGAGGCGATAGAGACGCCGACGCGGGGGGTGCGGGTGCTGCCGGTGATGATGGCGATAGACTTTGCTGTAGACATAGTGGGCGATAGGTCTGTAGAACAGTGATAAACAGGTGTTCTGGTATTGATAGAAGGTGTGGAAAGGACAGTGTTTGGAAGGTTTCTTGCTCAACGGAGACTTGGATGCTCTTGTGAGTATGGCAACCTATTTATACTCACAAGCAACTATCCTTGAGGCGTTCCCTACTTACCAATCTTAGGACAGTCTCTTTCGTCTCTTCAAGAGAGACACGGCCCCGAAAACAAAACCCCTGTGACTAGTACGTTCACGATGCAGAAGTGATACAATGATCTCCAATCACAAGGGGGAACTAGGAATAGTGGCTTAGATCCGCATCCTAATAAAGTGGAGCCGCGCGGTGAGTGGGGATTGTGCTTGTAGATTGCCAACAGTGTGAGCCCAGATTCGACTTCATTCTGGACAACGTAACCTTGATCTATGTTAGGTATCTATCACATTATTAAGCTACTCTGTACTTCTTTAGTAATGTCTCATGATGCGGGATTTCTAAGGCGAGCTGCGTCAGAAGACCAGGAGAACCTACTGCAGCTGCCCTTGGGATTGTCCCTTGTGAGTTCTGTCTACATATAACAGCAGACCGTACCTGAGACTCCTTTACGCATTCCAATTTCTGTATACTTCTTTGACCTCAAGTTTCGTATCAAGATTCACAGTGAGGGTCTCTGCAAAACTACGACGTGCAGCTATGACAACTAAGCCCTTACTTCTCTTCTTGGGCAGTGGCGTCCGTATTGGCACCCTGACTGCCCATCACTTCTCACAAAACGGTTACAATGTCGCCATCGTCTCCAGAAGTGGGACGAACCAGCGAAACGAGCATGGCTTCCTGTCGCTGAAAGCTGACTTTACAGACCCTTCGTCGATCCCTGAAGTCTTCGCCGCCGCAAAGGCAGAGTTTGGCACGAATCCGTCCGTGGTCGTTTATAACGCCTACAGCGTTACGTCACCACCAGAAAAGGATGTCCTGTTCTCAATCTCTGTAGACAAGTTCACAGAAGCTTTGAATGCCAACACAATCAGTGCGTTTGCGGCTGCGAGTGAAGCTGTTCGCGGCTGGGACGAGATGTCAGAAACTACATCAAAGAAAACTTTCATCTTTACTGGGAGTATCCTAAATGTGCGCCATATCCCTGAGACGTTTCTTGCAACGCTCGGGGTTGGTAAGTCGGCGACGGCTTATTGGGTTGGCTCAGCCGCGGCCTCCTACTCGGGGAAAGATTACAGGTAGGCATTGAACAGGATCCTCATATACACTCTGACGCTGACTTGGCTCTTGAGGTTCTTCTACGCTGATGAGAGAAAACCAGATGGAAATCCTGTTGGTGGGGAGATTGATGGGAATGCACATGCAGACTTCTACTGGGATCTAGCAGCTGGAAGAGATAATATTCCATGGCATGCTACTTTTGTGAAGGGGCGAGGCTATGTGAAATTTTAGTATACTGACATGTAATACCTGACGAAATACAACCTGTAATTTTAGATGCTATATCAAGAATATTATCTCACCAGTAGCCGCAAAGCAGCTTGCCATGTTAGTGTTACCAAGCGAACTGTACTCCTGAGCCTCCATCCTCACCCAGGTAGACTCCATAATCTCCAGTGCTTTGCGCACAGTCACAAACAATCCAGGTGGCTCCAGATCCCTACCCTTGCGACGGAACCAGGACTGCTGCTCCGGTTTTGCCAGGCAACCCGCCACGCAGAACGGCCAGGCGACCATACGTAGTAGCTCCGGTGGTGTGAGTTTCTGATCTATGATCTGCATTATTTTGACTATATGCGCGCATATATCAGGATTCGTCGGATCCAAGGAGCCGTTGATTGTGACCAGGTCGTATATCAAGGCGGCATGGGCCCAGATCTGCGTTATGTGCCGTGATTGCATAGCTGGGAATGTAGGCTCTTGCTGCCAACCAGCAAACAGCCTAGTTATCCCGCTCGGAACGCGAGATACAGGCTCAGTGGCACGTTCAAGTAACTCAAGGCGACCCTCCAGCCGGTCTTTGATGCTAGCCCCTCGTCGGGCAAGCTCTAAAGCCATCGCATCATCTTGGCGTCTCTGCCGTCGCTTCCAAGCCGCCAGAAATGAGATCTCACCAATCTGCTGCATGACACCATTTTGACATCCTGTGATGACTTCAAGGTCAACGGCTGATTGATTCTCGGGCTCGTCCGCCATAAGCTGGGCGTGATAATGATAGAGGCGAGGTTCCTCGCCAAGTGACGTGCTTGCGATTATATCATCGGCTACCAACAAAGAAGCAAAGAAACGAAACGCTACTTGTTCGGGGCTGGTGATTTGATATGATAGGTAAGGTTTTGGCCATGGTGACGGTCCGAGGTGAGCCATTATTTGGAAGAATCTGGAGCCAACATCCAGGTGTGAATTCGCAACATCGGCACCCAAGATTGTTTTGAATGCCTGCACAGCAGCATCAAGGTGCATCTTGCAGTTCGCGAATCCAGATGTAGCAATCTCGAATCGCTGCAGGTGTGTAATCACACCCAATATCCGCACTGCCCGTGAGAGCTCCGCCGGACTATCCATCGAAGTCTCGCCGAGCAAGGCCACCTCATTTTTCAGTCCCGTAAAAGTATTGCTCATTTCAGCTAGCATCTTATCCCAGTTAATGTTGATACAGAACTCGTGGCCAGCTTCCGAAGCGTCTAGCACAATTGTAAACAGGTAGGAACTGAAGGCCATGGCTGACTGCTGCATGCCTTCAGCTTCGTTGAGGAACTCGAGAAGCCAGGAGCGGCCGCCTTCGAGCATGTGCGGTCTGTAGAAGGGGAAAAGGAATGGGAAAAAGAAGTCGAGGTAGTAGGACATGAAGCCTGCATCGCAACCTGGCCAGACTTTCCTTGGCTGAGGTTTGGGAGGGGTTTCAGCTGGAGCTTGCGACTGCTGCTGCGAGGTGATGCGAGCATTGTTGTTCGGACCACGATGCGGTAATAGATACTGTGACCCTCTGCTATCGTTATTCTGGCGTTCTTCGGCTTCACGTATGTAGCCCATGGCGCGTCGCATGGAAGCTTTCTCCTTGACCTCGAGTTTCAGTCTGTTCACCATGTCCTGCTGACGCTCACCATTGTCCATCCATTCAGGCTTTTCTTCGGTATAGTAGCAGGTGATGAGCAAGGAGGAGCACGTCTGGCATTGCGGGAAAGTCTCATCACATTTCTTGTGCCGGACTCGACAGGTCCAGCAGCCGTTCCAACTCTTGGTGCTGGCATGCATGATAGTGGTGATGACAAATTAGTGAAGTTGCTCTACCCACTCTTCAGGCTGGCTGTGGCCTAGAAAGATGGTTCTTCGAGAAATAATGGGAAGGTGTCTGTGTTGCTATTTACCTCCGCAATGGATCAGTATCCTTGAGAGCTTGAGTTCAAGTGTGAGGTCGACAAAAGAGTTATGACTAGATATGTGGCTGTAGCGGCGTGAAGAGAATTAATTGATTGACTAACCAAGTTAGAAGTAAGACGAGTCCTTAGGCGATGTATACGTAAGTGCATGTAGGCCAATGGAGCAGCCGGAAACAAGTATTCCCGAACCCGTTGTTCACGGGTTCGTACATTTTAGGCAGGCTGACTTGAAACATCTTTCACGAAATGCAGTCACCCAATCTCCTGAAGCGATGTGTTCTGGTCCTCTTCATCAAAGTGGTTTTCCAGTTCTCGGGGGCAATATCATTATCTACTCCCTAACCTCCATCCTCGTCTTCGTTGGACTCCAAGATCAGTTCCCCAACTAACTTTCTCCGGAAGCCACAGCCTCCTCAAGTCCATGACGGTCCTGCTGTACTCTGCATTCTTCGTCAACCGCTTTAGCTGCCTCTCTATACTATTCATTGGGTCCGTTATCTTGATTGCCATGTTGATTTGCATCAGCGTATATCTGGCTGCCCATCACCCCTCCACTAGGAAGCACTCTGGGACTCTTGCCGCGGGATGGGTCGCCGTTGTTGCAATCTACGGAGAACTTTTAGACAAGCAGTTAAGCTTTCAGTTAAGCTTTCTCTGAAATGTCAAGAGCCACTCAATTATAGTGCCACCTTCTGCTCTGGATGAGGCGTATGGGAAAGAGAGGCTGTTTAAGGGGCATGTATATCTCATAGAGGGCAAACGCCACCAGTAAAAGGCTTCCAACGGCCAATGTGGACGTGACCTGGACTCTTTTCCACGGATACGTACTCGAGGACCATGAGAATCTAAGCGTCACTAAGTTAGGAGTAGGCCCGAGAAGCAAAAGAAGAACCCACCATAGTCGAATTCTTTGACTTCTTGCCATTTGGTGAGCTCGCCGTTGATCATGCTGAAATCTGGTGGGAAATAGCATCCGGCAAAGAGAATGAGTGCTGCAGCTGCTCCAGAACCGGTAAAGACGCCACCGCAGATGACAACGTAGACTTATTTGCGGTGGATCATATGATAGAACCGACCACACTCAGGAACATTCCACCCAGTAAGAAGTACCTTCTGCCCACGATATCAACAAGTCGCCCACAGAGTAAGAGTAAGGTCCGAGAAAGATATTGAAGATCAGGGTGTCAAGACAGATATTTAAGGATGGGCCAATGTCTGCGCTGATGATTGTCAGGAGGTTGATAGGCTTACCAAACGAGATGAAGAGGCTGTTCGCAAGGAGAAGAGCCGCAACAAATGAGCCGCAATCAATGAGCCGCACAGACGGTAAGATCGCCAATAGCTTTGGTTGAGATTGTCGGCATGGCTGAAGAAGTTCTTCCGGTGAAGCAAGTCTTGAGAATTGATTTTCACAAGTGCAGGACCCATCACATTGTCGTATGTGGTATCAGGCTCTTTGGAGCCGACTATCTCGATGTTAAGTATTTCGATTTTTTTGCTCGAAGCCGTTGCCATCATATTGATGTGCTACGAGAATCTTTGACTTGCTCCTGTAGTAGCACTGAATGGAGCGAAGGGAAGAAACATTGGCCGGCAGGAGATTTGTCTTCCTTATGCTCAAAGTATCACAATAAAGGCAATTTGATTCCGATCAAGCAGGTGTTGAAGACTGTAGTACTCGTTACCAGCGTCTCGTATCTCCGCCTCCACGGTCTTCCCTTAACCCCTCTGGTCGTGAATCATTCGCAGACGGAAAGTGACATGAAGAGGAAGACTGATGTTTGACAGCTGTTACTCGCTAGCAGAGATGGCATAATAACCCTGATGCGATTTGGCACTGGCTGCGCAGAGGCCAGAGACGAGTAGCGCCGGCATAAATTGTCGCGATATCCAGGTGGTGGCTGGGAGCATGATCTCTCTCGAGAAGTAGACTCTCTTATCATCTGCACCTTCCACTTGTCTATGCATCCCCTAGACACCATTGAGGCAGGCCTTGACCAAAACCATCGTCGCGTTTCGCCATTGTCGAGGGCAACGGGGTTTCGGGTCGAAAGTGCGCCCACCTCTCTGGCGGCTGAAGTAGCCTCGGTACTTCGACGCCAAACAAGCATTGAACGGATGCATCTGTCTTTGGTACTCCGTGCGAGGCCAAAAAGGTGGAATCCTCGCCCATCGGTGTCGCTCGATTGTCGGTATGGCCAATGTCAGCAGGAGATGACTCGTCGTTAAGTTGGAGGCGCTCTATTCACGCCTCGCTCCGCCTCCGCCTCAGTTAATCTCATCTAGTTCTTGGCAACTTTCTGTCTGATGTTGCAAGGGTTTTTTTCTTGGCTTAGTCATGAATCTGAGTATCAAAAATGGCTTGACATCATCAATGCTTATCTCAGTATCAGCTTCACTCTGACATCATGTCATGACTCTGCATATAGTCTTCGAGGAGGCGGAGTAAAGGAATCATCTCATGAGCACATTGGGTAAGATTATAGCCTCGGACTGTTCAAATGTATCTCACCCCAGGTTGAGCGTGTGATCAGTGCTACTACCTCCTTTCAGTGATGTTGAGGACTTGAGCTTTCGCAGATCTCTCATCTTCTAACCAGTCTCGTAGGACATTGTTTGTCTTTATGATTGAGCTCGACATCCTTGCCCAGTTTCTCTATTGCTCGGCCTTGCAACAGTTTCGATGGAGACAATGGGTGGCAGGACACCACTTCCTCTTGCTCGATGGGATCGACAGAAATGTTCAAAATTACTAACATGAATATGCCAAAAGTGTCACATAATACAGTTAGGTCTCTAATCAAAGCTCTACTCGGGTATCAAGACCCAAACCCCGAAAAAGATGCTCGGTATACTGTATTCACCAATATTGAGCGTAATCAGAAGTACCATCCAACACCCTAACCAACTCGGCGGCAATGTTTCGATGTGTCTGCTCAGACGGATGGAGATCATCGCGCCACATAAAACTGTCAGGATTCAGGCGGTCTTCTTGTGTTTTGGTGTAGAAGCTCGTCACATTCGCAGGAGCGGTCCCGTTGAAGTAGAACTCCGGGCTGAAGTACATGTCGGTCATAAGAGAGTTGACGTCGAAGAGAGCAACTCGTGCATCCGGGTATCGATTGGAGACGGCGAACTCGTAAGGGGTCTGATATCGGTAGATATCATTGACAACTTTCGTAATTTCAATGGCCTTGGGTGCCATCCACCGGTCTCTCACCTTCTCCTCCCCGCTAGGTAGCTTGATAGAATACAGCGGGGTCAGTTGCAACGGAACGGTATTCATCAGGACAAAGGTCCTGGCCCCGGCAGCGTACAGCTTGTCAACGGACCTGAAGACGCACTCGTTGAAGTCAGCTAAGAATTTTCCGGGAGTTTGTTCGTTGCTGAGGTAGGCAAAATTGCCCAAGTCGTTGGTGCCGATCCATATCACGAACACGGCGTTGGATGCAGTGATGGACGGTTGAAAGTATGGTTCTTCTGTGCCGGCCCTCGCTGCTGTCAGGTCGTTGAGAAAAGCAGGTACTCCTCCCTCCAGGACTGATGCTTTTTTTGGACCCCTCGGAATGATTTCGTCCGAGCACCAAGATCCACCAAAGGCATAGTCATACAGGGTCATCTGTGGCTTCCATTCTTCGCCGTTCGAAGAACCAGTGTATTGAATGGTATAACGAGCCCAGTTTCTGGTCTGTTTGCTGCTGGGGAAGAATGTGCCCACAGGAGGATATGTCTTGTTATGTTGGTACCAGTAGTGATATCTCCCTTCATCTGTGTAGCTGTCCCCAAATGTTATCAAGGACTTGAAGTTCTTGACGTTCCACCGAGGTTTCTCCAGCATCTTGAGATTCGGACGTGGCACAGAGTCCGGTACACCACCTATGCCCACGAGTGCCACGCAGAACAGCGTCGTGACGAGTACCAAGGCAATACATAGGCGGCGCTTGGTATTTCGACGTCGGTAGAGACGCAGAAAGATCGGCGGTTCGTCTTTGGTAAGGAGAGGCTCCTCTGTTGGTTTGTGCGACAGAGGCGTCAGCCCTATATCGGCATCGTCATCTGCGTGAGAAGAATGGTCGTCGGAGTAAGATTTTGGGTCCGCCATCTTTCGGGAGAACCTCTGGTACACAGGGAATCGTCTGTGAACCATGTAAACTCGAAAGAAATTCAAGACCCTCGACAATATCGGAATGAAGATCAGTGCGCAACCACGAGGAGAAGTAGGCCGGCCTGTGATGGAGAGCGCTTTCTGACTTCTGCTAGATTTGGACCCTTGCGCGGAGAAATCGTCTTGGCCTTCTGTGACAGATCTCGGTTCCGCTCAGCTCCTCGAGAGTAACAGCCAGACCGAGCAGCTCAGAGTAGGTCAACAAGGAATATAACAAGTCATGGTGGCGCAAAGCATGGAAGCCAACAACGTGGAAACTCGGATCTAGCTAAATTGACGGGTACTGCAGCAGACAGTTTCTCGATTGTTCACATGGCAAGCGACGACATAGGGTTCCGGAACTAACTCGCTTTATCAGATAGCGTTTGGTGTTTGAGGCTGGCTGCTGTTCAAGATCACCTACCACTAGTATCAATAGTCATTCTGTCAAATGGTGGCCCGAGAACTCAGACCCTTGCCACGATGGAACCATGGCGGGTCATTGTCCAATGGGAGCGAAGGAGCGGCCCGATGGGAGCTGTCAGAGACGCAAACAATTTTTGGTTGGGTTACTTGACGGGCACGGGCCCAAGGTAAAAGAGTTAATTGACTTCTTTGGCCAATATTATCATTCAAAATCTCAACACGGCTCCGGAGTCTCGGACCGGAGACAGAGTCAAGTTCTGCCTGAGAATAGCCCAGCAAGCAGTGATCGATGCAATACAGCCTGTTGAGCAGTCCTCTGTAACAACGTCTCGTCGCTTCAAGAGCAAGGAACCGGGAGGGCTTCTTGTAAGCTCACCATCTTCTCGAAAGTGCAGTTCCTTGTGTTGTCCTTTGCTCGCTCAGTCAGTTGTTGGGAAATCTCATCCGATTCAGGTCCCCACTGGGGATCTCAGCAAGTCGGGACACACGAAGTTTGATCTCCTCCCAAGAAGCTTAACTCGTCAATCGACCAATTCCATCTCCGCATTCAACCGTTGCAAAGAGATGTCGCGCACATCGGAAACCCCGGCCAATCTTTGCCTCCCGGACATGCAGGTGATGAGAACCACGTTTGTGGGTCTATATGTTGCTTGTGCTTCCATGATTAATCTAAAAAGATACTGTACGGTCTCGGCCCCTCTGGAGGCCACTTGTCTGTAGAGTCCTTTTGTACCTAGAAGCTCCTTCGCAGCCTGTACCACCAGCTGAGAGTCAAAGAGATAGCCTTATCGTTGAGACCTCTCGTACCCTTCTCTTGTATCGGTAGCCTACATCGATGTCGACGAACGAGATGGTCCATATAGCAGAACAGGTGTGTGATGAATCCAGAACCGGCGCAGCGCGAGTATACCACGGCTTGCAGAGAGACTCTTCTGTAAAGGTTGCTCCAGAGGTCGGTCACTGAGACATTCAGCTTTCATGTCACCTCGAAACCCGTGCCCAAAGTGGTCTGATCGACTTGTCGTCGTCGAAGCATAAACAGAACTTCATGCCCTGCCACACCGATTGGAAGGAAAGTGAAAGAAAGATAACATTTCAATTATCCGGAGTACCTGTTCGACTCGGGAGCTTTAGCTTCTCCAAATACATGCATTATGGGCCATCTTTATGGGCCATCAGCCTTAATGAATAGTGGAATTGCCAAGAGCGCCTCGGAGGAAGCATCCGACTAGCCATGCCACTCTTCACTTAAGGGTTTCCCCTCGGCCAGTCGACGCTGTATAAAATGTGCTCAAGATTGTAGCCACAAAGTCAACACCCCAGCTCGGCCGCAACGGTCCTGATATGAATCACCCATACTACTTAAGAACGCTCTCGCGGTGTCAGTCTGGACCTCTGACACGTGACTAGGACGACATTCCGTAGCACTAGTCCTGTTTTGGATTGGCTTACAGGACGCCCCTTCGCATGGGTCCAGCGCTTCATACAGAATTCTATCAGTTACCACGCATCGTCGTGGCATGCAGTGTAACACTATCGATCAGGCTATGAAACATCTATCCAATGTGCCAGTGACGACTTTGGGTGTTTGAAAGCGATCGAACACCCGGGGATTATGCAAACAAAGAACATGAAGTCCACATTGAACATACCAAACCCACAGAAACAAACTCTATACTCGGCAGATTTTGCATCATTTCTAGAAGATCCTCAATATCCAGAAGCTTCTACGTCTCCGGCGATGGCTATACGAGATGGATATCAAAGGCACATCGAATTCTGTAGGTTTACCACACGAGAAATCATATGCTGGGGCGGTCTATGAGCGTGCCTTAACTTTGTTGACGACGGTATGAACAAGGGCACCCAAGAAGCTCTTACTCTTCACGGTAGGTCTAAGAACAGCTTTAGCTTCGACCGGTGAGTACGAGAAGAAGGTTCAAGCCAGCGAACCGATTAGCATTCTGTTCTTTTCTTCTCATAGTAGTCGGTGTAAGTTTACCCTGCTTGCGATAAATGCTTGTGGGGAAGGGTCTGCAAGAGCGCTGTGCGAGATCACCTGGACAGTGGTACTCTCCTTGTTCATTGCTGCCAGGTGCAATCCTCACGTTGGTCAGCTAAGACAAAGCATCGGGGAGAGTTGCAATGATAGCTTCGGCTATGGTACTAATGAGTTTCAAGCTGCCTGGGACCAGCGTTGGTCTTGAAGCGCAATGAAAGGCGTCGCTTATGGCCCCTGAAGAAGCATCATTTGTCGCCTTTATGTATTGTGCATATATGAGAAGCAGCTTTCAATCAGATCATGATCTATAACCCAAGAGCAGCTTACGAGTTGTTCCCCAAGCGTCGAGCCTCACATACCCGCAGTGGCTATTAGTAGAAATCTACCATGGTCGATCTTCTAGACCGATGTCCGCTTCACTTATCCTCTGGTCCGAACAGAAAACTCTGATTTTCTCGTACATTGAAAGTTTCAATCAGCTGATTTACGATACAGTACTTAGTTCTGTCGCCGCAGACACCAATGCTTTATTGACGGCGCCCTTGAGAAAGCCAATTCCGTTGCCCAGACACAGCGACTCTTCCAGCAGATAATCTATGAACGACTGCTGCGCAATCCGAGCATGCATCCACGTTGCCCCAGTCTGTGTTGTCGTCATAAATGAGAACTGGAGATCATCTTCCCCTATCAGCAGCTTCCCCTTTTGTTCCAAGTACAGTTCGAGGTCCTGGAGGAGAAGAAGCTCTGTGAGAGGTACGCCGGAATTTTCCAAGTCTCTCTTGACTACCTTGCCCAGATCGTTGTGAGCATTAGAGTTCACTTCATCCATTACGATAGCCATGTTCTTCGGACGGTCCACGTTACTGACTTGGATCTTGTTTGCCAACCCCCATATCGCAGCGTTCGTCAGGTGGAGAAGGTCGTTCAACTTCGCATGACGCAGGCTGAATCTGTGGGACTTTGAAAGCCATGGGGACAGTCTCCATTTCTCGTTTCGCCCTTCAATCAGGGCCTGTTGCGATCTATGAAGGGCAACCTCGAACAACTTGATCCAGAATAGGCTTTGTTGGTTCACAGGTGGAGTCTCCGAATGAATATAGTTGATGAAGTGAAGTCCTTGAGTGGGCATCATCAAAACGCTGGGCGGGACCTGGTAGTTCTCTGCGTACCCAAGTTCCTGTGAGTGAAGAACTCTATAATTGTACCATCGTTGTTGAGGCCCCGAGCTTTCCCTAGTCGGCCTGTCACTGGATTGTATGTTGTTGGGTGTACGCTCGGCGTCTACACCAGAGAGAGTCATGTTCTCGTCAAAGCTCTCTGGAGTTCGGTCGAAAGTTTCGCTGTCCAGATTCGCACAGACTCTATGCATTGAAGAGAGTGCACTTCGATACGCTTGTTGTATGGCCACGATGGAGCGAGGTCCAGGGTCATTCGATGAATAGCTTAGCAGGTGATGGCCAAACTCCACGAAAATTCCAATGGCTTCCTTGAAGGCAACATCTAGGTCTCGGTTCCTGCGAACAGTGCTGGAAAATAAACTTTCTTTTCTGCTGCGGTATCTGCGCTGTGCCTCCCGCCCTCGGGCTCTTCGCTGAAGCTGACCACAAAAAATTAGCGTCGCGGCCACAGCTCCTGAACATACATACCGTATCTTCATCTTTCGCCCTGGGAGAGCCCATGTATCATTAGCCGAGTGAAGTCCACAATGCGTTACGTTAGGGCTATTAACGTCCAGTCTCGAAGATCCGACAATGACGAGTAAGTGTGGTCGAAATTAAAATGGCCCCCAAGCACGTCAGTGTATAATCGAAGTCATCAGTTTTCTCTTCCCGTGATTACTATTCATCTCTAAGCAAGAGAGAAGGCTACTTTGCAGCAAATATCAAGCGCACCAGGCATTTCCCTCTATATTGGTGCGACCAAGCAACACGGTGGCTCGCCTGCACTTGCTAGTCAGCTAGAAAAATCCTTTCCAACCGCTGTTGGTTGCTATGAACAGGAACTATTATCCAGATCTCGCCCCCCCTTGCCGTCCAGCTCGTCAATATCTCACGCACTGCGATGCACGGGAACCGGAGCTCTGGTTTCAGAGTCTGACTTCTCTTCGTCCCAGCCTTCGCGGGTGTCTTTAGGGATTCGAACAAAGAGCACTGCAACAATCGAGGCCGTAAATGCAAACCCAACTCCGAGCCAAAGTGCACGCCGATGCCCTCCGAGCTCATCCTTCCCACTTCTTTTTGTGTACACGTCGACCGTACCTGCAAAGCCAAGTCCTGTACTCAGACCGTATGCTAGTAACGTACCAATGAAGCTCCCCGCGACTCCTTGCTGCTGTCGAGATACCGAGTTACTGGCAACAATTTGGCTGGCTGTGAAGAGAAAGTCGGGTCCCAGAGCGGTTAGCATCAACGCCGGGAAAAATTGCGCCCAGTATGTCTGATGGGCGGGGGATGTTGCGACAAGGATCAGAGCGCATCCAGACCCAAGACTCCCGATGACCATGATGGCCTGCGCAGGAAGAACGCGAATACATACGGCAGACAGTAGTGCTGCACAAGCTCCGCATACAGCCAAAGTTGCATAACTCGCCGCGTCTTCGAAGATGGTGTAATGCCTGATGTTGATGTTGATCACGGTAATGTACCATGTAACGATTCCGACAGACATGAAGGTCAAAAAGGCTGCGACAATCATGGCGCTAAAAGTCGGTGCCTGGAACAGCGACAGAGGAAGAATCGGAAACTTGGTGCCCTTCCACTCCCACGCTACGAAAGCTGCAAAGACCAGAATTGACACGATCAAGAGGATGTATATGTAAGGCGTGTCCCGGCCAACCACAGGTGCTTGGCTAATCACAGTTAGTCCATCAATGCCGAAGGCGTGTGTGGTTGGTTCACTTACTTCCACACGAAGTTGAACAGAATCAGACCTGTTACGCCGAGGAAACCCCCAAGATAGTCAATGTGACCGCCTGGATTCATCGGTTCTGGCTCCCCAGGGACTATCAAGGCGAAGACCAAAAAGACAACGGTCCCGACCATGGCTCTGAATATCTCCGGTTAGCATCATTCTGGTGGTTGTGAAGTCTCGACTACCCACAGAAAGAAATAAAGCCATTTCCAGTCAAGGAGTTGCACAAAGAATCCCGGGAACACGCTCCCTCCTGCAGCTCCAATTGGAGCCATCGCACCAAAGAGCCCCACTGATATGTTTCTTCTTTTGCCCGGTGGGATGAGGATCGTCAAGACGGCTATGGCATTCGGCGTCAACCGCCAATGCCGGCCAGTGCTCGCATTGCGCAGTGTGCCTTGAAGTCTCGGACAAAGCCAGATATCAGGTTGAAGATAACCCACCATGCACCCCCACCCACTACCATGTTCTTGTGCCCATAAACAGCTCCGACAGTGCCGCCTAGCAGGACAAAGGTGCCTTGGGTCAGGCTTTAGTCGCAAGTTAGTTCCGTCAGCAGGATGGAGTCACGCAGTAGAAGGGTCGGATAGTCGAGACTCACGGATACGCTGCTGCGATCCACGCTGATTCCACAGGCGACGCTCCCAGGGACTTACCAATCGACAAAGCCGAAGTGATACCCGCTCCGTACGATATCATCTACGCGGTATAAGCGAAGCAGCGATTCATGGGATTTTGCCGTCATACCTGAATCAACTGGGTTGATATGATAGAGGCCGCTATTATACTGCCCTTGATGCCGCTTATGCTGGGCAGCAAGTCGGGCTTCGTTTCCACGTCGTCGTTCATTGTTTGCGCTTTAAGAGATTGGATGAATACTTTAGGAGTAGTTGACGAGATCAGAGTTTGGAGTTCAATGTCATTGAGCAGGAGATGTGTCGCAAACGAGAGAGAATAGATTCAAAAGGTCCCGCGTCAATTGTACGAAGAGAGGTAAAGTCCAGGTCTTGTAATTCTGACACAATACTTCGTGGGATATGTGTAAATTTCTGGATAAGGCTTTAGAGAATCTCGAATCTTCTCAAGTCAGCTTGAAAAACACTTGTCCACAAATGCCGCCGCTGGCAGGCCCCAACTGTATATATTCTCGGCTCCAATCAGTATATCGGGCCCGGTTACAAATTCGGGCCGTGTTACGTGATGCTACAAGCAATCACCCCGAGCTGGTGCGTGCTTCAGGTAACCTAACAGCCAAGCAACCCAGATGGCTACTTCGGGGCACCAGACTTCATGTTGCGCCGATTGTATTCTCGACCGTTAGTTTCGTTTCTCCATCATATTGGCGTAATGATTCCCTTGCTATACGCGCCTCGTCTAACAAGATACGTTTTATATGCTCGGAGCGTGGAATGAAGCGCGCTTTGAAAGGTTCGGGACGCATATTCTCGCTCCTGGTGTACGCAAAAATATCCAACTTTACTTCGTTGCCCTATTGTACAGTTAGGCAAGACGGGAGCTGGGTAACAGCCAACTAACCTTCTCGTCTAGGCCAGGTTTAATATCAAAGGCCCAGAGAAGACGTGCGATGGTAATGAATAGCCTTGTTCAGCAAGAGGTTGACCGCTACACTGTCATCGTCCCCATCCAAAAGCATTATGTTCTTGCCTATTGGGATACGGTCGCTCTAGTCCATTCAGGAACCTCTCAGGGCAGAGGTGTCGGGTTCGGGGAATTCACGCGGGTTTCGGTGTATGGCCCAGACGTTGCCAGTGATAGATGTGTCCTTGGGAATGAAATAGCCTTTGTACTCGTCATCCTATATAGTACCAGTCAGTCATCGAGAATTGAGATTGGGAGGGCCTGTTCAATCACCTGGACCGGTGCGTGCGGAATACCAACAAGGATTGTAACTGTTCGCCAGCGCAAAACCTCACTCACGAGGGCCTTTACGTACGTATGGAAGAGAGTTCTCGTCTGACCAGCCAGGGCTCCGCTCCTTCCCAACGACACTGTCAATCTCCTCCTGAGCACATCTCTGCACGTCACCAAAGACGCACATGGCCAGGATGAAGCTTAGAATTGAACTGCTTCTGGTGTCGACTCCGCCGCCAATCAGATTGGCTGTCATACCTGCAACTTCTTCAACGCGGAGGCCCATCTGGTCTTGTTCCCTCAGAAGCCGGTTAGCAAAATTCTCTGCGTTGGCTTCAGTAGCTTCCTTAGACAACGCGTGAAGGTATCGTTGGAAACCTTTTGCGCTGTCGAGTATCTTGGAGGGTAGGGGATAGACCCACCGAGGAAGATGAAAGAGTGCGGGAATAGCTTCCATGATGAAAAGACCTGGGATGATATAGTCGACGCCCTCCATGAATCCAAGAGCGGCTTGAGCGATATAGTCGTGCATTCGATCGATACGCCGACCCCAGCCAATTATTGAAACAGTCGAGCACGAATATCGCTCAATGGCCATGACCATATCATTAGGCCTTTCGTAGAGGTCTCGTGCAAGCACTTTCGCTCTGGAAAGAACGATAGTTGCGAACCGCTTGTGATCCTACTGCTGTATGCTATTCGGACTTGTTAGTCAGTTTTAACATTGATAGTATTATGGATAGACTTGCCATAATTCTCCGATGAAGTCGCCAGCGGTCTCCATAAACCAAGTTCACCTGGTTGGATTCGGTCTGATTGAGACAGTCACCCATGACCACCATACGTGCGCGGGGGGAGTAGATGGCCGCCCGCTTGTCGAGCAGATCCGATATCGACCAGATGTCGTTGCACACAATGATTGGCCGTTGGCCGTTCCAGATTGTGGTCATCGGGTTGCCGTAATATTCTGCCCATTTTCCAAAGTGAATCCAAGGCTTGATCTTGGGGATTGCGAAGAAATTGCCCTCCAGTGGCAGGAGGAATGGCCCAGGAGGCATTCGCTGGCGCAAGCGGAGAATGCGCACATAGTCGAACAGCACACATAATACAGGAAACCCGACGATGCAGCCTAGGAAGGCAAGAGGGGCGTGAACGTGCAGCCCAGTATCCTGGTTCTGGCCAGGATCGTTCAGAAATTTTCGTATATCCATGATGCGATACCAGCGGTGCGCACTCTTGAGTTGCGTCTGCTATTGCTGAGCATTATGCTTCTGAGCAGAGGGTGTGGCATTGTCTCGACCCCATCATAGGCTCATCCGCATCGCCCCTTCGGGCCTTGCCCCGCCACATTCGCCTCTACAAATGGGGCCGACATGGATGTAGAAGGCCAGTGGCACAGTCAAATCAAAGTTACGTTTGATGGGTCTTCGAAGACATGGCCCGAGAACTGCCACCAGAAGCAGGATCTGGCATGCTAGAGATGTCCAGGAGATAGAACTTCTCTGTGGGGCCGCCAGGCCTTGCGAGCATCATATACAACAGAATTTTCAAACGGTCCGTGATATCGAGCATTGCGCTCAGGGGAAAAGCTTTTAAAATCCGTCCCTTAGGTCCAAGTGGGTTTCTCCGGCCTCAAGGAGACCATCTTCACTTGTCATCAATCTTATTGGTGTCGGTGTGATTCTCAAGAATGATAACGAGTCTGAATGGTCGCCCATTGGCGGTTACCCTTCCCAACGTCAAAAGCGCGGCCGAATTGATGTAAAAGCGCATGTCCCAAAGCGATCCTTGATGAAAGGGCAATCGTTTAGCTGCTTCAAGATCTTTGGAAGGAAAGCAGGTCACTGATCAACCTACTCTGGCGTTGGCCATACCCAGGCGCACGCCTCAGTTCTGCCAGACCGGGCATTCTTTGAGCACCGACAGTGCTTGACGCTCATCTAGTACCAACCCCCATGCTTTCCATGGTCCAAGGAAGTCAAATGAATCGCGGGGCTCTCCAAAGGCTCGCAAGTGGTGCGGGGCCCCATGGGTTTTTTCCACTGCAGCCAAGCACGGTGGTATTAGTGGTGCTTCTCTTTCCTTCGTCCAATGGCAAGCGCCACAATCCTCGAAAGTGGGAGGACTCGGACATATTTGATGCCCCGGTGACCTGTCTGCCCCGAGAGACTCTATCAGAAGGCGGGGCAGAGCTGGCCAGATGCTGATTCCCCAGGTCCACATAAGCTAGGTACCTACCGTTTATATAGCTCCTCCAGGTAAACACAGCCTGGAACACTCCTCGAGCATCCTTCTCCCGCTCAGCGGCCCCCACAAACGAGATAACGATTCTCATCATGTCTACGACCATGCCCAGCAAGTCTGAAATGACAGAGATTGAACAAGCCGAACACAGAGAGCTTGAATATGGAAACGAACTTGGCAAGCGACATGTACCCCTGGATCTGGATGACCCTCACCGTGCAGCGCTCGAGGACAATCCTGAGCACGCAGAAAAATTGACATGGACGACGCTGCTCGCCGTCATTGTAGAGTTTGACCCCCTTTCACAGTAGTGCCGTCACTGACCATAGATCAAGTCATTATCATTCGGTTACGTCTGTCCCATCTCCTGCGGCTTTGTCCTTGTGACTGGTATCCTCGTACCGCTTGGTCTGGAACTTGGTGACACCGAGAACATTTCCTGGATCGTCGGAGGTTGGTCCATTGCTTCGTCAATCAGTTTCTCTGTCGCCGGATCTCTCTCGGATATTTTCGGAAGAAGATGGACAGTTGTCAGTGGAGAACTACTATCTATCATTGGATCTATTGTGGCCTGTACAGCTCAAACGACACTCACGGTTGCAGCTGGGTCCACCGTCGTTGGCTTCGGTTGTGGGATTGTATTTGTATCCTATGCTGGTATTCAAGAGCTTGTGCCGAACAAATGGCGTGGACTGCTTGGTCTCACGGAATGTGCCATGACTGTGCCTTGGGCCATTGCAGGTGTCTTGATCGCCAATGCCTTGCAATCAAATACCGCGGCCGGCTGGCGATGGTGCTACTATATCGGTATCATCTTTGGCGTCTTGAGCACCGCGGGAACTGTTCTCTTCTACTTCCCACCATCGCGGCCACAGTACGACTATGACAAGACCAGATGGCAGGAGATCAAGGAGATCGACTATCTTGGCTTTCTGCTCTACACAGCTGGCTTGACAATCATGCTCATTGGTCTTACATGGGCCGGCAGTGTTAATCATCCTTGGAAATCTGCGTCGACTATTGGACCCATCGTCGCCGGTGCCTTGACGCTTGTTGCCTGTTTCGTGTACGACTTCACTATACCTAAACGTCCATTCTTTCCACTGGAGTTATTCCGAGAAATCCGTGGCTTCACCGTACTCCTTGTGGTTGTCTTCGTAGCTGGTGAGCCAACTGCCCCATCCAACAAAAAGTTCCATCGCTGACTGTTTAATCTAGGAGTGGTGTTCTACTCCATGGCGGGATTGCTCCCGCAGGGATCGTTATACATGTTCACCTCCGACACTGTCCAAATTGGTATCATCGCCCTACCCAACGGCGTTGCTCAATTCCTTTTCGGAGGTATCGCAACCATTATCATGGGGAAAGTCGGCCATTTGAAGCTCCAGGTCATCTTAATGCTCATAATCCAGACTGCTGCGACCGGCGCCTACGCTGGCGTCATCCCAAGCAATCGGGCGGGTTGGTCGGCCCTTCAATTCTTTGGCCAAGGCGCTTTTGCGCTTATCACTCTCCTATGCTACGTTATCGCTGGTCTCAATGTCCCTCTCCGCCATCTCGGCGTCGCCTCTGGCTTGATCGGAACCTTCCGTAGCGCAGGAGGCAGCGTGGGTAACGCAGTCTTCAACACCATCCTGAATGGCCTTGTTAATGACCAGATACCGGCGCGCCTGGCTCAGATCGTCGAGGAGAACTCTATGCCGGCGGACACTCTGGCCACGCTCATTCCTGCAACCATGCAGAACGCCCTGGGTATTCCAGATGCATTCGCCACGGTGCCGGGAATCACCCCAAAGGTCGAGGCTATGGCCGCTACTGCTTTTAAGGAGGCGTATGCGTTCGCCTTCAGTAGGGTGTTTTACGCAACTATCCCGTTTGGATGCTTGGCGATTATCGCCGCTCTGTTCATTTTGGACCCTTCGAAATACCTTACGAACCACACAGCTGTGAAGATGGAGCGCGAGGGAGTGGCAGGACGAAAGAAAATCGATAATTAGAATGCTGTGTCTAGCAAGATTCAGAGCCATCAGGCATCTTTAGTTGTAATTCATGGTAAGACATACTCTACAGTATAAGGACAGCGAGTAGACTCAAATCCCTCCTGACCTGGACATGGTTCAAATAGGGATCGATTCTCCCGGAATACATCATAACCCTTCAGTTTGCTCCGCCGTGGAGATTTTAGATACCTGTCGAGATAGTGGAGTTGTCGGACCATATCAGATATTATGATTGCAGTGCAAAGGTGCTGAATCAGGATGGCCGGAACGCCAATGTTTGAGTTACGGATCCTGATCGACAACTCAGGCGACATTTGTATCATTGTAGATTCGTTTTTCCGCGTTAAAGGAGGTGGCATAATACTGCTCTGGGCAGTCTCCAACAGAGATACTCTGCTCAATAGAGAGACACAGTCATATTTATGTAGTGAAGTGATTAAATTCCGAGGGTATAGACCTGGATATATGCTGTACTAAAGAGCCTCTCTCGATTCAACCTTCCTTTTAGTTAATTTGGGGTCTCCTTTTTATCATCCTTTTTATCATCCCAACCCGGGGCCGAGTTTTGTTTTAGGTGTTCACAATGGAAGACGGCGTCTACAGACCCGCACAGGTCGGGGGATACTGCAAAGTCTGCTTGATATCCTCTAGTAGTTTGTTGCCATCAACCTCGAAGACGTAATTAACTTTCTGTAGCGTCTGGGCCGCTGGCGTCAAGGCCTCCTGGTACGCGTGGATATTTCCGTAGTTCGGGCTGGATGCTGCGGTATCGACATCGAGGTAGACTGTTTGCGTGTGAATTCTGTTAGTCACATGCACACACACAGATGAAGCAAAGGATTTGATTCTTTCCCGCTTTCCAAGTTTCTCTTGATCTCTTCACCCCCAGAGGACCGAAAGAGTTGGGCGGGAGGAGCTCAAAATACTTACATTGGGTAGAGTTCAAGACATTAGCTGGGTCCAGGACGGAAAACATGGCGGTCTCATCCCAAAAGGGGAAAATGGTGCCGTAGTAGTTGTAGGCCAGTTCCGTGTACGCGTTTTTGACCTGGTACACTTCATCCCAGTAGGCCTGGGTTGGGAAGACTTGATTGGCAGCGTTTCCGACGATAGCTGCGAAAACAAAAGGTTAACATTTTACCTTCGAATAACGATTTATCGGACATTTATTTGACTTACTGATGTTAGGAAAGTCAGCCGTCAATGCAATTTTGGAGGCTTCCGGGTCAATCATGAGGTTGATCTATCAGTACACGCAGTCAGTTCAGTGGTCTTGTGGCATGCAGAAGAAAAAGAAGATAAGAACACTTACATCGGAGTTGTCGTCAGCTTCCCCGACACTGCCAACGACCTGGAGCAGGTTCACGTCGATGTAGCCTCCCATGATGACGAGGCCCTTAGTTTTTGAGGCAAAAGTCGGGTCCATGCGCACGGCGAGCGCAATGTTGGTCAGGGCACCACCGGAGTAGATCACAATCTCGCCAGGGTACTTGTTGACTTGCTCGACGAGCCAGATTGCGGCCGGGCCACTTGCCAGCGTGGTGTTGGGGTAGCCCTCGGTGAAGGCTGCCTTGGAAATACGATTCGGGTCGCCGGAAGTCGGGTCGCTCCCTGCCGCCTCGGCCGTCAGGTTCTCTGGCGCGAAGGCGCCCTGCCAGGGGAGCACTCCGTGCACCTCCTCCCAGGCCTGAAACAGTTGTGGGGTATTGAGAAGTGGGTAGTCAGCGCCGCGATAGACGGGAATGCACGACGACAGGTTGCCTCTCTCAAGGGTGGCCAGTCCGTGGAGGGACGTCTGCAGCGCCCACGAGTTGGCCGTGTCGCCGATCAGACCTAGCACGTCCCAGCCGGCGTTCAGGGCCAGTAGGTAAGGGATGAAGCCGGCGGGACTCCAGTCGTTGTCGAGGATGACCTTGGTGCCCGATACGGCAGCGGCGCTGGCCACCGCCAAGAGGGCAGAAGAAGAAACTCTCATCTTTTTTTTGTTTGGTGCTTCGTACCTTGTGGAATCGGCAGAGAGGTTGGCTGACGGCGTGCAGACGCAGAGATGAGAATGTGCAACCGTGGATCGTACTTCACAGAGGGCAGCGCTGCCAGAATCAGTCCCTTGTCGACCTTCTTATACACCGCGCAGTCTTCTGGTCCCCATTCTTGCGTCTCTGGGTAGTTACTCCATCGGCCGCCTGCAATTGCCGTCGGGACCATGGATCCAGACTATCGAACGGCGGTCTAAGGCAAATGAAAGAGATATGCATGGTCTGCAGCCGAATCGAGGATCCATGCGGACTAATCGGTGAATGTCATGGTCCCGGTATTATGGTGCACGGTTATGCACACGATGCAAAGCAGACAGAGAGATGTTCGAACGACTCTCCAGATCCGGGATGGTGGACGGAAGATGGAAGATGGAGACGGTGGGGCGATAAGAAAAGCATTCCAGCCACTTTATTATGTTGCGATTCTGTTTGCTCATTCTCGTCGAGAGGCTCTGTGTCTCTTTCCACCCCCGTGACTGGGATTTTGTGACAAGACTACGAGCTACTGTGCTAAGAGAGGTCGCCACGCCGCTCGGGGTCGCTGTCATGGCCCCCATTTTGCCCAATGGCGGAGCTTCACCAGGGTAGCCGTGCTCGTACCTTGCAGCTGAAGCTTGGCCCCGCGTCAATGTCAACCTCACATCTGGTATCATCTATGTGGCTTCAAGGCAGGAATACCTGACCCAAAGATGCACACGGCTCAACGGTCCTCCCCAAGAGACACCGTATCGTCCCTCTGCGGGTTTCTTGCAGTCTGATCTGGCGCACTCCTGTAGCCACAAGGGACGCTCTACGGAGCTCGGCGCCTGCCGGCTTCTTATCACAATCGCTTCCGAAGTTTCTTCCCGCCGGGGACCACAGCGGTTCTCCCGGAAGACACGTTCTGATAAGACTACTGCGACTTCGTCCTAGTCATGCTGAAATCGATATCAGATAATGCCTTAAAGAAGCTAGTTCCCAATATCAAAGCTAAGGACGAATAGTCAATGGGCTATCGGTGAACCTTGCCACGTGCACATCTCGGTCCAGATCTCGGTCAAGAGCACAATACGCACGTTACGTGAAGACCACTAAAGTCGGCACAAATATGCTTCCACAAGATCGGGGCGCTTACGACTCCCAATCCGATTTACAGCTCTAGCCCAGCGACATAGAAGCTTCGACGCCGTCATTTTTGAATCGCCCGCTCTGGCACTGACGCCGTGACGGAAGCACGAAGTTCAAGTTCATACTAGGGAGAAGTCGGTTAGCTTACCATTCGCTAGCTTTGCATTACGGAGGATGATGAGAAGACTGGGTACCAATGCTTGCGGCGTGGGGCGTTCAGCCCTTCAACCCAAAAGAAGCATAAGCCAAAACTCAATGATATAAGCTAGGACTTCTAAGATACATATTTCCCGATGTTGGACAGACTCGTCGGCTTGACAGTCTGTACACTACCGGGAAGTCCACCGGTCGTTGCGGAGGGGTCGAGATTCGCCCCAGAAAGTACTACCAACCACCCTTCTCACCACCATTCACGGCTGGCTGATGAATACCTTCGATTTCTCTCAAGTGAATCTTGGATTCTTGCCCTGCACCACCGTCATATTCCATCCTGTCGATTTCATTCTCAAACTGGGCCATTCGCTTAGCAAACTCCTTCTCTTCGTTCCAAGTGAAGATACTCTTCGACGCAAATAGAAAGTCGATTTGCTCCAGCGTGCGACCAGCTGTCTCCGGAAAGAAGCAATAAATCACGGGTATGTAACAGAGCATGGCGGCGCCGAAGACGTAGAAAGTTTTCTCGCCAATGCCGTCGAACATGACAGGAACCAGGAGACTACCACCACCAAAGCCGACAGCCCAGCCTGCAACACCAAAGGCGTTTCCCTTTGCGCGGAGCCAGGTGGGAAAGATCTCAGTCGGGTAGATGAAGGGGATCATCAACCAGGAACTTGAAAAGACGAGAACGTAAACGAAGACCATGGACGCTGCTGCTGTGCCGTACTGTTGGGCTTGATTGGGGTGATCGATTGCGCCGCGGTACAGAGCCCCGATGACGAACAAAATGATACTGAGGACCACCGCGCCCCAGTACAGGGTACGTCGACGGCCTACACGATCGAGGGTGAAGGCTGCAATTCCGGTACCTAGGATTCCCACCATCATGCACAACGCACTGAGCCAGCCAATCTTCACACCATCGAAGCCTGCAGTCTTGTAGATTGTGCCAGAGTAAATGACGACTGCGGCGATACCGGTTCCATATTGCATCAAAACCTGAAGCCAGAAAGCGAGCTGGATACGACGGCCGAGATGTATGTCGCCAGATCCAATACCGAACAGCATCTTGAAATAGTTGGTAGACTGAGACTCTTCTTCCATGTGAACAACGGCTACAATCTCTTTGATCTCCCGCTGGACATCGGGATGTTCTGCATCGCCATTTCCACGAAGACGAGTGATAATTTCGAACGCCTCGTCTGTGCGGCCAGCCTTGACAAGCCATCGAGGTGATTCTGGAATGAGAAAGGTAAAGTAGCCCAAGAAGAAAAGTGGCAGCGCCTGACATGCGAAGCAGAACCGCCATCGGAAAGCACCGCCACCAAACTCCGTAAAGGAGGTGGCAAATCCAACCCAAGAAGACAGGGCGATGCCGGAGAAGTTTGCCAAAAAGGTAAGTGCAATCATCTTGCCTCTGTGCGCCGCGGGAGCCAGCTCTGCGGTCCAGGCGGGTGCAATGACGATAATAAAAGCGACGCCGACTCCAGCCACAATACGAGCAACGAGCATATGGGCAAGGTTCACTGTGGATGCCTGCAGTATGACGCCTGCAAAACACCAGAAACATGCCATCCAGATTCCTTTAATCCTGCCATATCTGTCGCTGAATTGACCCGCCCAGAAAGCTCCGAGAAGAGACCCAAAGTAGTACATTGCTACTATGCCGCCTTGAAGCGACGGTTTTGTGATGTTGCCATCCTTGTCAGCAAAGCCCATACGGTGCTATATTGAAGGCATCAGCAAACCGATCTGAGTATCTTGAAGGGCACACGGAACAACATACTCCGAATTCGGGTGCGTTTTGAACAGCACCCATCACGCCCTGGCTCATGCCTTCATAAGATATGGCAATAGCTGAGACGGCTGTGATGAGCTGCAGGAGCTTGGGTCCAGGGACCGTCCTCCAATAGTCGCGATTGATGAGCATCTTTGCTGTCAAATACCACAGGTGCAGGTGAACAGATATGATACAAAGGTAGGTGATCAGATATTAGGGGAGACAACCCAGATTTATATAGCGTAGAGCCCACCCTGGAGATCTCGTGGAGGTCCAGTACGGGGCCCCAAATATCGCGTGCTGGTGGGTGCCACACGCAGTGACCGTGTGTCATGGCTTCTTTTGCCTCCGAAAAGATTTTTGCTCCTCCTGAGTCCGACTGTCACTGTCTCGGCTCTGGAAAACTCATACAGTAACTCGTCACGAGTTAAGCCAAGACGTCCCCTTTCAGCCTTTCTCCAGTTTAGGCTAAATCTATATCCACCTGTTCAGCAATAATCACCTTCTCGGCACCCTTCTGGGTGTGGACAGGTGGCAGACAAAGGGTCGCAGTTTACGGCTAGAGAGTTCCCCGGTCTCCAGACGAAAATTTCCCCCCGCGTTTCTCTCCCGATGGATGCACTGTAAGTTCGGATTCGAGACGAGTTACGAATATGAGTCTAGACGCATAGATAACGCGATGCCCTTGCCGCGACTGGATCTGAGATGTCTGGGCGCGTACTAGGATACCCAGAACTCACAAGACACCTAGCAAGGCGATATATACTCTGTTTGCAGTTCCCAGTCCATCTCTAAACCATTGTCAGTTGGCACACTGCTTCGTTATTCAAACCAAGCGTCAAAAGTCCACAGTCATGCCTTCAGCTACAGCTTCGGTACACCCAACAACTTCAGTATGGACGTCAGACGAAGGCTCCATGGCTCAATCTACGGCTGCAACACGATGGCCCAAAATAGTTCAGGACATGATTGAGGACACCGGTGTGTCCTCTCGACTATCTCAGTCGCCAGAAGCCAAGGCCGAGAGCCTGGCTATTCAGATCGCTCTCAAAGACATGAAGAATGAAATCATTCAGAACAAACCTCTACGGTACGGAAACCAGCTTCCAAAACTCTTCCAAGGTCTGCTGGAAGATTTACTAAAATTCCAACAGTTCGCTCAAGAGCGACGGCAAGTCAGATATCAGCAAGTACAACACCGAAATCGAGCGAGCAGGCACATGGACGTGGCTTTCCTCTCCGTGGCTCTTCAGCGAATGCTACCTCTATCGGTAAGTATCCCAAAACCATCCGACCAGATCAGTGCTGATATGATGCAGACGAGTGCAAACCATCTTCTCCACGTCACAGCATTGGAAGAATTATGACGTGTTCAAGCGACAAAAAGACTCGACGTTTGCCAAGTCGAGGAGGGCAGTTGAAGAACTGGCCAGTCGATACATGGAAACTGTCGAAAGGTCAAAGGGCCGCTCCTCAAACGACGACTCTGACGAAGAAATCCAAAAGCTATTGTTCATTGAGATGACGGAGGTCGCTTTGTGGGGTAATGCAACAGATCTATCTCTGCTCAGCCACCTTAGCATAGAAGATCTCCAGAACCTCCAGGGTCGCGAGGCCATTGCAAAGAGTCAACGCAATATCGTCGACAATGACACTGATGCACTGTACTCGTATTTGAAGTCCGGTGCACGGACAGGAGGTCGAAGAGTCGACATTGTACTTGACAACGCCGGTTTTGAGTTCTTCACCGACGTTGTGTACGCCGCCTATCTCCTTGATGCAGGATTTGCCTCTTCCATCACGTTCCACGTCAAAGACTTCCCGTGGTTCGTCAGTGATGTCGTGATGAGCGACGTGCAGGCATTGTTCGAGAACCTCATATCACCAGAGATATTCCCAGACCGCCGATATCTGGATGAATTGGTGCTGAAACTTGACGAAATGTTCGAATCGGACTCCGTGACTGTTAGGTCCCACCCATTCTGGACCACCGCAATGTCATTCCATGATATGCCTCAAGAAGCACCCGACCTACTTCAAGAACTGAAGGACAGTTTTCTGGTGATATTCAAGGGCGACTTGAACTACCGGAAGCTCACCAAGGATGGCCTGTGGCCTTATACCACGCCTTTCAGAACGGCCATTGGCCCGTTGGGTAAAAGTGGGATACCTATCCTTGCCCTCCGAACCAACAAGTCAGACACGTGTGTCGGTGTCGAGTCGGAGCAACTGGTAGAGAGACTAGAAGTAGAGGCTCCAGGAAGTGCTTGGGTTCGAAACGGCAAGTATGCGGTGGTTTCCTTTTACGACGGTCGGTCATCGTAGAAAGGGTTTCCGAGGATCAATCAGTCGAACCAGGGCACTCGCAAAGCCATGTTACACCTCAAGAGCTGGCCCATTCCTCTTTCAAGGAATTTATGATCCAGGTTGTCGGCCACGCATGCTTCTTTTCCATGTCCAGCAACATTTGTAGGACTTCTTGTCGCTCGGCGGTGTCTGTCATCAACGGAGCCCCTTGGATATGTTAGAAAGAGACTTTGTCATTCAAGGGTAAAGGTATAGTACAGATGAAGGTGCTATGACATAGCGTAATCAACGAAGGAACTGTCGCTTGCGAGCATTTGCAAGCGCCGCATATGGCTCTAACATGCATCATTACTTGCGCCTAGTTTGCAAATGAGTTAATATCTCGAAATTGTCGGGATAGATCTACTTACATCTGCGTCTTTGAGCTCTCGTTGCACTTTCCTAATTGCAAATCGTGGAAAAGGTTTGTAAATCAACAGAAGCATTGACGCAAGGTGGTAGAATCCATAGGCCATTACTACCAAGTTAAGTTTTGAACCGTTCTTACGGGCTGAAGTGGATTGCTTACCATGCCAGTCGGCCGTGAACAATATTATGGGGAAAGGATGGTCATCGCTAGATCCGCTATCGCTGTACCAAATGGGTTCGAAACTTGATGGTTTGCCTTCCATCCAGTCCGCGAGAGCCTGTGAGAGTTCATTCCATTTTTCCAGCCTGGCACCCGGTTCTGGAAATGAATTGCTGAAGCAGAAATGTATGATTGTGGCACATATCCAGGTCACATGGTTGGCCCATGCAGTCTCAGACCTGAGTTCGTGGTCGGGACTGCCAAATGCAGGCTTCGGTAGCAGAACCAGACCTGTGTCAATGTTTGGCGGTTGCTGATTCACGCACGCATTGTAGAGGCACTGCCGTGCGTAGACCCAAAAAGCCGCCTGTCGGAGTGTTGGTGCTGATAAGTCAATTTCTCGGCCCTGTGAAGCTTTCAGCAAAGCTGTACAGCCCGCCAGATGCCGTTCATGATCACTACCAGTAACCATTACTGTTGAAGACTATCAGTGAGGATACAGAATCAAGAGGGGCCAAATGTCACCGTTGAGCTGTTCAAAAACACGCAGAACAACAATCGTACAGAGAAGCACATCGTCATACGCGATATGCTCCGAACTGAGCAGCGGAATAAGCAATTCCACGCACTTTTCATGAGCGGACTCAGCCGTTTCAGCATCTTTGACATGTGTGGCCGCATACGAAACAACTGCGTAGAGTAAAATAGGGTAAGTTTTGACCAGTCTGGGGATCTTTAACGTGAACTGCCTCGATGCGTCTGTACAGTCCAGCCACCGTCCAAGATGCTGACTAAAATGATGTACGAGCTCAGCCTCGCGATATGTCAGTCTCAAGGGCGAGGTTTCAGAGGGAGATGGTATTGTCTGAACGCTAGGCGACACATGTTGCAGTAGCTGAGATATTGAGTACCCACACGCTCCGTATTGCCGGGACGGCGTTTCCAAAGGCGAACCGATTAAAGGGACATCGGCTGAAGGGGTTCTATAGGGCCCAGCTGTAAACGGTGTCATACTCGAGACTAGCGGGGACGTATTCGGGCCCTGTCCACTACGGTAGGACGTGTAGTCAGGATCCTGTGGTGGTTCATCTTGCGCATTAGCAACAAGGAATTGCTGGGGTAGTGATATATTCTGCTGGTTGGATGATTCATCGATGCTCTCAGCGGTTGAAATGCGTAAGAAGCTACCAGAGTCATCAAACTGATACGTCCTGAACTCAAGTCCAGGTGCTTCTTCTTGTAGGCAAACTCGGTCACGTTTCTGACACTACGTGTGCCCGCCAAAGAGTCAGAATAAGGAGATAAAGAGCAACGATCACGGCGAGACCTACCTGCCCGCATTTAGGTCTGACCTCGTCGCCTTGACAATCTCAGTACTCTATCTCGTGAATATTGGCCATGTGACGTACATTTTACGTGCCTTTTCCGACATGTCAAACTAGCAACGGAATCTGAAGTCAGCCGAACCGGACAAAGGGCTCGGGCAAGGACTCATGTCACTTACCATCCCCTATTTGATCGCTGCTTGCCCATGAGACCGGCCGCGTGGAAGACTGGCCGTTGTCGAACTCGAGACGAGGTTGGAGGTTAAGCGAAGAGACTCTCTGGAGAACATGGAGAAGAAAGACGAGGCAGATGGAATTTGTGGAGAGAAGGAAAGGTATGTGCGTGGCAATCTTGGTACTCAATCTAGGCTAGGGAGGATCCACTATGGAGCTTCATATCCAATACTCGTACTATGATTCAAGGAAAGGGCATTCCTGTGAAAAACGTGCTGTCTAGGAGAGATATCGAGTCGCTTCTACTCGTAGTCTTCCTCAGTAAGACAAACCTTGAAACACCGGATGTGCCACCCGGTGGCGACAAGAGCGAGGACGCGTGCAATACTGCAGAAACCGACGCCCGGGACGATGCCGCTTGATGTACAGAGCTTAGCCCAAAGAAGAAATTCGTGTCGAGGTTTGTCTCGCGAACGTCGCAACCTCCATGGGGAGTCCTTCCTCCCACTTTGGAGCCAGCTCCACGACCCCAGGGAGCAAAGGACTATCATGCGGCCAGTTACACTCCGCTCTCTGGGGCGCAATACTAATACTACGAGAATCCTTTATAGATCTGGTGTGCACAACACAACCTCGAGATACTCTCCACCTGCCGATTCTCTAATTCCAATTACATCTCTTTTTTTAAAGACAACAATATGGCGATCAGTGAAGACTTCAACGGCGTCAATGGTGCTGCAACTAATGGCCATGCCACAATGCTATACACCACAAATGGGCTTAATGGACACGTGAACGGCACGAGCAAGAGGGAACTGGACGGCTCTTTGGACATTAAAGTACTTGGTATGAACAGTGGCACTGCAATGGACGGTATAGATTGTGCCTTAGTACACTATCGACAAGCCTCACCCGCCGCACCGTTACGGATGGAGATTCTACAGGTATGCAATCATCTCCCCGTCACACATGTAGATGCTTACAATGTCGGGTAGTACGATGAGTTACCTGTTCCTCAGTGGATCAAGAAACCAGTCCTCACGATGCTCCGGGAAACGAAGACAACACCTTCTCGAATGTCTCAGCTCAATGTCCAACTTGGTATCATGTTCGGGGACGCTGTAAAGACATTCTGCACAAAGCACGATATCCCGATCGAGAGTATAGATCTGATCGGCTCGCATGGGCAAACAATCTGGCTGCTGTCCATGCCCAAAGATGGTGAGACTCGATCTGCTTTTTGCCTGGGCGAAGGCACAGTGATCAGCGGGATTACCGGAATCACGACAGTCACGGATTTCCGCATGGCTGAACAAGCTGTTGGTCGTCAAGGAGCCCCTCTTGTCGCTCTCATCGATGGACTCCTCTTGCACCACCCCACCAAGTGGCGGATTTGCCAGAACATCGGTGGTATCGCCAACCTGTGTGTGATCCCGCCAGACAGCAAAGGCGGAGTTGATGCAATGGTGGATTGGGACTGCGGCCCAGGTAACATGTGGATTGACGCTGCTATGCGTTATTTTACCAAGGGAGCTCAGGAATACGACAGAGATGGTGAGTGGGGTGCCCAAGGAACCGTTAATCAAGCCATCGTCGATCGATTTCTTGAGAGCGATCCATACTGCAACCACACACCACCCAAAACAACTGGCCGCGAAACATTCGGCGACAACGAAGGCCTGGCCATAGTTGAGGAGTGTCTGTCATTAGGCATGAGCAAGTATGATACGGTCGCAACCATCACCCGCATCACGGCCGCGAATATTGTGAAACAGTACCGGCAGTTCTTCCCCAGGTTCAATATTAACATCGACGACATCGCAGAGGTTTACATGTGCGGTGGAGGTGCTAGGAACCCCAACATCATCAAGCATCTCCGCGAATCTTTGCCAAACACCAGAATCTGTAAGCTGGACGAGACAGGTGTCCCATCTGATGCCAAGGAGGCTGTCAGCTTTGCACAACAAGCACTGGAGGCTATCCTTGGCCGCGCTGCGCTCGTCCCGGTCAACAGTGATTCGTTGACTCCAAACACTATCTCTGGGAAGATTGCCCCTGGCCTGAGGTGGCGAGAGATAATGAGCATGGCGCTAGAGTTCGGCAAGGGGGAATCCAGCCTGCCGACCGTCAAGGAGATGATTGTGGAGCGGCCTTATACTGATTGGAAGTCTTGAAGCATAGGAGTTGAGATGCCTTGATGATATGACGCTGTAGACCAAAGCTAGAGCAGGAACCTATTTGAAGCATGAGATAAGGAAGTCAATTGTAGTCAACACAATCGTGAACTGTGCGAGCATCGGTACCCGGTATCCAGGTATGCTCACGGTGACCTTCGGAGACGTTGTTCTGTGTAACTGGGATCAACAGTAATACGTTTCCCTGATTGGGAATCGAAGGTAGAAGCTCCCTTCTGCTTGTTCTGCCTTCCCAATTGAGTTCAAAGAATAACCGAAATTCTCTCTTTACGTCAACTGGGTGGCCTCTCGCAAATTGTTGCTCAAAGCTTGCTTCACGCTCCGCCCACCCGATCAGGTAAGCTATTAACATCAAAAGAAATACCATCACTCCGCCAGCCCACCAGTCTATCAGGTCGTACTTGTACCATTCGGCATCCAAGCAGGCTGGTTTCCTCTGGGTTTAAAAGCTTTGAAAGCTCCAACAGCACCAGATGTTGGTCAAGGGTCGTAGCCAATGCTAGATCATTTCCTTACCCTTGAGTTTGCCTGGAGTCATGCTGAGGTTCGACATGCATCAATATAAGGCGGCATCAAAAACGGAGTTCTAGGACTGGCTAGTGGAAGATTTCACGAGTCCCGGTCAACTGGTGATGAGAGTAAGGAAGCGATGATGGCTCTGGTTGTTGGACTCATATTTATCCCTTCGCGAGACTTGCCCTGTTTGTCGCCTTGATAGATGACTAAGTGGGTCACGTGCAATGCGTCATTGCAGCGCATACGCGTATGGATTATTGATGATTTCAAAAGAGCCGTCAACACCTACCAATGTCTCACTGGTCTTGATCTTCGCTGGCAAGTCATGTCGCTGCGCTAGATGCAACAGTGCGAACAGTCCCTTCGCTGCGGCGGGCACAATCGGCATTTGACCTCGCAGCCAGGAGGCCCTTGTGTGATCACCCGATCCTTCATCTCCTCAACTTTTGCGACGAATGTATCCAGAGCCAATGGCCATGACACGCATACCGTCTCTTAGCTATGGGCATCCGAATAACGAGCTGGAATGTCAATGGCATTCGTAACCCTTTCGCGTACCAGCCATGGCGCGACAAACGAACTTTCGAGGCCATGTTCGACATTCTAGAGGCCGATATCGTGGTGTTCCAAGAGACCAAGATCCAAAGAAAGGACTTGCGGGACGACATGGTCTTGGTACCGGGTTGGGACAATTACTGGAGTCTCCCTAAGCACAAGAAAGGTACCAGTGAGATCTTCTTGTAGGTGAGATGTATCTAACCGCGCCAGGATACTCCGGAGTCGTGGTTTACACTCGCAACGCGACCTGTGCACCGATCAGAGCCGAAGAAGGCATCACCGGTATTCTAACTCGTCCCAATTCCGCCACCAGTTTCCGAGACCTGCCACCGGAAGAGCAAATTGGAGGGTATCCAAATGCCGAACAGTTGGCGGAGGTGGAATTTGACCTCGCCACACTCGATTCCGAGGGTCGATGTGTCATTCTCGAATTTCCTGCGTTTGTCCTCATTGGAACTTACTGTCCTGCCGAACGAGACGAAACCCGAACGCACTTCCGGACGAGCTTTCTGCATGTCCTGGATGCGAGAATACGAAATCTAGTAAGGATGGGCAAGAGAGTGGTGTGGACCGGCGACCTCAACATCTCAAGAGAGGAGATAGACACCGCGGCGGCGGAAGAAAGCATGAGAAAGAACGGTGTCGATGCTGTGGAGTGGATATCTACACCAGCAAGGAGAATGCTCAATCAGCTGCTGGTGGGTGGCAAGGTTCACGGTGCAAGGGACGAAGGACGGGAGACCCCGATCTTATGGGACCTTTGTCGTGCCTTCAACGAAGGGCGTAGAGGCATGTACACATGTTGGGAGACCAAGGTCAATGCTCGACCGGGAAACTACGGCGCGAGGATTGACTATGTCATCTGCAGCCACGATATGAAAGACTGGTTCTACGATGCCAATATTCAAGAAGGCCTCATGGGTTCCGACCATTGCCCCGTGTTTGCTGTCCTCAGTGACAGTATCATTGTTGATGGAGACACGCGTCACATCCTGGATATGCTTAACCCCCCCGGTATGTTCCAGAATGGGATCCGCAAGCTGGAGTGGTCCAACAAGAACTTACTGCCTATGTCTGGCAAGCTGATCCAGGAATTTGACAAGCGACGGAGCATTCGGGATATGTTTACCAAGAAGCCCTCGTTACCGAAAGCTGAGAGCACTGCAACGGATATCAATGACAGTTCTTCGCAACCCCCGCCACCTCCTCTCCTAACTGCGACTGTCGAATTTACTTCGAAGGACGACGCTGGCTGGTCATCAAGCACTTCGAATGCTACCGCCGCCCCCATACCGGCCAACGGGAAGCGCTCCGCGAAATCTGATACGCTCCCAGCAGCCAAGAAAAGCAGATCGCAGTCTACTCAGACTAGCACTGGGAAAGGACAACAGAGTCTGCGAGGATTCTTTGCTACCAGGGGCCCGGCCCCGGCGAGTGCAGTGGATGACTTGGCCGCGACTGACCCAGAACTTTCCGAAGACGCAATATCGACCGAAAATTCTGCACCTGGCGTGACCGTGATCTCGCCCTCAAGAACGATTGCCTCCATTGAAGACGAAGCTGCCAACGTTGCCTCCAAGCAGTCGTGGGGTAAACTATTTTCGAAGCCGATTGCGCCAAAGTGCGAGCACGGCGAGCCTTGCAAAACAATGCTTACAAAAAAACCGGGAGTGAACTGCGGCCGCTCATTCTGGATGTGCAATCGGCCACTCGGTCCAAGTGGAAAACAGGAGAGAGGAACTCAATGGAGATGCAATACATTCATCTGGGCCAGTGATTGGGACGCGCGCGAGCCGGGCTGAAAGAGACATCATGTGCTTGGATTGCAACATCCGGGCTTTGAAACCCACCAAACGCCGACAAGAGCGTCGTGGAGGGCGAGTACGCCCACGGTCACTCAATGTAAGATCCACGGGGAAAGCCAACAAGATGGTCGCGCGTTGTCGGTCTGGAACGAGTCTAAACTTCATGGAGTAGCCGAGTACCACGTCGTGCGTGACACAAGCATGCGTCTTTCCTCCGAGACTCTCTCCATCTCACAGGATGTATAGTCGATTCTGCTGCTTCTTTGGTGTGCGGCGATTCGTCTCGAACATCTTCTCAATTTTGTGATGACCAATTCATGCTATCCTTGTGGATCTGCGTCACCGTGAATTCCTGATTCTAATCATGTTACGAGACGTGACCCCGGATTTCTTGATGGGGTGTGCTCCCTAGCCCCCATTCCTGAACCTCGTACAGAGTAATGCCTCGCGGGTGTCATGTCGTCAGCTGTTTGTGTGGAACACCGTCAAGATTACCTCGGGTTGGACCTAGCAAGATTAGGCAAGCCTGCCCTTTTAGGCTAGAGCTTGTGGGACCCGCGGTTCTCGCAAGCATTTTGCCTACGGGTTTCACATAATGCATTGTCTCTTCTAGGGATACATACTGTATCTAGTAATGGACACAGCCCCCTTGATATTGGGGTCCTAGAATGCAGTGGACTCACGATGGGCCCGTCACGTTGAGCTCTTGCTGATTTCTAATAGCTATGGGGTCTGTTGGGTCAGAGACGCAGCGTCAGAACAATCGTGAGAGCAGACAGTTGTTTGTTCAGTGGTATATATAACTGAAGAGGCAAATGCCTACCTGGCTAGCTAATTCGCTTGCTACATCAAGTCGTCCTCTCTCCTCTTCCAAACACCCAAAGAAAAGCATTTCTTCCAGCGACCCAGCTCACTCAGAATGGCACCAATCAGTGTTGGCATTCTTGTCTACGACTATCAAGCCATCGACGCCGTCGGTCCAACCGACTTGCTGAACTCTTCGTCCAAGCTTCTTGCAAATATCCTCCGCAAATTCATTCCGGTGGAAGAAGAAGTACTTGAACGAGCGCCGGACTTCACCTTTCACCACATTGGACTGACACGCGAGCCCGTCCAGCTCCTGACCAGCAACATCTTTATTGTCCCCACCACGACAGTCGACGAATGCCCTGACATCGACCTGCTTCTTATTCCTGGACCTGCCCCGGTCGAGTTTCAACTCTCGGAGAAATACGCGGCCTTCATCCGTCGCCACGTTGCCGAGGGCAAACTCACCTTCTCGACTTGCACGGGTGCAGCGGTCCTTGCCGCAGCCGGTGTTCTCGACGGCAAGGCAGCAACCATCAACAACGTCGAGTACGCTTGGGTTGCAAAGAAATACCCACAGGTCAAGTGGACGAAAGAACGAAAATGGATCGTGGACGGGAACCTCTGGACCGCAAGTGGAGCTGTGGCTGGCATGGACATGTTCGCTCACTGGTTGAAGGAGAATTTCGGTTTGGCTGTGCTCACACTCGGTGCCTTGGGCTTGGATTATGAGCCTCGCGACGACAGCGGCTTGTTTACGGTCTTGCCCAAGAGATATGGTGACGATGGCGAGCAAATTGCCACCCATCACGTTCCAGTATATAATTGAGGCGTGGCTAGGACTAAAGATCGCCGCTCAAGTCAAAGTTAGATATCGATGATCAAATCAGTCTTTTCCACTTCAAAGCCCCTTCTGGGGCTGTCAATGTGTCAGGATCTTCACTGAGAATGGCCCTACAATTTTCTGTCAAAGTTGATACAATGTAGTCAATTGAACAGTCCTCTGTAATAACGAATCATCGTTTGAAGAGCGAAGAAGTCGTCTCTACCTAAATCGGGATGGGAGGGCTTGTTGTAAGCTCCCGCTCTGTTCGGAAGTGCACTTCCTGCTATGCTAGGTTGTAGATTTCCTTGCCTCGTCCTTTGCTCACGGATTCCCTAGATATATCACTCACCCCGGGCGAGGGATCTGGAGTCTCGCGGCACAACGTCAATATCCATGTACTAACGAAGACGAAGAGTTTTAGAGCATGCAAGTCACGAATCTTGTTTTGAGGCAACACGGAGGAATAGGCGATGGTTTGAGGGTTACATATGATGAGTTGACAAGTCAGACCTACATAACTAGGTCGATTTCTATCTGTTATATAGGCAAAAGGAGTAAAAATGTCACTCCCAATTGGGTCCTGTCTCACCACTGCATCGGGAAGTGCAAGGAGTTCATCGGAACTGCCGTCTGGGTGACAGAAAGAGGTGTGACGGTACCGCAGTCCAGGAGAAGGCACAAATGATGTAGTCAAAATGAGTAGTAAAGGGAAGGAGTGACTGAAGTCAGCAAAAGGTCTAGACACCGTGGCGGTGACGAGGGTTGCAACTGGTACAGGTTAGCGCTTGTGAAGACATGGTTGACGGGGTATCTTGCACCTCAGTCTGTCAAACACTCATGTTCTTCCAGATCTTTGACGTAAGACATGCATCTCGGGCTTCGAGTGCGTGGAATTGACCTCTGCAATGTCATGTGTCATCATGAGCATTACCACCGAAGAACATTCTTCATAATTGCTTTTCGGATGATGGTGCCTGGTGTAACTTGAAACCCTCTTGTCCTTCAGACTGGATATCATCGCGCAGGACCATTGCCGGGATCTCGTAATCTCCCATATTCTGGGGCCGGAAAGGGATTGGATCCGTGGCACTGAGAGTGCGAATTCTCTCGCGGAGACGGTCTGCGGTTGCATCAAATGCAGCCTTGTCGTAGCGGTCAACACGGAAGGCCACAAAGGCCGGCAACACGGTGAACCCCGGGTAGTACAGAATGCCGTGATTTATCGGCCATAGGAGATCGTCAATGGGTCCGTTGATGCCACGTGCCGAGTAATGCGACTCCCATCCACCTGCGGTGACGACCAACATGGCCCTTTTGCCAGCAAACACGCCCTCGCCATATCTGTCTCCATAGCGCTTGTCGCTGTGCTCGCCTACGCCGTAGGCAAAGCCGCAGGACCAGACGCGGTCCACGTAGCCCTTCAGAATGGCAGGCATCGAGAACCACCAGAGGGGGAATTGCAAGATGACAGTGTCGGCCCAGAGAAGCTTCTTCTGCTCGGCCATCACATCCTCGGTCAGATGAGCTGCGGTGTATGCTAGCTGTGAGGCCTTTGCGATTGCTAAGGGCTTGTCTTTAGGGAATGTCGGAAAATCCGCTCGATCAATGTTCGACTTCCAGCCCATGGCGTACAAGTCTGACACCTGGACTTCGTGCCCTCCAGTCTGTAGCTCCTCGGCGATGACTTTACTTAGTGCCACATTGAGCGACTGTGGCTCAGGATGCGCCAGGACCACGAGGACTCGCATGGCGGAAGGTTTTCAAAGTTGTCTGCTCGATAATACCTTGAGGCGCAACAGGTCGGGAGCAAAAGTTCAGGTTGACGTCGAGCCGAATTTGGCGTCCAGTCGATCCTTGGTTGTCTTCATGATTTATACGGATATAGGGAACCCATTCTTCCCTTGTCATTATTAATTAATGAGACTGACCACTGCATAATCACGAAATAATGCCACGATTCAGATGCATAATTACCTCAGCACGGTGACGGCATCGAAAGACGGTATATCATTTATAAGCACTCATCAAACCATGATAAGCCCTCCATACAGAGTATATTTTGCTTTCGGTTTGACGCTGCAGGGCCGGAGGGATTGAGAACTTGAGATACAATGGCGGAGAAAAAGAGGCTTGACGGGTAAAGGGTATTACGCGTCCCAGGGGTGGTATTTCGTACTCAACTCATTCGGTTAGAGCCTATCTTGGCACAAATTAGGCACGCCTAACTATTCTGTTCATGCCTAATCCTTACTCGTTAGGGGGCGGCGTAAGTGAAGATTATTCGTGATTGGGAAGGTTACTCGAGCAGGTGTGGACTACCATCCTCGGATGCGTAATACAATACCCACTACCGCCGCGACGTAACTAGGCTAGGCCCAAATGAGAAATGCGCGCCAAGACGCCATTCCGCGTTAATTTGCCGAGGCTCGACAACGGCTGGTGATGTGGTATCCAGAATGGAGAGGCTGGAAGTCAATCTGCAGAACGGCAGGCTGCTCCGAAATATCCTCGACCGTTCCAAACAAGGGCGTGAATACCTGGTTTTGAATGATCGAACTATACGCCCGGATACATCTGGTAACTTGTGATACCTCGCGCCTTGGATCAGTGACTTGACTATCTTTGCAAATCCCTCCCCACCCTTGCCTTCAATTCCAGGAAATGAGCATTATCGGTGCTCCCCAAACCTGCTTTTAGCCCGAAGCCGTGGTCCGTACAAGTAGAAGACGCCCGTTGCTGGTGCCGTTACCAGTGTCAGCATAGCCAAGAGCGTTGTGGCCCAGTGGTAGTTTAGTTTCCGGTACATTTGGATACCAAAAAGAGGAAACGAGCCAGCAAAGCAGCTCCTCGCAAAGGAATTCGCACAGAGGGCACTCGCAGCATACAGAGGAAAGCTAGTCACCTGGTCAGCCTTCCAATACCATTTCAGGGACGGAGGTATTTGCCTCAACCACAAGCAAGAGAAGTGTTATTAACGATAGAATCGGGGAATAGGTAAGACTTACGCATCCACAAGAAATGTAAATATCCCGACATAAGACAAGATGACGCCGAAGCCGAAAAAGGATGTGCCGATAATGGGAACGATCCAATGAATCGAAGGGTAGATCGTCCATCCAAACCAAAACAAGCCAATCACGCAGAACCATGAGCCAACTACGCTCGAAGGAAGGCGAAACTCTGGCATGGAGCCTCGTTGGCCGGTCTTTCTCTGATGCTCGGCGACTTGATACAGATATAAATGGTGCCAGAGAGGAAGCGTACCAACCGCCAACAGCATGCCGACCAGGATACCCAGAAAGGACAGGCCGACTTGCCAGAGGTTGAAACCGTAGACATCCTGGAATACCAGGGCAAAGGCACCAAAGAAGAGGTAGAGAACACCAAGGAGGATGGCTGAGAAGAGACATAGGCAAAAACACATTGGATCCAGGAACAAGAGCATAAATGGTCGCAAGAGAGAACCAAGGATGGTGCGGGCCACCGAGCGGTGCATGATCTCAATTCTGGCTCGCCATGATTCATCTCCAGTCTCGGAGCGCTTCTTGCGTGCCTTGTGTCGCAGTATCACAGGTTCATAGGTCTCCGGGACCAGAAGAACAATCAAAATGGTCACTACACCTGCCCAGATGAGAAGTGTATAGTATGTCCACCTCCAGGAGGTGTTATAGTTGATGAACCCGCCGATAATGGGTCCAAGGCCTAATTCCTCCAGGTCAGCCATGATCTGTCAGCGTCGCGTTATACCCTTCCTGACGTCTCGAAACAAAAACGAGCTTGAGGAAATGGTGTCGACTTACAGGGACCCGTGAATGGCGAAGCCGAGTATATCGTCATGGGCGCCTGCAACTCCTCCTTTTTGAATAAATCTCCAATGCTTCCCCCGGCTACACTCAGGAATGCTGCCCCGGACAAGCCATTGAAAAATCTTGCAATAAGGATAGTCTGGATGTTTTGCGCCACCGCGCATGGAACAAGCCATATTGTGAACAGGGCAAATGCAGAGATATAGATTGGCCGCCTCCCATAGAATTCGCTCAGAGGCCCCAGGAACATTGGTGAAAGCCCTAGACCAACCACAAACAGTGTCAGTCCGAGAGTAGCCACAATCTGTGAATTTCCAAACTCGGCGTCCATCTTCTCGTAGGTTGTTGTATAGATTGAGGAGGTAGCGGTTACGCATGCTGAGCCGGTTGCCAGAGTCGCGACGATCAGCCATTTCTGTCCGGATCTCATGTTTTTGGGGTTCATCTTGTCGTCTGGGCCATCCCAATCAACAATCTTTATATTCCGAGGCTTTCCACCTTTCTCATCGGCAGGTTCACTGCGGGAGCGGCCTTGATGGGGGGTAGAGGGCTGACCGTTTCCTCCGCCGTTTGTAGACCCTGTCATTGTTGAGACTGCTATCGTCTAGGTGGTGCTGTCATTTGGTTGGCTGCTTGTCTGCTGTTGTATGCCACGATACAGAATCTTGGGAATCGAAGTGACGATCTGAACAAAACACTTGCATAGACAAAATTCGCTTGCTCCTACGAGGGAACCAACTTCAGAATCTCACAAAGGCCTGCTGTACTCCACGTCCTCCCTGACCAAAGTATATGTGCTCATATTTACCCAGAAGAGCCATTTGGTTACCACAGTCAAGTTGCCTATGCCGATTACCGTTGTTGGGACACTACGAGACATCGCTGTACTCAGTCATCTCGCCATCTCGCGCGAACCGAAGCCCGAGCAGTTTCTGGTTCCGACGCTGCCGACTTCCTTCAGGGCCTCGCGTTGAGGAATCGTTGTACGGAAAACGATTGCGGTCCTGGAGGGACGATACCCAAACAGGCCATCTTTGAGCTCAATCCATGTTGACGGTATCCACTCGAGATGATACATTTTCAATACCCGAAGCTGGTAATGCATTACCCGAATGTGGTGGAGGATCCCGACCCACAATGAAGTACAACACCCCCTGAGTCGTGTGGCGAGCGAGGTACGATGCTGAGAAATCAATTCAACAATAGCAACAAACTTCTGAGTAATGTTATGATGTGCTGCGTACATCGATTTTGGCAGGCTTTGTCGGTAGGTCGAGTGTCAACCCGTGGGCGGAAGACAACAGCTAGATCGCACGGATAAGTTGCAAAGTGAAACCGAAGGAACCTTCAGGCAGAATGAAATGTAAACTCTTTGCCGATCCCAATCTACACTTCCCTGAATCAAGATGAATAGCTGCATCATCGTGACAGATGGTTGTGCCCAACCGTCGAGGGTCAGGATGGTCGGACGATTGATCTGGTCACTCGGTCATCATTGAGTCTCTTCCCTTTGATTTGGCGAATCCGTTAATCACCTACATCTACTCTTGCCTCAACACAAAGGTGTTCTTGAAGTGTTCTTGAAGCTTGCTCTGGTTCGACGGGTATTTGCACTCTTTGAGATTATACTCCAACCTTTCTGTATGCACTAACTCAGGGTCAGCTTACCCGTGTCGGGAGACTAACAGTGTCTACGTAAAATGTCTTTATCGACGACCTCGAATCAGCCATGGAGCCCGTGGGCATTACAGATGTCGATCAGACGCATCCGGGGGTGGGAATATGGTACGAGTTGAGCCGCTGATACGAACGACGAGGCATATCGTCGAACTCGATGGCATTCGAGGAGTAGTTATAAAGAAGTAAGAAGGATCTAACGTCGATATCAGCAGTCAGTCATTACCTAGATAGAGATCGACATAGAGAACTTAGATTAATACCTCACACAAACATAATTACCGACTTTCCAACACCCCCTCTCCCGTCAAAGACGACTTGACATGCGTTCCGAACTTCAGCAATGTCCTTGAAATAGGTCTTTGTTCCCACAACAGTCTTAAGCTTGCTCTCTTCAACCCATTGCCGAATGGAGTCCAAGTCGGCGGCATTTGTTTCCAGGAAGATGGAAGAGTACTTGACTCCATACCGTGATGCACGAGCGACTCGGATTCGATGCATGACATTCAAACCAATGCGGATAGGGAAGGGCACGATTGCCTTGTCTTCCTTTTCAGGCGATCGTCGCATAACGCTAGAGTTCTGGAGGACGTCTCCAGAGGGAAGAATAGACACCGTAACAATAGTCCCTTTCGGCCGCATAAGTGCCAGGTATCTCATTGCGATACCTGTAGTGTCGAAGATAAAATCAACTGAACGCGGAGGAATGACGGACTGAGGATCGACTCGTTTGTAATCGATGACTGCCACGGTAAATGTGAGTTTTCTGCCCGTGGTATGCCTTGAGAAGAGAGTCCTTACTTTCGTCGACAACATCCTCGCCTAGGAGTTCCTTCACTTGGGAGACTTTAGCTGTAGACACCGTGGTGATCACTTTGCCAGCCCCAAAAACATTTTTTGCAAGTTGACACGCGAATAAGCCGGTCCCGCTTACTGTTATAAGGTAAGCTTGCATGATAGTATACTCGATCTCGCAATGAGAGGCCTACGTCCAGCAGGTACAAAAACAGTCTTTCCGCGAAGATCGCCCTCGTAGCCTCGAAGCGCTTGCAAAGCTGTCATTGCCACTAAAGGAATCGAGGCAGCATCCGCCATGGAAAGATTTTGTGGCTTTCGTGCGACGAATTCCTCTGTCGACCTCGCAAGCTCACTCCACGATCCACGGTGACATTCCGGCAACCGAACGAAGACCTCATCCCCGGCCTTGAAGCGCGTTACCTGAGATCCGACATCTACAACTGTGCCGGCACAATCGTAGCCAAGCTTGTAAGGGAAGCTGCCGTCAGAATCAGTCTTGAGGGATTGTACCTACAGAAAGAGATGCTGACCTATCTGTGAGAACCAACTTGGTAGCACCCGAGGCCTTTTTGACATCGACTGGATTGATACTCGCGGCGTGGACCTTGATCAAGATATCGAAAGGGCTCTCGACAGCAAGCGACGGAAGCACGCTCAACTCGTATTGCTCGGGAATCGTATGTTTTGGAATATTAATTGAGAGCATCTCGCCTCCCAAGTCAGAACTATCTTATGAGAAGAGGAGCCTGTACGATCATTGGTCACAGAAGACATTTTGTAGTCGACGACAGTATCGATTGGCTGGTACAGAACCGGAACTAAGTTTGTCCGACGGTGTAATATGTGCAGACGGCCGACAATAAAGACGAACCTCGGCGGAAGGGTTGAGAAGACTTTGAAGCAGTAGCCATCTACGCATGTGCTTTGCATGCTGACTACCGCGATGAGATTACCGAAGATAGTCATTATGAGCTGTAGTTCAGTTCTGTTTGACGCGTCCAACTCTCGAGATCGCGCCAACGGTCACAAACGGACTAGCTTCACCACGTGATTCCCTTGTCCAAACACGGTCTAGCGTGAATCCGAATGAGCATCTCATCGTTTGCGCTGCCTCGTTTCCGATGAAACTTCCTACGACGGTGGACATCACGAACGTCAATCGGATGTCAACCCGATGCGCGCATGGCGGCGAACACTTCACCTACGACCAACTCTGAATGACCACGGCAACTTACGGTGGAGGACGGGTGTTGTGCCCATCAAGACCCCGTCCTTCCCCAGGGGGAACAGCCACAGCCACCCGTTTAGCTTACAATCAATCCCGCCAGTACTACTTCCCCCTACTGTGTTTGCAGGGTTGTTAGTGACACTCTGGGTGTACAAATGTGTCATGCTGGTGGTCTTCCAGAACAAGATCATCTACATGCCTTCAATCCCGCCATTCTCCAGGTCTGAGAAGCTCAGCGACTATTCGTCTCAGTGTAGGCCGGTCAAGTGGATCGAGCATAGCCTTCAGTCATCAGATGGAACAACAATCAAGCTTGTGGAAGGGGCAATCACGCCACCTGGTGAGATGATAACCGCCGAGCACATTGTCGTGGTCTATTTCCAAGGGTGGGTGGCTCTTTGACGAACGCGTTCGATTCATCGTTTGCTCTGACCAGCAAGTAGCAACGCGTCTTCTCTACCCCCTCGCCTTCCATATCTGTCGCATGTTCTGAAATGGTTGGATCGCGAACAGCAACAGCATCGGAAATACACCATTATTGCTTTGTCCTACCGCGGCTACTGGACGTCGCGGGGAAGACCATCCCAGGAGGGGATTACGCTCGACGCCGAAGCAGCACTACAGTGGGTACAAGCCAGATACAAGGATAAGCGAGCGAAGATCGTGGTTTGGGGTCAATCGATCGGCGCAGGGGTCGCAACCGTGAGTCTGGCCAGGTCGCTAAAACCCAAAGGCGGCAACCTCCACAGCCAATTGAGCGGGCTGATCCTCGAGACACCGTTTGTTGATCTGAAGACGATGCTCGTGGCCTTGTATCCCCAGAGATTCCTCCCCTACCGTTATCTCGGACCGTTCTTGCGCTCAACCTGGGACAGCGGAAGCGCGCTTCTGCAGATTAGTGCCAGCAAGCCGGATCTGGAGGTGCTGATTCTCGAAGCTGGCGACGACGAAATCGTGCCGGCCGGGCAGGCTGAAATTCTAGAGCAGATCTGCGCGAAACAGAATCTGCCGGTCCAACGCAAGACTGTTGCAGGATCACTGCACACTGAAGCCATCTCCAAGAGTGAGGGACGCAAGTATGTGGGGGGGTTTCTGCAATCGCTCTAAGGGATACACGGGGCGATTCTAAAGAGTCAAAGGCGACTGAGTCGGTCAAGTCCATCACTGTGTTCCTCCCAGGTTGGGGATAGCGGCGTCATATACACACGGTACTCACCACCCATCCACCCATCTAAAGGCTAGCGCATCCCAATCTCTTGTCTCTTGTATCTTGGTCGTGAAGCTTCAAAGGCTTTATGCTGATTGGCCTCGTGGTCACAGCGCGTTCCCTTGTCCCCTCCATTTCGTCCAGTTCGTCCCATACAAGGCCCACAAAGAGGGAGAAGAGTAATGGCACCGATGGGGCCAGAGTCCTTGCATGGACCAGAGTGCTGGATCGTTCCCCGTCGTGATCACTGAACTAGATGACGGGGTCTGATTAATTGCCGAAACCCCAGATTCCACAGTCTCTCGACTCACCGCGATTGGTCTATACCCCGTGTTGTCGAGCAGAAAGCCTCCGTCCATGTTGGAGTTGCTCCTGCACGTGGAACCCCAGAGTGACTCCGAGAGTCCCACCCCCGGGTTTCCCCAACAACCGGCCGATGGGTCTTTTCCAGGCCCGGTCCAATCGCCCGTTCTTGCCCCGGAGTCCAGAACCCACCGGCATCTGCCAGCCAGGAAAAGGCTACCGAGGTACTTATATTTTATTAGGCCCAGTTCAGGCCATGACAGGCCCTGGCATGCTATAACAAAACTAACACGGAGACTGAATCCTGCTTCTGGATTGAGATGACGCCGACAACTTTAATACGCTGCGACCACTTTTCTCCATTCCACCGCTCCAGACGAAACAGACTTTAGCCAATTCGCCTCCCTAACGCCACCTGCTGCGGACAAGCTTTCAGTCCGTGGGTTTCATTCCTGTATCTGCCTTTCTTGGCCCTCCTAGTCAAGCACCCCATGACTCTGAAAATTGGTCTCGGCCTCGTATTCGCGCACGCATACTTGGTAGATCAATGCAGAAATGCGGAGTAGGAGCCCAAGAGATGGAGAATTTTGGGGAAAAGAAGAAGACGAAGGAGACAGGGTCAGTAAACTCCCTGGAGACGAGGGTCGAAACAATTGCCGACTCCAGACTGAATTCTTGGTGTTGAGTATGGAGTATGGAGTACTTAGTCGCCCTTTATCTCCCTCCGTCGCTTGGAATCAATCAGTCGCCCGTCTGTGTCCAACTCTCTTCTCGACCTTGGGATAGTCGTTCTTTCTTTCGCGCCTGAGCAACACCACCTGACAGTACAGCTCACCCTATCTGGCATCATGGGTCTTGGTGTCTTGGAAGGTATGGTTTCTTCTCTCTCGCACACTCCATTCCCGCACATCGTTAGCGCCACGAATGCTAATCCTTACCAGACCATAAACTCTCGCATGTGCCCGGCACAGTGCTTTTGAACGACGAAGCTGCCCACTCAGAAGCACAAACTGGAAACCTCAAACATGGCACAGGAAAGAACGCACACATCGTGCTCTCGCCACAACCTAGCGACGACCCCAACGATCCTCTCAACTGGTCTGGTTTCAAGAAAGAGGCCATTATCTGGATTCTCGCTCTCGGGTCAATGTTGTGCGCTGCTACAAACGTACGTCTCAGTGATGATCATCCGAGCTCCCGCCGGTCAGATCGAACGAACGAACGAACAAATAATGGCTAACAACAAGCTCCTCTCCCATACAGGGCCCGTTCTTGAACGCTTCGTATTTCGCAATTGCCCAGGAAATCAACAAGGATCTCACAACGACAGTCATGGTGTCAGGCTACAACATTTTAGCCATCGGCTGTATCGGTCCGTTCGTCTGCGCCTTCAGTCGTCGGTACGGGAAGCGTCCGGTCTTTATCGTGTCGACGCTCTTCTGCATCGTCGGCACGGCCATTGGCCAAGTCAAGGCCAGCTACGAATACCTCTTGGCCGCGCGCATCGTGCAGGGCTTCTCGACCAGCGCCTTTGAATCGCTGATCATTTCGGTCGTGGGCGATCTCTACTGCGTGCACCAGCGTGGGCTGCGGATCGCGACCATCAACTTTGTGCTCAACTCGGCATCTAGCCTGGCCTCGATCATCTGCGGCCAAGTTTACAACGACCTGGGCCTCCTCTGGTTGTTCAACCTGTTCCAGATCTTCCTGGTGGTGCAGTTCATCCTCATGTTCCTCTTCTGCCCGGAGACGACGTACGTGCGGGAGTCCATCTACGAGACCGACACCCTGCAGACCGAGACGTTTGAGGAGATCGACAAGGCCAACGAGGAGCATCGCGAAAAGGCCATGGCCGTCAGCGAACTCACCAACGACGCTTCGGCCACCGCCGCCTCCCCGCAGCGCCAGTACAAGAAGAAGACGTTTTTGCAGGAGCTTAAAATCTACAACGGCATCTTCTCGCACGACAACATCTTCAAGTGGCTCTTTGGCATGTTTCTGACCCTCTTCAACCCGGCGGGATTTTACGTCATCATCGTCTCCGGTCTGCTTACCGCCTGGTACGTGGGCTCCGCCATTATTCTCGCCGGCATCTTCGCTGGGCCTCCCTGGATGTTCGACGCCGCGCAGATTGGATACCTGGGCACCGGCCCCTTTGTCGGCGGTATGATCGGAAGTATTATCCTCGCTCTTTTCGGTGACCGTGTCATGAAATGGATGACGATTCGTAACAAGGGAACCTAGTAAGTCAGACGTCTTGGGAGCCAGCGTCCCCTCGCTTTGCAAAACCCACAATCTCCTACAATTCCTGTTCTCAGCTTTTTCATTCAAGCCTTCGTTTACCTTATTTTGTACAAGTGTGCAATGTGTATCTTTACTAACATACTGTTCCTTCTTCTTTTTACCTAGTGAACCCGAATTCCGTCTCGTCTTCATGCTCCCTTGCGCTGTCTTTGCTGGATTCGGAATGTTTTTCTTCGGCTACTCGATGGCGCACGGCCTGAACGCCATTCTCTGCGCCTTCTTCCAGGGTATGATGATGGTGGGTGTCATGATCGGCGTTGTTGCCACCATGTCCTACGGTCTCGACGCGTTCCGGAGCCAGAGTAACGAGATGTTTGTCATGAACATGGTGTTCAAGGTAAGTCATTAGTCGTTTCTTCCTCAAGCTCTCTCTCTCTCTCTCTCTCTCTCTCTCTCTCTCTCTCTCTCTCTCTCTCTCTCTCTCTCTCTCTCTCTCTCTCTCTCTCTCTCTCTCTCTCTCTCTCTCTCAAGTGTGTGTGGAAGAGAGAAAGAGAGGATAACACCGTACACGATTCTTATCTATTTCCCAAAACTCCTCGCCACAAATCAATACACCATCACTATACTGACCATCTCAACTCGTGCAGAACTTCATGTTCTACGCTCTGTCCAACTTTGCAAATGACTGGGTTGCCGCCAAAGGCCCCGAGGAAATTATGTTCACCTTCGGCGGTACCACTTTGGCCATGTGCCTGTTCGGCATCCCCGTCTACTTCTACGGCAAGCGGCTCCGCAGCTGGTGGACGCGCCACGACCTCTTCGTCAAGTTCAACATGACAACCACTGGACCCGAGACACATTTGGGATAAATCCAAAACAAACAGAAAGGGTTTTCGAAGAGGTTGTTTTTGTCATTCCGAATCGAACAAAGACTTTCGTAGTCCACTTGGTTAATTTATGCATAATGCGAGTACAAAGTACCTGGTCACATATCACCCAACAGGAGTGCGAAGGAGTTATGGAGACTCTGTAATTAAGCCTCGGGGTCGCTGTGTACAACGAATGTCATCGTCACAAGTTTACATCACAAGTTTTCTTGACAAAACGAAAACTCTCCATACCACCTCTGAAAAGGATTGAGGCACCTTATCGAGTGACAAGCCCCTGAAAACTGAGGCAAGGCATCGCATTGGAAAACATAGGTCAGGATGCGAATACTCCTCGGCGATGATGGGTTGGGTTGGACTTCACGTAGAGTCAGGGAGGATAAGTAAGGGTCTCGCTAAACGACCCCCGAGGCAGACTGAATTTGTTTGACCACTTCGGAACGTGTTCCTCCCGTGAATGCATCGTCTATAACCATTACAGAGCTACTTTCTCAAGAAATGTCTCTCTCTCTGGGATTGCTAACGCCCTAGAGATACATGTACCTCGCTAGAAGTAATCTGGGAACTGATGGGCACCAACAGAGAAGATAATCAGTGCTTCATAATGTCTTGATTGTAAGTGTTGAAGACCGCGGAATTCAACTAAATCGTAAGGTATTTGTGAATAAAAAGAAAGTCTATACCTTAATAAAATTAGGAATCAGAAATGAAATTTAAACCCTTCCATCCATCCATCCAACCAATCAACCAATCGTACTCATACCAATATCATCAAAGATACTCGTTAGTAGCGGCGCATGTAGCGCGCTTTTCTGGCATTTCGCTTCAGCAAGGTGACAGGGCATGTCGGCTCACTGAGAGTGACAGTTGGTCCACCAGGCTGACAGTTGGGGTAGTTGGCAACTGCGGCTTGGATAGACTGAATAGATTGGAGGCCGATGATGGGGTTAAGATCGACTCCAAGGGTACCAGTCTGTCCATAGACCGCGCAGTCTCCGACACAATCGTTCAAGGCAGCTTCAAGGACTTGTGTCACGCTGCATAACACACCCGAAATGCCGGTGTCGCAAGTCACCTCGTTCAAGCCAACGTCTTCCAAGGTCTGACCGGCACAGAGAGAGACTTGCAGACCGCAAGTAGGAGTAGGCGTCGCGGAAGTTGAGCTGGCCGAGCTCGTTGCGCCACCATTGGCTGTTGTGGTGGCAGCTGAAGTTGTTGCTGCACCAGCAGAGCTCGTGGAAGCGCTTGCAGAGGTCGATGATGCACCAGCGGACGTTGATGAGGCGCCAGCAGAGGTTGAGGAAGCTCCGTTTCCGCCGGCCGAAGTGCTGCTAGAGGCGGCAGCCGTAGATGAAGTAGAGCTCGACGCAGGGGGGGCCGGGCAGGTTGGGTCAGTGATGGTAACGCTGACAGTCCCCAACGCAGAACACACTTGGTTTAGCGTTCCAGAAACGAGGGCAGCTTGGACTTGTTCGGGTGAGATGTCGAGACCCAAGACCTGGTTATCGGCAGCAATAACAGTCAAGACATTAGGGCTAGAACCGAGAAGCGCCGGCACAAGGCTTAACAAGTCATTGAGGGTGCAGGTAAGGCCACCGAGGAGAGGGCAGTTTTCTGTTGCAACAATGTTTGCCTGAATAAGGTCGGAATCGAGACAGATATTTGCATTAATATTGCAGATGGGGGCGCCGGAGGTAGAGGTGGTTGCTGGAGCCGAGCTGGTAGTAGATGCTGTGCTGGTAAAGGTGGTTGTTGATCCTTGTGTCGACGACGATTCGGCTGCACTTGTTGAACTGGAGGAAACAGCGCCGGAAGTGGACGCGACAGAGGTAGTCTCAGCTCCTGTCGTGCTTGTAGAGGTAGTCTCTGCGTCTGTCGTGCTTGATGCTTCAGTAGTGGATGCAGTAGTGGATGCAGCAGAGGACGAAGCAGCAGAGGTAGTCTCAGCTCCCGTCGTGCTTGTAGAGGTAGTCTCGCTGTCTGTCGTGCTTGATGATTCAGATGTGGATGCAGCAGAGGACGAAGCGGCAGAGGTAGTCTCAGCTCCTGTTGTGGTTGATGCGGCGGAAGCGGACGTGGAAGTAGTCTCGGCTTCTGTCGTGCTTGATGCGGCGGAAGCAGACGTGGAAGTAGTCTCGGCTTCTGTCGTGCTTGAAGTGGACGTGGAAGTAGTCTCAACTCCTGTCGTGCTTGATGCAGTGCTGGTAAGGGAGCTCGTCTGGGTGCTAGAAGCAGAGCTCGAAGTGCTGCTCGCGGTGTCGATCGGAGCTAAATAAATGTCAGCAATTGGAACCCTATTTGAAATGGTGTTACTTACTTGGGATCAGCACAATGGGAGAAGAACAGGTGTCAGGCGCAACATAGGCGAAGATACGGCCATTGTCGCTCAAGCAGAACCCAGTTGTGCCATCCAATCGCGCGAATCCGAAAACCACGGACCAGAAGCGGAAACCCAGTGGGACAGTGGCCAGTCTTCGGATGAAGGAGGTGTCCAGTCTAGTGGTGCCCAAGAATTGGCCTTCGGATATGAAACTGCCCTCTGTACCCTGGAAAACAATCGCAGCTGAGACCCTTGCCTCGACAGCAAAGCCAACTTGGTTGGAATCGAATGCAAGGTACCTGGTGACAGTCTCTTGGCGTTTCACATTTGCGACAGGCGAGGCGCTGACCTGGAGGACGAAACCTGTTCCGGTTGGGACTGGGGTAGTTGTGGAAGACGCAGACGTCGAAGAGCTGCTGGATGAGGATGAACTGCCGGCTGCAGCGCTCGAAGAAGAGCTGGAGGAGGAGCTGCTGCTTGCTGCGGCACTGCTCGAGCTGCTCGAGGTTGAGGAGCTGCTAGAGGCGGCACTGCTCGAGCTCGACGAAGAGCTGCTGGCCGCGGAGCTACTGCTTGAGGAGGAAGAGCTGGCGGCAGAGCTGCTGCTTGAGGAGGAAGAGCTGGCCGCGGAGCTGCTGCTTGAGGAGGAGGTAGACGCGCCAGTGGGTCCGCTGCCATTTGAGGTAGTGCTCGTGGATGACGATGATGATGAAGACGAAGAAGAAGATGTAGTCTGGCTGATGGGACCGCCGGTAGAGGTCACGGACGTGGTGGTTGACGAAACAGAGTTCCAGTCTTCCCAAGCTTGACCGGCACTTCCACCCTTGCTGGGTTCAGGAAGTGGCCACCAGTTCCTGCCCTTTCCACCATGGCCTCCAGTCGGGACTGGGATATGTCGAGTGTTGCCGGCTGGCTGTGTGAACCACGGGACGTTGAAGATGATGACTTTTGTAATGTAGACGTTGAACTGGAAGGTTGTTGGGCCGGAGAAAGACTTGGTCACGTAGGCGTTCCAGGCCTTTCCTGGGATGACTTTGACCTCTTTCGGAATCACATGCAATGATGGTCGGCCCTTGACAGTGACCGTCACAGTCGTAGGGGGTGCAGTGATGGTAACAGGCGGTGCAACCTGTGGGAATGTCCAGGTATAAACGCCGGCGTGTGGAATTTTGCCCTCGCTTGAGCATAGAGCTCTAGCTGTGACGGTGGAGGTCGGTGCCGGGCGTTCGATTATGGTCTCGTACCATTCGACACACTTCTCGTAAGCCTTGCCATCAACATTAACACCAGAACGGCATTCAGTGACATCCAAAAGCTGCGAGCGGCTGCCATCAGACTTGCCCTCGCACTTCTCGCAGAGACCGCTACCTTCCCACTCAGGGATGCAAAGTGGACCGATCTCCTTGTAAGGAACCATTGCCCGTCTTGTGACGGTCTGATAGAGGGTGGTACTTTGGGGAGCGTGACTCTTCTCCTTGAACCAATCGACCCAGCTACGCTTGTCGAGAGATGGAGCGGCAGTCACCTGTGTCAGCGTGGTCAGAAATTCGGACGCTCTGACGGGCTGAGCAATGTCAGTGACGGTGGTGAGCTGAGAGGTAGTACCGTTCCAGGCGAAAGGAACCACTGTGGACACAAATGGGAAGGCGGTCAAGGGATACTTAGTTGCACATGTGCCCTTGACGCAGACAGTTGTCGGCGCACAGGTTGAGATGGGCTGGTACTGAGCGGTGACAGTAACGGGCGGGATGGAAAGGCTGGTGGCCTCTGGGCAAGGCTCGACAACGGTCGGCAGATCTGCCATGGCCATGTCGGCAGCCAACAAAGTCAGAGCGACCTTGTTGGTCGCGGACTTTGTCCACTTCATGGTGGTGGTGAAACGAGCGACTTCGGGTCGGAACAAAGCAAACCAAAGGAAAAAGGAGTGACTGAGGTTAGTAGACAAACCAAAACTTGCTGAAGATCGAGAACAAGCCTGAGGATGTTCGCATCCTTTATACAGTTCTTGTTTTCTCTGTAGCGGTATATCGCCTTCCTCAACCAGAATGGGTTGTTTTGATTGCCCTGTTGAGCAATGTCCTCTTTCAAGCACGGAAATCAAGGAGCTAACATCGCGAGCAGGGGGGAAATACCCGTGCGTAGACCAGTAGAGCCGGTGCAATCTCACATATGGGTGATGTTGTATCTTGACAATTCAGCATGGGGCCATCAGGAGTGGCAAAAGGACCGTGGTCGTGATCCTCAGATCCTCCAACGTCTCTGGGGGTATAGGCAGACGCAAGCTCAGACTCTCGACCCCAGTGTGCTTCATACGCCTGAACCAATGCATGATCCATGCGTAGACAACGAGTCTTCAAGTGGTGGGTTCTGTGCGACTCCAAGCAGCTGGAAGCGATGCCCTCGACAGACATGATTCGTGAAGTGGCTCTTGCTTGCAACTCGCCTAACAGAGACAGGTGGTGCGTGAGGTCCGAGGACAATCAAAGCAGCCAAGAGGTTCGAATTCATCAAGCAAGCATTATGTGCTTTGCGGTATCCATAGTGAGGGATTCTCAATCCCATTGCGCCACAGCGTCCTTCTGTCTCCTGTAGGCTCTCTGTATGTCAGGTAAAATCGACAGTATGGCGCATTGATATCACCACAGCCCATACGGGCTAGCGTTGTCTTCCACCGCGTCTGCCCGTTAGAGGCCGTTGGGTGACAGATCATGGATGGGAGTTAGATTTGGCGGCTTTGGCAGTCCAATGTGCCTGTAACATTGTGACCGCGTGGCAGATGGGAGTTTGTATTGTGGAAACAGCGAGAAGGCCGATCGATGATAGATTCGAGGCAAATTCAAAATGTTGGACAAAAGGGGTCGCGAGTGCAGATCATGGCCATGTCACCCACGTCAACTCGATGTCAGCCGTCCGTCACAGATGCTGTAAGCGAGCTGTTTGAGCCGCAGCAAAGTCTTCCACCAGAAGACAGAAGACAGAAATGAGAAATCAAAAGTCCACAAAGAATGGCGATTGGAGAGCACTGAGCAACTGCATCTTGACATCATTTCTAAACCGTGGCGTTTCTGGAGCACGGGTGAACTGTGCGTGGCAACGGTGTAGTTGATCGAGTGCTCGTACTAACTTAGCCATCGAGAGACTTAGTCAATGGCTAAGGTGAGTTAGTAGATTCCTAGTGCGAATGCTAACCACTAACTGCCACGGGGGTAGTGTACAGTACCAAGGTAGATTCCTGATGGCCATACAGCATTGCACTGTCAGGCTTCGATCTTACTCAACCCGCCATCTTCTCGCCTTCACGAGTCACTGGGGTGGCTTTAGAAGTCTCTCCTCTTGTCGATATCAACATGTAACTTCCCACCGTGTCTACGGAGCACCGGGTCCCCAGACTTGCAGCTGCCATGCTCTTGGCCGCGGGTAGTATTTATGGGCAGTGGCGGTGTCAGGCGTTTAATTGCCTGTTACCCTTCGCTTATTTTCTCTTCATCAAAACTTCGGATCGTTGCCACCGCCTGTGTTGCTGTACGGGCCAGAGACACCCTTCTCCATGATCATTGATTGCTGATCCTCCATGCCAGGGCGAGTTGCTGAGTGTTCCGGGATAAATTAGAGCCCCACGAGTCTCTTGCTCCTACTGGTGGAGCATCATGGAGATGATTCAGGACGACACCGCAGTGGCTACTGAACCCCTGCTGTGGCAATCTGTTATCCATGTTCGACCGTTACGGATCTCATAGCCGGAGGCGCCGATACGAGAAAGAAATGAAAAGAACAACAAATGCATAGACGATGACCACAACAATAACAATCAAACAAGCGGGAGTCTCATACAGCCATTCAACCAAGTACTCGTACCGGTAATCTTGTCGGCTCATCGATCTTCAGATCTACGCGAGTGGGAGCCGACATGCATAGTAAATAATACGGTCAACGGATTGTTGTAGTCCACATTCTCGAGTAGGACTCATGCTCGCGGAGAACGAAAGCACTCACTGCGGGTGACAAGTCACTATTCCGCTCCTGTTGTGCTACTGGCCAATTTGATACGCTGCATGGATATACAGCGGCGTACATTACTGCTGATTTCCAGGGAAAACAGATAGAATTTTGGCCAGTCTACTAGTAGCAAAAGCCGTGCCCGTGAATGATGCCCTTCTTGTATGTTGGTTGTATGAGTTATCGTCACAGACAGCCACGCGATAAAAGGTTTCCTCTGGAGTGATAACAGTCTCTGTGGTCCAACGTGTTCCCTCGTAGTGTCTCTGAAGGGTTTTATGCTTGGATACTAGATTACATGGTTGAAACGTCGATTCAAGCCTACCGCCATACTGAGTGATCTGGTATGAGGGTTGTTTTTAGATGACCAACCATCAAGTCCGCCACGTTACAGTATATTGTCTCTCAATAAAACAAAGAGTCACTATCAACATGTATAGGCTAGCAGGTCTCTACAGATGGTTTTACACGAGTTGGGTGGGTTGCTGGGTCGTGACTGTGACTGTAGACTGGCCTGGGAAATGGCAATTTGAGTATTTTTATTCTGGAGAAACTGTCAGCTACAAAAACACCAGCAACTCAAGACACAAACCTCACATGAGATATGATTCGCTCGACATTCTCATTAGGGAACCTTGCAGTGTTCTGTTTCGATTACGTTCAAAAAATGAAGTCCCCAAGATATCTACTTCACTACAATACTCGAAATGCACGGAAAGTGCAAATCGCACGACCGAGCCCGGGTGGTTATATACCAGGTACGTATTGCTGGCAGCCTCCTTCTGTCCTCTCCGTGCGCATGAGGAACATTACCGGATGATTCTGAGGGATCTGGTCAATGTATCGGGTACAAGAACTCTGCGGTTCTGGAAGAATGTCTGTATCGAATGCCTGATCCATAACCTTGCACCTCATAAAGCATTCCCGGATAGCAACACTCGGCTTCATAAATCCCCCGCCTCCGTTTGGGGAACGGCAAAAGCCTCCAACCAACATTACTATTGATAACGAACTCAAGCCCCACGATGAACTCTGTCAACCCAAGTCTGCAGGCTGTTCCTTCAAGCTCGCCTACATTACTCCAATACATTGAGTGGACTTCCAAAGAGCAAGCACTCCACGCTCATCCCGTTGCCAAAAAAGAAGCAAGGCACATGATTTTTACTTAGCTGGATGCTCAGAAGGTGCCTGGACGATTCCTTGCCTTCAGATATAGTGTCTTGAATCTCGCCTTCTTTTCCATGCCAGCAAAGGCATGAATCAGTCTCGTCAAGTTCACAAGAGCCATCCTTTACCAAAAGCGGCAAAACATGAGCGTTTCTCAGCTTCATCGCGCGTTATGAACGATTCAGTGAGCTATAATCCTTCTCGACCGAACGCGATTTGGAATCGACCCCACATTGCCATGTTTGGATTTCTGCTTCTGAGTTCGTAGGGTGGTGGCAGCTCGGTCCTCGTGTCCGAACTCCTTCGAAGCTTGTACAAGACTTTTGTGCTGCAACAAAAAAGTTTCTCCCTGCGGAGAAAATAACCCCACAACATTGGGGGTGGTGGGAGTCTCTCTCAGCTACGCGTACCGAGGAGTGGGTAAGAGATAATATTGAATTCTGAATCGAATACGCACCGTTCATACGGAGAACGGCATTCGGACCTCTGGCCAGGAGATCACGAACACAAGGCGAATGTGCGTGGGAGTGGGAGCCCTTGGAGACCCCAGTGCTTCCACAGATACAGAGGAAGCTGTGTTCGGGCATCCTGTAATCCGTGAGATTCTTCTAGACACATCAGTCCACCAGCAACTCAACCTCGACGTGGGGCTCGCTCTAGACCACAGTTATTTTGTAGGGGCGGGGATAAAACCACCCCGAGACGGTATCATAAAAAGCAGTACAGTATGTCATCCTTGTGCTGTCGAACGCGATACTCCTAGAACTCGAAGCAGACACTAAACACGAAGAGCGAAAATGGGCAAGCAGACTCCAGTCAACAAAGTAGGTCGGTTAGATTGATTCTGCACTACACTCTAACGAAGTGGACAGGTCATCATTGTCGGTGCCGGGCCATCAGGTCGGTTTCAATGTCTGTAAGACCAGTGTAAACCTCAGCTGACGATGTCCAGGTCTTCTGCTCGGTATCCTGCTTGCCAAGGAGGGCGTCAAGGTACAGATCCTCGAGGCTACAAACGACCTCGACAAGAACCCTCGTGCGGCTCATTATGCGCCGTCCGCCGTATACGAACTGGAACGTGCCGGCGTACTGGAAGATGTAAAGGCCCAAGGAATCCACCCCGACGCAGTGTGCTGGAGGAAACCCGATGGTTCGTTGATCGCTGGGATCAAAAGTCGCATGGATATCGAACATCCTATGGTCTGTCTGCCGCTGGATAAACTCGACATCTTGCTTCTTGAGCATTATAACAAAGCACCAAACACCGAAGTTCTGTGGGAACACAAAGTTGTGTCTATCGACCAGGACGAACATGAGGCCAGAGTTCATGTCGAAACGCCAACAGGCAAGAAGACCTTCTCCGCCGATTACATTGTGGGGTGTGATGGTGCCAACAGCCAGATAAGGCGCTCGCTTTTTGGTGACTTGAATTATCCTGGTGAGACTCTGCAGAAGCAGATCATTGCCACGAATGTGAGCAACCGCGGAGGTCTTTCGGAGTAAAACAAGGTTGACTCTTCTTAGGTCTATTACGATTTCAAGAAGTTCGGATATTGGGATTCGAACTTTATCATTGATGAAAATGATTGGTACATGGCCGCTAGGATAACGGACGACGGTCTCTGGCGAGTAACGTACGGTGATGCATGGGGCCTGTCCACCGAGGAATATCTCAAGCGACAGCCAGAACGGTTCGAAAAGATTCTTCCTGGAAACCCAAAGCCTGGAGACTACAAGCTTGTCAGCGCCAGTCCTTATAAGCTGCACCAGAGATGTGCCGATGCCTTCCGTGTTGGGCGATTCCTGCTGGCTGCGGATGCCGCCCACCTGTGTAATCCATTGTAAGTCGGACGTCAACGATGATCTCTATAAGCTGATAACCCTGGTAGTGGAGGTCTTGGGTTGACGGGAGGTATCGCGGACGTGGGAAGCCTGTTCGATGCGCTCGTAGCCTTGAGACATGGAAAGGCCGATGACAGCATCTTGGACAAGTACAGTGAGGTCCGCCGAGAAAAGTGGCAAAAGATCATTGACCCGATGTCGCGAGCCAATTTCAGCCGGGTGTGTCTCGAAGAAGCAGAGTCAGAGCGCAATGAATTTTGGGCTCTGTGCAAAAAGATTGAAGAGGACGAGGAGCTGGCTAAGCAAATGGCTCAGGTAAGTTCTGATTAAATGGCTCTCGAGGTAGGTTGCTGACCGACGCAGGGAACAAATGCTTTGCGTGAAGATTTCAGGGAGTATATCAAAGCATAGTCTCGAAACAGGCGTCCCCAATTGTGCAGCCAAAGGCATTGACGAACCCGGAAAGCGTTCATGCCCGTCGGAGCTTATATGCTGAGTAAGTCGGACTGGGCGAAGGCGTGAGAGAAGAACATGGCACTTGTTCGACGTGTATGTAATACATCTTGCCAAGGAAGATTGCATCCTTCTGCGCGTGTTCGAATTCTGCGGCGATTAGAGAGACCGGACGCTGACCAGTGCGGTACACAAGTGTGCGCGTGTATATGCGTCCTCACAGGCCGACCTTCCCGGCTCTTTCTTCCCTCCAGCTGGTCTTGCTCGAAACAAAACTAGTAACGGAATACCAGAAAGCGTTCTGTAGATGAGGAATAGATCGCAGCAGGCGTGAGCAAGGCTGGCTAAGTGTGGTAGTCCAACCGTCAGGGAAGTGCTTGGATTCTGACCTTCACAATGGGTTCATGACGATATGTGTGACGCCAGCCGACTGCGTTGTAGTAGATGGCGGCTTGGGACAGCAGTCCGAAGTTGAATCTGCCCGAGAGATACAGCACAGAAAGGAGGTTCTTGTTAACATGGCCTTGTCTGTCGAGATGGATGCAGGCTGCCGCAGTCGTATCTCTGATGTGAAGAAGTGCCTCATCGTCATCTCGTCATTGCACTTGGCAACGTGATTTCCCCCTCAAACCTGGCGTCCTGGGTGCGCTAACTAGTCGACCCATCATTCTGCTATCTTTCGATCTCCCCATTCCATCTTCATGAAATCTCCTTCAAATGCGATCTGCAGAACCTCTTGAAAGCTGCCCAAATCTGTTGTCTCTTCGCGTTAAGCCCTGGGACTGAATTACTAGGCGGCAGCGAGTCCCAAGCTTCGGGTACCGAGTGCCAACCCCCCAAAGCCCAGCACTTTCGACTTTGGTCCATTGCACACACGTCTCAGCTGTTTTGGAGTCTTATTACATCCTGATCTCTATGGTCTATCCGAGTTCCTCCCACCGTCTCCCGTCCTAGGCCACTTCTCCCTCAGAGAGACATCCACGCGGAGTGTACGAGCCACACCGAAGCATCACGCGAAACATTGGACCACCTTTGGTCTTTTCATCCAAGACGCTTCGGCGTGGCTGTGGGCAAGAGTACGGAGGATGGCAGACTTCTCGTTGGTGCCCAGCGGGCATGGCAACAACTACACTGGCATGCTCACCAGGAGCATCGTCTTCTCTGCGGCCCTTTTTGTCTTTCTGGCCGGTACGGTGAAATATGAAAACAGATGAAATCGAGACTAACGGTATGGCGGACAGCCTCGGGCATGACCATCGCCTCCATCATCATTCCCAACTGGATCGCCTTTGATGGAAGCACCGTATGTGTTGGTATTGTGCCTCCTCGAATGCCTGCTAACTTTCAATAGCCACACGGCGACCCCGTTCATTACACCTATGGCCTGCATCGAAGGTGCTCCAGCACCAATATACCCCCCCCCCTCGATAGTCGCTCGACGAGGTCCATCGTGATGGCCGACTCCCTCCAGTGTGTTCAGTTCCCCAGATATAACGACTGCCGCGGAGACGACGTATATTTTTGTAGTATGTGGAGGTCTGTCGGGTTTTTGATGTCTTTCGCCGTGGTGTTGGAGGGCATGACGATTGCTGCCTTTACCATTCTGCTTGTGGGAGGCAAACAAAAGAGGGAACAAGGCTGGGGAGTCCTTACAATCTTGGTTGCGTTGGCTGCGTTTGTACAAGCCATTGGCATGGCTCTAATGGTGAGGTTACCGTGTTCGAGAATCTTTCATCAATACTGACTTCATCCCTCTTACAGGCCTATCTTTACGAGAACGACGAAAAATTCTTCTCCGGATGGTTCTTGGACAAGAGCTGGACCATGTGCACGATTTCTTGGAGTTTTCAGGCATTATGCGCCATTGCTATTACGCTCGCCGCGGTCATCCTTCCCAGCGAGGGAGGTTATGAATTGATTCCGGACCATGCTTGAGACACGAATATTTGCTAGACATACATGACGGCGCACGAAAACGGTTGCAGTGTATTGTTGGCTTCCCTTTCGAGAGCACGACCACCCCGGTATGGCACAGGACACGGCGTCCAAGGAGCGCATAGGCTGTTTGTGTGAGCCCATGCAATAATCTTTCTGTCAGGAGAGCGGCGGATCATGCGCCATAGCGTTTCTCTGAGATATTACACCATTCAGGCGTGCTGAGACCTCGTGCATCTTAGGGGGGACGGAGTTGAGGTAGCTACATGATGTTACTGATGTTCCGTGGGCACTGTTGTCTTCACCGAGATAATACGATTTATTAGGAAGCACAAGTAATCAACTTTTATTGCGCATACTGATCCCCGAGAGCTTTGACATCAGAAACGAGCCTTGCCCTGGCTCGGTGACACGCCCGCAGCACCTGGAAGGGCTAAACTGCATTGTAGATCCACGGTGGCTGGTGGCTTGCGGAGGCGCTTCGATCTCGCCGATACGAAATACGAAGCCCGAAGCTGGAGGATTTTCAACGAGTCGCTGAGTTAGAGTTACCGTGGCGGAATCGCTGGATGAGCCATTGAGCAGCCAAACAACAAGAAAAAGAAAGCTCCCTGTCCTGGTATCTGCACGGCAATGTTCGCTTAAGAAGTGGCTCACATGTCTGTGCATCCGTAAATAAACCTGGGGCAGCGTCTGTCCAACTCCGGTCACCGAGGTTCTTCTGCGTTGTGCGGGTCAATATTCTCTCCGTCCTTGTTCCACAGCATCTTCATCGCCTCGCAGTCGGCAATGCCAGCGAAACTCTACAACCACCCTCCCAAGACTCCGATCGCAGTGTGAGGCTGGTGGTCATCATGTAAAAGACGCATGATGCCTTTTTAGGGTGGGACTTGCGAAGCGATCGCCCCCTTGACGCGTTTGACAGCCTCCAGTGGCAGAACGTGTATCGTATATTTCATGTCGTGCAATGCCATCATCCTGCTCGTTGGTTACCTCTCTCTCTATATATATACGTGACATCCCAGGCCTTCCTTTTGGAGGGGGGGAGTTTTCCTGTGATTGATCTTCATACTAACCCGCCCGATTGCTGTCACCCTCTTCTCCGTCAGCATGGCATACCCGGTACCTCAACCGCCGACGATACCCTTTCTCGGCAATGTCTGGGACCTGGATCCGAAGAATTCTATGCAGAGTCTTCTGCATCTGGGAGAAAAATACGGTACGCTTATTTGGTGGCATGGGCCTCTTGAAAAGTGGCGGTTGTGCTGAGACGATAACATTTTCAGGGCCTATCTTCAAGTTGTCGTTGGTCGGTCGGGAGCGATATTTCATTAATTCGGCAGCTCTGCTGGACGAGCTTTGCGACGAGCGCCGGTTCTGCAAGGCTGTTACCGGGGCCCTGCAGGAAGTGCGACATGGCGTCAAAGACGGACTGTTCACCGCTTACCCGGGCGAACACAACTGGGATGTTGCCCATCGAACCCTAGTGCCGGCGTTTGGACCTATTGGCATCCACGACATGTGTAGGTATCTCCCTGAGTCGAGAGGCTGACACTCCCAGCTAACCTAAGCCTTGCTTGCAGACGACGAGATGTACGACATCGCTACGCAACTAGTTGCAAAATGGGCACGTGTTGGACCTGACGAGAAGATCAATGTTACCGACGACTATACGCGCTTGACGCTGGACTCCATTGCTCTCTGTGCGATGGGGAAGCGATTCAATTCGTTCTATTCCGAAAATATGCACCCGTTCGTCAACGCCATGGTTGGATTTCTTCTAGAAAGCGGTCGACGGGCCGGACGTACCCGCCTGGAATCGCTGTTCAGCAGAGCAGCGGCTCGCCAATTCGAGGAAGACATAGCCACAATGAAAAGTGTTGCCGAGGAGGTGATAGCGCACCGGAGAGCCAACCCGACCGACAAAAAGGACCTGCTGAATGCGATGCTATATGGTAAAGACCCCAAAACCGGAGAACGCCTGACACACGAAAGCGTCATGAACAATATGATTACATTCCTGATTGCTGGCCACGAGACCACATCAGGCCTGCTTTCCTTTGCCACCTATTACCTGGTCAAGAATCCGGAAGTCATGAGGAAAGCCCAGGCAGAAGTCGATGCCGTGGTCGGCAAGGGCCCAGTGTCGGTCCAACATATGTCGAAGCTACCATACATCGAGGCCATCCTGAGAGAAACCCTAAGGCTCCAACCGACAGCTCCAGCGTTCGCAGTCCGAGCGCTGGACACTGTCGCGGGCCCTACGGTGCTCGGTGGAAAATATCATATTCCGCACGAGGCTGTACTCGTGGCTCTGTTGCCCGGCATCGGCCGTGACGCCGAAGTCTTTGGCCCAGACTGCAATGACTTTGTTCCTGAAAGAATGAGTCAAGAAAACTTTGCAAAGTTGCCGAAGAATGCATGGAAGGTAAGCAACGCTCTCGCGGGATGACGGTTGTGCGCGACTAATATTCTGTAGCCATTTGGAAACGGAGCAAGAGGCTGCATCGGACGACCATTTGCCTGGCAAGAAGCAATCCTGACACTTGCGCTCGTGCTACAAAACTTCAACCTGAGAGCAGACGATCCGTCATATCAACTCCAGATCAAACAGACTCTAACCATCAAGCCAGACAACTTCTCGATCCGAGCGGTGTTGCGTGATGGCATTGACCCCCTGAAGCTTGAGAAGAAGATGCACGTTGCAACGGAAACGGATCAAGTTGTGCAGAGACACCCTGCCGCCGTCAAATCAGCCGAGTCGGGCAAGCCCATGCTAGTTCTTTATGGTTCGAACTCTGGAACTTGCGAAGGACTTGCGCAGAGTCTGGCCGGCAGTGCTGGAAACAGAGGGTACTTCGCGACAGTCAAGCCACTCGATGCGGCCGTCGACCAGCTACCAACGAAACAGCCTATTGTGATCATTACAGCAAGCTATGAGGGAAATCCCCCTGACAACGCGGGCGCTTTCGTCGAATGGCTGCAGAATGTCTCGTCGGAAAAGCTCAAGGATGTGAAGTTCGCCGTCTTTGGCTGTGGTCATCACGATTGGGTTACGACCTTCCAGAAAGTGCCCAAGCTCATCGATTCCGAGCTTTCCAGCCGGGGCGCCGAGCAGATCGCCAGCCGTGGCGAGTCTGATGTTGCGCTTGGAACTATTTTCGACGACTTCGACAGCTGGCAAGACGAGAGCCTGTGGCCTGCGCTTTCTGCGGACGCCAGTGCCGCAGAGGTTGCAGAAGGTCTAAGCATGGAGATCAGTACCACCACCCGTGCATCGCATCTGCGTCATAAAGTCATGGATGCGCTTGTCGTCGAAAACACACGCTTGACGCCGGTTGACACTCCTGAGAAGCGCTGGGCCACCTTCAAACTACCCACGAGTCTCACCTACGAGGCCGGCGATTACCTTGCCGTGTTGCCGATCAATGCTGCCGCGACGATTTCGAGGGTGCTCCGGCGGTTCGGGCTACCCTGGGACGCCATGATGACGCTACAAAAGGGGGCACATACGACAATCCCGACAGGGGTAGCCATGCCGGTAACGGCCGTTCTCGGAGCGTACGTCGAGCTCAGCAGCGTTGCGACACGGAAGAATATCGCGACCCTCGTCAGGTACGCCGGCGCCGATGAGAAACCACTGGCTGAGGAGCTTTCCGCCACCACAGGACAGCTCTCGGTGCTGGAAATCCTCGAGAAGCATCCGTCTCTGAATGTGTCCTTCCCGGTCTTCCTCTCCATGTTGACCCCCATGCGCATCCGGCAATACTCAATCGCGTCGTCGCCTCTGAGCAACCCGACCGAAGCGAGCATCATGTACTCGGTGGTGAGGACCGAAACGGGCCGCATCGGCGTGGCGACCAACTACCTAAAGGATCTCCAGCCTGGATCTACGGCGCAGATCATGATCAAGAAGTCACACGCGTCGTTTCATTTGCCGCGGGATCCCAAGACGCCGATCATCATGGTGTGCGCGGGCACGGGGCTCGCGCCCTTTATGGGATTCGTGCAAGAACGCGCTGCCCGTTTTGCGGCCACAAGTGATGGCGGTGTTGATGGTGACACGAGCGAACCCTTCGGACAAGCCGTTCTGATCATAGGCTGCCGACACCCAGACGTAGATCGGCTGCATGCAAAGCAGCTAGCTGATTGGCAGGATCAAGGCGTCGTCAGGGTGTTTTACGCCTTTAGTAGAGACCCGGACAGGTCGGATGGCTGCAAGTACGCTCAGGACAGGCTTTGGCGCGAGCGTGAATTGGTGAGTGACTTGTTCGACCAGGGGGCCCGAGCCTACATCTGCGGTAGTAGCGCTCTGGGGAAAGGGGTAGGACAGGTCGCGGCCAAGATGGCCGTCGAGGGGGCGAAAAAGAAGGGCAAAGAAGTCAGCATTGACAAAGGCCTCGAGTGGTGGGAAGGCCTTCGGGGCGAGAGATATGCCGTTGATGTTTTTGACTAGACCGAGACCATAGAAAATAGAATGTATAGACTGCGAATCATTTGGCACATAGTTACAGGTAGGCTTGAATCAGGTAGAGCGAAGAAGAACAATGGTACCTGGTCTAAATACTAGAGTTAGTGATGGCAACCCCGAATCTACTATGGATCAGGGTATTTTATACAAGCTACAGGTACGTAAGGTATGTGTAGTGTAGCGTGGGTTGATGTCTCGACCACCACCACCATCTCCTCCTCATTTACAGGGAGGAATTTGCTCTACCAGAGAACATGTTGTCGTTGAGCAGTGATCTTCCTGTCGGGAAGATGAACCCACATGCTCTTGCCCATCCTCTTCCTCAACGCCTTGGCTTCCTTTTCCGCGCGTTCTCTTGTCCGCGTCTTCTCCTCTTTCAGGAGTACACTGATGCCGGTCTGGGGTGGACGTAACATGTACACACGGCCACGTGCACGGAATTCAGGCTCCTTTCCATAAGGGCCTCGGTTCGTCCATGCCTCTGCGACATAGATGTCGGTTTCATTCGCGGCGTGACCTTTCTTGATGGCTTTGGCGGGCGTCTGATGAGGAAGAGGTGGAGTTTCGCTGGGGTCTTGACCAGGGGTTGCATTCTCGCTGCTCTGAGCTGCCCCAAGTCCCATGCCTTTCATGACAATGGCCTCGTCGCGAGCCTGGATCAGGTGTTGCCGGACCTCTTGAGCCACCTTTTTCTTGGAAAATCTCATTTGCAGGATAGCTTCATCAATGGATTTGCCTGCGATTTGTCGAGCAAGAGGAGCCAGCTTCTTCATAGAGGTCTTGAAGAAATGCGACCGAGACAGGTGATTGCGCTCTGACCGCGCAATCTTCATTTCTTTGTTCGGTCGACCACGGCGTCTCAGGTCTCTGATCACCATCTTCCGCTGCCATCGCGACCGAGCCGTAGGACGAGGGTTGAGAACCTGGGTCATGTTCTCCGGATTACGTTCTAGCAGGGATTCGTCCTCTTGAATCCCAGCCTCGGTGCGCCGAACGATATCTTCGCCGAACAAGCTTGACGACGACAGGCCACCGAGTTTGAAATTGCGTTCCTGCTCGGCCTGCTCGGCCTTTAGTCTCTGCGCGGCTCGCTTTCTGGCAACTTCCAGCCGCTGCTTTGTTGTCATGGTCGTAGAAGATGGCGCTTTGGTCGGGTTCTGGGGCTTGGAGGTAGGCACGATGTGCTCAGTGGTGGTGGTGGACGCACTACGGGAGGTAGAAGAGTGGAAAGGCCGCCGAGAGCCAACGTAAAGACCGGACATTAGAGGGCAGAGGTCATGAGAAGAGGTGGTATGCAAGCTATACGAGCGCCCTACAATTTGTCAGTTGTTTGAATCTGCTCGGCGGAGCATGGAACTTGCCTCGAAAGAGCTGTCGCAGAGCAGTCTGTCGCGGCGTCATCTTGACGGGAGCCCTCCAGCAGGGCGCTGGCTTGGGTTAAAAGGGAGAGCTTAGTGACTCAAGCTCTTATGACCGACGAGGAGAGTCTTGAGTCGAGCATCACCAGCCGACCGAGGAGTGCGTACACAGTAACGGTGGATGTAGGTACCTTTTAGGATACACGTGAGGACGAGACTTCAAATCCCAGCGGACGGCAGGCTTGGCGGAGAAACGGCTCCTCAGCAAATCGCTGAGAGAAAAATAATACGAGCTTCCCTCGTAATATTGTGCAAGGGCAATCACGGAAAAGACACCCATCACCCTGTTTGTTAGTGGCACCGGGAGGGCGGCGCCGGAGGCTGCAGCTGAGGCCCATGACAGCTTGTGCTGGCGGCCCATTAGGCTCCAACAAGCCTTTTAGGTGCCCCGGAAGTCGATATTTTCCGGTGGCTGTTTAGCGCGGTGCAGGGCTCGCTAACCTTTCCTTGCGCCAGAGTTAAATCGGAACCCTGGAGGTTGTGGCCGTCTCGTCAAACTCAGGCCGCGTCTGGGCTTCTGCATACAAACTGTCCGGCTTCACACATCGACTGCCCTCTGACCAGGACTGCTTCCGCCGTTGCCAGCGTCGCACAAACCAGCCGTGGTCTCCTGTAGGCTACTTAGGTGCTCAACCTCCCTTCCGCCGTACTGTGCTGTGCATGTGCTGTGCAAGTGCTCAGTTCGTTCATTTGTGTGCCTGCGCCAGCCGAGCACCGCCTGCTTCATCCCTGCAAGAACCAACACTGAGGTTCATCTCGATGGCCCCTACGTCGATCACCAACGATACAGATCACTCATTCGAAAGGATTGGAGAAGACAAAAGCTCTTCCTGAGTTGCGCGCTCGGTCGCTGGGTAGTCCTGTGTGGATAAACATGGACATCAATTCTCTACTGTCTCCGTCAGAAACGCCGCGTTCAACTTCCTTGACTCCAAGTGTTGAATCGGTGAAATCACCATTCAAGCATGTTCAACGGACACATACTGGCAGCAGCAGTCAACCTGCTGCAAGTTCACCTCTTTCACGGGCCATCCTTCCACCCTCCAGCATCCCCGCCCATGTGAGAAGTCCTTCGCAACAGCCATCCCACTCGTCACCGCTCATCAGTCCCGTTCCGACCGCCACGCTCTCCGGCCACTTCTCGCGCTCCTCCTCTTCTCAGAATATCGAGACTCTGGCCGATTTGGTCTCCCACTCGCACCCGTCCAAAAGTACCCCTCCAATTTCGTCGAGTCACGATTCTACGGACTCGCAGAAATCATCGGCGAGCATATTTCCCCGCCTGACTTCCGCGGGTACGGCCTCAAACCATCGTGCATCATTCGATATCGCCATGGTCGAGACACCTCAGCAAGCCATGCGGGTGGACTATTCTGAAACCTCTCTGCCCATAGAATCACAGCAAAGACTGGCAGAACTGGTAGCTTACGTTCAAGAGACGCCTTCCATGTATGACGCTCATAAAGAAATCATCAAGATTCTACACCAAGGTTTTGTCGATCATATATATCCCTCTTCTAGTCCCAACGCTCGCCGGGATCCTCGAACGTATGAATTGCTCTCTGAATTGCGGCAAGCTCGCGAAAACTTCGACAAGTTGTTCGCAGTTGGCGAAGAGCAATGGTTAGATTGGCTCCAGGACGAAAGCATCCTTGCTCAAACCGCCGAAGAGCGAGTGAACGTTGTGGACAAATGCCGCCGCGCTGTCGAAGAAGAGTACGGCAGCGCCCCTCTATGGATTACCTACGGTGATTGGGTATTGCATTGCTACAGATGGGCACTTGATTCTCCTACCGATGCCGAGGGAGAAGACGGAGAGGCCGAGAGACTTGTGGGTCGTGAAGTCTTTGACTGGAAGCTTGTCCTCGATATTTGGGACAAGGCGATCCATTCTACAAAACACGACATGGCTCACAGTCACGAGGTCTGGGATAAATACATGACAGTCAGATTTGGGGATGTTGGTCAAAAGCTGTCACCGGCCGATGCTGCAGCCGCGCTTGAGTTGTTCCAGGCACGACTTCGCGTCCCTCACGCGATGTGGGAGCAAACGTTCCAGTCATTCTCGTCGTTCATCTCCGCCAACCTCCCTGCAGAGTACGAGAGTGTCATGTCCACGACTCTAAAGGAGTCCTCTATGGCCAAAGAGCTCTTTGCGGAACGAGACACTTACGAAAGCGCGCTTCGGCAAGCTCAGGCCAATGCTGATCAGGCGCTAGAGTACTCGACTTTTGACCAGTACATTGTTTTTGAGCGCGCCGAGCAAGAGAAGGTCGCGAAGAAACGCAATACAAAGGGGAGACGAAATGTCAAGATTGTCGAAAATACAGAGTTTGACATGGTTTCTGCTCTCTATTCCAGAGCCGTGCTTCGTTTCCCAGCCGTTGTTGCTATTTGGGAAGCACATTTCGACTACCTAGTTGAGAGATCAAAGTCTGATCTACTCCCGCTGCTTGCACGGGCCACGAAACATTGCCCATGGTCCGGAGCACTTTGGAAGCAATATTTGTTGACGTCGGAGAATGCAGAGGTGGACTTTGACGAGACTGAAAAGATCAAACACAAAGCCACGAGCACTGGACTCCTAGACGCCGCAGGAATTGAACAAGCCCTAATCATCTATGATGCTTGGTGTGGTTATCTTCTCAGGCGCACGAAGCGGATGGAAGCGACTGAAGAGGATGCGGACGTAGCTGAAATGGGTATCAGATCGTCTATCGAGGCAGTGCAAAGCCTTGCATCCAAACAGGGTGCCAGTCCCGATTTTGACTCCTCGTTCAGGTTGCAAAGGAAGCATGTCGAGTTTCTCAAGTCGCAAGGCCGTTTTGACAATGCTCGCGCGCTGTTTGATGAGACCGTTGCAGAATTCGGGAAGTGCTACAAGTTCTGGCTAACTTTCTACGAGTTTGAGTTGCAGAAAAGCGTGCAGATGGCTTTCATACAGCATAAGGGTGAGGAGCGTCTTTCGACCCTTTGGTCGGCTCCATTCGCCGTCGGAGTTCTGAAGCAGGGACTTCAGCACCCAGGGTTGGACGAACCACAGCACCTGATAGATGCACTATTGAACCACTGCGAGGATTATGAAGATGCGGACGAGTTGCAGCACGCACTGGGTCTCGCACGAAAAGTCCAGAAAGAGGTTCTCGAGAGAAAACGCTTAGAGTCTCTACAAGCAGAAAGCATTGCAATATCATCTCGAAAGGCCGAAATGCAAGTAGCCAGCCGTACCGAGGACGTTGCCAATGGTCTCCACATTGGCAAACGGAAACGTGAAGACGATATCCAGGATACTGATAACAAGAAGCGAAATACGACCGCGGATGAGGTGCAGCAGTCTGTGGAAGACACTCTCGGACAAGAAGACCTCAAACGTGACCGCGAGCATGCCAGTATTCTGGTACGTAATTTGCCAGACAATGTTCACGAAACCAAGATACGACAGTTCTTCGACAGCTGCGGTGTCGTCAAGCATGTGAAATACTTGGAAGACGAGAACAGCGCCGTTGTCGAATTTGAGGATGCAGACGCAGCTACATTCGCTCTTTCCAGAGACGGCCGAGAATTTGAGGGAGCCGAACTCTCGGTGGTGTTGAACACCGGATCAACCCTATACATCACCAATTATCCCGCTACAGCCGATGAGGCTTTCATCCGGAACCTGTTGCGCCCGTACGGCGAGATCATCAGTGTGCGCTTTCCATCCTTGCAAAAGAACAAGCGACGTAGGTTTTGTTATGCTGAGTTCAAGCTGCCAAGTGAGGCACGAGCCGCAACCGAATTGGATGGTAAGGAAATCGACGGCCTGCGGATTGTAGTCAAGGTTTCAAACCCGGCAGCTCGACATGCAAGGATTGAGACGAACGACGATGGTCGCAAGATCTTCGTCGGACAGTTGCCATTCAAAGCGAAAGCGGATGACATCAACAAATTGTTCTCCCCGTTCGGAAAGTTGGAGAACATCCGAGTCCCTCAAGATCCAAATGCACGGAACCGAATTCGCGGTGTAGCATTTCTCACTTTTGCGACTGCAGACCAAGCGCGAGCCGCACTTGCCATGCATGATCAGGAGTTTATGGGAAGGAGAATCACCGTTTCGCAGATGGAAGAAAAGGGTCGTTCTTCCAAACAGGGTTCACGCATTTCAAAGTCGCCATCTGCTCAGGCCGGCGGTGCAGACCGAGCCAATGCCTCTGCTAAAAGGGACATTTCTTCTATCGAGGACCGAAAACAGCGGACGGTGGCTATAACAGACGTCCCTGACACTGTCAACGAAAGTCGAATAAAAGCCATGGCTGAGAAATGTGGTCCAGTGCGCAAGGTCGTTCTCAAGACGAACCACCAGGGTGCTCTGATCGAATTTGAGGAGATAGCGGATGCGGGCCGCGCAATGATTGAGCTAGACGGGCGTGAGATTGATCCCGGCCGACGAATCCGGGTCACAACCGAGAGTGACATGCTCCGACAGAGAGCTGAGCACAAGGAGGAGCAGTTTGCAAAGCGCTCCGTCACCAATCGACCTACAAACACTCCAGCACAAGGCCCTGTCCGGCGCCCAGCACAGCCTGGCGGTCGAAAAGGTGGGCATTTAGGCCAGAGGTCTGCCTTCTTGACCCAAACCGACCCGAAAAATGAGCCAGCGACAGCCACATCGGCGCCGAATGGAAAGAGAACGAACGACGACTTTCGGAATATGCTGAAAGGAGAATGATAAATCCAGAGAATAATTGCCCCATGCGCCGGTGGTGGCTCTTCTACGTACACGTTTGATACTTGGTGGTTCTCAAACCACAACACCATGGGCTGTATTGTGGTAATTCTAAAAGTCAACTCGACATGTGTAAGATAGATCAAGATACAGTACAATTAAACGATCTCAAAGAGATCTTTGCTACAAAACACTGGCTCGATTGTTTTATCTACCTCCCGATATGTATGGTGATGTTTGGACATGTTTGGCCTTTTGATTTCGTCTGTCAATTCCATAATGACGGCAGCATTGTCCAAGTTCTCAGTCTTGCCTTCGATTCCATCCTCAATGCCGCCTCGGTGAGTCTCAAGAAGATACCCTGGCCCTCGTCTTCGTCTTCGTCTTCGTTGATCGTTCGAAACCTTATACTTCAATCACGCGCCTCGAACATCACCTTTGTGTCGGTGTGCTCTCAAGTCCACACTCCGAGTTTGCTGCATTGAGAGGAAGGGGGGGATCCTGTCAGAGGTGGAAGGAGGACATGAGGCGAACTCTAGACTTGCAATTCTGTACATAGAGACGCCTCTGGATTTGCTCGCCTGAACAACGTGTGGACTGAGAAAATGCTCGACAAAGGCAATCGTCCACAAACGTCACCTCACGCCAGTCGAAACGTTGCCTCACAAATCCTAGCCAATTTCCATCCGAGTGTTCAAATAATGGCATACACTGATCGGTGTATACCAATCTTATTTCTGGCCGTTGTGCAGCACTGATACTGTGCTGCATTCGTTTGCTCTCTTAGAAATGTCGTGTGCTCCGTCGTGGCTTCCACATTCTGGGATACCAAGATCTGCTTAATGTCGCAGTGTCGCTTCGTCGAGCATAACACGAATCATCCAGGGGATATCAACATATTTGCACACCACCGCCTCCAATGCGGTTTGAGGCTACAGTTGCTCGCCAACCACTGCGATCGTGTGCACCGAAATAAAAGCTGGGATTGATCTCGAAAAAAGAAATCCCTCCTCAAGACCGAGAGTTTTCGGCACTCCTAACGGTCAATTGGATCTGGCAAACCTTCAGAACTATCCGGTCGTTGATAGTCGCCCGGAGATAGAATGTCAACGTCAGTGCGTTCGAATAGGTTGCTTTCAAGACGGCAGACGAAAAGCATACGTCCAGTGTGCGATATGTGCACAGCAACCCTCTCTGATCGCAAAGAGTCCTTCTCTGGAGCCCAATATGAAGATCCGAGCAGAAAAGACAAGTCAACACGCCAATCTAGCTCGCAGTGATTGGGGTCAGAAGTTCCAGCATCCCTCTCGTCATTCCTGCCAGCTGTGCACGGTTGACCTCATCTTGCACCTTTTCTCGCAACTTGTTGACTTGTCGAGCAAGAGGTTCGCTCTCAGCAAGGTGTTTGGAGTACAAATCCATAATGGCCATGGATACTTCCACGCACAGTGGAACGACAGTCGAATTTGAGATGTTTTTCCAGACCCAGCTCATAATAGGCTGGAGCTGGGTCTCGTCGCGGCCTTCGAGTGCTGCGCGCAGGGCAGATCGGTAGCGGAGGGTGTTGAGAGCAGTTATAACGGTGATTCTGTCGCCGACCGAAACAGCAAGGTCCAAAGCCATGTTGTATTTGCCTCTATGCAACTCTCGCTCCCAGGCGGGGATTTTCTTTGGCCTGCTGCGGACGTTGCCCTCGACGATGATATCTGCGTCATCGCCAGCATAATCTCGACCTCGCAGCCGCCTCTCCAATGCTCTCGGGCGCTTCTTTGCTTGCTTTTTATCATATTCGTCGATTTTGCCTGCCAGCAACGCTTCCATTTGTTTCTGTCTCTCCCGCTCCTTCACTTTCTGCTCCCCGGATAGTCGAGTCTTAATACTTAATTGGCCCGTAGACATGCCCACCACAACATGCTTGTCTTCACGTGGGGTACCAGATGAAACAACCTCCAAAGAAAGAATTGGTGAAGGATATTTGGAACCGGCGACGACATTCCAACCGGTGGTCTCAAAGACTTTCATATGTCCATCGAGACCTCCACTGACAAGTCTCGAGTTATTTGATGCCAAACGCAGGCACGTAATGGTCTTTTGGTGATTCTTGATTATGTGCAAGGGTCTGCCTGCCACGATATCCAACACTGCGACTTGGTTGTCCGCAGCAGCGAGGAGAGTCGTGCCTGACGGCATGCAGAGAACATCTTCGACTGAAGCGATGTGTTTGAAACTCATGACAGCACCGTCGGGAGTACGGGGATCCCAGAGTCGCACGGTCTGATCATAACTCCCAGAAACAAGCAGGTTGCCAGATTGGCCGGGTAAGAAAGAGCCAGTCCGTACATAGTCTTGGTGGCCGCGAAAGACTGCAACACTGCTCTCACTGGGAAGGTCCCAAAGTCTGACAGTCCTGTCGTCGCCGCAGCTCATGAGCGCCGTACTCTCCCTCGGGCTCCATCTTACATTGTGGACTGCCTGTTTCTGCTCCTTCCATGTTTTCAGAATCGCTCTCGAACTCACATCGAAGACTTGAATTGTACCGGTCTCATCTGCGGCTGCGAGGACACGCCCGTCATATCTGGCCTCGCCGCTGTAAGCTGTATCGTCGAAACGGGTGATGGTCTTGAGGAGTTTCCGGGTTTTCACAGAATAGAGTTGAATGCGAGCACCGGTTGTCACCGTGAAGAAGTCCGGCGATGTTTGGGTCGAGGCGTGTGGTTCTGGCTGCGAAACATGGGTGATCGCATGCTTGGTTGGCGATGGAATGTTCAGCGGCGACTTGAAAGATCTCCAGTATTGCTGTTCTGGAGTGAGCGACGACGGCCGCGAAGGTAGTTTGACCTGAGCGATGGGCTGCACGTCAGCAGCCATTGTGAATTAAACTGTGGCTCGAAACCACCTGGTTGACATGCATAGAGAGTGGTTTTTTTGCGCGAGGATGTTTCTAAAACTCTCGGAAATTTTTGGATGGATCTTATCTTATCGGCCACTACGGTGGATCAAGAGGCCAAAATACGTGCAGGCCTTCAGCGTCGCAGTGTCGTTGTCGCGTTCTGAACCTCACCGACTTGCTCCTTTGTAGCTTTTGCAAAAGGTCGTCTTTTGTCAGGCTACATGTTTTCCAAGACAGCTTCATAGCTACGTCTACTTTGCGTTAGGCAACGTCTTCTCTGTCGCTATGTCGAACGAACGGCCAGAGGAGAGTACAGTGCTCCTAGATCAATGCCTACCTCAATTTGAGTCCGTCCAGGTTGATCTAATCCTCAAAGCTTGGTGGAACGACGTGCAATATTGCTTGTACACAGCCAGTCGCCTTCCCTCCTTTTGAAATGACTGACATTCTAGTTCAGTGTGCGACCACCGCCCGAGAAGATCGAAGTCGTCTTCGATCCGTCCGAGCTACCGCCTCTCCATTATCCTACCCCTGAACATTGCCTTGATGAATCAGAGTACCCTGCGGAGCAGTTTTCCATCTAGCTGAGACGATGAAGCAAACAGACATGCATAGCTACGAGATATCGCATCATCCTGTTGAAGGGACAGTTTTCGTATGATATCACTTCACTCTCTTCACGCTGACCACGACCACACCGTTGCTGTTGGCGCCGGTGAGTTCGCAAAAAGGCTTATTCCAATATCCATCGTACACGGTGACGCTTCGAGAACACTAATGACTGTGCAATCTGTAATCCTCTATCTGTTCATTCGAAGATTCGTGGTCGCAAGAAGCGAAGCACACAAGTAAAGTATCTAGGAACCGCAGTCAAACGCCAATTGGCCACCACGATCGAGGGCATTTGTGCTGATGGCACCGCTTTGAATCCACTCCTCTTCTGGCTGACACTACTCAGTCATACGATTTGGTGCTGTTTGGACCCACTCACGACGGCATTCTGAGATGGCGTGGAAGGCATGTATCGTAAAGGCGACGACCCGGTCGGCTGAGAAACATCGCACCAATTATGTGGTGAGAGCGCAAAGCAACCTATCTCGATCGTGTAGAAATGTCCAGGAAGCCCTGAGACACGGCTTGAAAAAACAGATTCTGGGAATCCCGTCTGATACGAGTTCAATTCAGAAAGCGTGAGCCGGAGAGTTAAGGTAAACTCAAGCTCAATGTACTGTGAAGTTGGTATGGCTGTGGCTACACTCAGTTGATGGACCGCGTGTCACCACTAGGTATGTCACTTTGAGGTGAACCGATTCTTCACACAAGAGCACCCCGGCAGTATTAACTGTTCACCTTACCAGTCGGACGGCGTCTCGACTTCTTATCATATCTATCTAGTTGGACAATTGGAAACCATCTAACATCAACACCGTCTCCTGCAGCACGGTGAGGCTACGAGGACTTCTTCACCACAATGTTCTGTTTTGGCTACAAAATGCGTTGCATTGCGATCTTCCTATTGTGAGTGTCGCACGACTTTCTCGCCCTCCTCCCCAGCCGCATCGTCTCGGCCATTGATAGAGATATCAATATCTCCGTGATGATGACTTCAACGATCTCCCCCCACCTGCGACTAGATACAAGGCTCACAAATACATCTTCTGCTTAGCTTCTTCCTGCCCTTACTACCGGTGCTGGCTTCTCCCCTGGAAAACCGCGGTATTGAACTAGTTCCTGCTTACCGCAACCCAACCTACCGCCCCAATGCCACCAAAGCGCTCCTTCATGCCTACCACAGATATGGTATCAAATCCTTGATAGGGCCGTATCATCGAAATGAGAACAATGTCTTAGTCGAGCGACACAATGACGGGGCCTCTACTGCAGTGTAAGATTCCTACCAAAGCCTCCATGCACCGCTGACTTTCTTCCTCCTCACACAGGTTCGCAGACGACTACATGAATGACTTGTTCTATACTTGTCCAGTACTCATCGGCACTCCACCGCAGGTTCTTACTATGGTGAGTCAGGGTCAAGTTAATATCGGAACTGTAAGCTGACAGGGTAGAACTTCGATACTGGCTCTGCAGATACCTGGGTACGGTCAACAGCTCTTTCTGAACGTTGGCAGAGCAACAATGCCACGGTGTTTGATCCTGCACGCTCTTCCAGCTTTCAAAACATGTCTGAAAGTACCTTTTTCGTCTCATACGGCGACTCTTCATGGGTCAATGGAAAAGTTGGGACAGACATTTTGAGGATAGGAAACATTGCAATAGAAAATCAGGCCATCGAACTGGCAACTGCTTTAGCATCTGTATTCAAGACCATGCCGACCATGCAGGGGTTCCTGGGTCTATCATTCAGCACGCTCAACAAAGCCAAACCCCATCCAGTGTTGACTCCTGTCGAGAACATGGCGCTTCAACAGGACATTCCTGCCGACCACCAACTCTTCACAGCGTATTTGGGATCATACAAGGATGCGAAGGATCCTGACATGGGTCGATCCTTCTATACCTTCGGTGGCATCAACCAAGCTCTCGTTCCACCAGGAGAAGAACCACGGTATACCAGTGTCAACGACACCGGTGGACGTTGGAAAATTAGCTCCCCGTCTGTTGTCGTAAATGGGCAAGCAGTTGACCTTCCACACAATGAAGCTCTCGTGGACACCGGCACTACCCTGATATTTGTCACAGAGGAGGTCTGCAGAGTATTCTATGCGCAAATCCCAGGCGCTCTCTTCTCAGAAGCTGATGGTCAATGGATTTTCCCAACCGAAACCCCTATCGATCTTTTGCCCACTTTCTCGGTTGCCGTGGGAGATTCTCAGGTGGTCATCAACAAGGAGCACTTTCCTTTCGCCCCAAGCGGACAAGAGAACATGACTGTGGGAGCAATTCAGTCCCGGATTGGATTGTCCTTTGATATCTTAGGGATTCCTTTTCTTCAGAGTGTCTACGCTATCTTTGACGTAGGTCGGCGACGATTTGGAGTGGTCAATCGTTTTGATCCTACACCTAATGGGCCTGCGTGAGAGCTAGTGAGAGGCTGGCGCGGACTTCGAAGCACTGCAGAGATGTTGCCGCCCTTCAGGCGACAGTCCCGGAAGCGAATTATCTTGATCAAGTAGAATCAAAGCGCATTAAAGCAAATCGCCACTGTACTGTATCACGACTATCATGAATTTGCCCTTTACACCTACCTTATATTCGATATGCGTAAATAAGGGGTTGGAAATAGATCTTCTCCATACCTGCTCGTGAATATATTGACGACGAATGCAAAAGTGTTGGACTATCCCCTTACAGATGACAGGCGCAGAAAACAAAAAAAGAAAGGCCCTGCGGCTTTGCGGCTCGAACACGAGTCCCACCCTGATCGGTTTGGATACTTCTTCTAATTGGAAAAGAAAATCGAAAGAACCAAAAACAAAAAAACAATTGCTCGCAGCGAGCATTGCAAAGTATGTCCAAAGATTGATAAATGGAGCTTATTGGGCGTAGCCACGGCCATCTCTGGTAAAAGGCAAGAAATGGATTCTGCAATAGCTCGTCCCGCTCCAACTCAAGTTTTGAGTGCTTTAATTATATGAACTGCATTTTTTCCAGCACGTGATAGATATCTCCACTGGGTTAATCGGCTCCCCGCACTCGTCATTGTGGTCTCCGAGACACTGGTGTGTACTTGTACCTTTCTTACAACGGTGCCTCTGCAAAGTAACGTACAGTTATTCTGCGACTGTCTAAATCCTCCCTACTTGCACCGGAACGCTAAAGAACCCCTCAAGAGAAGACGAAACTCGCCAATGAGCAAAATGGCGGCGTGCATCTTTTGTAAGATTGTCAAGGGTAGGTATACTTTGACATCCTGATCACCCCATATCACGCACCCTCTCTGCCTCTTGTCTCTCTCCCCCTTTCTCAATGATGTTATTTGCTGACGTGAACCATTCGGATCAATCTAGGTGACATCCCGTCGTTCAAGCTCTTCGAGTCGGACAAGGTCCTGGCATTTCTGGACATTCAACCACTAAGCAAAGGACATGCTGTATGACAGACAACCCCGAGACCCGTGCCTTTCATTCCTTTGCCAAAAGGGAAAACATGGATATCCGCAGAGTTGAACTGAGACTGACACATGGCGTCGCGGGCAGCTCGTCATCCCAAAATACCACGGCGCGAAACTTACGGACATCCCAGACGACCACCTCACCGAACTCCTCCCCGTGGTCAAGAAGCTCGCGATAGCCAGCGGGGCTGAGAACTACAACGTGCTACAGAACAACGGGCGCCCGGCGCACCAAGAGGTCGACCATGTGCACTTCCACATGATTCCGAAGCCGAACGAGACCGAGGGACTCGGAATCGGGTGGCCGGCCACAGCGACAGATATGGACGCGTTGAAGAAGCTGCATGCTGATCTCAAAGCAAAGATGTAGAATATCAAAATGCCAATGTCGAAATGGCTCCCGTACACCCGAGAAGAGGAGGCAAGGCACCAAGTTGGTACCATTGACCTCTATGTACATGCTCAAAAGGCAGCCAACCCAACCAAAACGTTGCCATGCGAAAATACATACATTTCTTCTCAGCACAATCCCAAACCCAAGCCAACCCTCCTGCTGCGGTATGAAATGTGTTGTCAGAACTATGCTGCTCGTATACCTGGGCAGGTCCTTGAACGGCAACCAAGAGTCAAGGTCAAACGGTACCATAGCGCAGGTCTTCCTATGTCCTTTCAAGACGTTCGCATTTGCCTGGTAGGTACCTAGGTAGTAGGTAGCTCCCTACCTCGCTGTTAGGTTTGATCACCAGCCGCACAACACGATCCATCAGACAATTTAGTACGACAGCAAGTCGAGAATCACGACAATGACCCAAGTGCCACATGCGTTAGAGTACATATATATCACTTGCCGTCGTCCTCCGGCGCTGGCCTCAACCTGGTGATCCGGGCAATACTAGGCCTCTCGCTCTCTGGTGTGCTTGGTGACTTCTCCTCGCTCGCCTCGGAGGGTAGTTGTCGTGAGGGCTCAGTGTTGTTGTTATTGTTGCTGTTGTTGGTGTTGGTGTTGTTGTTTTGTGAGTTGGACAGGGCGAGTTGGTCCCGCAAGCTACGAATGAAGGAGAATGCCACATCCTGCTGGCTCGGCGTATCTGTCGTGTCACCATTCGTCATGGCGGGCCGCTGGACTACTCGAGCCCCTGTTGTGTAACGTGCGGCGAGCGTGGGCAGTTCTGCACTTAAATTGTAAATAGGTACGATTGTCAACCCGTTCGGGAGTGTGCTGGGGTTGTAACTTTGCGCGGGACGGTGTTTCTTTGCCCAAAAAGGCTCACGTCGAGTCCAGCTAGGTATCAATACTGTCGACTTGATTTCAGGGCAAATGGATACACAAGAGATGTCAGAAATCAAAAAGAAACCCGAACTATGGCACCTCCGGCAAATCCCCGTGCAATAAACTGAGCCGAAATATTCTACCTGTAGACAGATATATATCGACGTACCCGCCCTTTGGCAGTGATCAGTAATTGACCACTCACACGGTCCCGTCACAAGCAGAATGTAAAGGCAGAGTGTAAAGATGGTTGACGACGCTGGTTCAGGTCACGTTCACAAGTACTCGGTACTTTAAGAAGCAGGCGCGTGAGCAGTGAGCATATCAGCAGGTCCTGTACGACGCACAGTATGAAATCTAAAGGGGAAATTACAAGCCAGATCTTCAATCATCCATATAGTTGACCTATTTGAATCATGATCTTATGGTTAATTAGGCAGTCAGGTTGGCTCACTCTCCAGACATCAGCAGCCACATTCGTCGGCAGCACTGTTCCATATAAAACCAATATGCTTTCCAAAGGAGTATTATGGCAGACGGAATATGCCAAAACAACGCGTCTTGTATCTCGCCAGAATGCTACAGACGCGTCGAAGTCCCAGAGGGAGGTGTAGCCGACCTTATATATCTTTCATCACTGTGACTCAGGTAGATTGAAATACCGCTCACAGGCGGCGGGTTGATGCCCGTGAGATGATGCACGGAGGTGGTGGTCGACTCTTTCAAAGGATATTTCTAGTTCTGGCGATATCGATATTGCAACAAACATCACAAAAATCCCGACACAGAGGGATCCAGGCGTCTTTAGTCCACATCATCTGCGTGGGTTTCGACCGCGGGCGCTTGGGAGGTCGGGACCAGGTTCTGATTCTCCCCTGTTCCTGGTGGCGGTGGATAGAAGTTGATCTTGCCATCAGGGGAGATCATTCCTGTACGGTCGTAATATGTCCTCGCGCGGACATACTTGTCCAGTTGCCAGTAGTTTTCGTGCAATTTCGTTGCCAGCCCGTCTCTCTCTTGTTTGATTTTTTCCGAACTACCACTCGCACCACAGGCGATCCATTCAAATGTTTTCTTTTGATACTCTTCAACTGTGGTTTCCCGTTGGGCTTCAAATTGTTTCCGGGGCCCTTCTTCTTTCATCGCGTCATTCTCACCAGGGATCGGCTCCACGTACTTGTATTCCCAGTCCTCGTCACCCTCGAGCTCCTTGATGATCTGCGATTTGGGGATGAACTTTTCTAGATCCGACACATCAGATGTAAAATGGACTTTGCCCGCGACCACCGGGTCAAGCCATCCTCGTATTATTTTCCAAATGCCCTGAAATAGCCAAGGCGCCTTGTGTACGAGCACTGCCCCAAGCGACTCCGGATAGTTTGCTTCGAAAATCTTAATCATGAATTTAACAGGAGTATAATCCATATTCGCCATGGTGAAATGGCTCATATCAAAGAGTATGCACTGGTAAAGTGTAAGCGCGTTCCACGTCCGAGTGAGCAGCAGAGGTTTACACTTACAGCAGTTTCCACTGGCGGCCTCAGAGCCAGTCTAGCAGTTTCGATCACATAGACCGTATACCGTTCTAATGATTTTTCAGTTTGCTCTCCACCTCTATGCAGCCTCACGCGAACAAAACAGATGGGTCGACCCTCTTTATCGGTTCCGTGCAGAAAACTCTTCCCTAACCTAAGCTGAGTAAGAAAATCAACGCCCTCACGCTTGACGGCAGGATCACTGGACGAAGAGTCTTCAAGGGCACCACCTTCTCCGCGCAACACCACATCATCATCGACATGTTGTTCCTGACTTCTCCACCGCATTGTAGATATCAACATAACCAGGGCCTTGTCGACATCCCATTTTCTCGCCCGGAGAAACCGTAACAGAAGGGCGTCCGGATGGTCTGCTTTTACCATGCTCCAGAATGTCCTCCGCAACAGTTCGGGATCTTGAGTGGCCAGAATCTCCTGAAACTCTTTCACCTGGCCGTACTTGTCGTCATCGGCATTGTCCTTGGATGGGGTCGTTGACCCATTGCTCGAGTCTTTCTTGTCACCATGTCTCTTGAAGACACCAAGTCGCCTCTTGCTCTTTTTCTTGTCTTTGCCATCTAGATCTGTAGCACGGGACTCCAGTTTAGTCACAGGTGCATCTGTAAGTTCGGTGGGCTCTACAACTCCAAAGACTTTCAGCGTCGCGGCCCACAACTCCTGTAGCTTTTTCTCCTGCTCAGGCGTGAGGTTGCCATGATGTCCGGGAGGAACAGGCATATCTGTGTAGAAAGGGTCAGACGTGTCTTTCGCAGGCCTTTCCAAAACGCAAGGTGGGACGTCGCTGGCGCTAAGGTCGCGTGCCGTTTTCTGAGTGTTGCGCACAAAGTAGTCAAGGGCTATGCCACCACCAAGGACGAGGCCGAAGAGAAGAAGGTAGGAAGCCGGGAGGGAGGCCTGGAGAGCTCGCGCGAAAGGCTGGCGACTGTGGATTGGTCTACGTTGACACCACGGGGCGGACTGAGAGATTGACGACTTGATACCAAACTGAGGGCCAGATGTTTTGAGTCTGGCCGGCTGGGCTCTCGTGCGCAAGGGTTCTAAGGAAGAGAAAAGGGTCGGTCGGACTGACAGACGCTGACAGAGGCAGAGTCGCATGTAGAAGACCCTAACGGAGGAGCTGGGAAAATTCGATTACTGTACTCGGTATGCCTTATGAGTTATGGGGGAGTCGATGAGGTATTGGGCGTCGCTTAGAGCCGAAGCACCCGTGGATTAACTCAGCGTGGGCAATTACAATGCGCCGCGAGGGACGCGTCGATCCACAGAAATGAGAACAGCCACCACGGAAGCACTGAATGCCGGCCCCAGAATACGGTTCGGTCGAAGTTTTCAGGCCAACTCGATCAATTTGTACCACTTGGCGTCCAGCGATCGAGGGGCGGACTCGTAAAATTACTGAATATGCATGAGCAGGTGTTTGGTGGAGGCTGACAGAAGGAACACATATACTGTACCTATAGATACCTAATAACTTGGTGGTCCTCCGCGCAGCTCAGTGACCACCGTACACATACCTAGGTAGTTAAGCAAGATGAAGCCGCAGTCCGCTGGGTAACGAGGATGGTAGAACCTCCAAGTGACCTGCATCCTAGAACTTCTTTATCTGGGTCCTGGTATGGCTCCAGGGAGTCTCTGGTGGTGAGTCCTCCAATCTTAGAGAGCCCAATAGAGGCACTTTAGGTGAGTCAGCCACCTATAAGTTGCCTTACGGGTACCTATACAGAGTACACCGGGGCACCCTCGGCACCCTCATCAGCCTCCAATCAGAGTTGCCTGCGCCCGCTGCCTGAGGCACTTACCTGGCTAACCACTAATGGACTTTTGCAAGACTGCATCGTCCTTCATATCAAGATCAAATCGCTTGCCTCGTCCAAGTTGAGGTTACACAGACAGCCGAACTTCTCTTCTCTTCCTCCCTCAACCTCTACTCTGTTTCCTCTTGTCAATCATATTCCTCGGGCAAATGCGGCTGTTAAACCGATCGTCCTCTTCCCGTCGGTGACAACGAGCGCTACTGCTCTTCTTCCCAATACCTCAACACTCATTCACGCCCTCATTTCCACTCTTCAATCAATCTCACAAAATGAAAACCACATACTCCACCAACGCCCTCAAGCGGTGGTCTTGTAAGAGCCGCGATATTCCCCCCGTTGCTCAAGTTAAAGCCATTCACGTCTACGACTTCGACAATACTCTATTTTCTAGTCCCCTCCCCAATCCACAAATATGGGCACCTCCTGCAATAGGAATGCTGCAAGCTTACGAGACCCTGGCATACGGAGGATGGTGGCATGATGTATCCGTTCTGGCAGCAACAGGAGAGGGCCTTGAAAAAGAAGAAGCCAGAGCATGGGAAGGCTGGTGGAACGAGACTGTCGTTCAACTCGTCGAGCTGAGCATACAGTCGAAGGACGTTGCCACAATTCTGCTCACAGGAAGAAACGAAACCAATTTCGCAGATCTGGTCAATAGAATCTGTGATGCCAAAAACCTTCGTTTCGACATGGTAGTGTTGAAGCCCGAGGTCGGCCCTGCCGGTCAAAGATTTGAGAGCACAATGAGCTTCAAGCAGGAATTCCTCCGAGAACTAGTTTTCACATACATCAACGCGGAAGAAATCAAGGTCTACGAGGACCGCCCGAAGCACGCGAAAGGATTCCGGGAGTATTTTGAACGACTGAACAAATCCCTGCTTTCCCATCCCGCCGATCAACCACCACCTTCGCGGAAACCTATCATCGCCGATGTCGTCCATGTTTGTGAATTGAAATCGAACCTGAACCCGGAGACTGAAATCAGCGTCGTCCAAAAAGCTATCAATCGTCACAACGACTCCGTGACCAACGGTGGACCAAATCCAACCAGGAGTGTCCGGAAACACCTGAAAATCACTGAGCAGTTCTCATATTTCGGTTACCTCATCAATCAGACGGACTCTGCTCGTTTGATCACTCTTATCACCGGATTGCCCGCAGCTCTCATCGACTCTGGAGAGGTTCGCCTCCTGGCCTCAAGCATTCTGATCGCCCCTTTCATCCCCAAGAAGAGCCTTGTCAAGAAAGTCGGTGGTCGGGGCAAAAAAGTAACGTGGCAGGTGACTGGTTTCACAAAATATGACGATCGCATTTGGGCGGCTCGAGTTGCCCCAGTATCAGAAACCCAGATTGTTACGCAGGACCCTATCCCACTTGTAGTGCTGGCGATTCGCAAAGGATCAAGACAAATCGATGCGGCAAAAATTCAACAGTGGGAGCCTGTTGCTCCAGAGAAAGCCTTCATGTTCGAGACAACCGTGGGAGACAAGGTTATGCTGAAGATCGAAGACGACTTTGCACGTGGCAAAGAAGGACGAAGGTATGAGAACAGCGATGGAGGCAACAAGCGCAAGCATGTCAACGACGACTCCGACTATACGCCTCAGTACAGCTATACCCGAAATAGTGCCGCGGATCGAGAGGAAGGATCCTGGACCGGGGACAAGCGTTCAGCCAGAGGTAGCCGGTTTGCCCAACGCAATGCAATTAGTAAGGCTAATTTCAATAACCGCAACAATCCAAATACTCCTGGCAACAAGCACACCGCGCAGGATTCCAACTCTGCTGGGAGACAACGTGGTGGAGGACCCGCCGTAGGGAGTGGGAATCGAGGAAGAAACGCAGCGGGCCCCCACTCCGGTGGCGGCGGTAGAGGCCCTCCTGGATACAAGAGTCTCGATGATTACGGCCCTGGCAATTTTGATGGTGCGAACGACCCCAAGGCTGGATCGGGAGAGATGGTGATGAACTACTAAATGCTGTGTGCCATGTGGTCTAGTTCGACTGGGTCGTTAACAAACCGAGGAAGCGACCTCAAGCACAGGGTATCCAGTTCTCCTTCATGGGTTATCGGGATGATGCACGTCTTGGGCTTTTGCAATGATACCATGTATGAATATTGAGCTACGGAGTCTGGCGTTAGCAACGATTCAGCAGTACTGCAGGTTTTAGGTCTGAGAACGAATATGACGACGGAGTTTTTCCCGATGTCAGCCTTACCGCGCATCCAGGTCCTCGTAGCGATCGATCCTTTGGCCGCAGGCCTGTTAGTTGCAAATCCCAGACCCAAAATCTATTGCAGTCATATCTGGATGTGGCACGCTGGTACCTCAGTCTCGAACAGCCTCGAACAGCCTCGAACCGTTATTGGCAAGTCTATCCAAGATGTAATGATGTTCCAAATTTATTTTTCCACTCCTATCTCATGGAGTTTTCATTATTCTACATCCGAAATGATCCAGGTAGTCGACGTACGATGAATTCCAGTCCTGTAGCCAGATCCCAATCGCCTTCACGAAGAAAGGCCATAAAATGCGATACTTGACATTTGCAAGAACCAAAAAAAACCCCCCCAACCAGACAAAGAAAAATCTCAAAACGATATAGGGTACCCAACGTAAATTGCAGAAGCCTTTAGGCAGGGAGGGAGGTAGTTAGAATCCGTCTCCTTCGTGCCATTCGCGACCACATTCTGCCGCGCGCAAAGCTGGATCAAAGCCCCTCCTCAGGGCGTCCTCGCGCAGGCGATCGAGCAACTGCGTCTTTTGCTTGATTTTCGCGACCAGGCCCTTGTACTTTTCGCCAGCCGTGACGCCCGAGTCCCACAGGGAGGTCAGTTTCTCCTCGAGGCGCTCGCGCTCTCTGAGCACGGCGAGCCAGTGCTGCAGGCCCGACTCGCCGTCGAAGCAGATGCCGTAGCCGTCGCAGTAGCATTTGTGCTGGGACGGGCAGAATTCGAAGTTCCCCGTGAAGATGTACTGCCACGAGTACTCCATCAGGCGGCCCGAGGTGTCGTCGTCGAGGTCGGTCGAGAGCAGCCAGGCGCGGTAGCGGAGGTAGTCGGCGCGCGGGCGCTGGCGGATGCGCTCGCGCGACACGGCGAACTGGGCGCAGCACGGCTGCGAGATGGCGGCCGGCACGCGCACGTCGGCGCCGTGCAGCTCGTGGAAGAGTGCGCTGGTCAGCGCGGGCTCCTCGGGCTTGTGCTTGAGGTCGTGCCGCCACCGGGGCCGGTCGACGTGCAGCCAGTCCGGACAGCCCGGGTCGAGGTGGCACCGCGTGTTGAAGTAGCCCTGCCGCACGACGTGCGCGCTGCTGAGCAGCTTGATCGTCTTGGCCGAGTCGACGTCCAGCAGGATGTTGTTGTGCCACGCCGTCCTGTGCGGGTGGAAGAAGAGCACCACGTCCGGGAGCGAGTCGTAGTGGTCGATGATGTACGTCAGGTACACCATCGCCTCGTGGCCTTTGTTGGCCGGCAGACCCGAGTCGGACCTGCTGCTGTTGCTGTCGACTCTGTAGAACTTGGTGCGAAGCCCAGGGATGTCGCGGGACACCCAGCTCACGTCTTCGGTCTCGAGGTGGCCCATGACCAGCACCCGGGAGTAGTTGTGCCCTGCCGGCTTGGCCGTGCCCGGCGTGAACATCGAGGGGTTGTAAAGGGACAAAGGGTCATTCTGACCGTATATATATTTCGGTTTGGACGAGAGCCCGATGAGCAGGTAGACCAAGGTGATCAGTCCCAGAGTCAACGATAGAATGGTGCTTCTCCGCCAAAGCATCCTAGCGGTGCGACTTATATCTTATCATTCATTGGCCGTTCACACAAGCTGTGGTGCTGCCCGGTCGCGGAGAGCACTTGTACGACGGCGAGTACAGATGGTCTGTTTCGCTTGGGGGAACTTCAAGGCTGCATCTTGAGCTTGTTCTCTCGACACTGCTATAGTCTCATTCAGTCACCCCAAGGACGGTCAACAGGATGATGGATGATCGGCAAAAAGTAGGGATCGTGCTCGCCATGTTCTTCAGGACAAGTTCGATGGAAAGGGAAAGGGATGAGGTTAAATGACAAGCGGATTCAGAGAATGCCAGAGCCTTGTCAACCTTGCGGCGAAAGCGTCGACCGCGCCGAGGCTGACATCGGGAAAACTCCGTATTGTGTTCTTGACTCGTCTTCATACAAGTCTACAAGTAGTTGTGGCATCTTCTATACAAAAGTTCTATTATACACACCGAATGAGAGGAGAAAGTGCGCCCTCGCTGATGAACATGATGAGCGATATGTGCCCCTGATCGTACATTCTGCAACAGTTGTACACGTCCGAAACGTCTCGTTCAATCACATCTGCCATCGTCCCAGCCGTCTTTCCACCGCTGCTTCCACAAGTTGCAATTAAATTCTGGCTTTCCCAGCTTAACATTGACAACATTATGGGCTTGACACATCCATTGCCCGAGTTCATCTTGCCCTTTGACTCTTGGTTCGTTGCCTGGTTTGGCCATCCACGCTTGAAAATCGTCGGCGCAGACCCAGCACGGATATAATTTGGAAAACGTGGATATGAATTGCTTCGTGATCGATTGCGTCTCTGGAGGAGCATTTTCAGGGTACGTGGCTGCTATACTGTGAAGGAGGGTCCATGTAGAGCGACCGAGTTCCTCGACATCCGGCGGGCAATCTGACACAGAGGTGGTGACTGGAACAACTGGCTTGGTGTTTTTGCCAGTCGAGGACTTCATCATCGCCATCCATGCTGCAGACGATGTACAGGTTCGACATCTATTCTCGTCAGTATTGTAGTCGTTAGCGCGAGACTTGCAAGGCACCCACGGTTTTCCATCTTTGTCCAGGACAACGCCTGGAGCATGCTGCTTGGGTGGCGCATCCTGTCTCGTCGCAGCATCGTCTCTGGAGCCAGACACCTGGGGCGGAAACGGAAAAGACATTGGCTCACCTCCGCCGCACAGCCGAATCTCTTCACCAAACTTCAGAAACCCCACGATACGTCCTGGAGAAACGAACCAGATGCACAGTCCAGCAGCAACAGGCAGGACACTGCAAGTGGCCGCAATTTGTCAAAGACCGATAAATCCGATGCAGGCTCGCTTACGTTACTATTTTCACACAATCCGATTGTTATGGTGTTTGCGGGGACTCGATCCTGCCCGTGAAGCGACGACTCACTACGGGTAAACTGTACGAGCGCAAGTACTAGAACGCTCCGTCGCATCGTCCCAGGATGGACGCCCCAAAGTGAAAGGGTCCACGACGCGTCCTCCACGTGTGGATCGTCCATATGCGAGTCGCAGTACAGGCTGCTGAGTCCCCGCACCACAGTTGCATCAATTCCTAGCTTACGAGGGCCATGTCTGACTCGGAGTTGTCAGAAGCCTCGACTGGTTCGGTGCCGTCCGATCGCGAGCTCGAAAAGAGCCTCCGGCAGGAAGTCACGAAGGCTCATAAAGCCAGGCTCGAGTTCTCCGTGAATGATATCCGCACGGCTTCAGAGCAGAGGCTCGGCCTTGAAAAGGACTACTTCCGAAACCATGAAGTATGGGCGAGGCGAAGCAAGGAGGTCATCAAGGATCAGATGGTTAGTCGCCTTCTTACAGCCTACATAGCCAGAACTAATGTGTCTAGACCGCCCTTCCGGACGATGAAACCTCCCCAACACAACCTGAAGATGAAGCGCGCAAACAGCGCAAGCCCGCAACAAAAAAGCGTCGATCTGTCGAACGGCAAACCACGTCTAGGAAGAAGCAGAAAATCGTGGAAGAGGAGGACAACTCAGAAGATGAATCTTCGCCATTGAGTGAGGTCGACTCAGATCCTCCCAAGCTAAAGTCAAACTCCAAAAAGCGAAATCCTCCGGCAAAACGTCAGACGACGAAGTCAAAGTCGAATAGTATGAAGACGAGAAAGAATCTATCCGAGGCCGGCGATTCTGCCGAAGACCGTTCTGCGTCCGAGGCACCTGACGAGGCCGATAATAAAGATGCGGATTCAGACAGTGAAATGTCGGTGCTGCTCGACGAAGAGCCCAAGCCAAAGAAGAAAAGAGAGGCGCCAAAAGGCAGGCAAAAGAAGCCTGCTGCCACAAAAGCGAAACCTGACGCAGATCTTGATCCCGATCAGGCAGAGATAAAACGGCTGCAAGGGTGGCTCGTCAAGTGTGGGATCCGCAAGCTCTGGGGCAAGGAGCTCAAACCGTACGAGACATCAAGGGCCAAGATAAAGCACCTCAAGGACATGTTGGCAGATGTCGGAATGACCGGTCGATACTCTATCGAAAAGGCTAATCAGATAAAGGAGGCCCGAGAATTGGCGGCAGATATTGAGGCTGTTCAGGAAGGTGCCGAACGTTGGGGCGCCGGTGAGGAGGCTCAGAATCAAGGGCGCCCTGCGAGAAGGCTGGTAAGAGGCGCAAAGAACTATGATTTCCTGAGTAGTGATGGCGAAGAGACCGACTGACGTCGCCGGACACCACGGCTGACTCGAGGAGATCCGTGTACCACCATCCTTGACTTGTATATATCATGCTCAGCAGAATATTTGTTGATTACCGGATGCTTTTGTTGTTGCTCATGCGTTGTGCCACCAGGCTGAAGACAGCTACTGAGGAAATGAACAAAACAAGGTTGTAGAACTACCCAGATACTCAGTGACACTTGGAATAGCAAGAGTCCTTAATCAATTAACATACCGCGTTTCGAGAGTACTCATTTTCCTCGGCTTCCGTGCGCGCTTCGACGAACAGCCGGCGTAGATTGGGTAGCGCCATTTTGAGCACCAAGTATGGGCTGGCTGGATCTAATATGAAAAGAAAGAGGAGCGCATGTGAGCAATGGAAAGAGGTGATATAAGAGTCGTTGTCCGGAGAAAGCTCCTCAACTGTATTCAGTAATTCTCGCTGCTCTAAGCACGCGATGCGTCCCAGGGTGACCACTTTCCTATCTACTGCGTCTGCGGCTATTCAATATTATTTCACTTTCAACCAAATCAATAGCAAAGGCGGTCATCATACCGGCAATGGTGGCGAGATAATATCCAACTCCAAAGCAAAGGGGGTGTCACCGACTATGAGAAAATATCTTACCTACCTAGCCTGCAGGGGCCCGTTGTACAACGCCAATGCTAACTACTCGTACACAACCGATGGTCAAAGCAATGCACATCAATGCAGAGCCCAGAAACAATTGAATGATTCTAGGTACTTACGGTCAGACTTCCCCTTGCTGTATCTTCCGGACTAGCTAGAAATTGTTATTGGGGCTCCCATCACCGGCTAGTGAGGCCTCACTTGCCCTGGCAGAACGCTGCAGCCTGCTTCGCCCAGGAACGCAGGCTCCAGCCATTTCCTGCATATAACGACAGCGATGCAAGGAATTAGTTATACCTTCAGGAGGTAAAGTGAGCGTCCGTTGTATTCTTCGTCTGTGATCTCGGTCATGGCGTCAGATCTCTGGTAAGTCCTCCTAGTCCGACACAGACTTAGCGAGTTAGACTAAAACTGTGTAGCCCTGTTTACTCAGTAAGTACGCGGTCGTGTCTCGCATTGTGACGTCCCCGTACTGATGCCTTGAGCGTCAAGCCCTTCTTCGGCGCCATGGGTTGCGCCTCAGCCATCGCTTTGACAGCTTTTGGCGCATCGTATGGAACTGCGAAGGCTGGGATTGGGGTCATGACGGCGAGTGTTCTAAGACCAGACAACATGGTCAGAAGTGGGTGCTTGGCCCTGCAGCACCGACAGCCATCGCATTGAGCTTTCTGACCGTGCTGGCAGGCTTGATGCCTATTCTGATGGCTGGAATCGTTGCCATTTACGGTTTGGTCATCTCGATCCTCATCTCGTACGGCATCTCAACCCAGCCGACACATCTGGCGACAAGTTTCACGCAGCTCGGAGCGGGACTTGCAGTTGGATTGTCCGGCCTCGCTTCAGGGTTTAGTATTGGCATCTGCGGAGACGCTGGTGTTCGAGCGACTGCTCAGCAGCCCCGTCTTTTTGTGGCCATGATGATCATACTCATATTTGCTGAAGTCCTTGGCCTGTATGGCATGGTTGTGGCAATGTTACTGCTGGGAAGAGGAGCCGGTGGCACGCAATGTTAAGGCTGGTGTGCTGGAGTCTGATTTCGAGGACTGAAGCATCCTCTGTGGCATTCCCATTCCTTTTTGAGGCCTCATTCCCACGCGGAATAGGGCTCGCGCCCTTGTCGAGAGCCTGTCCAGCCGGGATAGGTAGGCAACTATAGGACAGTATCGGTCCCGAGTTGGGTGGCTGGCATGTATGAAATACATTCTTCCAGTAGCAGGATATCTTGCAAGGACCAAACACAAGATGTTCTGAGGCACCAGGGCAAGTGACATTGATGGCTCAATATCTCATGGTGCTCGCAAGCATTGTTGGGAGCAAAAGCGCACGGGAAAACCTTTTGATCTCCTGGCAGAACTAAATTGCAGCTTATGGAGGACCTCAAGGTCAAGTCTCTGTAGGGAGTAACAAGCAAAGTGCCTGTATTAGCCCTGGATCAATGAGGCAACTCGCCCGATTGTTTCCGAAACATCATAGGTGTCTGGACGGGTTTGGACTGGCCTCGAACAGCGTAGGGCGGCGCCGACTTATTCCAAAACTACATAGGCACAACTGCAATCACTCGACGCCGCAGTCGAGAACATTGATTGTTTTCGACGTGATCCTGCGAATCCTTGTTCGACCTCAAGCGGCCTGAGTAGGCTCGGGAATCGTATCTGTCGCCCTCGCCTAGTTGATGTATACTTCTGGACATGGAACGATAGCCCTTCAATTTCCTACGGAGTACTAAGTCGGCCACGTACACTGTGACGAGGAACCCCTCCTGGCGACAAGATGGCTTTGAACAGGATGAGAAATGCGTTCGCGCCCCCGCGGAAGGGAGAGACATTTGAACTCAGGGCCGGCCTGGTGTAAGTTTCTTCCGTTGCGTGTTTGCGAGACGGAGTCGCTGACTATGGTCCTTAGATCACAATATGCCTATGAACGGTGAGAGCATTGCCACCAAGCTGACCGACCTCGATCTAATTCATCCGTTCTAGCAAGGAAGCAATTCAGAAAACCATCATGGCCATGACATTGGGAAAAGATGTCTCCGCGCTCTTTCCTGACGTTCTCAAGAACATCGCTACCGCAGACCTGGACCAGAAGAAGCTGGTATACTTATACCTCATGTACGTCTTCAGTGTTTGCACCCCTGCGCCGTACACAAGGTCTAACATATCACTAGGAACTACGCCAAATCACACCCAGACCTTTGCATCCTCGCCGTCAACACTTTCGTACAGGACTCCGAAGATCCCAATCCTTTAATCCGTGCTCTCGCCATCCGCACAATGGGCTGCATAAGAGTGGATAAGATGATTGATTACATGGAAGAGCCACTTCGCAAAACATTGAGCGACGAGTCTCCATATGTGCGGAAGACAGCTGCGATATGCGTGGCGAAACTTTTCGACCTGAATCCCGCCATGTGTCTTGAGAATGGCTTCCTTGAAAGACTGCAGGAAATGATTGGCGATCCGAATCCCATGGTGGTCGCTAACTCGGTCCAAGCGCTAGCAGAGATCAACGAGTCTGCCCCCGAGACAAACGCCCTTCAAATCACGCCCAACACCTTGAAAAAGCTGCTTATGGCACTGAATGAATGTACAGAATGGGGGCGGGTCACAATTCTCAGCACTCTGGCAGATTACAAGCCGCATGATGTCAAAGAAGCAGAACACATCTGTGAAAGAGTGGCTCCTCAATTTCAGCATATCAATTCTAGCGTCGTTGTCTCTGCCATCAAGGCCGTCTTCATGCACATGAGACAACTTCCTTCCGATACGCAAAAGTCCTACCTCAAAAAGATGGCGCCACCCCTGGTAACGCTCGTCTCCTCGGCGCCAGAAGTTCAATACGTGGCACTGCGAAACATTGACCTCTTGCTTCAGAAACAACCCGATATTCTCAGCAAGGAAATCCGAGTGTTTTTCTGCAAATACAACGACCCGACCTACGTTAAATTCCAGAAGCTTGAGATCATGGTGCGGATTGCGAACGAGGCAAATGTGGACCAACTACTTGCCGAACTCAAAGAGTACGCCCTAGAGGTGGACATGGATTTCGTCCGAAGAGCGGTCAAGGCCATTGGACAAGTTGCGATCAAGATTGAAAGCGCAAGCGAACGATGTGTCAACGCCCTTCTGGACTTGATCAACACGAAGGTCAACTATGTTGTACAAGAAGTCATCGTGGTCATCAAGGATATCTTCAGGAAATATCCTGGCTACGAAGGAATCATTCCCACACTATGCAAATGCGTAGATGAACTGGACGAACCCAACGCCCGAGGCTCCCTCATCTGGATCGTTGGGGAGTACGCTGAGAAGATAAGCAATGCTGGCGACATTTTGGGTGGCTTTGTCGACGGCTTCGCAGAAGAGTTCGCGCAAACGCAGCTGCAGATCTTGACTGCGGTGGTGAAACTTTTCCTGAAACGACCACAGGCTGCCCAAGGCTTGGTTCAAAAGGTTCTTCACGCAGCGACGGCCGAGTCGGACAACCCAGATATTCGAGATCGTGCCTACGTTTACTGGCGACTTCTTTCAAACACAAGCGACCCGAATGCGCCCAAAAATATTGTCCTGTCTGAAAAACCGCCGATTACGACGACCATCCAATCATTACCTCCAGCCTTGCTTGAAAGATTAATTGCTGAATTGTCAACGCTGGCTTCCGTATACCACAAACCGCCCGAGCAATTTGTTGGCCAGGGACGCTTTGGCGCCGATGCAGTACAACGGGCGGCGATTGAAGAGCAAATGCAGAATGCAAGAGAAAACCCTCTTGCAGCCGCGGCTGCAGCTGCGGCTGTGCAAGGCAAATTACCCGAAGCACAGAGCAACGTGGAGAATCTTCTTGATATTGACTTCGACGGTGCCGCACCGGCCTCGGTATCTGAAAAGCCTGCAAACGGTCTCTCCGGCCTCGAAGGCCTTGCCGGGACTCCTCAACGGGTTGACTCTCCACCTGCTGGTCAAGCCCCTGCAGGGAACAATATGGACGATCTGCTTGGCGTATTCGGCAACGGATCATCTTCAACGTCAAATACAGCGGGATTTGGAGGCATGTCTAATAGCGACATTATGAATGGCTTTGCGTCGATGGATTTGTCAGGGTCTCAACCACCGCCAGCGAAACAACAACTGGATAACGCCTCTGCGAAGAAGACAAATGAGGATTTGCTATCACTCTTTTAGGCCAATGTCCACGTGCCGCGGCACCTGCTGTCAAAAGCCGTGCCGCACCCACCTGTTAGCAAGCGAACTTTTTGGTTCTGAGATACATCAACAGATCTCCATAGGACCTCGGTGTGGAATGGAAAAATCGACTTCACAATCTATATTGATGCAATTGCAATGGTCGGTGTGACACTTGACAAATGACAAAGGGATTTCGATGTCATGATTTGAACATGATGGTATTTCATGGCCTCTCTTCGTTCTGCGCACACTCGACGCCGGAACGTTGAACGTCCCAAAAGACCCGGGTTCTTCGTGGATATGCTATTTCTGAAACCGCCCAAGATACATTCAATAATAGTGATTTTTATTGGCGGCCATCGAAACTCGAGTGAAGCAATATCGCTTGAGAGCGGAAGATGGTCGTATTTGACCTTTGTCGCTTACTATGTTATCATGCTGCGAAAGTGCACCCTCTGACGCATAGAGAAAAAAAATACATATAGGCTGTGACCCTTGTTGCATTTTCGATGAAATGTGGATGGCCCACCTGGATTTGAGTATATATATTCTTTGCGCGCTGATGAAAAGATTGTTCGGAAGTGGTATGAGCGACGATCATGAGATGGCGAACACCAGTTCACCGAAATTCAAGCCACTTATATATCTATTACCTTGATCTGTATTTGTCATTCCCATAGACCCTGGCCAAAAACCAATCCTCTATTTAATAGCAATTCAACAGCAACCTGGAAGCGCTTAAAAGTGACACCGGTTGTTGCCCACGGTTCTGTTCTCTTACTGAGGCTGACGCGCATTTTCTTACCGCACATTGGTTAGGGTACTGTACATACATACATACAGTACCTACCTACGTCCCTAGGTGGTACCTACGGTAGTATTTACCCAGGTTAAAGGTTATGGTAGGCAAGGTAACGTCCAAGATTGGAAATCTAGGGGTCAGGTGGACGATGTGGTCCGTCGTGAGAATCCACCTTTTCTTGCTCTTGTCGGCTTTCTGGGGACGTTTTTCCGACGAGTCGAATGGTGGATTGGTTGATTGATTGATTGATTGATTGTTTTTCTTTTTTTGTGAATTGTAATTTAATTGTACATTCGTACGATTGGGTAAAGTAGCACCCCGTGTGTTGTGTTGTTCACTGTGCCCGCGCTCCGTACGAGGAGTACCTTAAGCTACCGGCTCCTGGATACCTAGGCAGGCTGTGGTGACAGGTGCGAGTGTATACTGCCTTGTACGTACGAGTATACGAATACGAACGATGGTATGTCACTCGCCTGAACAGGTAACCAAGGTCGCAATCGGTCTGGAGGCCCGAGGGTACCACCAAACAGTGAAGCAAAAAAATTCAAAGTTGGACGATGGACGTTCCGCCCACGTGGCGCGTGGCGGATTTCGACGGTCGATGTCGTTCTCACTAACTACTATCGGACAAGTGGGTAGGGATAGGTAGAGCTAGCTCAGACTCGGACCCGGACTCGGACTCGTGGTTGTTGGTGCTCGTTGCTCAGGTTCGAACTAGTTGGTCAAATGGTACCTACAATACCTTTGAGGATGTATGTACAGAGTAGTTTGCACAGAAACGCCACCGTCGTACGTGACGCTGAAGTAGGTACCCAGCAAATTCGTTCATTTGTCTGCTCGGATTGCCACTTTCATGAGAGGTACTCGTACCCTCTTATTGACATCTCGACGGCCAGCCTCGAACATATGGGCTGTCCTGTACGGTATGTACAAGTGCCATTATCCATCGTCAATAACAACCCATTTCCCTGGCTCTCGTGGCCGTTCAGTTTTTGTCGAGTATTGTATCGTCGTAGATACGTACTGCAACACATAATTAGTCATTCAAGCCCACTCGCTACCCACGGTTGTAGTACTCTTACCTAACTGGTTCTGACAAATCTACGTAGACAGACCCCCCTATAAGGCTAAAAAGAGAAAGCTTGTCTTTCGGGAGGGGGGGGGGGACAAAAAGGAAAAAAAAAAAAATTAAACTGGATCCCAAACCACCGTGTTGGGACGCAACGTGTGCGTGTGTGGACCGGGCCGCGCGATTAATTTTCCCAACTGGGTCACCCTAAGAAGGCAAAGGAAAGGAGGGGGGGGGGTTTGTTGGTTCTTCTTGTTGACTCATCGGGTTCCATTCCCTTCCTTGGGCTGAAACCATTCGGTCGGCCCTGGGATTGTCCCGTGGCGTGGCGTGGCGCGGCGGCCAGGTACAGCAGGAGTAGGTGATGGCAAAGTGTGAAACAGAACCGCACATACAGTAGACAAGGCATCGCAAGTGCTGTAGGCCACCAAGGCAAGACCACCCACCATTTCAACCGTACGCAGACACTGAGTAAAGACGAACAAGAATCTTGACATGTATAGAATTTTTTTTTCATTTGATTTTAGATTTTAATTTATCTTGTCTGGACAGAGAAGTGCAGTTTCCAGACCATCGTAGCGATATACATCTCATATATATGCTACCGTTGTATGTTTCACTCCTTGGTGGACTTCACACAAGCGTTGTGCCATCTATCGAACACGGACGGACATGACCGTCGAGAAACAACGTGAAGAAAAACAACAGGTGTAGAGCCCGATGCTCATCCAATAGCCTGGTTCTTCTCGATGTTGTCCTTTGGGGCTGTCAGACTTGTTCGATAGGCAACCGCGTTGGTGGTCCCATTTCAACCTCCTCCTCGGGAGCCTTAGCTCATCGCAGTGTTGTCGAGGAGCCTCGCAGAAATTCATAGGAGCTGTAAAATATCGCCGTAGTTTTGTCGTCTGTCAAATCGAGAGAAAACAGCATCGGCTCGCTCAGGGTCTCCTTTCCCAAAAAACCAAATCATCGAACTCGACCAGTACAAACGCTGGTTAGGTGGTCGAGAAGTAAAGGGGGGTATATCAATCGAAACAAAGCTCCAGAACCAACAAGGTCGTGGAGATATATCAAACAAATTCGTCGTCGTCGCCGTCGTCAAAGAAAAGGTCGTAAAAGTGGTGCGCATGTGAAGTGTCATGTTTGAATGCAACTCCCTTCCATTCACCCACTCGGCCTCCTGGACTCGGTCCGCATCAACGTCAATCCACCTAGGTCCTCCTCGACGTCTTCGTCCTCTAGTGGGAACCCATAGTCGTCGAATCGAGGTTCCGACGAGGGCTGCCGTCTTCGCTCCTGTCTCGACGATGACGTCCTCTCCTCCTCCGATAGGTACTTGTCCTCTGTCGGCGAGGTTTGCAGTTCTCGCTCTGTTCGGGCAATGTCTTGTAGTAATAGTTCGAGGATGTGGTCGTGGCTGAGTTTGAGCCTCAGGTCCTCCCGCACCACTCGCTCCCCCGACTTTCTTCGGGCGGTGTCGGCAAGCTGGTATGTGATTTCGCGTGATAACCTCCGTTCAGGCGATGCAGTGGCCAGGTCACGTGAGGGCGGTCTGCTCAGCTCTTGCATGATGGAGAGCGGCATGATTGCTGATTGTTTCTTGTTTGGGAATTTGGTCGATTGGTGTGAGGAGGGGGGGTGAAGATGATTTGAGGATGGACCAGGAGTAGATATGTCTATCCGAAGCGGGAAGATTTCGTTGGTGGAGCCGGAAAAAAGTAAAAAGTCGGTGTCAAGGTGACGGGGACGATGGAGTATTGTGGTAGTTGTTACGCGTGTATGTCTCGCCCGTGTCCTTTTGACATGTGAGAGAAGATGGGACTCGTCGTCAAACTCCGCCTGAACTTTTCTGGTTCTCTGGTTTTCTGGTCGTCACGGGAATGGCAAAACGTAGGAGCAGGGAATCTTCGTACGAGGTGGCTAAACGTGGTCGTACTGGTGGTGGTCGGTGTTCGAATGTGTTGTTGTTGTTGTTGTTGCTGCTGTTGCTGCTGCTATTGCTATCGCTAACGTGAGAAAAGGCGTTGTGTACTCGCCCTGGTAGAGGGAGGATTGAGAGGAGTGACAGGAACGAAGCGTCAATCGCTGATGAGTTTGTATATATGATTTCGTGACGGGGTTTGGGATTAGTTGATGCCTGAGTCACAATCTAATAGAGTTTGTGATCGGTCAGCCGTGCCGTAAGTACGAGAAGGACAGCGAGGACCGTGAGTAAACGCCGTCCGGAGCACGGAGGAAGGGCGAATAATCAGTTCATTGCTGCGCAAACCAAGAGTCATTCGGATCCTAGGGCGTACCGAGTCCTTCGTACGCTCCATGAAAATGCCACATCGGAGAGCAAATGCCATCAAATCAGCATGGCCTTTTGACTCACGCCCAGGGCACGAGCGTCGATGGCGCGATGTGCTGATGGAGACGGAGAGAAGTGTTTGGTCGGATCGGAAGAAATGTGCCGTTGGCTGCAGCAGCCCAGCCCTTTGACACGGCCTTACGCTCGTAGTAGAAGACGGACCGGACAAGTCTGTCTCGCCGACGGCCCAGGTACCTGGGCGTGTATCCTCAGCCAAAGGAGCCCTCGATGCCCCCGTCCTAGGCACCGACGAGGCGCCGATGAGCCCCCGAGGCACCCGCAGTCAAGTAATAAGGTTCCTGAGGATCGCTGCCTGGACGGACATTAGACGCCCCGACTAATAACTGTAACTCCCTTGCAAAGTTGCAATAGGTGCTGCCTGCGCTACTAACTTAGTTAACTGACCTAGTGAGGCGTTGACTAAGCCCCCCGCGACAGGCGTTAACAAAACCCCGTACGCCCTTATCTCCCGCTTATCACGCCCTCTGTCCTCGTACTTGGCTTGGACCTTTTAACCCCCTCAAGACACGCCCAACGACGACGGCGTCACCTAATGCAACCTGCAATCCTCCTTTTTGCCTGTCACCCTTGGATACGGACTTGGAATTTGTGTTGGTGAAACACCTGTCTGCTCTCACGACACACCGAACCCCATGCGCTGACCAGTCGTGACTATGTACCTCGGTATCTACCCTCCCTAGTAAACTTACTTAACTGCAACACTCCGTAGGTTCCGAGTACTGTCCCTTTACTCGACCCGAGGACGAGGACCTGCTCGAATATGCCTCAAATGCGGAATCGGCGAGCGAATACGAGCTCGTACGAAGAACGTACTTGGCGGTCACAAGGACATCCAGCCGTCCCTCACCAACCATTGAACCCTGAACCTCACCTCGAACCCTTGAACCTTGTTGCTGTTGCTGCTTCGAACGATTGATTGGTGCCGTGTTCGTCACGAGTACAGTACGAGACTGAGGCTCAAGCTCCTCCTTCTACATCAAGCCATCTTCCTCGGCCCAACTAACGGATTGCTGTTCTTGTTTCTCGGTTGGCGGATATTGCGGGAAGCGTAGTGGCGGATTTCTATCACAGAGTCCGAGGTAGGTACCTGGAGCCCTTTGTCACCAGAAAGTCCTTGTACGGTACGTCGCAAACAAGTGCGAAGGAGAGGGGGATTTCCCCCAGAATCGAGATATTATGGATGGAACACTAGACCCATACGTGGTGGCACACAGTACTTTTCTTCCGCGAGGCACCTCCAGTAGGCTCAGGAACTCAAGATCCCCCAGAATCCCGGTGTGAACTCCGACCGAGGTTTCCATCAAATGCGCATCAGATCAGTTCCCACAGACCCTCTCTACTCGTATTGTATCCGACTTCCAGTCAACTGTCAAGCAAGCTACGGACACACTGTACTCGAGAGCGGGGAGAGAGCCGCCCTCATCCGTGAACCATTGCGGCGTGGCCACGGTCCAGCTGGTGTGCCGACCGCAGTACGACATGGTCAACAAAACACGGCATCTACGACTACTCCCTCCTTGGAACAAGATGACAAGCAAGGCTGAGTGTGAGCAATATTCCCGAGATAACCTCACGCTAGGATCCTAGTGGAAGTGGACACTCCCGACCGAGCCCGAGGCTTCAGTTATGTACACATCACAAGTATGGTGCACAGTCGACAACCTACGGCTGATATCGGAGCAATATATTCTCACAATTTCTGTACAACTTTGCTTCAACCCAAGCCTGCTTGAAATGATGGCATAAACATCACGGGAACTCGCACGTCAAACCCGGATTGTCCCGCGACATCGCTCCTATCCAAAGCACCAAGTCAATCATTTCTTCATCAAGATTTGACCATTTCCTTCTCTAAACTCTTTTTTGAACTCAAGACTTCGTCAGACACGTCCATCTTGTCCCCATCGTCTTGCGCGTCTTTGCCACCGGGCGCGTTGTCGACCGGTCGACCCTGATTGAAAAGTACAAGACTGGCACGTCGTTCCTTGGCCGCTTTTTCTTTCGCCAAGAACACTTCCTGTTCCTTCCTGCTCTTCTTGAGATCGACGAAGAAATACAACAGTAAGAAACTCAGCACGCTCAGCCCAAATAGAAAATAGAACGGTAGACTGTTGTTTCCATTCGGACTAGCATCGATAATGGCGCTGCTGACGATCGGACCGATAAACGCGGATGTTTTGCCCTGTGAACTCGTCAGAACCACTTCGCCCACATGCCCTGGATGTTAGGGTGGGCTAGCAAAACGTACCATGATAGAGTACAAGCTGAAGAACAAGAACTCTTTGCCTCGTGGCGTCACTTCGCTGATCATGGTCTGGCTGTAGGAATACCATTGGCACCTTGAAAGAATTAGCACTCTGCAACCGCCGCATCGACGTGTCGTCCATGACTTACACGACCAGACCATATACCGCCTGGTACAGCCAGAACTCCCATTTGTGGTGATAGCCTATCTTGTTGGTCCAAATGCCAATCATCCCCCAAAGATCCAACAGGATAATTCCGAGCATGACAAGATCGAACATGGTCTTCGTGCTGAGCCCGAAGTGTTTCTGGATCCTCCAGTAGCCCCAGATTCCCACCAGCTGGGTCGCGATACCGACCATGAGCATGTACGTCAGAGTCAAGGTGTTATAGCTGACCACGGAATATTGGAGCGTGGCGATAACCGTCACGGTTGTGTTCAAGCTGTCGCCTAGTAGGAAGTACCCTGTACGAGAATGTCAGTCCGGCGTGGGCTTGTGGGCTTGTGGGCTTGATTTTCCTCACCGATAAGATAGATCAAACTTTGCTTCAATTCCCAAATCTGGACAAGTGCCCGCCAGATGTTCCAGAACCCGACGCTTATGACATTCATGCCTGGTGGGAGTTGCTGGCCTGGGCGCCTTTTCTCGAGGATAAACCAGGGAATGGCAAGACAGATCCAGACACCAGTGGCGTATGCTATCAAAACCGAGAGACCCCACAGGTTGTTCGCGGCGCTAGCGTCGACATCCAAAGCGAAAAGAATACCCACGAGAATGGCCAGAATGACAATCTCGCCGGCACTCTGCATGATGAAGGCGACGTTGTAGACTTTGTTGCGCTCCATCATGTCTGCAAAGTCATAGTCTTCCCGAGTGATCTCGCCCTTTTCATACTGCTCGGCCTTTTGGCGCATTATGGGCTGGTTGCGAGCGAGGCCTGGGAAAGCCGCAGTCCAGAAGGTGATGGTCATTTGATATGCAATCAGTCCGACCATGTACAGTCCAGTCGCGATGGGCCACTTGTCCTGGGTATGCACTCCGAGCCAGCCGAAGCCCAGCGCGAATGCGACGATGGACCAGAAGATCAAGATCCACGGTCGCCACCGTCCGTAATCCGCCATGCTGCCCAAAAGCAGGAACAAGACGACTTGGATCGCGAATGAAATGCCATTTGCCAGGAGAACAATCGAATTGATGGTGCGAAAGGCGCCCAGAAACTGTAGTCTGCCTACATCACCCGCGGCTTCGTAAAGGAGATCCTGGAATGATGTGGGCGCAAAGTTGAAGAGAGTCAGTCCGTTGTTTCCAATGTAATAGCAGTAATAGGCCCATCTCTCCCATTTCGACGTCTCATATCTCGGGTCAAATTGATCGGGAGCGACGGGACGCTCTTCCTCCGACTGCTCAGGCCCGGCTAGTTCAGGATCCCGAGTAGCGTCTTCTGCCAGAGGATTTGTAGCCGCTGCGGCCACGCCTGCGTTTGCAACAGACATTGTGTTGTTGAATGTCTCCCTAAAGGCGCAAAGAGGGGTTCTCCGAGTAGAGAATTGCGCCCGCAAACGAGCCAGACAACCTTGGAAAAAGCGCTTGTTATAAGGAACAGGAAGGAGGCAACAGAAAAAATAGCAAATTTGTGCCTCCAAACGGAGTAGTCCAGGTGGCAACTGTTTACGGCAAAAGTATCCCAAGCCCAATGCTGAAAGAGGGCAATCGATGACAAGGTTGATTATGCTAAGGCACAATCTTTGGAGTTTGATAGCAAGGGTTTTCCACCTTCACGGGGTTAAAATGCTAAAGCAACATGGCTGAGTGGTGTTACAGCGAGCTGAAAACTTGGCTGGAAAACAGCCAATCTGGTTTCTGGATTTGTCCTGACCTGGATTGGCCCCATATCAAAGAGATAAGCTTGATTGAGGCTCGAGTCTTGACTAGGACAAGCTTGGTGGCGCAGGGCAGAGTTGGAGGCCGATCTCTGCCCATAATGCTTATCCATGTCAAGGACTAGCAGCCGTAGAAGTATGATAGAGAACTAGCCCAAGTTATAGTTTGCGCAGTACTCCGTACGAGCCATGGCTTGGAGCAGAAAGAGGACGAGGACGTGGACGAAGACGAATGAGTATCACGTGATTATCGGCGTCGGATATCCTTTACTCCGCACCCCGCCGCAAACAGCGATGAAATTTAGTCCTATGACGTTGAGCACGTGACGTAACGGGCGTGACCGTCTTCGTGCCTAGGTACTTGTAGGTGCGCCCCAACTCGTTACTTCGTCACCCTTCCGATCTTCGCGCGCCACAAAACTCTGATTTTGGCCAGGGGAGAGATTCTACGTTATTGCGGACGCTTCATGCTGGAGGCTCCCCGGCCAGAAAGCACCTGTCAACGTCATAGCGAAGTGCGTCACCTCGAAGCCTCGCGGAAAAGACACCCGCGGGTCTCGTAAAGATGCTTCGAGGCCTTACACAACAAACTCACAGGGTCCAACGAGAGCCTATGATCAGCCGATTATGTTCCTGACGATCAAAACACTTGCGTGAGGAAAAAGCATGGCAAGCTGGCTGCTGCGAATCATCGCCGATTGCCTGCTGGCGAGACACGAGGACATTGTGCGTGTGCTGACCTGGTCGCCCTTGGCGTGGTACTAAGGAATGAGGAGGAGGAATTCGTATGGATGCAAGTTATATTCCCTTGATATTTGACACCCATGCGCGATTATAGGAGTGGCTGTGATTTGAATTTTGACGTTCTGGAACTGTTGGTACTCATATTGCACTCCAAAGGCGGAGCGCAAGGGGGCCGAATTCGCCTATGGCGGTGCCGTAAGGGTCTTGTGAGTACAGATGTTTCTGGCCGATGGTGGTACACAGCACCGATGCACTGACTCGCAATCATGGCAGGCCGGACCAATAATGAGACGCAGCGGAGCATCGTCGATGTGTGTCGTGCTCAGGGTCTTCGATTCTGGCCCAAGGTCCAGATTGCGGTCGATGGCGCAGGGATTCGAGATGGAGCCCCGACGTCACGTGGGAGGCTTGCCCGTCGATTTTCCTAGATCTGGTGTGTGCAGCTCGATCGAGAGGCCGTTTTTCCAGCAACAGCGAACCCATCGCACCACACGCACAGCACGCCCTCACTATTTCCAGTTCGCTCATGATGCCCACTCGTACCAAGATGGTGCCTCTGGCTGCCCTTCACGGCGATTTGCTGTCCAAGCACTCTCGCCACAGCCGCACCCTTGTCATCAAGACTACTACTTCTACGACAGCTCCCCCTCGACACTCCTTTTACAACAAATCACGGCCAAAATACCCATAGCTCACACTTCGGGACTGCAGGAGACGACCTTCGGCGTGATCCCGCAGTCCAACAACTTCTCCCAGTAGTCAACGCCTCTCAACAGCGTACCCCCAGAGTCCGCAACCTATATCGAGAACGATTCCCTCGCCGAACCATTGCTTGCAATAGCACCCCGCCGTTTTGAGAGATGACGCAGTATGCCCTTCGATGCGAAACCGTCTGCGCCGTCACCTAAGCGCTCCTTCTTGTCTATCAGCAGCCCCAATCCTCGTCGCGCACATGCATCCGAGTCCATATCCCTCCCAAAAAGCAAAAAGGTGAAGCTTGCCCACGACTCAGATGGCTCTGGTAGTGCGGAATCAGCGCCCAAGACTGATTCCTCGAAGCTTCCCGTTGTCGGAAGCAAAGATTCAAGTAGCGATCAAAGCGCTGCCCGCTGGTTTGACAGGGTCAATGAAAATGTAGTCTCAACACAGAATAAGAATGGCAAGCATGAAGGTCGATCTAAGATAGAAACCATATCCTCAACTGCTTTTACTGACTCGCACCAGATGAATCCCCCTTTTACATGGCTCAGCAGCGGAGCTACCATGCACCTGGCCCCCTGCAGTCACAAGGCGAGGCTGCCTTTGGTCAACAAGGACAAGATGAAAGTGAAAGAGACGAGCTTCGTGGAGTCATCGACGACTTGACAGTTGAAAACAAAAGATTGAAGAACATCCTGAAAACCTGGCAGTCCCGATCGAGTCCGAAGTCGTCACAGGGTCCTGACCGGATCATCGAAGTTCGCATGCATGGCTTACCTGCAGAGAGGAAAAGAGAACTCGAACAAATTCTCAAAACATTTGCACATGGTCTCAATGATGGGGACTCAACGTCTCAACCCGGCTCGTCGCTGCCGATGGAAAAGTCATTGCCTAGCACAGAAAAGAGTCTGCCGACTGGCCAGAGACCAGATCAAACCAACACCGATTCAGGTTATGCATCCATCTCAGGCTCGGGCCTTAACTCGTCCACCGGCGCGGCGGCTCTCAGCGAACCTCTATCCAAGAGGAAGAAAGCCAAGGATATCAAGAATTATCTGCACGACATTCCCGACTCGCTCTTCCCTCAAGACACCATGTCCGTGAGCGAGAGTGCTAGAATGAATCTTGTCGTTCAGAGACTGGAACAATTGTTCACCGGCAACCGCGCAAAACCCGGTGAGCATAGCCTCCCTGTCCAACAGCAGAAGATATCTCGTGCTGCGGCAAAGGCGGATCGCGCAGAGAACCGTCGGCAAAATCGCGAAAACAAGGTGGAAGGATCACGTGAAGCACGGGTGCTGCCACCAGAGTCCAAGATCAACTTCGATTCGGCGGAACTAGAGCTGCCACAAACTCGAACACAAGGCCAGAATGGCAAATCAGGGGTTTCAGCCTCTGATTCACCTGCGTCGACCGATCGCCCAGGTTCTCCGAACCAGCGCCCCACCCGGCCTCTAGATCTCGACATCCATCGAGCTCAAGTGGCTGAAGATAACATCAAATATCTCCGCCATTTGGGTCTCGCATCGCCTCAGTTTGGTTCAAGCCCAGGACAAGAACAGCCATGGCTTTACTTGAACTTGCTATCCAGTATGGCTCAACTTCATACTCTCAACGTCACACCGGCTTTTGTTCGTAAGGCCATTAAGCAGCGAAGTACCATGTTTGAACTATCGAAAGACGGACATAGAATCCGTTGGAAAGGGGATGCAATGGCCCCAGTCTGGCCCGATACACAAGTAAGTCCGGCCTCGGCAGAACCCCGTGGCTCTGAAGACATGACCGATGAAGGTGGCCGTCACAGCGTGAGGGGAAGCAACACGAGTACTGTGAACGAACCTTCGATGTCTTTGTCAGATGACAAGAAACAACGCAAGTTAAGTACTGTGGGTTCTAAGCTTGTCACTTCCGTTGGTACTTCTTCCAACCTTGCTTTGAACCAAACTTCATCCAAATCAATATCGTCGGCCTTCGACTACAAGCCAATCGTGTTCAAGGGCAAGAGGAATCCCTTGAAGGCTGGCCATTCTTATCTCGACTCATCGAGCTCCAATGGAGAGTTTTCACCGGACGATAGCGATCTTGCGCAAGCGCTCAGTCGGTCAAGCCTTAAGTCCAAGGATGAATCTCGCGAGGGCCTCATGACCTTTTTCAGCAATCCATACTATTGCACGGACCTGAGCGGAGATCGTTCGCCTGTTAATCTCCGGTCTCTTGACCCCGAAGACAGCCGTGAAGTCCTGGGATTAGCTAAAGCGCATCAACCAGGAGACTCAATCATTCGGGATATTAACGCCTGCTATTACACCGCTCGAGCTGACCCAGCATTGCGAGCTTGGCCTACGGAATGCCCGGACGTAGAGATGGTATTCAAGCCTATCGAGGCGAGTGGAGAGGACGAGACACAACCTCTTGAGTTCGAAGCATCTGGGATCGGTGGTGTTAGACCAGAAGACAATTTTGCCCTCGACGTCAAGATTGCAAGGACCAGATTCAGGGATGGCGGTCGGAAGGAAAAGGGAAAAGGAAAAGCAAGACGAGGTATTCATGGCCAGGCCGAATATTCCTACCGCTTGGAGAAGTGCACCCAGTTGACTCTTCAACCATCTCGTCTCCCACCGCCAAGCTACGTCTTCCACACCAGTTCCTCGTCGAGTGCTGAGAAAGGCCACTTCTACGACGATGATTCCGACAGTGATGCTCCTGACGACGACTTCTCTCCCGGACCTGGAGGCTTGATGTGGCGATGGTCCTCGGAGTCGAACGAGCACTTGATAGTCGATGAAGGATCAGACGCCAGTTCTTCCATGGGGAGGTTGGAAGCGTCCCGAACAAGACTGGGCAACCCCGGCGCGGGTGCACGGGCAAATCATGATTTTATTATCCATCCCTCAGGCGGGACCATGAGCGGAAGCTTGGCTGCGACTGTCGGTGCCAGTTGGTCTGCCAAGTCCAACGTCGAGCAAGAGCCCGAACCGGCTGTTGAAGAAGACGAGACATCGAGCGAAATGAGCACTGATGAGGGAAGTCTTTGAGGCCTTTCTGAGATTTAAGCATGGCGCTGGGGGTGCTTTTTGTTTTGGTCACAATCATCCGACCCCTTCACTTACATAGATACCCAGATTGTCACGATAGACATTGGATCATGGCAGGAAAAGGATGTACATTTGATACATGTAAAGTTTAAGGCTGATGATATCAGTACCATTATCAACACGACAACATGTCTATTTCGATAACATAACACATCACGACAACATGGAGCAAGTCCCCCAGTCCGGGGACAGCAGTAGAGGAGAAAGTCCGCGTCTGGCGGGTATTGTCGGGATGCCTCGTCCTGCAAATCGATTGGAGGCTGAACGAGTTCGTGTGAGACGTCTTGGGCTTGATCCAGTCGGGGTGTTGAAAGGGGGACGATCCGAGGTGCTGCGAGGCATTGCGAGGTTCAGGATCCGAAACGGTGATTCCGCCGCCTCCACATCGGAAACGTCCTCGCATGCTGTTTGCTACACACCCACCACCGGAACCGAGCGCAGCAATTCCGGGGTAACGAACGGGCCTCTGTCTGAGGGAAGCGTCGGTGTTACTGGGTAAAGACTTATCCTCGTCCTCCACTCTGGCCGAGGCCGAAGACGGACTCTCTCTGACTCTGCTAGACTGCGAACTCACCCACTCATATAACCAGAGGGACGCCGGCTCGAGCACCTCCTCCTCGCCCTCACCGAAATCCAACCGACACCCTTTTTCCTCTCGATTTCTTCTGCTGTATCTGCTGTATCTGCTGTATCTGCCGTCTTCTTGCTTGGGTTTTGTCGACATTCGCAGCCAAAATGTCGTCCTTTCTAGACACTCCTCTCCGCACGGGCACGAAGTGTTTTCGAACAGCTCGCTACTTCACCCGTGATCAGCGCAAGGTACGTAGATGCACTGGACCTGACGATCAAGTGGTTTTACTTTTGCGGGTCAGAAAAGGCCTTTCTAACGCAATGCTGACGCTTTTTTCTCCCTCTCCCTCTCCAGGCAAATGTCGCCCTCACACGATCCTTCTCGTCGACTCTGCGCCGACATGAGATCAACAAAGTTGTCGCCTCGGCCGAAGAAGCCATCAAGGACATGGAATCCAACAGCACGCTACTCTGCGGTGGCTTCGGCCTGTGCGGCGTACCCGACACGCTCATTAATGCGGTCGCGAAAAAGCCCTCCATTACCGGCTTGACGGCCGTGTCCAACAACGCAGGCATCCCCGGGGCCGGTCTCGGCCAGCTCCTGCAGTCCAAGCAGATCCGCAAGATGATCGCCAGCTACGTGGGCGAGAACAAGGTGCTCGAACAGCAGTACCTGACGGGCGAGATCGAACTCGAGCTCACGCCGCAGGGCACGCTCGCCGAACGATGCTCGGCCGGGGGCAAAGGAGTGCCGGCGTTCTACACGCCGGCGGCGTTCGGCACGGTGGTGCAGACGGGCGAAATCCCGCTGCGGCACAACGCTGACGGCAGCATCGCGGCGTTCGGCAAGCCTCGCGACGTCAAGGTGTTCAACGGCAAGAGCTACGTAATGGAAGAGGCCATCCAGGGAGACTACGCGTTCGTCAAGGCGTACAAGGCCGACAAGCTGGGCAACGCGCAGTTCCGGCTCGCGGCCAACAACTTCAACGGGGCCATGGGCCGCAACGCGCGAGTCACCATCGTCGAGGCCGAGCACATTGTCGAGGTGGGCGAGATCGACCCGGTGTCGGTACACCTGCCGGGTATCTACGTGACCAAGGTCATCCAGAGCACGGCCGAGAAGAAGATTGAAAAGTTGACGCTGCGCAAGGACGACGAGGGTGCCGCCGACGTCAAGGACAGCCTGGGCAAGGGTGACGCCGCGAGCAAGCGCGAGCGCATCGTCAAGCGGGCCGCGCTCGAGTTCAAGAACGGCATGTACGCCAACCTGGGCATAGGCATGCCCATGCTCGCGCCCAGCTTCGTCGACCCGTCGGTCGAGGTGCAGCTGCAGTCGGAGAACGGCATCTTGGGCCTGGGCCCGTACCCGCGCAAGGGCGAGGAGGACGCCGACCTCATCAACGCCGGCAAGGAGACCGTCACCCTCAACCCGGGCGCCAGCTGCTTCGGCTCCGAGGAGAGCTTCGGCATGATCCGCGCCGGCCGCATCGACATGAGCATGCTGGGCGCCATGCAGGTCTCTGCCCGCGGCGACCTGGCCAACTGGATGTTGCCAGGCAAGGTCAAGGGCTTCGGCGGCGCCATGGACCTGGTCTCCAACCCGGAAAAGACAAAGGTCGTCGCGCTGATGGAGCACACCGACAAGAAGGGCAACCCCAAGATTTTGAAGCAGTGCGAGTTCCCACTGACGGGACGGGCGTGCGTCAGTAGAATCATTACTGAATTGGTAAGTCTGTGTGTCGTGTGTATCGCGTGTCGCTTTTTGTCAGGTCATGTCGTGTCATGTCGTGTCGTCCTCCCTTCCCCTCCCTCTGTCTGCCTGTCCGACACTACACTATCACTTTTCCCATCCCAGGGACCTAATAAACACAAATAACAGTGAGCTGACATGGGTGTCATTTGAACAGGCCGTTTTCGACGTCGACTTTACACACGGTTTGACCCTGATCGAGGTCGCCGAGGGCGTCACCGTCGACGAAATCAAGAGCAAGACCGACGCCCCGTTCAAGGTTTCTGAAGACTTGAAGACCATGGGTGGAGCATGATTGATTGATAGAAGTCGACCGTCTTGAAAACAGAAGCGGGGGGGGGAAAGAGAAAACCCACCATCTGCTACCATCACGACCTTCGACCTCAACACATGCGCCCTCCCCCTTCCCGACGAGGTACCATCCTCAGGACCGATACCACCGCCAATATATCGTCACCGCCACAGCCACAACCACAACCACAACCACGCCCCATGACCACCACTTCAGAGTATTACCAGCAGTTTATCATGATTTATCTATCTATCTACGACAGTTTTGATATTTCAGCCACCACTGGCATCAGCAGCAGCACCTGCGACTCTTGCTATCGTCCTCCTCCCTCAAATATGGAGATCTAGGTCCAGGTCCAAAACTGTACAAAAACGTACCGATTTCACTCTACACATGTATACATTTTACCAACATCTGCCACCCGACGACCACCACCCACCTACCCATCCGTCAATTGCATTTAAACCCTCCCCCCCTTTCTTCCCCGCAAAAAAGGGTCAAATGGAGCAAGGGCCGCGAGGAGTCGTCTGGCACCATCTGTCTCTGTCAATGATACGATAGAGACGGGAGGATTCGATGACCTTTATCCGATCGAAGAGGGAAATCTGGCGGAGACGCAAATCAGTCGAGTTAGTCATCTCAGTAGTCTATAAAAATCCTGCAGCAGATAAAACACCGAGGGAAAAGCCAATGTCAAAAAACACATTAACATAATAGAGACTGGATGATTTATTCTTCAGTTCTTCATGTCTCTCTGTCTTTTCATCAGAGGTTCTCAGATTGATTATCATGTACCTACTTACTCCTCCGTACAGTACCTGGACTGCAAAATTTACTCGTCCCCACGTGAACTCCTCCTTGATAATGACCAGTACAAACAAAAAGCTGACACCCCGTGCTACGCCTGCGCCTTGCTATGCCAACAAAATCAATAAGGATAGTGTTGCTCCGCAGTCATCATGGTCGTACTAACATTCGTCGCTTCCTTTGTGGCTGATAAATCATACCAACGCATCAAGTCAACCGAAGCTGAGGCTGACGTACACCGACAAACGCGCGGACTTTGTGTTGTTGCATGATGCTGCAAGACCGGTAATGATAGTGTTGATACGGATAGTGGTACGCTTGAGGCCAAAAAGGTCGACGTTACGTCTCCGGCTCTCAAGGTTGTGATGTGAATCACAATGGCACCAAATGTAATAGCTGGCAAAAAAACATCCGGATATCGTTTCACCTTAATCATTGATGAGAATCATTGCACGGAATGAGCGGCTGTGTATGATCTACACTTGGTTAGTTGGAACAGTAACAGAGCCATCAAATAGAGCATACCTTGCTGTTTTGGTACCGCTTAGCTGTACATATCCTCCCGCTCGTCTTGGGCCGACCCATGTGTGGCAGAATCATTGGCATACGCCAGTTGCTCTGTAGCTTCACGGTCTTCTTCAAGCATATCGATGGCTTCTTCCAGATTACCGGCAGTGGCACCAGCAACGGCATTCAACCTGGTCATTTCATCTGGGTTGGCACCAAATCCCATATCTATCAAAGCCTTGACGCACTCGTTGACAGCTTTTACGCTGCTGGGAAGTGTGATCGGTGGAGTCGATCTTGAGATACCACGTTCGGCGGGCTTAGTTGTAGCACGTTGGACAGGAGGCACAATCGAGGGCCGAGGCTCCAATGCTGGACGTGCAGCAGACAACAGCTTTGCCTTTACATCTGAGCTGGAATGTCCCTCACCAGTGGTAGCACTCGGCGTCCGAGCCGACGAAGCAGCGGTCGTGGCCGGCTGACCAAAGGGTGAGAAGTACCGAACACCCCAGCTAGGCCCAGGCATATGGTTGCCGTCGATGCGATGGTCTCTAGCATTGTTCCTGGATTCGGCATAGTCCCGTGCTCGGTCCAAGTAAACCGAGGGGGTCACATAGCGCGGAACATAGCGATCAGTGTAGTTGACAGTGTGACTGCGCTGTGGCAAGAGGCTCGGCAAGCTTGGCTTGTGATCAAGGGTGTGCTCAGAGCTTCTGTAGGATTTCTTCAGATCTGGTTGCGATTGCTGCGGACGAGGTTGAGTTGGTGAATGGTGAGCAAGTGGGTCAAAGGGTCCGTTGAGCCTTGCAGCAGGATTGATACCAGATACAGTGTGGTTTCGTCTCAGCTTTTCCTCGAGGGCCGTCCAAGTCATGGACGGCCTCGGAGAGAAATCGGGAGGTGGCCGTAGCTGAGGGCGAGGGTATCCTGTCGGATTGGTTTGAGGCATCGCAAAGAGGTCAGGCTTAGGAGGACGTCTAGAGCCACCGTTGATTATGGTCCTAGTGGTCGGCAATGCAGACATGTCTTCAGCAGGCTTTGTTTCTGGCCAAGCCCCTGGGAGGGGCCCCGAGGGGGTGGTGTCTCGCAAAGACGACGGAGTAGGCTTGACAGTACTCGCTCCAGGTTCATCTGAACCGTCACCTTCTTCGACCGATGGCTTCTTGTGCAAAGCTGTCTTCTTGGGTAGGAGCTCATCTTCCCGGGAGGCGACGTTTCGAGGCCTCGTGCCAGCCAAGGAGCCTGAGGTCTTGTTGAACGCAATGTTGTGAGCCTGTTGTTCGAACTGTTTCAAGCTGGGGTATCGCACAGAAGCAGGGCCGGTCACCGGGTTTGGTTGCGAAGAGCCTGCGACCTGGGATGGATTTTGCAATCCGTTCACACTCTTGGCCTTTCGCAAGCTGAGCAGAGGGGGATAGCGTGTAGAGAAATCGGGATCTGCAGACTCCATATCCATGATGGAATGTCTGACAGTCGCCTTATCTGGTTGCTGGGCCGTATGAACTCGGTCATCTTGCAGGAAACCACCATATCGTGCGCCACTAGGGCGCCAGTCCATGATCATTTGTTTCATCTGTTGGCGGTTCGGTGCATTCATCCTAGAGAGTGCAGGAATGGTAGCTGACGATCGCGGTGGTGGGACGAAGCAGACTTTCTTGCCCAACACATCCACCTTCTCGGAAGGCTTCACTTGTTCAGGTTGAGCACTGGCGCCGGTATCGTCACCAGTTGGCAAAGCAGCTCTTCCCTCGTCGCTTTGAACAGAAGCATCGTGCTGTTTGGCCTTGTTCTTCTCGATCTCCTCCCCAATGGTCGCAGCTACGCCGAGTCCAAACTCGCCAACCTGGGTCAGGATGTCTTTGAAGCCGCCCAATATATCCTCCACTGCAGAGGAGTCTGATCTCGCAGTCTTGTCAGCAACCTTGCGCAGGCCGTCTGCCGTTGTCTCCAGGAAGTCTGCCAAAGGGCCAAGTTTTGACTCTATGGCGCTGAAGATGCCAATGAACGCCTTGTCAAGGTTTGTAGGGCCATCATTGTTGGATGGACCAGGGGTGGTTTTATTTACAGTGGCTGAAGAAATGATGGGGCTGACCGTAGTATTGTCGGCGACAGTTTGTGTAGTGACAGCAGCACCTGCAAGGCTGGACGCTGAACCAACAGACCCCTCGATCTTGTCGCTCTGTTGAACCTTTTGTTGGGTTGCAGGGAGAGCAGGGCTTGCGGCAGACTCCGATGGACTGACGCTTCTCAAGCTCTCGGGTGTAGTCTTCTCTCTTATGACCTTGCTAGTATATGCTTCAAAGTCTTTCCATACCGATAGACTGGCGCTAGACTTCTTGATGTCAAATATGTGCATCAACTTGTTATCGGCGGGCTCGTCTGGGGTGCGAAGTGCGGGGATGGCCGGCAGGTTGGAATGCCTCACAGGCTCCTCGAGGCGCTGGGTCAGTTCAAAGGAGGAGCCGACAACGATGATCTCGCCATCATCATCATCGACATAGGTCAGGATGGCTTCGGGCCAGGTTGTGATGGTGCTGGCATAGTCTTTCGCGAGGATCTGGACGATGCCTGGAGGACTCCCACAGCCATTTAGGTCGCGGATACCGAAGGCCGGCAAAGGCTGATCAGAACTCTGCGAAGAAGGCATGATTTGCAGCCGGATGTCCTCAAAAGACTGACGGTCGAGATCGGTAGGGGCTCATAGAGAGGACAAGACCAAGCAATGCGAATTGTGGACAGCAAGAGGGAGAGTGAGAAGGCGAGGCTGCTGTGAAGTCGAGGGCTCGACAGTGAAGGGCCAGGCAGGCAGCAAGTTTCCAGGTGGCACAACAGGCGGCGAGATGCGGGGTTCTTCACCTCGACGTTGCCTGCTACTGGCCTTCACTAAGGTATCTAGTGTGCCTAAGGCACCTAACTGGCTGCCCAGGGTGCCTAACTACCCACCCAAGGCTTAACTACCTTACGTCTCCGTACCGCCTTGGTTCATTCTTACTACCCCGTACTTCCAGTAACTGTCCGGCCCGTAACTAGAGCTCACTGCCCTTGTATATATAGTATTGCACGTCACTGGCCAACCCCTGCTAGACAGTGCCGCCCGTGTCTCTCGAAGTCTCGCTAGCCTCACGAGGCTCATCCAACCCCCACCAGGCATAACGCCAGACAAGACACCACACCACACCAGCACACACGCACCAACTACAGTACCGTACTTCACGCCCAAGCAAATCCCTAATCTCACAGTCCTCACTCATTCCCTTCGGCGTACGCATATCAACGAAAAGAACGCTCCCAAAAAATATATGTTATTATACAGTGGTATCCCTCCTGTGCTCAACCTTCCTATCAAAGGAGCCATTCCTTCCATCTCCTCTTCAAGTCCATTCAAGTGTTCGTTCCAAAAGACCTGCATCCAGGCTTCAAAGGTCCTTCCAATATGTTCCGTACACACCATAGCCTCATGCGCTTCTTCTTCAAAAATAACACTTCCCCTCCAATTTTAGTACAAGTTCTCGGATCCATCGCGAGGCCGTCCAGATATTACAATATGCCAAAGGGCCAAACAAGATCGGCGTGTCAAACTATTAAAACAGGTGTCGAAAAGAGAAGATCTTGTTTCACGTGGTTTCCGCCGGAAGTCCAGGCAATGTCGTCTAGGCCAAAAGGACTCTGCTCGTCTCCGCGTCGTGGTCGTCGTTGAAAGCTCCTTGCTGCCTAGTATTCGTGGTGCATGGCTTGATGTCGGAAAATGTCGTCCAAAAGTAGCCGCCCTACTTCTTTCTCGCAAACCGCTTGTTGAGAAGAGTAAGCACTTTCGACACGTCAAACTGGACATATTCGAGATCGAGTTCCTCTTGGCCGTCTTTTTGCATTTCAAGCAGATCGTCCAGCTTCAGGTCAAGCTCTAGAAGACCACGTGCTCGCCCTGTTCTTCGGTCAGTATGTCGTCCTCTAGCTACACGAACGAAGCCAGCCTCACCTTTATAATGCAGACTGATGACAAATGTACCTGCCAAGGGACTGCGGAACATGAAAAAGATATTACCTCTCCTGTTCTCGGGAACATTGCTACTGGCGATGACGCCGTCTTTCTCCAGCTGGGCGTGAGAGAATTTGTATGGTCCCAACTCCTTGACCTTTTCTGTTTTGCCACGTCGGGTACCTTCCGATTGGCTTCGAACGTTGTGCAAGTAGTTCTTGTAGGTTTCGAGTTGGGATAGGAGGTACGCATTGTGCTCCCGGATGGTTTTGTAGACGTCATCCAATTTGGCCGTCTCCTCCAGACACTTCTCCTTCAGCGAACCAAGGTGGGCTAGCTCTTGTTCCACTTCGTCGCGCAGAACAGCATAGTCATCAGCACGATCAATCACGCCCAGCTCTGACAGCTGCGTCAGGAGCTCCATACACCTGATGCCTTTCCGGACCATGATTGCGTCATTCTTCAGCGTCCCTGCAGCTTCGGCAACACGGTCGAGTCGCAGCGGACGCCGTATCACAGCGGTGGCCTGCGGTATACTTCGTATGATTTGGACGAACGTGCTCTTTGCTTCCATGAAAAAGATTTCTTCTTGCGTGATATCCAACGAATGTGTAAAGTCATCGAACGAAGTCTCCCACCGGCTGTATAGTGGTAGAGTGACGGTCCGGTTCTCTTTTCGAGGGACTTGTGGAGGCGCCTGGCCTAGTTCTTGGAGCAAGACTCCCAGATGAGAGGACGGATCCTTGGCAAGCTCGGTGCTGTGCTTTTCGAGCAAAGCATGAGTAGCATAAACCTCGTTCAAACTGATGTTCAATTCGAGATCGCGTTTGGACAGGGCGACGTAGTTGTCCATTTCCAAACTTTCATAAAAGTCTTGTACTTCGCACAGGTCCAACATGAACTTGTTACAGCGATCTTTGTTGCGCTGGATGAAAGGTTGCAGCTTGGCCATGTATGGTTCTTTGGCATAGGATGGCTTGTTGGCGAGGTTCTGGAGCATCTTGGCAATGTATGTCAGCGTTCGTTTGGGTTTGTCTTCCGGCACCCTTTCGATCAGCATATATGACTTTGGTGTGACGATAGCCGGGTTGATGAAGCGAAGGAAGAAGAAACCTCCAATCAGCGTACAGATTGCCTGGTCTTGGGCGTCAGGATACTTCCGTCGAGACAGATTACGGATCTGCTTGCATATCCATCGAATACCGTAGGGAGTATCTTCCAGACAATCGATGATGGCGGACAGGAATCCCTCAGCGATATCTGTCAGCATCTTGAGTCGCGGGGTGATAATCGCTTGTACTTGGACATTCTCTGCCGCGAATTCAGCCGTCACAGACCGGGGCAGATCGTCCGGAAGAACGCCAGTGTCTTCTTCGATCTGCTTTACCATGGCTTCATAGACTTTGAGAGGATTGATTTCCAGATCGACATCGTTGAGTTCGGTGAGGGAGTTGATCTTCTCGGCGAGAACTTCTTTCAGAAAGCTCTGCCCAGGACCACGACGGGTGTAGGTGGTCATCATCCTGGAGACCGGGGTGTTCTGTCGGAGTAGGGAGGAATACTCCGGCGTCGTCTCGAATTGATGCGTGAGCACTGATTGAAACATGGTCAGGAGCAGATGCTCTTCTCTGCTCTCATACTGGTTTCCGAATATGGTAAACATGACAGTCTGCAACAAGGAGTCGATTTCGGCCATGGTGACCAGGCGACACAGGTGAGCGATGTGCTTGGGTTCTGACTGCAGCATGAAGAAGAGGTTGCCGTAGCGCTGTGTCTTCTCGTCATTCGGGAACGAGCCTTCCTGCAGGTCGACTGCATCATCAAGATGGCTGGCGACTTCATTTTGCTAGGATAATCAGCGAGGGTCTGGAAGGGTGGATAGGGGAAAAACAGACCTCTTCTAGAGCCATCCGATTCTGGATCAAGAGCGCAATTCGTGAATCAAGATAGCGAACGTCCTTCTCGAGCACAAAGTTCTTCTTGGACTGGCTGGAGATCTTCGCCTTGAGATCCCGGAGAGTACGTTGTGCTCTCGCCAGGTCATCGCTGATCTCCAGGTCCTTGTCCTTTGCGCTCATGCTGGCATACAGCGCCGTCATGCTTACGCGCTTGCTCTGGCGCAGAGACCGGGCGCCATCATGACTGGAGAAAGTGTTCTGGCGGGTGACAGGCTCAAAGGAGGAGTTTGTCGAGGTTGAGGCTCGCGAAGCGGGCTGCAGCATTGTAACGACTGACATGTTGTCTGTTTTGGATCGATGCGAACCAGAATTGCGATGCGATTTTGAGCGATCCTTTGCGGACGATACGCGCCTGGGAACCTCTGAGCGGCGTGAGGAGCTCATCTACTCATATGTCCCGGGAGGCACTGTTGCAACCAAAGCAGAATGTAAGCCTCGGAGGTTTGTGACGTTGGTCGTGTTTCAGAACGGCCTGCAGCGCGGCCCAATCTTCTCCCCTCCGAATTTCACGACGCAGCCTGAATCGAAAGTTCGGTGCGGAAGAAATACTGTGCAGGATTGATGGCGTAGATCTGATCGGTTATGCACTCGAGTTATAATGCGACCGGCGCGGCAGCGGTGTGATTATTGTTTTTCTCGTTCTCCTGATTCCAACCGAACCCGACACAACACAGGCCTCCACGGGGAGAACTTATTACAGATATCTTCTGATTGCAATCGTGGCAAGCCACGGCGAGTTGTTTTCTTCAAGGAACTGGTGTGGTTGTGCCCGACGCAGGAGAAAGCCGTGGACAAAGGGATTGGTCGTCGAGCGCAGCGGCAGTGGCCCGGGGTATTGATTTCCTCGGGAGTCGTGGAGTCGAATCAGTTCGGGCGCGACAAGGACAGAATGGAAAAGGAAAAAAGCACACGGTGAGACTTGGTTGGGCGAGGGCGAAGAAGATAAGAGAGTCGCTGAGGGCCACCGGTAGAGCGAGGGAGCGTGGTTGAGAGGATGGATGTAGAACCAGAAGTCAGGAACCAGGCACAGAGTATGAACGAATGAGAAAGACGACGCCCGCGATAGGGAGCGATGGAGGGGGGACTGAGCGTTTGGGTTGAGGGCAGCTTATTAGCCCTGGGACATGCAGGCAAGGGCCGCGGTGCTGAAATCCATTCCAGGCCACGAAGGCGGTTGATCAATTGGCCGCCGGTGCCAGTCGCGTGGAGAAACGAGAGACGTAGAGGGTGTCTTGGTGGAACCGGGACAATGACAGGTGGATAGGGATGATTGAGAGAGGGAGAGGAGGATGGGATGGAGGAGGAGGAGGACTAACTCGGGAGCTTTGAGTTAGAGATCTCCGTGCAGCCCACAGTTAATTTAGTAGAGATGGAGGAGCAGAGCATCTTGACACCTCGCCTACCGCCTAAAGGGACTCCGTACTCCGTACATATCTACAGTACCTACTGCAACCACAATAATACCGTCCGTCCTGACTTGTTGATGGGACATCCCTTGGGCGGTTGGGTCAGGGGTAAGTTTATAACTCCTCTGTATCTCAGCTCACACACTGACGGAGTACATGACCTCAACTTCGCCTTTCGACGACGGTTCGACTACGACTGTGCTCTTTACGAGAACACCCAACTCCTCTCACCCGTACAACTCCCTCGTAGAGTGCCGATTGACACATCTGTATCCGCTCAACCGAGCACCGCTGTCAATCATAGATCCTGCATGACGATCCTGGCATTCGACAACGAGACTTCGCAAGAATGCTGGACGGGTCGTGTTCTTACTCGGGCCAGCCTCCTTGTTACGAGCACCCGTTGCCGTTTTTGTTCTGCCTATAGGCTATAGATCTCTGGAGTTCCTCGTATAGGAGGAGCATTGGCCCTGCAAGATCATCAGAAGATCATCGCCTGCATGTCGCCGTCGGGCGGCTCCTCCTCTCGACACATTGTTCTAAGCTCTCTTGCGGGACTTTGTTTCTACTTGTTATTGACGATCCTTTGTGCGATTCCACTGTGTCGTGCTTGTATTCGTACTGGTGCTATGTGCTATGGAGCACTGGGCTAAGCCTCTATCGTATTTACACATTCCAATTTGGCCGGGCATGTAATCTGGTGCCAATGTACGTCAGGACTGTTCGCGATGCAAGGGAGGTCCGGACTATTAAAAACTTAACGGGACAACGACCTTCATCAGCCAGAGTCCAATCATGGGATCATAAACGCCCTGCTACTGTCTCGTCTTGACACGAATCGTGAGCGTGCGTGGAGAGTTCTCTCTTTAATTATGCAAAGACAGCTAGCGGAACTGAAGGCGTACGGTAGATGCCGTTATGACGGAGCACTGTACCTATCTTACTTTTTCATACTGTATACAAGGTCACTTTATAACTCCGTAAAGAGCCTCGACTTCGTACGGGCTGGTCAGTGGCTTTTGAGGGCCCATTTTCGACTGATGATTCGGCAATGTCCGTCTCGCTTTGTCAATATCGGTGCCCCCTCAGAAAGAACAGTCAAAGGTTCAAGCCACTTCGGAAGAACAACAAAGTGTGGGTTACACAGCGGCTACGGGCCTTGCCTAAGGTGTTAAGCCATGGCCCCCTCCCCATATACGAGGTACGCTTTGGCTGGAGGATGCAGGGACCAGAATTGGCTTTTTCTGTCGTGTCATGTTTCACCTCCACCTGTTGTTGGGGGATGGCCGTCAAAAAAGTGTCAGAGCGTGTCTACCGCATGTCGTTTGGGCCCCCTTTCAGTTTCAGATCTCTCCAGCCTCAAACGGCCACGACAACCTGCTGGAACATGAGCGTCGTTCCTGACAACATGAGCCAATTTATCCCTTACACGACAAAATTTGCCACGTCAGGGTCGAGGCTGGAACTGGGCGTCCGATGATGTTTCAAGGGCCGCCGGTGACGCGAGTACATTCCTGGATCTCAGCGTCCAACTTCCAAGGTACTTGACTCTCGCGCCCCCGTTCCTGAGCCGACATGAGGTGATGTCTTAGTGACTTGGCGGCACCTGGACCTGTCTCAATTTTCAAACTCTACAGACCACTGTACGGGCAGCCCCCCTGGTTGAAGGGGCACGTGGTTGTCAGGATCTGATCGGAACACGCAGTCAATGGTCATGTTGGTATCCTCCAGGAGGAGGGTCACCAGTCTCTCGGTTACGAGTAGTAAACAGCTAGTCAGTTATTTCAGTCGGTGACAGGGTGTGCATGAAGTCAGAGGCGCTTCTTAGCCACTCCTCCTTGCTGAAAGAGAAATCTGTCTCACCGAATGCGTGCACAGAGACCCAGATTGTCAGTGTAATCTGTGCCGTGTACGTAAAACGAGTGATGGAAAGCGAGATTTGAGATGATCTCAAGAGACCAGCCCCGAGCGACATGGCGCATCTGGCTAGCTAGCCAACAATTTACAACGTGCCCGCACCAAGAAATACGAAGTTCGGCGGTTCGTTTTGATAGATCAAAACGCAGCTTTTGTTCGGATCATCCCTGGGCCCATCACGACGTCGTCTGGAAATAGGAATTTGTAGGCGCGGGCGTAGGCGTAGGTTGCCCAGGTTCTTGAAGATTGCACTTCTTCGTCGACGGACTCAATCCAAGTCTTCAAACGTGTCTTGAAGTTGTGCTCCGCTCTCTTTCCTGCAGTACCTCTCCTCACTCCTCCAGAGTGGAGTGCCCAAAGCTACACCTGGTCTTGGGCTCTCTCGGCTGCCCGAACATGGTGCGTGGGACACCACGGCTCGTGACAGCGGGAACGGGGGATGACAAGAAGATCAGGCACATGTACGGGGATCCCTTTTGTCCTTATCGTAGCTCATAAACCCACTTAACCTAATCCTCCGTAACTCAGGCACAACTTAAGCTACAGTAGGTCTGTAGGCAGGCCAGGCCACTAGGATGTCCGCACCGAGGTGAGGAAACTTCAGTTCAAGTCGTGGCGCCACCTACACGGAGCTCCGTAGCCGCAATCCGGAAGACTTTTCCTTCCGGTATCTCAGGTGTGTATCTAGGGACTGTCGAATGCCTCAAAAAACTTTTAGACGCCTGCTCGACCATAATTATCCAGCCATCACTCGAACTGTTTTCGCAAGTTCTCATACTTGCTCTCTGGGTACTCTAGGCAATTTGGCACTTCCTCCATCCTGCTTCGTCCTCCGCTATGCATGAGAAAAGTCTCGATAAGGCTACCTTGGCCTGCCGGCTTGTCTGCGGAGCTTTCCCACCACATACCACTGAAGCGCTGTTAGTTTCTAAGTCCGACAGAGACTGTGCATATCGAGAGACTCACCCGCCAAGCCCATGATCTCGAACAAACCCAGCCTTTTGAGCCTCGACCGCCGGTGTGTCGTAGCTGATCATCGTCTGTGTTGATGGGCAATAACTCCAGCTCGCGCCAATCTCAGCATCGTGGTACTCGGTACTGCCTGCTTGAGGAAGAGCCTTGTAGTCCCAGACACCTTGCTCCCAGCTTCCCTCGCCTACACCGTTGAAGGCATGACCAGGTCCATGGGTGGAAACAAAGGCTCGTCCGTACAGTGGCATGCCCAGCACTATTTTCGAAGGGTGAACGCCATGTTGGGTGTAGTGGTCGATTGCGGCGATCGTGCTGAAGGGCGTAACGTGTGGCTGCGCCCGAGACGGGAACAAGTTTGCCTGGTGGCCGGCTCTCTGATCCCAGGACCCGGCGTAGTCGTAGGCCATGAGATTCCAAAAGTCTAGAAGCTGGTCCATCCTAGGAATGTCCAGCTTTTCAAAGTTGGACGGCCCGGCTGGACAAGCCACGGTAAGGTAGAAGCGGGCATGGTGACGTTTCGAGGCAGCAGCATCCAGTGCCTTCCTGGTCTCAGAGAGTAATCTCACAAAGTCCGCTGCCTGGGCGTGATCTTGCGGGTATTCCCAATCGATGTCGATGCCGTCAAAACCCAGATCCTCGAGGAGCTGTACAGCGCTCTGTGCAAACCTCTTCCTGCCGCTGTCGGTACTGGCGGGCTGAGCAAAATTGGAAGAATATGTCCATCCGCCGATGCTCAGCAAGACTTTCAAGTTGCGGTTTTTCTTCTTTTGAAGGAATAATTGTTTGACACACCCATAGACATTCGTGCCGACGTCGTTCCAGCTATCGCCGTCATAGTGCTTGTCTGTATCGGACCATGGGTCGGTGAGATAGACTTCCCCTGACTCAGGCCTCACATTGGCAAACGAATAGAGAACATGGGTGAGATTTTCTGCAGGCAGATCTTGCGGATGGTGGTTTCGGCCATATGGTGCCCAGTTGACGTAGTAAACGACAGAGCGTATGCCGTGTCCGCCGCCCATGTTGAAATTGAAAGGTTCGAGCTGGACTCCAGGAAGTAGTTGGGTAAAGGCCAGGGGAATCAATTGAATGAAGCCAAAGAAAACGGGTAAGCCAAGTAGCATGCTCTGTTAAGACGCTGAGGAGGACATTTATATTGGATCAGTGAGAAATCATGCCTAGGGTCTAGTGGGTGCTTTGGATCCCGTGCTTGAGGCTCAGTGAGACACTCCGTTTGATCTTTCAGCTGTGATGCCCTGGATATGTCTGCCTGATGCTGACGACGAGGGACTACCAAAGTCTCCCTATAGGTGAATCCATGTCTTTACCGTGCATTGCCAAAGATGACGCAGGATGTTGTGGCGGTGACAGCCCCTCCAAGTTCTAGCCTGTAGGTGGACTTCGTGGCTGCGGCTAGGTAAACCCTCTTAGGGGCCCGGCAGGCTGCTCAAGGCGGGTAGTTTAGGTTAGCGCTCCCTGCCATTGGGGGCTCCTAGTTACAGCCCTTACACGTTTAGTGTACAACCAACCCCGGCGAAACGTAAAGCCGGACGACTTCCACCTCGGTTATCAAAGCAACTCATTCATTTCAGATTGCTGAAAGGCAATTTACAGATTCGATGTCGTCTCTCTCTTGCAAGTTGCCACTTACCATACTCCAGTGTTCCTTATCCCCCTACCCTACATACAGCTCATGCTCAAAACAGGGCTCATAGACACATCAAAACATCTGACGTCCCGGGCCATGCCAGCCGAACTGCTCTTCTTCGGCGCCGGCGCAATTGGAGCTTTCTACGCCTCACGAGTCGCTCTCAACCCAGACACAAATGTGTCCGTGATATGTCGGTCCAACTACGCGGCCGTGTCAAGCAACGGGTTCCAAATCACGTCGCCTCAGTACGGCGACTACCGGTGGCGACCGACGCGAACGTTCAACTCGGTCCAAGCGGCGCGCGACAGCAAAGTGAAATGGGACTTCGTCGTCGTCTGCACGAAAGCCCTGCCGGACAGGTCGGACGACTCGAAGCTCATTTCGCCGGTAGTCGGCGCCGACACGGCGATCGTGCTGATCCAGAACGGGCTCGGCGTTGAACAGCCGTACACCGAGAGGTTTCCCGCGTCGCCCATCATCAGCGCCGTCACCATCGCCTCCTGCGCGCAGGTGTCCGACGGACACGTCAAGCACAACCGCTGGACTCGCATCAACATCGGCCCGTACTTTTCCGGGGGCGCGTCGCCGACGTCCGCCGGCGTCAAGGACAGAGCCACGGCGCTCACGCAGACGCTGGTCGACCTGCTGCTGAGGGGCGGCGGCGTCAAGGACGCCATCGCCGACACCCACGAGAAGCTCCAGCTGGTGCGGTGGCACAAGATCGCCATCAACGCGTCCATGAACCCTTCCGCCGTCCTGTCGGGAGGCAGCACCAACGAGGAAATGGCGAACGACCCGGAGCTGTCCGCGCACCTCAAGGGCGTCATGGACGAAGTGCTCACGACCGCGCCGAAGGTCGTCGGCGAGCCTTTCCCCGCGTCGTTTGCCACTTCCGAAGCCATCCTCCGCTCCACCCGACGCAACAAGAGCGGCAGCAAACCCAGCATGCTGATCGACTGGGAGAGCGGTAAGCCCATGGAACTGGAGGTCATCCTGGGCAACCCCATCAGGTTAGCCAGGGAGAAAGGCTACGAAATGCCCAGGATGCAGACGTTGTACGCTCTTCTGAAGAGCTGTGAGAGGAATCGAGAACTGCAGAAACAACAGCAGAAGGGGAGCAAGGACAGTAAATTATAATGTTAAAATCACATATACGTGGGTACATACATATGTATTTTACTTGTTGATACGAATGACTGCACGAATGAAGAGATGATCTTTTCGTATTTCATTACTCCCAATGTCCCGAGGCAGAGAATACAACCCCTTATCCACAAAATCAGTAACGAGCAGAGTACCTACCTCATCTTCCTGAGCTAGGAGTACCTGGAGGTAAGTGCTGATTGTCTCGGCGATTGTTGGGTTCGCTCGAACAGTCCCCACATACATATATTCGATAGATACGTATATAATATATACGGTTCGAGCACATGGGCTTCGAGACTACTCTGCTGTAATTCATACGGCAGGAGAGCTAATCGCGCACTTTTACTGATCCTGACGTTTCATGCGACATATAATGATACATTATTGCAGAAATTACTCTTTCAATTCTTTGTCCTGGTCTGTGCTACGTGGTTCCTCAAGTTCGCTCCGGTTTCGACTCTGAGGTTAAACTAGGCTTTTCGCCTTCACCAGTCTGAAACCATGAACTCGCGACCAGCGTCGAGCTGAGAACCCACGACGGCAACCAGATACACAGAATACCGACAGGCACGCCCCAGCTTCCCCAGACGTTCCACCCAAAGGCAAGCTTTTGTAGCCATTCGAGTAGAACATCCCCCTTTCCAAGCGACAACCACCCGTTTGCAACCAATCCAGCTGCGAGGCCCATCGGGCTCATGACAGCCAGGAGCAGATATTGGAGCAGAGCAACGCCACCCGACTGGCTCCTGTCCACAAACGCCAACGGTATGCATGCAATACCGAGAGACATGCTGAGACTGAAGTTCAAGGTAGCCAGGACTGTGAGGAACAGACCGAGCAACAGCAGATTTAGCGACTTTATCAGGACGTATTGCTCTCGCGACGGAGCGGAGAAGGAAGGTAAGGTTGTATTGTTATGTGTGTCTGACAGCGCCGATGCCAGAATGACGGGAAGGACGACAAGGAGGATTGTCAAAAGGAGGAAGGTTGATGGGAAAGCGCTTAGGCTGAGTGAGGTGAGCAGGTATAGAGGCACTAACGATGCCAGATACACAGCTGCCACCAACGCAATAGGAAGGACAAGATGTCTGTCTTGTGGAACGAATTCGAGCCTCAGCCTTGTCTCCTTGGTGGGCGTGGCGCTAGGTGATGAAATGCTCGACTTTTCGTTGATGACCTCCGTTGGTTTCTGAACTAGTTGATAGCCACTCAGAACCCAGAGGTAAATTGCCATGATTGTGTACGCCGCTCCAATCGTCATCGCACTCGGCAGGTAGGTACCGATGCTCACGAACCGATTAGACTGCATCAACAGATAGAAGAAGAAACTCTGATGGAGCTTTTCCAACAGATTGTTGAGACTTCTGCAGATACTTTCGACCGTTCTGCCAAACGCCATTTCATCTTGCCAGCCTTGGCCAATGGCTGTCAAAGTGATGGCGTCAATATGGTAGGTCATAAAACCAGAATGAGGTCCTGTAGCTTGACCGAGCGCCTGAGAAGACATTCCGCGGACCAGTGTTTGGAGTCGAGACGGGTATTCGCTCTGTTCGTCCGGCTTGGTGTATGTGTGCTGAAATTGTATTGAGGTTCCGATACCCATTTGGCCTGTAGCGATAGTCACAGCAGTGTTGAACAGGTCAAGATTAGGCAGCGCCCCATTGATTCCGTCGTAAGCGATGTGAAATGTCTCGAAGCGATGTTCGAATGGGTAGTCGATACAGACAGCTCCCTGGAGAGCGCCAGACTTCAACGACAGATCTTGCACCTTCTCTGGGTCATGCGTGGAGTGATACGCTTCAATCCATGCCTGCGGGCCTGCCGAACTGTCCGGGGTCACTAAGAAGATGATGTCCTTCGACCAAAGTGACCATCTTTTGAAATATCTTGACAGAGAGATCAGAAGAGGGACTCCATTGATGTTGAAAGCACCGTCAATATTCTTCAGAGCAGCAACTACCACAATCGCTTCCGTGCCATCTCCCCGGGGTGCATGGAGGACCGCATACACATTCTCACCCTCGTAAGTCTGACCAGATGAAGTGTAGGAGTAGCGTTGCTTTGCGGTTTTCAGGCCTGCGTTCCGGAACAGCTCTTGTATTTTGGAGCTTGTCTCGGCTTCCGCTACACGTTGTTCTTCTCTTGTCAAACTTCGATAACTCTCCGCGGCGGAACTGTCCAGGACAGTGGCCAGCTCGTGCCTGTAAGCTCGAAAGACATTCTGTTCACTTCCCCCAAAGTACGTGTGGACCTGGCCGGGCAGGAGGGCGTTCTCCGAGATGTATGTTCGTCTTGAGTATTCGTTTAGGGGTAGAAGCAGGATCCATATGATGCCTCCAAGAATGCAGAGGGCAGAGAGGTAGGGAGGAATCCGAAGGAGACGTGGATCGTCCCTGCGGAAGTTGGAGAGGTAGGATCCTGTCGCGACAATTAACTTTCTGCGTCTTGCAAGTTGTCAGCCCAGTGCCTTACTTATCAGTCCCATTTTGACCTCGCTCGGCCAGATCGAGCTTCACCGCAAGGTCGTTACAGACATACGTAGAGACTTGCAGTGTTCAGGAGTGGAATCTGTACTTTGCGAACGTACTTCTGTTTGTGCCGAAGTTTTACCGCCCGTATGCGCGTGTCTGGATGAACTTGACGCGCAAAATGAACAGCCTCGACTCCGGCTTCAAGCAATAGAACGAGATCTAGATACAGAAATCGGCATGGTATCATACACACTCACTTGCGAGGTTTCGGGCAGGGACCTGAAAACTAAGCGCGAGTCGCCCTCTTCAGATATACCTCCTCCGAATGATAGCTATGATGGACGGGCAGAATTCTGATGGCTTTAGGTGTGCTGGTGAGCCTCATTGACCACCTCCTGACGCATGCCGGTCTTCTCCAAGCCTCAAAATCGCCAGACCACCACAAGAATGCAATGCGATCGTGAAGCACTGTGCGCTCCAGAGGAATGTGAGTGGTATGTGTTGTTCTGGACACTGACTAGCTTCAGAACATCACTTCGGCCGTGCTTGCCGATCTGTAGTCGACCAGACCTTGTGTCCATGGCTCGTCCGAATCCTGCATTGAGATGGCTGACTATGTCCATGCCCTCGACGAGCAAGATATGACTTGTGCCGCAACCCTCTCAGACGATTACCCGGTCGACGATAATGTCCTCAACTCCCTACCCTGTGGTTCCGAGATGATCTCGGCCGTCAAATTCGGAAGGTCCAAATGGACTCTCACGGCCCGGTTGAACGTAGAACAGGCTGACGGTACTGTCATGGCATACTTCCTAAAATGTGCAGCAGGAGATGCCGGCCGTTTGATGATGGAAGGCGAATTCAACTCCATGACCGAACTATACACGACGATGCCCGAGTTAGCACCAAAGCCTTTGACGTGGGTCAAGTTCTCGACGCCGTCGCCGGAGACATATTTCTTCCTCTCGGAGTTCATTGACATGTCCGATCGTCCGCCAGAGCCGAACCAGCTTTGTACCAAGCTCGCAAAGCTGCATAGGACAAGCACATCCCCGACGGGTAAGTTCGGCTTCCACATCACGAAATGTCAAGGTCGTAATCCCCAATCTGTAAGTTGGGAGAGCAACTGGACGAGGTTCTTCAGCAACCTTCTCCGAAACGTCATTGGGTTGGATGACGCGGAGAACGGACATTGGGACGCCTTCAGCGCTCTTCAAGACCGTCTTCTCTCACACGTGGTTCCACATCTACTGGATAACCTCACCAAGGACGGCCGTGTCTTGAAGCCTTGCCTGGTCCATGGACATCTTTGGGAGGGCAACACGGGGACGTCGTACCAGACGGGGAAGATCTACCTCTTCGACGCGGCAGTCATGTATGCGCACAACGAATTCGAGATTGGGGATTGGAGGTGTCATTATAACAAAATCCACAACCACATCTACACTCGCACATGCCTTCGACATTATAAGCCGAGCGAGCCGAAAGCGGAATGGGATGATCGGAATCGACTTTACTGTATATATTACAATGTATTGTACTCGGTCAATCACCAAAGCCAAGGCAAGGCCGTCCGACAAAGGTGAGTAAACAGTCTTTTCCCCGTTTCCATGCCGGCATATCTGTTGTACAAATCGTTCTTCGAATGAAGGAGAAGCTGATCCTGATCGCCGTCACAGAGCCTTCGACGACATGTACTATCTCATCGACAAGTATGCGCCATTTCCGGATGGCGAAGGCCCCGCGCGGTTGAGCGACGGTGAACGGGCCGAATTGCCCGGTGAGAGGGATCATACAAAAGATTGAGAGTTCTCCTCGCAATGACGCTTTTTTCGTATCCAAAAATAGATCATGTCCGTATCATGCCATGCCCTACTATACCATGTCCCACTCCATCCAAAAGAATCATTGCGAGCTCAAGGGCCAAGCCTTTGTCCACCGGAGCCGGTGCCTCCAACCCAACCCAGTCCAATTGGACTCATATGCTCACCCGGTCCAGCCGTGGAGCTCGAGGGCAAAACGCCGTATCTTCCATAAGTCTTCTGGTCGACAGATACATAGTGAGGTACTCTTCCCAGGAGGTTGAGCTTGCCTTCAATCCATCGAAGGACTTTCTCAGGCGGTGCGAGAAATCGTATATATCCCAGCCCCCCTTGTGTACTCGTTAGCGCGTGTACCACGATTGGGAGTTGCGGGTTAGCAGGAACGTAATCGGAAAAGAAGCCTTACACAAATAGCCCGTGATGCAACCGCTCAAATGACCCAGAAACGAAGTGTTTGGTATCAAAATAGAGGTAACGACCACGATAGCAAGGGGAGTGATCCACGTGGGGATTTTGTACCCTGAAATTCTGTTGGCATCTTCGTCAGCCGAAACGGTTCCCTTGGCGGCGGGTGATAAGGAATCAACAAAAAAGGCAATACTCACTCTATATGTGGATTCGAGCGGTAAGTCTTGATCGACTCAGCCGCTAGGAGCAGGAACACCCACACGCTACATGCCCAATGTCAGTCAGTTGTACTTTTCATCGTCTCTGCCGCAGCACTGCAACCGCGTTGTGCTTTGTTCTGGGAACTCCACGTACCTCGACCCCAAGACGGGTGTGTTGTCTCTCAAAATCAGCCCGTCAAACACCAAGTATAGAACAGCCGGAATCTGGCCCAATGCTGTATTTATTAGGAACCTCACAATCAGTATATGTCTCTTTTTCTATCTGCTTGTGGTTTTGGTAGGGTGGTTTGTGTCGTTTCAACCTTCACTCCTCCACGGCCGCCATCGTCGTCGTTTTTTTTTGGCGCAGACCGCGCCCCCGAGGTAGAGGCAGAGGTAGAGGCAAAGGCAAGGCAAGAGAGAGTTCTCTGAAGGAGGAAAAAGGACTTACGACCCATAAACAGCGCAAGGGTAGTTAACGTTCCCCATTCCGCCTCGAACCTCTCCAGCAGTGGCACCAGACAGAGGGTGTCCATCAGCATATGGAAGAAGCCCATGTGAATCAGTGTGAACGTGTTGAGCCTGTACATTGTCCCGAAGCCCATCTCTTTCGGGATCAGAGCCCCCCATTGCGCCACGTTCCATACCGTCTGGAACTCGAGGATCCAGAACGCGACGATGACCAGCAGGATCAGGCGCGTGAACAGAGGGAGCCGCAGGAGGTATGAGCGCAGGCGCGACGGGTTGAAGAAGCGTGTCGGCACAGGGAGGCTGTTGGTAGATATTCGTGGTTGCACCGCCATGCTCGCTGGACACCGCGCGCAGGGGGCAGGGGAGGTAGGTTGGTTGGTAGGCCGGGCTCGACAGGTGGTGGTTGTGGTTGATGTTTCAGTTTTCTTTTGTTTTCTCTGCGGCCTCAGTCGTGAATGAGATATCTCGTGCGCGTGTAGAGGTCCCGGGATTTTTTTTGGTTCGCGGCTACGGTGCCTTCGGCCGCCCAAAAGCCAATACTGGTACAGAGTTACAGTTCGTGCTGACGACAAAGGCGTTCGCGGCGGAACGGGTGGGAAGTTCGGTATCTTGGCCAATCGGAGAGAAAAGAGACAGATTTACTGGGCAATGACAAGATCTTCTATACAGCCCATCATCGAGCTCGATTCGTCAAATGTGGGATAAAGGTGACGGCTGTTGTTTACGCAGGTAAAAGGGTTTTGTGGTTTCGGATAGTGCAGATGGACAAGACACCTTAACACGAAGCTAAGGATACTATGGCTTGTTGGAAGGTCGCGACCCAATCCCCGTTTTTTGTGCGGAGACGGGGCTCAACAGGCCCCGTGCTCTGGGCAAATGGAAAAGACACTACTACATCCTCCGCAGATCCTCATGGAATAATAGGAATTGATATTAAGATCCCGCTTGGCTGTTCAAGAGGGGTCAGACAAGAGTACTATCTATGAGCAATGCTGTATGTATGTATGGGGGTATCAATGACCAGGGAGTGCAAAGACCCATAAAATCGCGTTTGGGGTATCGTTGCGAGATAAAAAAAGAATCCAAGACACCAGTTCCCCGTCAATTATGTATAACCAGGTTGAGGAATTCGTCAATGTCGTCAACAAAGGAAGCGCTCGATGGCGGCAAGACGGAATATCCGCTGCTTCCCCAGCCCGTATAGTAGAAATGATCGTGAGAAACATAAAACCCGGGGTATAGTTTGTAATTACCTCCTCTTTGCTCTTTTCCAGTTCCACCACCAGCGATGACTCGACCATCGTGCAAAGCACCGGGTTCAGTGTCGAACTGAACCTTGAGCTGCCCTGAGCTCCTTGTGGACGGCCCACCCCTTGAGGCAAAGCACGAAGATCTCCAAGGACATGATGAAGGCCGTGAAGCCCATCACGACTGTGAAGACAAACATGGCCATGAGGTCCGCGCTCTCGATAGCGTCGACGATGTCTTTGGTGCTGAACATAAACACCAGACCTCCAGAGATCAGACAGAATGCCGAGATCAACTCGGTCGGAGGGCGGGAGGGATACACGGACGTGGGGGGTGAGATGTACATGATCACATACGTGACCAGACGGGCAACAGAGAAACCACCGAGAAGGTTACCCCATTGCTTGTGGACCATGGTGGAGGTCATTGAGGCCTGGTGATGCGAGGACATCATAATTCCGAGAAGAAGGATGATCAAGGCCGGAACGGGATTCAGAGAGGTCCCGTACTGCTTGGGCGGGGTGCGCAGTTCCAGCGCTTCGTCCGGAGACACTTCTGCTCGAGCTGGCATGTTGTCGACGACGGCATTCAGGCATCGCCGAACACGCTTCGATTCGACAAGCATTCCCATCTGGCGTTAGGTTAGAAGACAGGTCGACCCGATGCTCAGGCAGTGATCGTCTGGGACTTACCAGGCCTCCACCAAAGAACATGACGGAGATCGAGACATGCTCCAGATCCTGCGCAGTCCACTCACCGCCCCATGCGGCCAGATGCTCGAGGAAGACGTTGGTCGTGCCGTAGAGCCAGATGACAAAGGACTCGACGAACTCAGCCGACGGGAGACGGGCTTTCCATTGGCCCACCTCGCTGCGGGCCGGTTTGATGTTCCACGCCCAGCCAAAATCGGCAAAGCACCCCATCCACCGGCCCAGCGTCAATAGTCCGTACCAGAAGAATATTCCTCCCTTGATGAAGTGTGCGAGACCGTTGAAGACGTTATCGCCTCTCTGTCACGGTGGTCAGCCAAATCTTCAATCACCTACACAGCGAAACTGCACCCGGAGCGACTTACGAAAATGCCAGCATAGGTTACCCCTCCAGTTGTCAGTGCGATAAATCCCAGGATTAAAATGGTTCGGTCGATGACTTGGTATACAATTTCGATTAGCCGCAGAATCTTAGCCGACAGCAGATTGGGGACACGAGACGAGAGGTATTTGTCGATGACGTTGATGCGCAGCCACGCCGGTCGAGAACGACGCGGCGAAGGCAATGGGACTTCATCTCCGTCCTCGTCCTCATCCTGTGGCTCGGGTTCTGGCTTCTCGAAACTGTCATCAGTGCCTCGGCGCAAAAGCTTGGTGGGAGAGGCGTCTCGGCTGTTGAGTGCGGTGGACGCTTCCGAGCCCTGTCCACTGTCCCCTGACCAGCGATGGTCCGTGTACGGGCTCGCGTTGTGCTGGGCCATGTTCGCCGCCGAAATGGGCAAAAATGCTTGTCGTTCGCGGCTGGAGATCTCTGTCTGTTTTCCCCGGCCGGAATAGTGGAAGAGGAGGCTCATCATCACCTGAGCAGTCACAATCCACGTTGCGATCCAACCAATCTTGTGGTGAGCATTGTTTTCATACAGGTCCGGAGTGTTGATGTTGTATATTGTCCCGCATAGCACCCCTAAGCCGTTGACGACGAGGAAAAAGAACTGAGACGGAAGAGCATATCTGGACCGTGCAACGCTGAACATAACGCCTGTCCCTGTCAGCGTCTCGCTCCTAGTGGAGGACGGACTGGCTTACCTATTGGTAGAACAAAGAACCATGCGAGCACCATGAGAGCGATATGTGCCAGTATCATCTTTCCATGCATACCGAGAGCGGCATACGATGTAGCCTGGGCGTCGGACGCAGCGGCACCCTCATGAGGGACTGGTTTCTTCATGTCACACATGTCCCCATGGCAGTGCTCATCGTCGCCATGAGCGACTGTCTGCGCCGCCAGTTCAAGCAGCACTGCTGCGATGGCATACCTCGAGACCACCATCCGTGCGCGTGTACCGGTTGGTCCACTCTCTTCTTGTTACAGAGGCCACCCGGACCCTTTCAGTTTTTCCCACGAAGCGAGATCCGCTCCAGGCCTTGCTGGGGTAAGCGACAGACGCAGTGAGGTGGTTCTGACCGGGGTGAGGAGGTAAGCCACACAGCGAGTGAAGTGAGGTCTGTCTATAAGAGGCGGGATAGGAAAATGGGCGCGACCAAGCGCAGGCGAAAATGCGATTCAAAGGATACTATGCGAGTACTAGGTAAGGACGAGACGGACAGGAACATGTCCCCAGCGCGAAGGCGCGAGCAGTATTAAAGACCTCGGCCGTCTAAGGCAGTTTCCCTTGCTGGCACCAACCATCGTAACACCTGCGTAGGAGAAGCGGACGAATAGGTCAGCCGGGCCGGATTTGTCGGATGCGTCGACGACATGCATGTGGTTATCGCCGTGAAGAACAGAAGATGCCAGATGCGAGGCCGCAGAGCCCGCCCCGTGATTGGCGGACGAGGGTCCCGCCAAGGCCATTGAACCGGCTTCTGCTGGAGCCCGGCAGCATTGGGAGGTCAATTCCTGGTGACAGCACCAAGAGACCAATGTACGAATACGCCTTGACTCCAGCCGGCCAGCCTCATGCCATCCAGGTACTCATCCTTGTACAGATACAGCATACACGAACTTGTCAGCACTCTATTACCCACCCCAAGACGCGAGAACACGAGTCCTCGGTACCTCCCTAGGTACTTGTTCACTGTAGAGAGGATCAAAGATCGTTCGCAGGCAGCAAACCCGCAAGTTGCACTACGGTGCCCGTCACACCAGTCCAATACTTCAAAGCGTGTTCGTACAGTATGCGAAGAATCAATGGGTCACCAGGCAACGCACAGCTCATGGAAGAGTACAACCCCCACCCTCGAATGATGTTTTCGCCGTGTCAGAGCCGTGCGTGATAATTGAAGCGCTCGCCCCCTGTCGCATTAGGTACGCTCGGATGACAAAGGATGGGCCCTGGAGCCAGTAGGCTGTAATGTCGGAACGCGAGCTGCGGAAAGGCTGCCTGAAAGATTTTGCTTATCCCCAGTCTGATGCGATTCTGATGCGATTCTCTCTATTCAACATTACAAACCAGTGCGGCTACTGGCGCCCGCGGCGGATTTCTTGATGTCATCAGAATCCAAATGTCCCTCGGTATCGGGTCATAGTATCACGAGAAAAATTTCCTCTCCATACGGGTTTTACATGGCCGCTAACTCGATTTTGCAATCGACAACAAAAGGATTGAAAAAATTGCAAGGCGACGGTACTGTCAGTGCGATGGAGATGGAATGCTTGTTTGATGGCTCTGCGTCCGGGAGCACTGCAGAATGTCGCCGACCCAACGACATATCATCATAACGCTGTAGACCGCTTCCTCACACCTAGGCGAGAGAGGGGTGGTGTGATAAGCACGGCGACTGGTCTGATTAGATCGAGAAGTGTTGAAGCATGCAAAGGAGGCCTGAAGATTTCCATGCAAGCCGAAAAGCGGTGACTCAGCGCCTATGCACGAAAGGGTCGCAATGCAGAAAATCCAATGGCTGGGAGAAACAAGAACGGGCACCATGCACCCCATTGACTCAACTGCCCATGAAGGAAGTTGTGGGTAAATAGCAGGAATTGAGATCACCGATCAGTGTCCATCCCAAAGACCCAAGGAGCACACGCCGGCCCGAGGACCCAGCACTGGAGCGGCTATAAGTGCTATTGCGGAAAGCTAGAGCCTCATCTGAGGCTAGTGAGGCTGGGAACCCATTTCCAGGCAACATTAATAATCGTCTGTATACAATAGTCCAAAGCAGATTTGCCAGAGACTATCGAGCGCTGAAACAATTCCGTGGGGGCTTCCAGACTTTCATGCCAACCTCATGGGCGAAAGAAGAATCATTTTCAATGGCTTCCAGGGACCATAAGACGACTACGAAGATACTTCGTTTGGGCACTTGAGGAATTGGCACGTTTACCTCGTTCTCCAAGCCTCCGCGGTCAGTCCGCGTTCTACCGTATTGTCGCGATCGTCGATGGTGCTGCTCCTTGTTCTCGCTTGCGATGTCAGCTATCGGTGGTGGGATCGGAGGCTCGTTCCTTTCTTCGTCCGAACTCTTTGGCTTTCTCAGGGCCATACAAATCCCCCTCCGGCTCTCCCTGATCCGCTAGATACGCCCTGCATCTCAACTAGGCAGATTGCCTAAAGCAGGCCTGTCGTCTCGGGCTGTTGCCTGATCAACTACTTGAATCATGTCTGAGCCCTTCACTAGGCTCTTGCCTGAGCATTCTTGCGGGCCACCCCTTCGCACTTCATACCGGGAAAACGTTCCGGTTGCTGCATCCCCAGGTGGCATGAGATATCAGAATGTTCTTATTTCCCCCTCTAGTGCTTCTGGCACCATGTACTCAACGGCATCGCTTACCGGCCGTCGAGAAAAATGCCTCGCTGCTCCGCTCATGACTGTTCTGTGGTGCTACCTGAGCATTTTTAGCCAAGGATCAAGCCGGCCCTCCGTAGTCTTGTCACGACGGCTTTTCGTAATCCCTCGATGGCAGTGCAGAACTCGATCGATCGCGATGAAACAAATACGGGCTCAGACCCTAAAACTCCCGCTACCCGGACCGCTTGAGCAAAAATCACTTATGTACATACAGGACGCAACTCAATTCGGGCGTGTGTCGCAAAGAACTCCACACTTCAGTACGGGTTACGGGTCTAAGCATCAAGGACAGCCCTATGTCCGTCCGAGCACCTGTACTGCGTTGCCGCTCATACCGACTTCAATGCCAACAGCGGAGCTGGAGTGTTGACTTGTTCAAGCAGCCTAACTAGTGAGCCCCTGTCTGGCCTTTAGCACCTGTGATATTCTTTGCTTTCCATTCTAGCACCGAACACACCTGCGGACTGGTGTCTCGCAGCTCTCGGATCAGCAGACACGACACCATTGCCTACCGGATGCAGCCGAGTAGCTCGTCAACTGTCTGACTCCGTCAAAGAGTAGAGCCCATCTTACCCCAGCATCCAAGAATGTTAGCGAGTAAACCTCGCACTTGGCATCACTGGCGCTATGCACCTGATCACGAGAACTACCCTGCGACGATGATCATCTGCACAAGCTAGCCAGATGCTCGAAGCACACAGTTCCCTGGGCATTTATGCACTGCCCGCTGAACTCTTCTCGTTTGGACGTTTGTTGTCCGGCTTCACTGGGTATGGTAGAGCTATCAACCTGCACCCCGATTTCCAAATCGAGGATACAGCATGATCGACGATGACCCTAGCTACAGTACGAGTACAGTACCTGTCTGTGCTCTCCGCGGGGGAGTACGGAGAGTCAGCTGTGTGCAATCTCGCACGAATTATTCCCCTTTGGGCTGTTAACAAGGCCCGCTTCTGGCCATGGTTTCACATGCAACTTTGTACGCCTAGGATCAAACAATTATCAGGAAGGGCCATCACAAGGCGGCACCTCAACCCGAGCAGCGGTCTCTGACATCCCTCGTGGCTCCGCGACTAGACGGAGACCGCCCCAGTTGCGCACAGTAACGGATGGTGATCGGCTCAAGGAGCACGACTTTCGCATTAGGCCTGTACTGTAGCTTGATCTCGTACAGTCGCCATACAGCATTGTTAGGTTAGCAAGTTTCGCTCGAAATAGGCGGTCAAAGTTTCACTTGCGCCCTATCGCACGTTGTACCAGTGAGATCTGAGCCAATTATGTACGGACTCGCCAAAAGAAGCAAATCACCTCAGTCAGCCATGGCACGGTGACTCACCTCTATCGAACGGATACTGTGCCGACTTATTCCTAAGTAACTAAGTTAAGTTATATGTGGGCTTTGCAATTCTGTCGACGGAGCTCTGAGCTCCTGCATTGACATTCAGCGTCACAGAATCAACAGCCTGCTGTACGTCCAGAATAGAAATCCATATTGCTTGACTCTCCGTTGCATGGCATACCTGGCCTTCAGGAATTCTTTCTGCCTGACAAGCCTCGCCTACTGGGGCATTCTCCTTATCAACCAAGGTGCAGTGACAAACCAGAGCTTTGCTCGCGTTGTCCGCTCTTATGCGGCATCACCACCGTCAAAAAGTGTGTAACTCATCGAGGTTTGTTCTTGCGCCCGGCAAAATTCTCCCATATTGCATTGGCGGCGTCATCGTGGTGCCCGGAAACTGGACGTAACATCAGGCTTTCGTCAGACTCTCTCCATAGAGGGATCCGAGCAAAGCCGGATCTAGGAGGACCAAGTTCTGTCTATGATGCGGGCAATACCAGGTGTCGCCACAGGGCGAATGCGGTTCGGATATATTCTCTCTCGCAAATGCAACAATGCACGGTGAGATCTTCCATGCCCGTGATGCTGATCATTTTCATTTCCGGTGTGCACATTGTCGAGAGCAAGTCTTTATCCGCTTGCATCACCCCGGAACGGGAGCGTTTCATGTCTTTCCCTTGACAGTTGAAGGAGGTCGAGGCACTGAATCTCCACACAGCGTTGTCCGAGCGAACCCCTGCTTTTTGTGGAGTCCATCGACAATGACACCGACTTGGAGGGGGGCGGTTGGGAACCGGAAAACTTACTCCAAACATCCGTCTCTGTTTTTTTATCTCTCGAGTCTCCAGGTCCGGAGTACTACTTGCTTCGCCCAACCCAAATTACGGGGAGATCTCTAGCGAACTAAGTGACCAAAGCGCCGAGATAAGGAGGGAGGTGCACCAACAAGGCAGCCGCACACAGCAGGAAGTGCAATTTCGAACAGAGGGGGGGAAGCTTAATAAGAAGAAGAGCGACGATACAGGTTTGGGTTTCGGTTTCGGTTTGGCTGTTGGATACCCAACGGACAATGCTTCATGTTCTTGATGTGATGGGTCCGAATGATCGTGCGCCGATATGATGTCGTAGAGCAGGTAAGGTGGTGCTACTCGGACCTGTACCTAGGTAGTAAGAGACACGTCACTCCTCTTCTTTTGCGCGAGACGGATGGAATGACACCGGTCAATAAACATTCCCATCACTCCTACTTCGAACATGCACCTGTCAAAGAAGACATGGCATGTACTATTTAACTACCTGTACTACCTCAGCCCGAGGCCAGGGACGGTGTCAAAAGAGTCAAAGACTTCAACGACGGAATTTCCTCAACTACTAGTAATCATTTTCTGTCTTCGGTCAACTGAGCTACTTGCATTTTCATTGACTGGGATCCTCTCATCCTGCCCAGACAGCATGTCCCAACCTCGCAAGTCCGAACTGGTCCAAAATCATAGTGTGTCAACAACTCCCCCCAATGTCGAGCTTGTCAAGACCATTCCAGCGGCTTAGAAATTTGCATGTCTCCCTTAGCGAGTCAGTGACCACGAACTCTGTTCTTCTTTCTCCGTACTCTCGGGCTTGTTCTGTACGAAAACACCTGTTATTTGATGCAACGATGCGACCACGCGCCATCTGGCCAGTGAGTTCAGCGTATCGAGCACCTCATACCAAGCGATTCCTCTTGACAGGTTTGACATCCACAAAAACAACATCCGAGTCGTTGCCATCATCACCTTCATCCTCGTCCGAGTCGTCGAGAACAACCGCACGTTTATGTCTTCGAGGTGCGACAATTGGAGGAGCCATGGCTCCTTCGTCGTCTTCTTCGTCTTCCTCATCCAGTACAACTGCTCGCTTGTGTCTTCTGGGCTCTGCTGCGTTCGAACATGGCTTTGACAGCGGCGGCGTTTGAGCCTCATTGAGATTGGACGATGCGCAATCGGTTCCTCGTTGACTTAAAGTGGCTCTCCAGGCTTTACCGACTGCTCGCCCTAACACTGCACCGATCGAGTAGGGCACTCCGTTCCCGAGGATCTCATATTGCTGAGACATTGAACCTATCAGTAGGAAATTCTTCGGGAGATCCATTGCGCGCATTGCTTCCCTCAGTGAAATTGTTCGATGTTCATAAGGATGCATTAATTGTCCATTCGAGTCACTTTTAGGCACAATCTTGGTGCATATGGTTGGAAAAGGCTTGTTGGGATCCAGTCGTCCGTAAGACTTCGAACCTTTCGCTTGCTTTTTAGCGTTCAAACTTCTAAACCACGTATTCTGTGATGGTGATAGATGGCCATGATGATAAGCCTTGCTTAGAGACATTCCACTTGGGGTTGTCGGAATTCGCTGGACGACGTTTCTTAGACTGATCTCATCTTGAAGAGATACATGGAGTCGAGATATCGGAATGTGAAATGGATCAAGAATATTGATACTTGTGTCGTTATGCACTGGTGATAGGTTAGCCATAGTAAGGCTACACGCTCTTGGCTCTGAGATCTCATCAATTGACGCTGGAAGGACCGCGCCTGGTGCAGCAGCGATGATGATAAGTCGCTCGCGCTTAGATGCTCCACCTAGTTTGGCTGCTCTGAGAATCATTTTGCGAACTTGATAGCCCAGCGCCACTAGGTGACATATAGCTTGTTTTCCTTCATTTGGACTCCTGCGCTCAATCATTCTCGGTACGTTCTCAATCACAGCATAGGCTGGCATTAGGGTCTCGATATATGAGATCGTATTGGCCAGTAGTGTGCAGTTCCGGAGAGCCCCTTCAGAATTTGGGTGTCTGTTTAAGGGGCTGAAACCTTGACAGGGACAACCAGCAATGAGACAGTCGACATGATTCAGGAGCCCAACTCCTGTCAGATATTCCCGCAGAACTGTATTCACTGAATCAAGTTTATATTGTGTGTCTCTTGAGTAGTGATAATTTGCTCGATGACTAAGTATAGCCATCTCATCGTGCTCAACAGCAGTAATAATCTCTGCATAACCTGAACAGGTGAAACTGTGATCCCATAGACCACCGCCTGCAAATAGACTGAGTACTTTCATCTTCGGATAATGAATATCGCTATTACGAGTGACTGAACTCTGAGCATTTTTCTTGCTTTGTCTGCTTTGACAATAACAGATAAGCTCATCTTCGATAGCTGTGATAAATGAATCTTCCTTTTCGCGAAAGAGACAATGAATGAAAAGTTCTGCACTCTCACTTGCTTTGGCGTGATCTGAAAAGACACTGACGTTAACAATCCTCACAACATTTTGAATTGAAATCTCTTCACAATTGCATTGATCAGAGAAGAATAATTCATTACCGATTGGGTATTCTGTGCCATCCTTCTCTGAGCCACAGAGTGTGCTTGATGGTAAGACCGCCCAGACTACTTTGATAGAGGTATTTGAAGCCCATCGAACAAACGCGTAACGGAGTTCATAGTGCTGTCGATTTCCCAATCGAATGATAACCACTTTTCGTATCAACTCAAAAGGCTTTAGCGAAATATGTTGATCTGCTTTTGTATTCTCGAGAATTGAGGCAGCTTTAGAGGTTCTTTGCTTGTTGAAATAGCGCTCTTGTCGATACGCCAATTTTTGCGGGAATTTCCACTTATGAATTCTCTGTTGTCGAAAAGCCTTCACATCTGGACATGGTTGAACAATCTCGAGTAGTTGAAGCTTTCGCCAGCGCGGAAACACACGAAGAAACTGATCTCCAATCTGAGGAGTCACGACGGTCTTCTCTGACTTGGACTGACTTTTTCTGTTATCAGGACGGTCGAATACCCCGAGTTCGTTCCATAAAGAATGTGCATCGTGCTTGTTATGTAAGCCATAAAAGGTATTCCAAAGAAAAAATCGATGCTGGCATATCCAAGGTCGAAAGTCCTCCTTTTTCCCACACTGAAGATGCCAAGAAGAAATATTCTCGCCGTGTTGATGGTTTAGCCATCTCCAAAAGGTCGATTCGAAATCCCTGAGACCTACGCCATTGCCTTTGACTTTGAGGAAGTCAATAACATACTTGCAGAGATTCGCAACCCACAAAAACTGTTTCCAATGCTCTCTGTATCCTGCGGCTGGCTTGCGGAGTCGATAATAATATTTCCTCTCAGAAGAATGGACCGTGTCAATCCATATCTGACCTTCGGTGGTGGAGCTTTCCAACTTCTCCAGCTCCCCGAATGTCACAGTCGAGATCAAAGCACATCTAACGGGGCGTCGATTACCGTTGTGTACCAATATTCCATCCACGAGAAATTGTTCCGTCTTTTTCGATGTCTGTACTGTGACCAAGTTTTCATATTGTCCTTTAAATCCGGACGGCTGTTCGGGAGAGCGATAGACAGAGAAATCTTCGAGATCGAACTCATAGAAATCCCCTTCATCGGAAGGTATCATATTTTTCTTGTCCATTGCAATGAATTCGTTCAAGACATCATGCTCCGACGCGCAAGGCAGGGCCACACCGAGGGCGGACGATGTTGAGAATTTTCGAGGGTAGAGCAGAGCTAGATCTTCGGGACTTTCGAGGCTGTGAAGTTCTTCGGCCAGCGCCTCACATAAACTATCAAGGGTATCATCTGACGAGTCAATCGATCTGGCGTCCTCGTCACGATATGTTCTTGCTGATCGCAAGCGAGTGCGTGGACCAAGGACTTCGTCATCTGAGGATTCCGAGTCTGCCGAGATTGAAGTATCTTCGAAAAGTGCCGTCAGCTTACGCCGAGTTCGTTCATCGTCAGTATTCGTCTCGTCGTCACTATCTGAGATCTCGATGACTTCCGTATCGTCAGCATCAGAAAAGAAGGACTGCAAAGGAGGCATTGTTGTTTCTCAAGTAATCAGGTTTAGCAACCAGGTCTGTCGTCTGCCAAACCTTGTAGAACGTCGAAATTGGTAAAAAGAGAATGACCGAAGTGAATGGGAAGTCATTTCGCAAATGGTGCTTCATCAGGAAAGGCGGTCACAACCTCAAGATGTTGCAGGCAGCGGTGGTGATGATTGGCAGACAAGATTTCGCTCCATTGAATACGTGCATCAGAAAAAATCGCATAGTGCATTCTTCAGGCATTTGCGCCCATAAAGTAGAATTGCAACCGCGAAGCGCGAGAGACGCAAGCATGTTGCAACAAGAGCAGCAAGTGCACGAGAAACCTGATATTGCATGGTATGAACACTGTACAAGGAGACGAGGATGATTGAAGAGGATATGGATGCCCCAGTTGCCTGATATAGCACCATAAAGGCACACATGTTTGTTTGCGGCGAAGGCGTCGCAGGCGATGCGGGAGATGAGGTTGCAGTTTCATGTCTCGCGAGGACTATGGAGGGAGAGTTGAGTGCAGGTATGCCATGGGATAAGAACAAGATGACCACAACCCAAAGTCTAAGAGTTACTGGTGACTGAACAATCAGTGAGCCGTTCGTGAGGCTGTGGCAGAATGAGAATCATCCAGCGGTAAGACGACAATTGCACCAGGTACATGGTATAGCTTGAGTAGGGCTGACTGCCTGGTACAGGACAAACCGAACACTAGGGCATCAACAAGGATAGGAGTGCAGTGAGGTTCGATATCAGCTCAAAGGAATTCTGAGATCTGGGTAGAAGTAAACAAAGGTTGGTGTTGCACTGGCGAGGCCCAGACGCAACGGCTAAAGTTCGGATGTAAATGCCAAGAATTAGGTCTTGGCTTTGTGTGCACAAGTTGAATTTGCCTTGCGACAAACGACTCTTCACGATCCTCCACAGTCCGCTCAAATTCCACGTCGATTGCAGGCCATTTCAGACAACAACCGCAATCATGGGTGGAGTTACCGTACGCGATGTCGATGTAAGTGCGCCTCTTGCAGAATCACGAACGCCGAAGCCCCCTCGAGTCGAAAATCACAAAGAGCCAGGAGTTGCTGGAGGACACATTGGGAACCACCTGCAACGGTTGGGAAAATGAGAACACCGCTGACTAGAAGTCCTCTAGGCGCAAAAATTCATCAACGCCTATGCCGATTTCCTGAAGAGACAGGGAAAGCTCCAAATACCAGGTGAGTTTGGGCCTCATTGGTTTTTAATCCCCAGAAATCTCAAGGTGCTCGGAGGCAGTGTATGCTGCTCTGGGTTACTATGAACCAACTCATCGCCACGGCATTGCTAACATCTGCGTCTGCATAGGCTGGGTTGATACCGTCAAGACGTCACACTCCAACGAACTTCCTCCTCAGTCCCCCGATTGGTTCTACGTTCGAGCTGCTGCTGTGGCGCGACATGTCTATCTCCGAAAGTCTGTTGGTGTTGGCCGCCTGCGAAAGGTTCATGGAAGCACAAAGAACCGTGGCTCAAGACCCTCGCACCACGTCGACGCCTCGGGATCGGTTGACCGAAAAGTCATGCAAGCTCTGGAGAAGCTAGGAATCTTGGAGAAGGTTGATGAGGATGATGAAGGTGCGAGCGGAAAAGGTGGCCGAAGAATCACGCAAGCCGGTATGCGAGATCTGGATCGTATTGCTCAAACCGCGGTCGAGGGTGATGAGGACGAAGAATAAATGTGAAATCCAAAAGCGGCGTCGAGGGGTGCATACGGAAATGCTATTCCAGTGTCTTCTGCACTCAGCTGCAGACGGAATGTGACCACAAGAGTCATGAAAAAGCTTTTTACAAAGCGGAAAGCATTCTTGCATGGGCGGGTCAATCGTCATCTGGCCATCAGTTGCAAGGTCCATCGGCATGATTCAGGCAGACGAGGCTCAATGAAACTATTTCAATGTTGCAACATTGCTCGGTTTTCTCGAATCCTCGTTTCGTTTCCTTCAGCCATGGCCACCCACCTCAGTCGATCCTGTCTGCTGAAGCCAAACCAGTAGAGGTGCATTCCACTATCGGATAGCAGACCATCCAGTTCCATCGTAGACCATGGTGTACAGAACGCAGATTGTCTTCCATGTACGGACAATTCAAGTCCATTCCAAATTGCCAAAACAGTGCAGGCCCGTATCCGCATAATTTTAATTCTCGGCATTCGGAAATATATATTTTCCGTTCCACCACCACGGGTCAGTAATTTGTGGCAAGTCGAAGAACAAAGCTCCTCACCAAGTGTTCTTCTTGTCTTCGCAACCTCCTCGACCAACACTCGAGGATAATTCGGCAACTGCCCATCACGCCGTTGAGCAGTATGCCTATCGTGTGGCGATGATACCGTTCTTTCACTATCAGTATGGCTCTCAAGGCACCTCTGCACAGCCTGATCAGCCGTACTGGAGCCTCCCTACACCTTATGCGGTAAGGCGTATTGTAAGGAGTACTCGCCTGGAGTACGAAAGGCAGCCTCGATGTTCACATGATATACGGGACAACTTGTGTCCTCGAGCCGAATCGACATGGCCCAGTATGAGCTGCGCTTTTGGCTTTATCCAAGCACGCCGTCGCTGTCCTAATGTTCCGCTGCCCCGCTAGGTGTCACTATGAACACACAGAAAACAATCTCATATAGCCTGATGCGCCTTACCAGTCCGTTCAGGTCTCGAGTTGTCCACCTGAGCCCTCTTCGTCAGATAATAGTTCGGCAGTCGCTGGGTGCTTTGCCCAAGTATGCCTGTAGTGAAGCGACTCGACACAGCCTTCATGTCACAGCCTGCTAAATGCTTCTGATATGCATTGATGGATATCTTCTCCAGAACTGCGACACACCCTTGTGCTCCTCTTCTTACCCTTCCCTTGCCCAGACTTCCATGATTTCCTTCTCACCAATGCTTGCATATCGCTGTGAATCTTTGCCTGGCGGAGATCCTACCGAGAGTGAAGAACAGAAAATATTCGAGATGGAGACTTCAGAGCTTCGGTCTTGTGAAGGGTGGACTGGAAAACCTATACCAGAAGAGCTCCGATTGCACAACGAAGACGAATCTCTACCTCCGAAGCTTAAGGATATACTAACCTGGTCCCTCAATGTGACCAATAAACCGACAAAAATCACACCCTCGAACCCCAGCGCGGCTGCAAAGGAAGCCTTAACAGGCTCAGAGACAAGTGGCTTTACGCAACCGTTGGCACAAACTTCTCCATCGGAGGCAGCATCCTCGGCTACCTCAGTTGGTTCGTCACAGTACAGGGAAGAAAAAGACTCTGGGGCTAGTCGCCGCAGAATAATGCCTGGTTTGTGGAGCCTCCAGAATACCAGCAAACGCCCATACACCCCCCAAAGTGGCAGGCATGGCATCCTGGAATCTACAAGAGACCTTCTCACAGCCTTCAGGCAAAAAGCCGAAAAAACAGGGCAGCTACGCGCGAGGTCTGAAGTAGTCCTGGTGCATGACTCCAACGTCTTTGAATGTACCGGTTGCTTCGAAGAGTTCCGTTCGGCGGAGACTACCAAACTTCCCTGTGGTCATTCTTACTGCAAAGCATGTCTAACCACGCTGATCATGACAGCGCTTCAGAATGAAAGTAACTATCCACCTAAATGCTGCCTGAGCGAGATTCCGCTCTCGGTAGCTCTACAGCCGCTCGATGCGAAACAGCAGAAAATGTACAAAAACAAAGCTGCTGAATATTCGATCCCTGCTCAAGAACGATGGTACTGCCCTAACGTACGGTGCTCGAAATGGATCCCACCCGCAAACCTTCGACGCACTCGTCATTCCGACCAAAAGTGTCCCTATTGCTCTGGCAAAATTTGCAGTATCTGCAGAGGCTCCGCACATGGCAAGTCAGTAGATTGTCCTCAGGATTTCGGATTGGAGGCCACAATATCTCTTGCGGAGCTTGAGGGCTGGAGACGCTGTCACAGTTGTCGGGCCTTGGTCGAGGTACGTATTCTTTGCCAGCCCGCTGGCTTGCTGACTGTTTCTCTTAGCGAGCTTCTGGATGTCGCCACATGACCTGCAAGTGCGGCTCTCAATTCTGCTACGTGTGTGGAGCAAAATGGCGAACCTGTGGATGCAATGAAGTCGATGAAGTCAACCGGCAAGCAGATCTAAGACGACGAAGGGTGGACAGACAAGTTACGATTGATGCAGAGGCAGAGGAACTTGCTCGCACCGTCGCCCAGGTTGAAGCTCTGGAACGTCGTGAAGCGGCAGACCGGCAAAGGGAACAAGCACAGCAGGAAGCGGAAAGGAGACGGCAGGAGGCCCAGCTCACAAGATTAGAGGAGGAGAGACGGCAAGAGGAAGCTTCAAGGAGGCTAGAAGAGGAACGACTTGAGCGCGAGTACCGGCTCGCTCTCCGAGAGTCTATCCTGGACACTTGCAATGCAATGCAATCGGCATTGATCAACATCAGCCAGACCCAGAAGCAAGCCCTCGACAGCCGACACCTGCAAGCCACGCGTGCCCTCCTGGAGGAGCGCAATTGCGAGTTGGCGAAGCAGAGAGTTGAAGCCGAGGAGCTACAAGCTAAGCTAAAGTCAAATATCGATCGAAGGACCGCCTTTGTCCAACGCAAACACAGATCGGATGTTGGCGTTTTCACTCATGAGCAGGATGAACTGGAAGACGACTTATTTTTGGAGATAAGGATGCATCTCCATGGTAAATCTGACAAAGAAGCACGAGAGTGTCGCCTGCATGAGAAATTTAGGAATCAGCGCAAGGACAAATTACAAGAGCTCCTCAAGAAGCATGAGATGGAGATGAAGACTTTGAACGTTAGTGCCTCCAGCGAGCTGGACGTGGTGAAACGGGCCAGCGACACCAAGATTGCCATGATCACGACCAGATACGCCAATTATTTCGAAGCACACCGGACGGCCGTGGCTGCAGACCTTGCCTGGTTTCAACACATATCCGAAAGGCGACATAACATGGTGGCCTACCATACCCGCCTTGTGCTTGCCGCTGTCGAGGCAGACGAGGAACCAGTCGGTCTAACTGAAGAACAAGCTACAGCCATTGGGCCTTTTATGTCCGGCCATTCAACCCCTCTACAGCAGGATGACCGACTAGTGCCATCGCCTACACCGAGTCCCACTGTTACGCCTACACCATCCCTTGTCGAGCTCGCTGCAACGTCTAATCGCTTGCTGTCTGTCTTGGAGCCGCAACCCAAGTCAACGGGCGGCGCCGACGCTGCGATAGGAGCGTCTGCAAATCAGTCTCTGATGAACAGGGCCGGCTTATGCAAGGCAGGACAAGACCAATCCTCTGCTGGCGTGTCTCGAATATCTGAGGACAGCACATGTGGCTTGGAAGCCGGGCAATCCATACGGAGGTACGTTATGGCTGGAGGTCCTCGTACGCCTAGACGGCCAAATTCCCTTTCGAGTCGAAGATACAAAACTGGTTCCCGGTCAGGCGATAACATCCCAACCGTGCCAGAGCTCCCAGCCAGATGTCCCGGAGGCGGCGACCTCCTCTCGAAGATGCCAGGTGCCTTTCCTGCCACGCAGATGCCTCGTGACAATTGTGAAGCGCAGGGCAGCTCAGTCCAGGCTTCGCCTAGGCACGTATACCAGCGGGACTCATTGGCCGAGAGCACCGCATCGGTCACAGGGCGGTCCACGGCTCCTTTGTCCCCGGTATCAGCGTCAGACTACTCGTGCGCAACGTCGCCAGGGATCATCGGTACCCTGTCCAAACCAGTCACTGATGCTATTGAGCCTTTGTCGTCTTCTTCGTCTTCTTCCTCCTTGCAGCAGGAGCGGCGCGCGATACCTGTCTCGACTTCACACGCCACTCCTCTCAGACCATATCAACATGCGAGGGGAACGTTCTCACTCGGTGACCTGCGCGCGGCGTTGACAGGCAGTAGCGGAGTTGTAGGTGGTGACAGGGCAAGAATGCCAAAATATACGTTGAGAGGAAGGTTGCAAGCGGATGAAACGAGCCGGGGGTGATGTTTTTGGGGGCACACTAACTTGGGCTTAGGGGAAGAGAGGAACCAAAAATACACGCAACGACGATGGCAACAATGTACTAGGCGCACACAGAGGTGATTTTGAGTCTATTTGTTACCGATAGTTTTGGCAGCAGTCAAGTAGGGCCAAGTTAATAACTGCCCAGGTACAGATAAGATAGTGCGTGAGTCGCGTGAAGAGTCGAGCGGGAGTCGTAAAAGCCAAAGACCAAATGCAGTAAAAATATGCCTCAGCTCCCAGGTTGGACACTGTTGTATTACCCCAGACGGCCTTCTCCGTAGCCAGACGACCTTTGTTATCTGACCATGAACCAATGAATATAACGTGGATTCCCATTACTCTCATAGTAAAGGGCGAGAGATATATTTGTCGTCCTGATTACCTTGGCCGAGGGGCGAGAAGAGGGCAAGACTTAGCTGAGATACTCCGTAGTTCTTATCGCATTATTATTGTCACCACCACCACCACCACCACCACCACCATTGTTGTTGTCGTTGCGGTCACTACGAAACCCTGAAAATGACAACGGTTGATAGCACTAGGTTCCTCGCGGACGGGGGATATCTGCAGAAAGGCAGAGAGAAGAATCTCCGACCAGTCGACCTGGGCCGGAAAACGCATGACCTGGCTCCGTCAAGGTGAGAGATCTCTAGATCCGCCCCTATCTACCTCCCCACCTACCTACCTATCTACCTCCCCACCTACCTACCTATCTACCTGCCTGAGCTGACTTGACGCGGCGCAAAAAAAGATGGTACCGAGATGAGAAGATCTTTCAGCTGGAGAGAAGGGCTTTGTTCTCGACGGTGAGTCTGCCTCCCTGATACATTGAATCGATGTGTGCGGCTTGCTTCGTTCGTCCCTGTCCCTCCCTGGATACCATGAGAAACAACCATCCGACGCAAAGGAGGGGGCCGACTCTGCGAGTTCTCTGGGTGTTCTGACACGGTTGTCCTCAAGTGCCGCCCAATGCGGGAAATGGTTTGGCTAACGTGATTGCGTTCTGTTTGTTCGTCATTGTAGTTGTGGCATGTTGCGAGTTTCAAAGCCCGGTTTCAAAAGACAGGCGATTACTTGACCATGGAAGTAAGTGCTTTTTCTGCCCCGAGAGGCTTCGTGGTCTGCAGTTCAGAGAAGCTAAACACGCGTTTTTGTGTCTGCAGATGTTTGGGTGGAACTTCTTCATGATAAGGGACAAGGATGGCAACATCAATGCGTTCCATAACATCTGTCGACACCGGGGCCATCCAGTCACACAAAAGGCTTGCGGGTCGAGTACGGTACTTGCATGTCGATTTCATGGCTGGTGAGCCCATCTCTCTCCCACGATTGAACAAAATACACCGAGTCTCAAGCCGACGGAATGCTCACTGCTGCGCGGGTCCCCCCCAAAAACAGGTCGTATCTCCCGACTGGAGAGCTGCACCGAGCCAGAGAGTACAATGGCCTGCCGGACTTTGATCCTAAGGCCCATTCTCTCTTCAAGATCCATACCCACGTCACTCCGCAGGGCTTCATCTTTGTCAATTTCGACGCTCGAGACACTCCGGCGGTGAGTTTTGAGGAGCAGTTTGGTGATGATTTCGAGCCGATGCCAGAGGCGGCCACCGGAAAAGTCGTCGGAAACGAGTTTGCTCTGTTTCCCACCGACGGTTGGGAGTATGACCATACTTGGAACAGCAGCGTCGGAGGAACTGAGTACAACTGGAAGACATTCGTGGATGGGTTTCAGGTTGGTAGACTTCGTCAGCGTACCTGCACGGGGCTCACGAGTTGATTTCACCGAACGTAGGAATGCTACCACTGCCAAACAGGGCACCCGACAACCTTGCCGAAAGATTTCGCCCTTGACCAATACTATCTTCGTCAAGGACATGGTGCATCACGGCATTTTCTGCCGCCAAAGAAGGAGGGGTTGTCGGAAGCATACGTGAGTCTACGAGTTCACTCTCCAGCCCACTGCAACAAGATCTATTGACGCATTTGACTCGTTAGATCACGTGGTTGTACCCTTTAGGCGTCGTCACGTTCAGTGAGAATCTCCTCTTCATTGGGCGATTCAATGCTACCGGAGCACTCAAGACATCCTATGACAGCGAGACCTACCGGAGATCGACCATGAAGAAACCCAGTGCCGACTATGACCATTGGATGCAGCATGATATCGCGTACTGGAGATTTGTGGAAACCGAGGATGTCGAGTTGGCAGTCAATGCCCAAAAGGGCTTCAAGAATGGTGTCCTTGGGATAGGCAGGTTGCACTCCGTTGAAGGTGAGACAAGCATGTTTGTTCAGTAACGGAATCCTCGGGCTGATGACGGGATGACAGAACATGCCGTCAAATGGTACCTGGACAAAGTTCGCGCAATCCTGGTTCAGCATGCTGAACGTGAAAAAGCCGAAGGTAAAAACATCGACTATGCCATACCCCAAGCCCAGGCGGATGCTGTTGAGGAGGACACACTGTGCAAGCTAGTCGGCCCAGAGCACGAGTGGTAGGCCGGAGACTGTCCTCGTGGCGGGGTACGAGTACACCAGGTTGTACAAAGGTCGTTTGACGGGAGCATGTTGATCGGAGCGCGGCACGTCTTGTAGAAAGCTGGAGGAAGCACGGAGTATGGCGTTACTGATTGGGTAGGTAGGCTGGCCTAGCAGTCTGAGTCTGCGTTGAAGCTAGTAAACGTCACTGATAACGTCCGGATCGTGGGGGAAGAAAACTTGGACAAGTGCAAGCCATCATTGACAAGTTGAAGAAAATGCCTCTGGTGCATTACAATCCACAGCGAAATTTATTTTAGGCAGGCTTTGACCGAGAGCGGTACTCCGTAGCGGTGGTGTCGGGTCAGAATGTCGTGATTATTCTTATCTGGTGTGAGTCATGTTCGGAAAATCCTTGACCGGCGACTTTCCCGAGTGAGGACGGATACCATACACTCCATGCAAAGCCGGCCCTTGAGATGTCGCAATGATATGGCTGGGTGCCCATGTCCATGGGTGTACTCTGCGGATAGTGCACTCCGGACGTGAGACGAGATGAGCAGGGAGTCGATTCGGCTGTCTAATAGCAGGCCATAGAGGGCCAATAATATTGTGCTTTACAGATGTTGGCTTCCCTCTTTTCCCCGAAGCGAGTCGTCAGCAGGGAGGCTGATATTGATGAGATGATGCGGCTGATACAAATTGTTGCATGATCAACATGGCTGAAACAACGAATCCTCCACAGTTGATGCCGATCAACGACCATGGTTGATGGACAGAAAAGACCCGCGACAAAAACAAGGATCTGGGATGGCAAATGGTCGTGGGCCGTGGTGTGGATTTTCGTTCTCATCAGTCAACTGTACGCGTCTCAAGTTTCTTGTAAAAAGCTGTACAGTAACTCCTGTGGCGCTTTGGACACATGGATAGAATTTTGGTGGGGGAAAGAAAATGCCCGATTGTTGGCACTTGACGTCAGTCCCTTTTTGCCTCCCGAGCACAAGTATCTTTAGCTCAACAAAAAGCTGGCTTGGGCTAGTGGCCAGCGTTTAAGCAGGCCTAAGCAGGCTCGCTAGGGGCATGCGGCCCCTAAAGAAGCCCCTAAGACGCCCCTAACAAACAATAGAGTTTCCCCCCGATGGCCTTACAGGATTCCGCTTTTACCAGTCTCCCCGGTGAGGTTCTACTGGAGTTGATACCCGACCAAAGGACGGACATCAAGAGCGAAATGGCGTCTGGAAATGTTGGTCAGAATGCGCCGTCTACGTCTGCTTGATCCACACCGTCAAGTTCTTTATACCACGAAGCTGACATAGATAAATCTTCGATAAAGAGTACTCGTGGCCACGGGGAGGGCATGTACCCACACTGGTACTGAGACTGTTGACTCCCTCATCCTCCCTCTGACTCTCTATGCCACTCCCGACACCATCTTCCCGGAATCTTGGATGTGCACTCACTCGCCGTCGCTTGGAGTAGTTTTCCGGACTTCGATGTCGAACCTTGGCCAGGATGTGATGTGCTGTAGTCTGTGGACTTTGTCCGGAGTGGTTAGCCTATTAATAAACCTCGAACCATGTCGCTTTGGGCCTGGCAAGATCGCTGACCACAAAGCTTGACCACAGCGACAGCGAACCCATCGGGCCATCGGTCCATAGAGAGACAACGACGGCGGCTCAAGTACAGGGATGAGGCTACAAGACTCCGTGGGCGGTGTTGACATGTGCGGCTCAAGTCCAGCTACCACGCACCATCCCACACCATCTCGGCCCGCGCTGCATCATCGATATCTTCCTTTGTCCATGCTGCGCAACTTGTGTGTTTCTCTGAATCCACGGCATCACTCCCGGTTGCGGTCCAAGTTGTCATCTCCCCATGCGGATCCCACAGCTGGGTGGACAGTGATTGCTGGTGCATGCAGGTGTCCCGCCAATCCTGTCCAGTCCCTGGATCCCTGTCAGTGGCGGACAGTATGTTTCTACCTCGCCGCCGGTCTACAATTTTTGTGGGCATTTCCCCTTCAGAAAACTGGAGATGTGTACGGAGGATGATGAATCGTGAATAGTCGCAACCCATGCGAGCACTCGTATATGGCTGGCCTCTTCTCGTTGTCTTGCCCTTAGCGATATTTCGCTCCGCTGGTACTGTACTGCACCTGCCTTTGGCCTCGCTCACACTCGCTTTGTTTACGTTGGCTGTGCCGACATTGCTTCACTGTCTCTGCTCTCTGCCACCTCTTTCAACGCCGGTCGCGACCACATCTCCCACTTCACTGTCACTGCATGTCGCGCTTTTACCCTTACTCTTACCCTCGCACCCTCGCACCTAACCGACCGTACCTCCCCTGTCCTCAACGTTGTCCGGCGTCGCGAACAAGAACATTCGACTTGTCGTCAGTTCAGCTTCCGTCGCTCCCTGGCACCCGATTGTCTCTCGTTCCGCTTGTGTCTTGATAGCAATAACACGCCCCATGACCAGAAGACTCACCCTCAGTGGCAATCGCTCTGAGATGGGCTTGCTTCAAGACACTCCGGAACCTGAGACTCCTCCTCCGGGCTGGTCTCCCGCCAAATCAGACTTCTGGAAGAAGCCTTCAAAATGGCAGATCTGTATGCCTCGATTACGACTGCTTGTCAAGATCCTTGCCAGTGTCATTGGCTTTGCCATCCTCGTCAAGATCGTAGGCCAACAGCCACCTTCTCCATCCGCTCACGCATCTACGCCTCCCAGACAGCTGACGGAACAACAACTCATGGACAAGATGATGCAAGATTCCAAAAAGGAGTTGTGGCCATGGAAGTCATTTGAAACGTACGCCGGTCCCGAGACCCTATCCGTATCCATGAAGGGCAATTGCTGACCACGCCTTGTGCTACAGACATGACGGCTTGACCCGTGGAACGTCACATCTGCATCTCTGTGAATCGGGCGAAATTGACTGCAAAAGCAAGGCACCTCGTATGATTCGGTACGACGGCTACAAGAACTTGTTGGAGCCAGTCTCACAGATTGTTTCGTGTGTTGGTCCGCGGGGTGTGCCTCTCAATGAAAGCGAAGAGGACGCAATCTGGGCCTACCCCGGCAAAGCTAATGGTAAGATCGACCTCACAACCATGGAAAGAACTTAAAGGGAACTCTGACAATGTACAGGCGCTGTGGAACCTGCCATTGGTTCGTATGAAGCGACTGGCCTCGATGGTAGCGTCTCCTTCGATCGTCTGGGTCGTTTCCAAGCATACGGCCTGGACCAATTTGAGGCCATGGATTTCGACGATATGACGAAGACTTCTGATGTTGATTGGGACAAAGTTGACTGGGGTGAGCTACAAGAAACTTGCGCAGTTGTCAACAAGCAGCGATTCAGGCCAGTCAAAGAACGTCCGCAGAATTCAATCCAGTACTCCAACATCCGTCACAAGCACGACCGGCCATCGGCGAAAACACTCTCATCCACCCTTGAGCCCGGCATGGTCAACAAGGTAAAGCGTACTGCCATCCTCATTCGTGTTTGGACAGGTGCAAAGTGGACTGCCGATGCTGTTCTCAACATTCGTGCGATGATTGCAGAGGCTGCCTTGGCAAGTGGAGGCAAGTATCAAGTCTTTTTGCTCTTGCACGTCAAGGACGAGAATGTTCCACTTTTCGTTGGGGAGGATGAACCTCAGGCAACCATCGAGAAGCATATTCCACCCGAGTTTCGATCCATCACCGAAGTTTGGAACCATGCACAAATCAGAAGTCTTTATTCGAACCTGGCCGAACACGCCTTCGTTGGTCGGAGCCCCTGGATGATCATCCAATGGTTCGCTCGAAACCATCCCGAGTTCGATTTCTTTTACCAATGGGAATTTGATGTTCGCTTTACAGGTCACTACTTGGACTTTTTCGAATCGGTGGAAAAGTTTGCGCGGGATCAGCCTCGAAAGGGAATCTGGGAACGTGCCGGTCGAGTCTATATACCTGCCATCCATGGTGGCTTCGATACCACCTTCCGAGAGTCAACAAGACGTGAAGACCCTCACCACGTTTGGGGTCCAGTTCCTGTAGAGGGAGTCAGACCCAGAGGACCAAAACCTCCGATCAAAGAGCTCGAAGACAACTATGAATGGGGCGTTGGCGAGGATGCTGACTGGGTCGGCTTCTTGCCGAGTTTTAATGTCACTGGCACAAACTGGTGGTTCCGAAACTACCTCTGGGGCTACGCGCAAGGTGCATCGACCCCAAGAAGAGCTACGCTCATTGCCCAGGGCAGGGTCAGTCGACGTGTTCTGGAGATAATGAATTACGAAAATGCTGAGAATGGCCATCACATCGACGCCGAGATGTTCCCTCAGACCATGTGTCTGCACCACGGCTTGAAGTCCACGACCTTCCCACATCCAATCTTTGCAGACCGACATTGGCCCGCCGACACTTTGCAATCAACCTTCAACGGGGGACCTTTCGGACAAGCTGGAGGTTATTGGAATAGTACCTTCAGCAAATGGAACGAGTACGCCTGGACAAACATGACCTGGTACTACAGCTCCGCACAAGCTATGCCGGTCTTCCAACGGCTGCTTGGCATCACAGCATTGGAAAGCGGTGGCCAAGAATGGGAAGAAGTCTATGGCCGCACTGTCGTTCGTCCAATGCTACTCCATCCTGTCAAGGGAGGAAAGTCCTGGCACTGGAGAGACAACGGATGGTTTCAAACTAAGAATGGAAAGTAACCCCGTCGACGGCTTCACATATTGACGAGACCTATGGCATTTTCCCGCTCATATCCGCATCAGCAGCGGCGTTTGGAGTTTCAAGACACTTCTCGTCAGTCCGGCACTGATGACATTGCATTTGATGACTGGCTCGTTGGTCGGGCTGGATTGATAGACAATGGTCAGAGGGTTTTGGGAATGGCGTATTGCACATATTGTATGACTGTTTATTTGCACAAGGGATCAGGAGCTTCTTCATATGGAGACGAGACACAGGACATCGGGGACTAGAAAGCTGGATACGAGCTACAGGCTATCCAACACGCATGAGCTAGACTCGCATATGGACATCGCAGAGATAGAGCTATCAAAGGCGGGCATTATTCGGCCGTCGATAATCATAATAGATAAATGATAAAAGTCGTCTCAGAGTCATTATGAAAATTCTACCTAGGTAAAGATAGAACCCAGGATAGAACCATAGAGGAAGATTCCTCCCGCGGACATTGTTCGTCCTTCCTGACAGTGTGGAGGCGAAATGCGATTTGTCGCTGCCCGGCGTTTACAAGGACCCGAACATGCCTGCATAAAGATTCCGAACAGTTGCTGCTTACTTCGCGGGGGACGACACCAAGCGTTCATCCTTGTTCATCCTAACTCGTCTGCTGTGAAATGCGTCCTCATCTGAGCATCCGCAGTATCTTTTCAGAACCGCATCTGCAATGTACATGGCTACCTAATGTCCAATCCATTTCGCCGTAGTTCACTTGCTAAAGGCGCTGGCGGCAGCAATTCATCCAACACTTCACCCGGCCCGCGCGGCACCGAGCCTTTGTCGATAGACACGAAAGGTAGATCTCAATGCTGCTGGAAACCTGAATCCCATTGACGGTTGGCCCTTACAGTTCGAACCACGTCTCAGAAACATGTGAACTTTGCATCTCCTCCTGCGATAATCTCGCCCATTTCGTACTCCTCGTCGCCAGAATCGAGCCGACAGGATTTCCCATCAAATGCTCCCATTCAAAGCTCACCTCTCCCTGCACCTACAGACTACAGCCATGCATTTGCCATCGATCCTTTTGCGGAACAGCCTGGAGATGGGGATGATAGTGCTATTGAGAAAGCCTTAGAAAATGCAAGGGTCAACACCGCAATAGTGACCGCGCCTGTGGTCGCCCCGAAGATCAACCCTGATAGTGCTGTGAAGGATACTCTGGCACGATTCGCCAGCGCTCCCAGAGGGCCATCATTTGGGCAACATCTGGATTCTCGAGCAAAGAAGGAAAATGCCTCGTCGAAGGCCATCATGGACGTGGATGCCTTCAAAAGGATGTTGCTCACCGGAAGTGCAACGCCAGGAGAAAAGGCAGCGTCCAGTCAACCAGTGTCAACGCAATCTGTAAGTGACAACAGTTCCAGTGCGGACTCGGCTTCGATCTCGCAGCATTCTCTTTTCGAGATCAACCCAACCACACGCGAGGAAAGTCCGCGCACGTCGGAAGAGCTGGACATGCGAGAGCACATTGAGCATAGAACAACACCTGGACCTAGTTCTTCAAGCAAGCGACCACCCCCTCCACCGAAAAGTCGGCGTGGGAAAGCCTCAAAGGATGCCACATCTGACTCCGGTTCCATGAACAAGTTCGACAACTTCATCAATTCGCTCTCATTACCCCCGAAGCATGATGCCTCCTCCGAGATGAGTTCTATGAGATCACCCTCATCGGAGCAACTCGACTTCGGCGAGACATCAAGCAATTCTTACGTGCCCGAAGCCAGCAAGAGGGCAGCGCCACCCCCTCCTCTCACTCGCCGGAAAAGCCAACAACAACCTAGCAAGCCGTTACTGACAAGAAGCAGCTCTTCACGACAGTCTGTGCTGAGTGATTCTGACCCACCCGTGAGCCCTCAGAGTACAACGACGCCGAGAGCACCTCCTCCTCCACCTTCTCGTCGTTCAGCCAGCTTTGGTGAGCGCCGCCCGTCGCTGGATCTCGCTTCCACCTCTGAGATTGGCAGCCAGTCGAGCCAGCAGCCAACGCCGTCACAGACTCCATCATATCCAAAGAAATCGAGTCAGCTGCCACCTCCGCCACTGCCGCCGCCTCGCAGAGGTAGAGGATCTAGTCGTAGCTCTGTCGATACGCAACGACCAAGTATGCTGGCGTTGGGAATTACAGATCCCTTGAAGTCGCAAGACGACTCTACCGAGAAGCACTCGAGTCTTGGGGAAAGGGATATCCTTGCCGATCTTGCAGCCCTTCAGAGAGAGGTGGATGCCGCAAGGGCAAGCGCGGGCCGGTGACTGTACCTGGCCTGTTACGACTTATTTATGGATGTATCATGTAGCATGGTTTGTTTGACGAGAAGCGGATAGGATACACGCAGAGGGCAAAAGACCTCTTGTAGTGATAGAAATGTATCCTGTTACCTTACGGCCTACCTACTCGTACGAGGTAGGCATACCGATGGCTCAGGCACTGAGTACGATTACGAGTACGAGTACGACGGTGGCCAAGGGTGGATCACGTGTGCAGGCTGGAGAGCCCGGTGGGGCTAGTGACGTCGAGCATTGGAATGCCGCGACTCTGAGTCCTGCGACGAGCCACCTGGGCAAGTATCGCGCGGGAAATGCCATCGACTCCGTGCATGCGATCGCCGAGCACGTTTCTCAATGCGCAACGCAGCCCAAAACCAACATACCTCGCGGCTAGACGACCTACTCCTTCATGCCATGACCCATCTATCTTCATCCTTCTGTTGTGCAGGAAACAATCCCCCTATTTCGTCTGAGCTCGCTTGACTGCCACGCTGTTGTGTGTCACTTCCTCCACCATCCTCACCATACCCCTCTTAAACTCTTTTTCCGACCACAAAGACACACCTGAGCCACAATCCAATCAACGCGCCATCAATAGCCATTCCCACTCTGGCACGACGCCCTGATTAACATCATTGAATCCTCCATACGACTCCGAAACCTCGCCCCTACAACCATCCCAACAAGTCAACATGCCTAATAGAGGGCCCACTTTGATCAATTGTATGTTGCAAACTCGCGCCTTGAGACGTTCTCACTGACCTGTACGCTTTCATAGTACCTCCTCCTCCGTCTGATCCCGCCACACCCAGCGAGTTGGGCCCTGGAACTCCGAACTCTACTACCACCTCTCTCTCTGCACTCTCCGTCGTAGCGATCAAAGATGGTGCGATGGGCCATGGTGGCAGAGGTGCTACTTCATCAGCGAATACTCTTGAAGCCGAACGTGCCGATCGCATTTCTCGTCTTGCTGGGCTGGAAAGAGTCGCTGCGTCGCGACCCACTCCACTCGGCCATCTGGCGCCGGGATCAGGCGGCTTCTATGGCCAGGGCCTAGACAACGTTCCGCAGTTCAAAGAGCGCAGTACCGTTGGAAGTGCAAGTGCAACAGGCAGCGTTGGTGGTAGAACAACATGGGCTAGTGGCAGCATCGACTACGACGCAGATAAGATGAGCGAAGACCAAGATGATGGAGTCTCCAGTACCGGTGGCTTCTCTGACGAGGACAAGGCTAGCTTGGTGGGCTTCGGCGAAGGTGCTGGGAGCACTGTAAGTGGGCCAGTCTCTACGCCTTACGCCACGCGGGCTTCTGTCTCTCGGACGAGTACCGGCGCCAACGCGCCGTCGACTCCGCGGACGGGGACCATGCCGACTTTTGGATCAGGTCAGAGTACACCCATGAGTGGCATTACCCCCGGCGGTGCTGCTGGAAGCATGGACCCCAAGATGATGGATGGGATGAGCTACGATCAAGACATAGTGGACACGACCATGCAGCCCGCACCACCTGTTGATCATTTTGCAGAAAGCCACGCTCACCGGTTCTCAGGATTTGGTACAGAGGTTGCTGAAGGTATCATGCGGGACAGGCTGAACCCTGGTGGACAGCCTCAATCTTCGCTCGACAGTGCTGATGGTCAGACCTTGGGCAGGTTTCCTTTCGAGAGAGAGTAGAACTTGCTTGCATTCACTTGGCGATCCTACCGGCGGGAGCATTCCATGGACGTCCTGTGGTTTTTTTCTTTGCGACTGATTTTGATGAAAGAACCGAAATTCTATGTGATATGTACGATATTACGGCGCAATGAGTACGAAGATAAGAGCTCTCCCTAGAATGGGCTTTGAGCGCGGCGCTTTCAAGACGGGCCTCTGCATGCAGAGCGCTGTGCGCAGTCGAGAGACACGGGCATGCGTCAAGAACCCTTTATGGATTTATTTGTACGACTAGTATTTGTTGAAGATGCGTAATTCCTTTCTCGCGGCATCTTGTACGGAGATGTCAAGTTGAATGTGAGATCATTCTCTCTCTCTCCCCCTCGGGGGGTTTTGTAACTCTAGCCATCTGGGCGAATTTTAGTGGCGGATCTTGACGAGGCTGAGATCCCCCAGCAAGGCTCTGGCTCTGTCTCATGAAACGGGGGATTGGAGCCAGTAGAGGACGGAGAAAGGCTCCCGGGTACAGTTGCAGGTGAACTAGACCTGGGGCTAATAAGAGGACGCTTGGAATTGGGCGCTGAGCCGAGACAAACTGGCAGACTAACACTTTTTTCTGGGCCCGACAACCGCTGTAGAAACTGCGCGTGGCACCTGCGTCTGTTACCGTTGCTCACATTCACCTGTTTTTCTTTGCCCTTTACCGCTCCCTCTCCCTCTCCCTCCGTCGACCTCACTCTCTTCACCCTCCGCCATCCACCAAGAACAGTTTGTCCGTCTACCGACAATAGCTGACATTGACTTGTCAAGTACGGCAAGACCCGAATTGTGACAACTACCACAGGTGTCTTTCGTGGCAATCTCTGCCCTTCCGCCCTCTCCGTGTACCCTAGCGAAATCCCCTCGACGCTTGACGAAGTTCTATTCTTCCGGAGGACGTTGTGATTCCAGCTGGTCCGCAAGCCGAAATTGGATTTTGAGCGCCATGTCGGTCACGACACAATTTGCCTGTACGGAGTGCCTTTCCGGAAGACACGCAAAAATATGCTACAATGCTAATTCGATACCATAGTTCGGACTCTCAAGGGCATCGGAGTGGTCAACGGCGCACCTCACTACGAAGCACTTTCTGGGTTTCAGCGGTATGGCTCACCGTCTTGTCCTTGGTTTCCCTATTGTGCTGACGACCCCAGACCAGAAGGCAATCTCCGTTGTTGTGCCTACTCGCCATGTGGTAGGTACTTTGCATGGGCCTCCCCCGAGAAGTAAGATTCCACAAGTATGAGTATGTTCTGAAGATCTTGAACACTAACCTGGACAAGAGTGAACATCATCAACGCCGACACCGGTGCAATTATCTCTACCCTGCCTGCGGAAAACGTCTTTGAACTCGGCTTCTCGCCCTTGGGCACTTACATCATCACCTGGCAGCGGCCTTCCAAGGATGAAAACGGCGATGCTGTCAAGAATTTGAAGGTGTGGCTAGTCATTGATGAAAAGGCATTGGCGGAAGGGGTAGAGAAGGAGTCGATTGCTCGATTCGTCCAAAAGTCCCAGACTGGGTGGAACCTGCAGTATACCCAGGACGAGGAGTTCTGCGCGAGAGTGGTCACCAACGAGGTGCAAATCTACCAAAGCCATGACCTCACAACAGTCTGGAACAAGATCCGTGTTGAAGGCGTGGCAGACTTCGCCGTCTCGCCGGGCAAGAGCCATACCATCGCTGTCTTCGTGCCAGAACGAAAGGTGATATTGCCCTGTTTGCCGCATAGATGGAAGTTAACGCATTTGCAGGGACAACCGGCAGCTGTTCGTGTCTACAAGGTGCCCAACTTCACCGCCCCAGTGTCTCAGAAGAACTTTTTCAAGGGCGACAAGGTTCAACTGAAATGGAACGATAATGGCACTTCTCTGATTGTGCTGGCACAAACAGAGGTCGACAAGACTGGAAAGAGTTACTACGGAGAGACCACCCTATACTTGCTGAGCGCTAATGGAGGTTTCGATTCGAGGATCGATTTGGGTCCGTTGTCCCCTACCCGCTCTTCTCCTCGCAGGCTGAACTAACGAGATGTAGACAAAGAGGGCCCAATTCACGACGTCTCGTGGTCGCCCAAGTCCAACAGTTTCGCCGTGGTCTACGGATACATGCCCGCGAAGACGGTCATCTTCAACGCCAAAGCCCAGGCTGTACACACTTTCCCACTTGGGCCCCGAAATACCGTGCTATTCTCGCCCCACGGCCGTTTTGTGCTTGTGGCTGGCTTTGGAAATCTTGCCGGACAGATGGACATCTACGATCTGGAGAAGGATATGACCAAGATTTGCACCATCGAGGCTAGTAACGCGAGTGTGTGTGAGTGGTCACCCGACGGCGTGCACATTCTCACGGCAACCACGTCACCTCGTCTCCGTGTCGATAACGGTATTCGAATCTGGCATGCTGGCGGCAATCTGATGTACAATGAGGATATGAGCGAACTGTATCATGTTTGTTGGCGCCCTCAGTCCGCAGAATTGCACCCTCTCAGCAATAATCCTTTCTCGCCCATGCCTGTTCCCCACAGCAGCGCCACGCAGTACATGGCAGCGAGGAAGACGCCTAGTAAACCGGCCGGTGCATACCGACCCCCTGGTGCTCGAGGCCAAGTAACGCCTCTCGCTTTTCGACGAGAAGACGAGGGAGGCGCAGCCTATGTCCGCGAGGGCATTTCATCATTCTCGAGTAGCATCAACGGCTTCGGCAAGTCTCGCACACGCGTTGTCCCAGGTGCTGAACCAGTCGAAGATCAAGGACCCCTTCCTCCTGGCGCTGCACCTGGTGGCGGTGTGAGCTTGACCGGTACCGGAGAAGGAGCTGATGGAGAGCCCTTGTCTAAGGCCGCAAAGAAAAATGCCAAGAAACGAGAGGCAAAGAAGACTGCCGCTGCCGCCGCACGTGAGCAAGGCACTATTAACAATAGTCTTACCCCCGAGCAACATGCGAGCAGAGGAAAGAGTCCCAGTCGAAGTCCGGATGGGCATGGCCACCAGCGCAGCCGAAGCAGGAACTATGTGCCTGCTCCTGGGTTGGAGCCACCCCCTGGGCCAAAGAAGGAACGCAGTCGAAGCAACAGCAGGCGTCAGCGCGGAGATACCACCGGTTCTTCACACAGTCGTCCGCACGCGAACGGCACTGCCAAGGGTCCTGGACATGGAGCGACCCCAAACCAGAAGTCCAGAAACGGCAACCCATTGGCGTCCATTGACACGTCTGCACAGATTCCACCCCCTCCACCGATTCCACAAGGAGAAGCTCCTCCCGATCTGGAAGTCACAAGCCCAACCACTCCGGGTGGAAATCCGCAAGACAAGAAGATCCGAGGGCTCTTGAAGAAGATTCGAGCCATTGAGGATCTCAAGATGAGATTTGCTGGTGGGGAGAAGCTCGAGGATACGCAAATCCGCAAGATTTCAAGCGAAGACTCGGTCAGGAAGGAATTGTCCGCATTGGGATACACTGGTTGATGCGATGGGGAGACTACGCATTCTACGGGCAGAGCAAGTCTTCGGTGTGCTGAATACGACGGTCATTGCGGACGGCGTGGGACGTGTTGAATTTGCCGGATTTCTTGCATAGCGTAAGGTAGGAACAAGGATGTTTGTTGCCATGTGGCTCATTATAGCCTCACTCGAATGGGCTACGAGAGCTGAAGGACGCGAATTTGTGTAGAGCAGAGAAGAAGGAAAAAACAAAGAAACAAGAATTCCATATTATACCCCCGATAGCTCCAAGGTAGATGCAAAGAGGATGATTAGAAGTCTGTTATTTTAAGGTGGGGTATATGTGAGTGAATGAGTGAGTGAGTGAATGATGTCCTTCTAGTCCCTGCCTGTAGGTAGGTAGGTGATCAAGGAGAGTGTGGGTGTGAGAAGTGAGAGTGAGAGCGAAAGTGACTGATTGACAATGCAACCAATGGCTCTGGTTTCCCCTTCCCAACTCTCCGGTTCCCATCCCATCCCATCCCATCCAGAGGTCTCCAGCCAGCCCGACTCGGCCCGTTCCAAGTGGCAGACTCTCTCTCTCTCTCTCTTTCCGTCTCCCCTGGCAAGGGGGGTGGGGTAAGAAAGAAAAAGGGCTTGAACTCGAACAGGGAGAGCTGGGTCGGTTGGGGGGGTAACCTTGGGGGGGACCGGGGGGGAGGCAGTGGAAATGAAGGTGGTTTTTTCTCCCGGAAGGGAAAACCTTGTTTGATGTTTCGCGAGGAATACTGAGCTGGCCAAGGTATTGATCTCGCCTTGGGCTCCACCTTGCATCGCGACATGAGGAGTGTCAACAACAACAACACAAATAAAACAGTACAGAGAACACAGAGGAGACACAAAATCAACACAGAGACAGAGACAGAGCTGGAAAAGCGATAGATATAGAAAAACGTGGTACTTGTTTTCAAAGGCCTTTTCTTTCTTCCCTTAGTACTCGGTCCATAAACTAACAACGAAGAGGTCTCCAGGCCGCCGGACATGAAGAAAAGAGTCCAGAAGGTAGGGGGGTATCGTACAAAGATTTTGGTGGTAGGTATGATTGGCAAGAAGCTCCAGGGTGGATACAAAGCCCGGCCGTGGTTCAACTTGCAGAAGAGAACCGTGGAGGTCCAATAATGGTCCGAGAGAATGTATGCTGTCAAGTGAATATTCGCCTCTGGGGAACCTGACCGCCGGGCCCGAATCTCCTGGACGAGTTGCCGACTTTGAGAGAGGCGAATCTTGTCGGCGTGGGTGATGCCATGGGGACATCCTCATCATCATCGTCATCCGTGTCATCTTCGCCATCGAGCTGAAACCCAACGCTTTTCGTAAAGATGTTCATGGGCTTGGGCTTCGACGCAGAAGCACCGCCGCCCATCTCGTCTAGCAAGCGATCCATGCCATCCACATCGAGATCGCCTGATGCGAGTAGGGCTTGATCAGAAGCCTGTGGAACGAGCGAAGAGACGACCTGTCTGGATGAGTTGGTGGCGGCAACTTCATCTGTGAGAGGGTTGACGGACAAGATGAGGCGGTGGCTGGTTTGGACGAGGAAGTCAGGAATGAACGCCGATATCCCAAATACGCCCGCGGCCTCAGGATCGGCTCTTGGTCTCGAGAGTAAGCTAAAACAAAGAGGACTTTGACCCCCTAGTTTCACCGCTGGTAGCCGGACGGGTTTGACTTCGGACCTCCACACATATTGCACGGACGATAGGTACACGTTTTCTTCTCCGTAGCTAATCACGGCACATTCATCGTGTGGTCGACCGCTCTGAATTGCTTCCACGTAAATGCTACCTCGGAGCTTGTGAGGCCTTGAATTCGTCGAGTCCTGTTTGAGCCCGGTGAAGAGACCTTCGGACCGTACCTTGCGTGTTGAAGGAGTCATAGGAGCTAGCGTGCCTGATGCAGGCTGTTCCTCAATACTCCCAGTTTTCGGCTTCGTCTCTGTAGGCGAGGATATGACTGATCGAATTGCGAATTTAGTTAGTGATCCCCCATTGATTCCAGAAATGTTCGCCTGTCCCCGGATCAAGTTCGCACTCGTATTGGACGAAGACGGCCCGATAGCTTCAAGATCCCATATACCCCATTCACCATCTTCGAGCAAAGCCAGTATCGCCCGTCCTCCGGCAACCCAACGCGCGTCGAGGATGCTTTTCCTCCTTGGGGGGACAACGCCTGCTGTACTCGGTAAGAAAGGTGGAAGGAAACTCATAAGGAATTTGCCGCGACTGTTGCTTGCCGTCTTCGTAGATCGTGTAGTAGAAACAGAATCGGCCGTGGCAGTGGAGCCTCTTCGCTCACGAGAATATGTAGGGAATATCTGATACAGCTTGACGCATGAGGCGGCAGGGAGGGTAATGAGTAGACTGGAGTGTCGGTCGGCAGGATAAGAACTTGTGTTAAAGGCCAACTTTGCGCTCATTGCAGACGACCGTAGATACTGCCTTCTTATCGGCAAATGATGCTCAGGTGCGGACGAGATCGAATGAGATTGCACTGGTACCTGATGAACGAGCAAGAGTCCTGCTCCGGTGCACGAAACGCTGGCGATGAGCAAGGACCATTGGCGCGAATCTGAGGACTGCTCAGCCTTTGAGCTACCGTATCCACCTTGCTGTTGTTGGCTGCCTTCTTGATCGTCCTCGACACCCGCAGTGTGCGTAATAGCGATATCTGATATGAAGTCTTGGTGCGAATTTGGTCCAAAGATCTTGATCGCATCAATTCCCAGCCTGGATGCATCGTCCACGCCTGGGGTAGGGGGGTCCAGAGGGACAGAAATGAGGCGGATGCTGAGGTCCGCACAAGCCACAGTTACCACGATACGGTTCAGGTACAATGACGGCCACGATTCAGGAGGAGCTTGCTCGAGATCCTTCACGATATTGGGGACCGCGATGCGGACCGCTGCTGTGCCCAGTGGTATATCGATGCACCGTAGGAAATCTGCGTATGGCGCGGCAGGGTCTATTTCCTCCTCTTCCTGTTCGTGTTCAGCCGGCGCCGGAGGGTGCTCTTTTGTCGCAGGCTCATCATCGTCGTCATCGTCCAGATCAATCACCATGGCGTCTGCCTTTGCAGCACCGTTGATCTTGGGTGGTGTAGCATCTTTCTTAGCAGGCTTGAAAGATCTCCCAGCATACCAAGCAATACGCAGACCTTCATCGTGACCGTATATTATCACAGTGGACCCATTGGAAGACTGTCGAGGATAAATGTGTGCATCGTATGCTTCATGGGGGAGGTCGTAGCTGTCGCTTGTTGTTAGTTGGCGCAGTGAGCAGCATGGATGGTGTTTACTTGCCTCAACTGGAAACGATCCTTCTGTTTGAGTACTGTACGCTCCATGGCAAAAGACTCTTGCCCGATAGGAGTCCGCAGTTTGGACGAAGAGAATAACAACTTGTAGAGGGGACCGTCGACAGCAATTCGGTCTCGTCCCTTGCAGAGTGGAAAAGTTGTACTCCGTACGTCCCAATTGTTTCTCCAATTCGCGTCAAAGCGCGTCAGGGCAACTTTGACTGACTTCACACAGGTTGTTTGACCACGAATACACGAATACCACGACTGCACGATCATGGATTTCAGATAATAATTACGACAATGGCCAGCAAACCCTCAATTCCCCAATATTTTCTAATGTCGACTCATCGGACGCCTCATTCCTTCAATCATGACCTCAGTGCAATCGCTCGGCCTCCGTGAACCCAGCGCTTTACAATACCTCATCACCGAGTCCATACTTCCCCCAGATCCTGCAACGTCGCTGTACAAATGGTCCGTCTCTCAAGAGCATGAAGATGGCGGAGATGGTCTCGTCGAAGAGGAAGTGCTGACCACGGATCACTGTGTTGTCTGGTCGTGCAATGGCATCATTCAACGGGTCTTCAACTTAGCCATCGAAGGCGAAAAGATCTCACACGCATTTGTGTCGACTTTTGCTCCTCCTCCATCGACAGAAGAAGAAAACACGTGCAAGCGGGATCGCCTCCAGAACATTTCACAGCGTGCCCTGGTCGTCGTCTTGAAAACACAAATCCACATCTTTCTGGTCTCGGGCGACACACACATTGTGCCGCTGCCTTTCGAGGTTGGATCAGCTCATCCTTGCCCCGGCGGCTTCATTTTGCAGCGCAAGCTGGAGTCAGACGAGGACCTGGACAGCCAGATACAATTCCAACAGGACCTCAGCACTATCAATGAGACTCTTACTTCTATCGGGGGCAACAGTTCGAGACCGTCTATTGTCCTCTCATCGGACCAAAAATGGGTTCCCCCATCCGATCTTTCGACAGCTGCGGGTATGCCACGGACCTATTCGTTCACTCAGATCATGTCAGAGTTAGGCCTGGTTGTCCACAGCACACACCGTCTGGGCGAGCCTCTGGACGAATGCAAAGCCTTACCTAAATCCGAGAGGCTCCTCTTCGTCTCCCGTCACGGCGAACTGGACCTGGACGATCGGAATGAAATGGCGCCTCTCTGTCTTGCTCTAACGATCGATGAAAAGTCTTCATTCACATTGTGGCAGGTGAGTCCGGATGTCGCCAGCAAAGGCTCGGAAATGCGTCGGAGCAGCCACAATCTCAAGCCAAGGTCTTCACTGAGGAAAAGTTCAAACATGTACAGACGTGATCAAAATGTGACAATTCAATCTACTAGGCAGCCAGGCGACCTTAGAGAGAGCTTCGGTGGTATGGGTGACAAGCAATATTCAGAAGGAGGACTTTTTCCGTCGACCCAGGAGCAGATATCGTTCCATTCAAATGATTTGGCCTCTCACCTTGGCCCGGAATTCGGCGACGTAGGCGTCCAGACGCGTTCTGCACGAAGAATCAGCTCGATGTTGGCACGTACAGATCTTGGATCTGCGGCGGATCGAGGTACATTCAACGACTTTGCTATTGGCGCTGGTGGCCGCCAGAGTCTGAACAGGCCTGGAAGACGTGGCGAGTCCATTGGGAGCTTCAATGATCGACTTAGCTTCGGCTTTCGCCGTAGAAGCTCATTCCCAACCAACGCCTCTGTTTTCAGCACGGGAACCTCGTTTCTTGACATGTCCGCCCGTGGCCTGCTTGAAGACATGGATCCGCTAAAGCAGTCAACACGCCTTGAGGAGGAACTTTATGACGGAGCTTCATCCAACCTTCCAAGGGATATCGGCTTTTTCAAGTTGAAGACTTTTCCTCGCAGTCAATTGTCAGATGATGTCGATTCCCTTTGTGATATCAAGGTTGTAACTCTGCGAAACCCGAATCTGCTCCATCAGGATATGCAACAACCCAAAGAGCTCTACTTGGGGATCATGGATAAGTCACGGCAGGAGCTTATTCTCGTCCGAATTCTGGTCAAGGCTCGTTCAGGCCGGAGAAGGAAACCATCTCTGGAATCCAAAGTCACAGAGGTCCGCAAGTTGCCTGGGATCAAGGATGTCTGCAAAGTTGTTGATGGCGAAATTCAGCGACTCGCTGTAATGACCGAATCGCGTTCAAAGATTGTGTCTCTCCAACTTGAAGCACCGTGGTCGCCGCCATTACGTTTTGAACTCCCCCCCAGGATTGTGGTACATGATCCCTTTACGAGTTCGTACTCTTTCAGTCCTAGGAAGGATAAAGACACGGGGCTCAGGCGAAGCATTCCAGGCACAGGCGTAAGCGCACAGTCGCTGCTCGAATCTGGGACTAGCGGTCAGTTGTATGTGGTTGATCAAGATCGTCGCCGCCATGCAATACAGCTACAACTTGCTCCTCGTGATCCTCTTGTCCTTGACATCCTTAGGATGTGTGACATTGTGCTTGGTTCAACGGAGCAGGAAAGCTTGCTAGTTGCCTTCTGGGAGGTGTCTCAATGGCTAAGTGACAAAGGGTTCTCAACGCCGTCAGATTGGCTGGCAATGGTTGTGGTACTCTTCTCCCTCGCTGTACCTTTCCTGAACACCCAGCATCGGCAGTCTACGACAAGCCATCGACGGAAGAAGAGTACCCTTCTTCGATCTAGCAGTGGTAGCGCCATTGACCTCACGAATTATGATACGATGCATAACGAAGATCGAGATACGAATTCGCACGATGGGTTGCGCAGCCCCGTGTGGGCTTGGCTCCATCCAAGACACTCAGTAACCACAACAAGAGGAAGGTCGAGATCATCCTCTAAGATTTCGAACCCCTCTGCCTTCCACGAACAATCTCACGACAAGAAAAGCACCTTCATAATTGACGCAATTGCATTAGCAGCGGAGTATTTACAATCTCCATTCGGCGAGCATGCCTTTGGTCCAGAAGGATATCTTCCTACCTCCATCAGCAAAGATCGCGAGCAGCGGTGCAACACCATTCCGAGTATTTTAGTTGGCTTGCATCTCCTCTATGAAGAAACTAAGCTCAACGTGACGGCCTCCGCCAGATCCAGAAAGGCAGACAGTAATTTGATCATGGTCATGGCTCAACTGGGATCCTGGCTTCAGTGGAAGGACTGGACGGTTAGCGATGATTCATATTACCAGTTCGAAGCAATGGAAAGTGATAATTGTGTGTATGATCTTTCTGTCATTGATGGTCTTTCCATGCCAGCTCAACCATTCCACCCACCTTCGATTTATGCTCACCTCGAGCAATGGATCAGCGGCGCCCCCGTTGCTCAGTTCCTTACATTGGCACGATTGTCACGCAGAGGAGGTGGAACCCAGGATATTGGCAGTCGTGAGATGACACTAACTCCTCGTACAACGGCTCTCCTCACCTTCTTGAAATGTGCCCAGGACCAGGTTGGCTCCGAAAACATGATGCATGCCTTGACGAAGGCCGGGTTGACAAAACCGAGCATACAAAGACTGCCCGACGGAGTAGCCTCTGTCTTCAACCAAGTTCTATCGTCCAAGAAGAATCGTACACTATCGGCAAATAAGGAAGGAGGGACGCTCGAGTCTGGAGGATGGGCTAGCAAGGACGATACCCTACTTTTCTTGAACAGACCCCATTTGACCACAAATCACGAAGCGCTCCGGGACTATCACAGCATCTGTTCATCTGCTCTAGAGGCGGAAACCTTGCAAAGATGGGACGCATCATCCGAAGCTAACAGACAGACTGTCACCAAGCTGATATTTAGCAAAGATCGACGGTTCCCTGAAGCTTCAAAGCTTGTAAATCAAACACGACCTCCGGTGGTGGAATGCACACCTGAACCAGAATGGACAGAAGTTGAATTGCTAGACGCGCAAAAAGAACTGGCCCAGTACGTCACTCGTCGGACTCTCTCTGTTGCAGCCGGGCGAGGCATGATGCATTTCAATGCTCGAGTTCCGCTATTAACAGAAAGAGTGCCGATTCCTGCCTTCAGCCTTCAATGCATCATGAAACCTAGAAATGCCACCGAGAGTGCGCAGGCAATGACATTCAGTGCAGACAAGGCAACATTTACAGAGGAAAAAGTGTGTTGGGCGTTCTTCCACAATGGGGCGTCTATGGGTCTTATGATTTCCAACGATGCCCAAGGCATCGATACTTCTTGGATCTTGTACAATAAACCACCAGAATTGACGAATCGACACGCTGGTTTCCTGCTCGCAATGGGTCTCAATGGACACCTCAAGACACTGGCGAAATGGGTTGCTTTCAAGTACCTGACCCCGAAGCATACCATGACATCTGTCGGACTCCTGCTGGGCTTGTCGGCTTCGTTCTTGGGCACTATGGACACTCTTATTACTCGTCTTCTGTCCGTTCACGTTACGCGTCTGCTCCCACCGGGTGCTGCAGAATTGAACTTGTCGCCGTTGACGCAAACCACTGGGATCATAGGCATAGGTCTGCTGTACTACAACTCACAACATCGTCGAATGTCCGAGGTCATGCTATCAGAGATTGAGAACGACGACGCGGAGGAGGGCGCCGCTTCTGACACTATCCTTCGTGACGAAGGGTATCGATTGGCGGCCGGCTTCGCTTTGGGCCTGATCAATCTGAGCCAAGGAAGGGATTTGCATGGTCTTCACGACATGAAGGTTCTCCAAAGACTTCTTGCCATCGCCGTCGGGACCAAGAATGTGAATATGGTTCATGTACTTGACCGTGCAACTGCTGGAGCCGTAATGGCTATTGCCTTCATATTTCTCAAGACGAATGAGGAGGCAACTGCAAGGAAAGTCGATATACCGGATACTCTCCATCAATTCGACTATGTGCGCCCCGATATATTCCTCTTACGAACGTTGGCACGCCACCTGATAATGTGGAATTCTATCCTTCCATCGAGCAGTTTTGTGCAGTCCTCGCTCCCCGCACCATACAGGCATAGGTTTGACCTCAAATCAACCAAAAACCTCAGCACTGAGGATATGCCCTTTTTCAATATAATTGCGGGAATTTGCTTTGCCATCGGGTTGAGGTTCGCTGGGTCACAACGTGCGGATGCGCGCGATCTATTGGTATCATATCTCGACCAGTTTTTGCGGCTGAGCCGCCTTCCTGTTCACAATTACGATGCACGCGTGACGTTGAACAGTGTGAGGAATTGCCTGGACACTCTTGCGCTGGCAGCAGCGACGGTGATGGCTGGTTCTGGCGACCTGATCGTCTTGCGGCGTTTAAGGGCGCTACATGGACGGACTGACAAGGACACTCCTTTTGGGAGCCACCTTGCTGCACACATGGCTCTAGGTGCGCTGTTTCTCGCGGGCGGAACCAAAACATTTGGAACGTCCGACATAGCCGTTGCAAGCTTGTGTATTGCCTTTTATCCTGTCTTCCCAAATGATGTACTTGACAATCGGGGTCATCTTCAAGCACTTCGACATCTCTGGGTGCTTGCCGTCGAGGGTCGATGCTTGATTGCTCGAGACGGCGACGCTGGCGGCTCTGTTGTTGGCGGTATCACCGCGTCCGTTCGGCTCGCAGACGGCACAACGGAACACATTCAGGTCCCTGGTCTGCTGCCTGAACTTGACAGTATCAAGTCTGTTGAAGTCAAGGGCGAGGGGTTCTGGGACGCGTGTCTCGATTTTTCAAGTGATGAGACAAAGCTTCGTATTAAAACCGAGAATGCTGTGAATGTCATACTTCGCCGTCGAGCTGCATATGACCGACCACCTCAAGACCTATTCAATGCAGAGCTGCAGGCCCTGACGGAAGCGCAAGGCATCCCCAGTGTTGACCCAAACTCGACTGCTCTCTACACGCATAGTAGTACTACAGCAGCAGGCTCGACCTCGTCAAGGCTAGCCAATGGGTTTGAGTGGGTGTTTGGTTTGAGCGCGTTTTCAGACTTCGATCATTCCGAAAGAGCACTCGTGCTTGGCGCTGCACCGATTGGTGAGTGGAACACTGCAGAGCTATTGCAGAATGGAGTCGTCGATTCGAGATTAGAGCTCGAGATGGGAAGTCTCCCATCCAAGAATGAAGCCCATTTGTCCAGTCAGAAAGTGCAAAAAGACAAATTGTGGCAGCTTCGACTCTTGTTTGACTGGCTTGATCGGTGGGAAAAGGAAGACGAAGAATTCGACAGTATCGCTTCTGCTACCGCGGATGAGAATAAGTGGTTCGGCAGCTCGGGTGGAACATGGATCAGAAAAGAGCTTATCGAGCGATTGAGATGGAGAGTATGGAATATGACTACAGAAGACAGTGACAGCAGTGGGGGTGATGAGGAGGATGAAGCAATGTGGTGATCGTAAGTACTGTGATCAGCTAGCTAGACGCGAGTCGGTCTCCGAATGGTAATTTTCGAAGACTGTAGACATCAACCAGAATTTCCATGGCTCGAAATTTACCTATCTCTCGTACTCAATCATCTCGAGGTCCTCGTGCCGTTTCCGGCGGCATCATACTCCTCCTGAATTATATCATTCAACTTCTGCTTTCGTACTTCTTTCCATTTCTTGTCCCAGGCTTCGACCTTTCCACCAAGCATGAAACAGGTTTGAGGTTGCAACATGATCATACCTCTGCGAACGATGGTTCCAGGCTTCAAGACTAGCTTGCAGCCAATGAACATGCCGATATCGTCTTGACTTGAGGGTCGAGAAGAAGCATCGCCATGCGGACCGGGGGGAGAAGCCAAAGCCGAGATGGAAATACCGATTTTCGGGATCTTGTCAAGCTCAAATGCCACAGCCTTGGTGCCCCGGGCATCTTGAACGACGAGCTTATGTGGTCCAAGGCTGATGTTTCTGCCCGGCATCGACACTATCGCCCTGGAAGCAGGTGCTGTTGCTGTTGGCGGGCGAGTGACGGCGGAAGCAGAAGGATCACGTCCAGATCCGTCTTCGTCGTCCATAATGTCAACGGTACGGATGACTTCTCTGCCGCGAACTTCCTCGCCGCGCTCCACCCGCTCGATGGCTTCGACCTGGCTCCATTTGCTGGACCCTACGTCCAAGACATCCAAAACCTGGACGATGACGGTGCCAGACAGCCGACGTCCCTTGACATTCACGTCGGCGACATCGCTGGGCAGAGCATCCTGAGGAGAAGGGGACAGCGACGTGGTGATGTCACTTGCCAGAATCCGAAACTGTGCTGTAGACACAACTGCTGGAAGTGGAGGCGGATTGGATCCTCGGGTTGCCAGAAATTCATCGAGCCAGCGAGGGTCGACCGTCAAGTGGTGTTTATTTTGCAGCGCGACTGTCACTTTCTCATGGAGCGGGTGGTTGGAAGGCATCGTCGTAGTGCAAACAAAGCCCTCCGATTGCTGCTCGTTGAGCGCTTCTGCTTGAGGCCTCCAGTGTTGTTGTTGATGTCGTAGACCACTACTACTAGCAGTAGTAGTAGCAGTAGTAGCGGTGCTGCTTCTGTGGCATAGAACGATCAAGGCTCTTTGACTGACGAAGAGTGTTGTTGTCCAGGCCTAAGAACGACGTTGAAGGTGTGCAGCATGTTTGCTGTTTGCGTCTGATTGCGCGTGTGTGGATGCGACGAAGACGCGATCCTGGTGGTTTGGACCTCACCCACCGTACTCCCTGGAAATATTTGTATGACCCCCGGCCTACTTGATACGCACGCGCCTTGAAGGAATCCTTCATCGGACCTCCAGCAGAAGTGAAGTCTAAAAGCGTCGCCGGCAAAACCTCGGTTATTGGTGGAATGGAATCAGGCTGAGGCCACGAGGCTTCAACTGTAGTCGCCGTCGGTCTGTTCGATACATACTCGTACAGTATTGTTCTTGATGCAATAAGGTCCACGCAGCAGTATCATCCGTACTCACATTTCTTCGGCCGCTACTACACGCGAGAAACTATGCACCAAGGCCGTTGCCACTGTCCAGGATGGCCACGATAACGTCTCCTCGCAGCGAGTCTCCCGCCATCACGATTCCTCGCATCACGTCGCCCTCGATATCCAGCACCAATGGCACGCCCATGTCGTCTGTGCGGCCCTCGTTCGACATTCCGAGAACACCCACCAAAGGTCCCGCTTCTCCGTCACTACATGCGCCGCTGCCCTTGTCCAACCCTGCCCAACGGAGGAACCGTGCCGCGCTGCGCGACTACTACAACCTGAACAAGACCCGGGGAACTTCGGGGGCGGATCACTCCCTCGACCTGAGCCGCAAGACCAGTACGGCGTCGACCGCGTCCGAGTCGACCATCACGTCGACCAGCGCCGTTCCACCCGAACCTTCGGCGTCGCTGACAGCCCAGCTGGACGACAACGCGTTCGACGCGGAAGCGTACGTGGCGGACCTGCTCAAGACGGCAAGTCTGCGGGACATACTGAGGACCGAAAGCTCGCTCGTCAGCGAGATTCGGACGCTCGATGGCGAAAGGAAGGCTCTCGTCTACGACAACTACAGCAAGCTGATCAGGGCCGTCGGCACGATCGCGGAAATGCAAAAGGGGATGCACAAGACGGGCCAGCCGAGCATGCCGAGCGTCGTGCGAGGAGTGGTGGTACAGAAAGACACGCGCCCGAGTCTGGACGGCGTCGACAAGCTCGGCGAGAAGCTGGACGGCCTGCTCAGGATCGTCGAGGACCTGGGTCCGCCTGTTCGGCGCGAAGAAGACCTGGCACTACTTGTCGACGCGAGGGAGAAGAGACGTCAAAAGGAGACGGTTCAGTGGGCCTTGGACGCGCCCCGTCGACTGCAGGCCATGCTGGACAAAGCCCAGATCCGGGAGGCGGAAAGCGAGTACGAGTCAGTCAAGAGGCTGCTGGAGCAGTGGACCGACGTGCGCGGCGTCGCTGAATTGCAAGAGAAGTGTGCCCAGGTCATGCCTCGCACGCACGCGCCAGATGACGACTCAGCTGCCGCCTCACAGCCTCCTCATGGATCAAGGCCCGATTAAAGAAAAAGCGATCAATTCATTCACCCCGCCACGTCCCTCTCTACCCTCCAATTTGCACAGAACCGTCTCCCCGGGTACGGCGCCAGCATTGGGGGGCGGTAGTGCGAAGTTCATCACCCACAAGCGTTGAGGCAAATTGCCGTGAACAAAAGGCGTCGCAAAGGGTACTCTGGCCACTACGCGAGAAAGTTTGCTTGGAGGCAGCTGAGATCCTCGGACGTATGGGGAATCATCATAAGTATATCCTGATAGGTTTCTGTGTCTGAGCCTGAATCTCACGCTTGCCGTTCGGCACACGCATCGACAGATGGCATCATGTCCGGGACGGGTTCTCGCGAGCTCTGTTTTTCGGTACTTCCACACCAAGTTTGAAGATGCAAGAGGAGGCCGTGGTCTACGACGCACCTGGCGTTAGAGCCCGACCCGGAGGACGACGAAGAACAAGCCAGGGCTATTGCCCCGACCAGTGTGAATTGCCGAGTGAGGTCCGCCTCAATTCCCTCCTTCACACACTCAGGTAGCCGTTGGTCAAATATTCGTCAAGCCGAAAGATCTCCAGCTTCAGGGGCAAGGAAGGGACAGATTAGGTGCACCTACATTACCACAATCGGGAGGTATCTGAAACAGCTTCCCGTTTAGGGAGCAACACAAATCGTCATAAGAATTCATCATTGTCTCAAGTACGTATCGCGTGCGCTACATGTAAACTATCTAGACATTCACAGGGATGCACGTGGAAAAGGTCGGGTATCGAAATGAAAGCAAGACTAGATAGACGTGATGACATTCCCCAAGTATGGTGTCTTGACCACACAGTTTCCTCAATCCCAAAAGCCATCTCGAAACATATGTTTTTAAGTCGAGAATTTCCAAGCGCTTCCTTAACTCCTTGTCCTCCAGACTAATACGGACTGTTCACAATTTCGTCTCGCAGGTGACTTTGTCTGCCACTTCGGCGAGGTGTAGCTAAGCCTCCCGCACTCAACCTCGCGGCTGGCCCAGCTATACTTTCCCTCGTTGGCTTCTTGAAACTCTTTCGACTAACCATGTCGACTTCGTTTGGTAAGGCCAGGATGACATTCTTGTCGGACCCAAACTCGAAATTATCTGCCATAACCTTGTCGCCGTATCGCTTGATCTGGTAAGGATCCTTGTTGCCAGCGATGACCTTCTTAAGGTTCCAGGTAACGAGGAACGGCCCCGTTGACGTGATAATGCTGGTTTCTGGGTTTTCCGGTGAGGCGTTGAACTTTGCCGGGGTGAAGGAGAGAGGAGCCCCCGTCTCATGCTGGAATTGCGCGACGTGACTGGGGGTCAGAGCAAGACGGCGTGGCTGGGGCTTGCTATCTTTGGCAAAAGAGCGCTCAAAGCCCAGCTTGCCCTCGTATTTACCGTCCTTTTGCAAAGTATCGATCAAAAGTAGGTAGGTACGGCATGTAGCAAGTAGCCAGCGCCCATCAGCACTGACATCAAGACCAATGATAGATTCACCGAGCGCAGGGATGTGAGTCTTAGCATTGACACCCAGGCGGTCAAAGAGACGGACATCACCTTTATTAGAGGCGACGGCGACATGGCCCTTTTCTGTCGTGGCAGCGGCCGAAAAGTCGTTCTTAGAAACATATTGTTTCAGTTGGGCCTCGACGAGCTTGTTGCCAGCAACACGAGGATCGATTCGGAAAAGGGCATTCCTGCTGTGACCAATAAATGGCTGCGCCGACGTCTGCTGAGAGAATTTTGTTTCCGGCACAAAATTCGTCACTGGAATATCGTCGTGGACTTTCCACTCGTCTATGATCTTGCCGTATTCCAGGTCCATACGGTAAAGGGCGTTGGGATTGGACTCGTCTTGTAGCACCATGTTCTGGTCTTCGGCGTGCAGCATGACTTTGTTCGGTCTGAATAGCTTGCCTTTTGGGGTTTCGACCTTGGAAATGTTGGTGGTAAATTCAAGATGCCGGTTTGGAAGATGCTTGAAGACGCCGATCTTAGACCCTCGAATGACGAAGGACCTGTCGTGTTTGGTGCCGACTGCCAACTGGGAATTCACGTTGCCATCACTATCCCGTAAATCGAGATCATCCTCGGATTCGTCCGTATCGTAATGCTCACTTCGCTGAGCGCCATCATCCTCGCCCTCGTCTTCTTCGTCCTCCTCATCTTCCTCGGCTTCTTCTGGAACGTCGTCCATGGTCAGCTCATTAAAAGCTTCAAAAACATACTCTCGCTCGGGCTCGTTGACTTTCGCCCACTTCATTTCATTAAGTTGCTCCCATAATGCTTGCATGATACCTTCTTGAAAGTTCTCGAGAGTGGCTTGGTCCTGAAACCGTAGAAGCCAAGAATACGCTGAGCCGTCATCGGTGTAATGGTTGAAAATCGCTGACAAGTATTCAAAATTGAACACTGGATTTATATCAGCAACAATTTGTTGGCCCAGCCACTCACGGCCGTCAGAGCTTGTAATCTGCAGCCAATATTGCCACTTTCCAAGATCAGTAACAACAGCAAAGACGGAGGCATCCTGTAAGATAAAGGTTGATGTTTGGAAATCAAAGAGATGCAACTCGGCTTTCTGCTTGGTCAATACCTCTCCAGAGGCTGGCGCAGTCTTTGCAGACGGCGCTTCCGTAGTTGCTGAGACAACACCTGTGGTCTTCGATTCATTCGCTTTGCGGGGAGATGTCACATCCTTGGCCATGCGCTGGGCTGACTCCTTCGAGGTAGGTATGTCGTCCTTGGCAGGGGAAACCGAGCTGGCAGCTGGAATGGCGTCCTCGTTGTCAAAGTAAAACTCTCTAAGTTCGGCATCGGTTGCTCTTTGGGCCGACCTTCGATGTTTGCGTTCATACTGACAGTCAATTGCAGCGAGCAAGAACGTCTGGATCTTTTCTTGTTGGATTGAAGTATCGCAGACGAACTCATAAAGGTCGCCCGGATCTCCGCTTAAATCTCGCCAGGCCAAAACAGTCTCACCGCCAGATCTCTGTTCAGATCTGAAATGTAGATCTTGATCAAGCAGGAATGTCTTTTCGTCTTTATCCAAGGCATCAACTCCTTCGTCTTCGTCATCTTCTGCCAGCTCCTCTTCACCTTCCTCGTATGCCCTCTGTATTACCAGCTGGTACTGAAACTCTTGACCAGTTCGTCGAATGCTCGCAACGGCATCTTTGTAGATGAGCTCAGAATAGCCTTTCGGGGAGAGGGGGCGGACCAGATAGAGCTGGCCTTGAGGGATCTCGGTGATGACCTCCTTGGAAACGTCTCCAAAGAGATATTTGCTCACTATATTTTGAGGGTTCCGCGTTAGTAGCGGTGTTCGCGACTTCAGAATTATGGACCGGGACCGGAATATCATACCATTTTTGATCATAAACATGATGGAGCGTGAGGTACTGGAACGAGCGGGAGTCGCTTCAGCTGCGTCAGACCAACCCCTCCAGGCGGTGGCCCTAGAACTGAGTGAACAGTTATTCAAGATTCTTGAGGTATTTGGGAGAGTTGTTCTTGTAGAAATAGAATGATGGCGGACAAACTAGGTCATTGTTGACAGAGGGGCAAGTTTTTGTCTGGCTGTGCAAGAAGGAGGTTACCATGACGCAAGCGCTAGGCTACAGGCACAATAGAGAGCTTAGTGATCACACTAGCGGTGCCCCGACCTCAGCCTTGCGCCGTAGACCTCTCAGGCTGGCAAATAATCGTGCGCCGGGGAGCACCATTAGTGATGCTAGACAATTAGCAGTGCTAGTGTCATCCCGTTGCCACTAATGGGCCAGACGCCGACTGCAACGAGGCTGAAACACATCTGCCTGCGCCCGCGCTTCCCGCCAGTTGTCTCGTACGGCGGACGAGAACATTTACAAGGTATCGGAATCTCAAACGTTGCGCACTTAAGCCCTGTTGACGACCTCATGCGTGTTTCGGAGCCTCCAGATGACTTCCAAGGACAATCCTGAGCAACGAGAATCAGTGCAGCGAGAGAAAGGCCGTACAACACTGGCAGACAATCCATACAATCCCAATTCAGCCGCATATCTGGCCTATCCAGTCAAACATGTTGTATCAAGCCTATATCGACGTATGACCGAGCCTCCCGAGCACCCTGTCAGCAAGTTACTAGACGCGCCTACTGCTGCTTCGTCTTCAGGTGTTTACACCCCTCCCAAAAGACACCAATCTCCGTTTCAACCTCCTCCTCTCACGCCCCTCGAACTAAGACATGACTTATCGCCGCATGCTGCAGAGTCGCTGCTACTGTCCAGGCCCTTGGCAGAAGAAATACGATTATTGATCCCTCCACGACTTCAACTTGTCGCCCAGTGGCGGTTGGCGTACTCTTTGGAGGTTCATGGATCTTCGTTGGCGACTTTGTATGAGCACTGTGCCAATGTTTCGACTTATACGCAGCGCTCTGGCTATGTGCTCGTGGTAAGAGATGGCTCTACTGCGGCTTCCCAAGGATCCATCTTTGGTGCGTACCTCTCCGACTCGCCCAAGCCAGGCTTGCACTACTTTGGCACCGGAGAATGCTTTCTTTGGCGGGCTAGTATACTTCCGGCACTGAGGGATCTGTCTCAGAACCTGGACGGTAATTCCCAGTCGCCAATGTATGATCTACTGGAGTTGGCAGGCCTTCCGCCGCCGCCAAGTGCAGACACCACAAACTTGCAGAGAGCGACTACAGTTCGTGGTGAGCGGAAATCAGCCTCTGTCTCACCGTCAACTACATCTTTGTCTCTACCTGGAAACAAGGATGCTCTCGCACCTCCCCGGCCTCCAACCTCAGGGACCTCGACGCCAGACCGGATACGGTTCAAGGCGTTTCCTTACAGTGGAGTTAATGACTTTCTGATATACTGCCAGGCTGGCTATCTCTCCGTCGGGGGTGGTGACGGCCATTACGGACTGTGGTTGGACGATGAGCTCAACACCGGTATCAGCGAGACATGTCCAACATTTGGCAATGAGCCTCTAAGTGATGAAGGCCGCAAATTTGACGTCTTGGGTGTGGAGGTGTGGTATGTGGGAGCGTAACAGCATCAAGCTCTTCTGCCTGAGAGAATACACAGCAGTAAGGCCCTGGCCATGAAACCGGGCTATGGAAGGGAAATCCTCCAGGCGCATGACCGCCGAACGGTGACAAGGGTTCAAATATCAAAGAGACGCTCTACGTGCTGATGAAGCCGGCAAATACGTTCCGAAAGTGGCTCTACCAGCCTGAAGAATTGAGGGTAGTTTGCTGCCACCTCCATAAACACGTTGGCCTCAACCGGACCGAGCATCACTCGAACTCCAGAATCCCGAACGCTACGACTCGCTTGCTTGAGGATCGTTACTAAAAGTCGCCCGGGTACGAGTACGCCCACATCATTTGAGAGGAGGGATTCGAGCGTTTATGACTTGACGCCTGTATGGTTGTGACCTTTCAAATGGTGCTTGCTGAAAAGTGACAATGCCCAGTTCAAGCAAGCGTCTATGTTGTCCCGACGGAGAGTAGGTGAGGCATCCCAGGCTTTTCAAACGTACAGCATAGTATATCGATCCGTGGTAGGAAACGCTACCGTATATTCGACTGCCTTGATCAAAGTGAACTTTGTCCGACCTTGCAAAATGCTGATGATTGAAGCTACGGAAACGGAAATGCCAAACCAATTTGCTGGTGGAGTTCCGCCACGGTCTCTCAGAATCCTGGTGGGATCGGACGTCATGGCGGAATGGCATATCCGAGCGGATTCTTGTTCGTCGCGTGGAAGAGTCGATGTACTCCCACTAGGCCTTTTTTCGGCGCTTCAACTTTTATGCCTTCCTGAAAGCTAGAGCCGCACCGCGAAGAAGTCTTCTGTATGTGGAGCCCACTTCCTAGGGTGTCTTGGGCTCTGCTGGTGCGCAGGAGCCAATTAAACCAATTATCACAAGTTCTACAATGGTCACTGGGAAGTCAAATTGACAACAGACACAACAGTTATCTGAGTACCTAGCGGTCATGCCATTGCGAAGCCCCATAGGAAATCTTCGTGCGTACTGGCCGACAGAACCCCAGGATCGGCAGCGTGATCAATGCAGCGTTGTACATTACAACGGGTATGAGTTAGTCATGCTGATCAAGTTCATCTGCAGCGGCGTCAGCAAAGATTAAGCGGTCAAACTATCATAACTTTAAAAGATTGGAAGAAAGTTTCGTCCGAATGGTCGGATCGAAGATCAGTACGAACCGTTACGGGTAAATGACCTGGTCAGACGCCGCGAAACACAGCTACGCATGGATCCGGACAAGACGATGCATAACTTGTGCATAAGGCGGCCAAGAATGCCTCAGATTCTTGGGCCAAAGGTGCAACGTAAGTGCGTCGGTCGATCGATACTTGGACAATTGTGCCAGGAGAAGAGGAGTCTACGATGTTGTGATATCCAGTTGCCAACAACCTGTTTACCTGTTGCTGCTCCTGGGCCGAGAGACGTGGGTTAGAAACACCCAGTGGCCAAGAAGGAGACGAGATGAGTAATGCAGTACTCCGTACTCCGTACTTGCGTCCGTACCTGTTTATCGAATACGATGCAGAAGTGAGCTAGTTAGTGTGCCCAGCTAAGGTGCCTGAGTAGCCACCGAGTAATCATGGTATTATTTGGTGAGCAAATATCATCCCAGTGCCCGCGTTTCTCTCTTCGCAGCCATTCCGCATTCTGATCAGTCGATCTTGTCCACAGTATGCTCGATCAATAATGGAGATCCAACTTATCGCCGACCAAAGCGGATCTGAAGTGTACAATTCGCGGTCTCGCACCTCAAAATGGCCGGGAGCCGAAGAACGCTGGTTGGCTTTAGGGATCAGGGCTGCCGACTGCCCGAGAAATGGCAGAAATGATTCAGGTGAATGGCATTCCCCCAGTGCGTTCGCGTGTACAATGGCACGACTCCGTCTCCGTCTCCGTCTGGAACAAAAAAAGGCGCATAACGAAGCAGAGAGGGTCCATGCCGACTAACCTAATCGGCGGCAAGGGTTACGCAACCTTGCCTTGTCCAGGTAGTACCCTCTGACCGAGGGACTGACACAGCACGGCGCTGCAAAAAGTAATCGGGCCCCTGCTCTCTGGCCATCATGTCATCAACATTCAACAATCATAGCCTACCCCCTTTGAGCGGGCCTAGCGTTTTAGCGGGCTCCACCCCACCCTGGGACCGTAGTCTGTACCTTGCCAAACTGTTACTCACCCTCACCGAGAGGTGTGAAATCCCAATGCCCATGCACGTACTCGGTATTCGTACGTGCATCGTAAACTTTTTGCCCGCCCGTTGCTGGTCTATGGTCGTGGTCATGGTCATTGGCATGTCCCCCCCGGGCCCCTAGAGAGACCATGGCCTCATGCTCATTCACCATCTTGGCTCCACACTGCCTTCTGACTAACTAACCCAGCCTCTAGTAATGATATATAGGGCCTGCAATGTTCCTCGACATTCCCTCCCAGTCCGGAACGTGCAACATACCCGCTCTCTTGTTCGTATTTGTTTCTGCAAATAAGCTGACCGGTTCGCTTGCCTACTCCCAATATCTGACCTCACACATGCTGGCCTGAAAAAGCTGTCGTGCCATCCCCTCTGAGTTAAGACACCCATCTCAGACGCGGTACAACCCATCTCTCCTCGTTCCTGGTCGGCCTTTCTCCTGGAAACCAAGTCGACAGACATCCCTCCTCCCTGGTGGACGTAAGTCGAGATCGCCTGTTGCCTAGGACACGACATTCTGTTCAGCCATGGGAGCAACAATCATGACTCCTCCTCTCGAGCCATCGTCGCCTCTAGATGGCGGCATTCGAAAAAGAGTATGCAAGGCTTGTGATAGATGTCGGCTGAAGAAATCAAAGGTGAGCAGTCGTAACCCATATCTGAAGCATTTTCACGTTTTTTCTCCCTTTGACCACTTTGATATCTGACTTGTGCTTGTGTGGCTCTAGTGTGACGGTGCTAGCCCTTGCAGTCGGTGTAAAGCAGACAACGCCATTTGCGTTTTTGGCGAGCGCAAAAAGTCGCATGACAAAGTATATCCAAAAGGGTAAGTCGTCGAGAACGATACAGAGAGAGGCACGTCCTCTGCCCTCGGCCCATCCCTCATGGAAATTGCACGCCTGTGCCTAGTAATGGAAATGTGAAGTCTGACATTTTGAGGTGTGGCGCGCACAGCTACGTAGAAATGCTCGAAAGCCAACAGGCACAACTCGTCGCCGGACTACAGGAGCTATACAAACGGGTCCAGAACGGCCAAGGCTGGACTGGGCCCGCGCTCAAGGAGACAAGTAATGGCACACCCCTGACTCACGACATCCTGGAGAGACTAGGAGCCTTGAAACAAGACGGCAACACCACCACCCACGACACCTTCGAAGAGGACCTCAACACGTTACAACAGAGACTCATCGCCGACGGCGCCGGCTTCATGCAACGGCAACCGTCGCACGACTCGCACACGCACAGCGACAGCAGTGCGCCGTCGCCCATATACGAACCTGTGGCTCATCGACCGACGTCGACGACGACGACAACAACCTTCAGCAACCCGTTCAACCTCAACCAGTTACCTCCGACGCCCCCCAACCAGAGTCCGTATCCTCAGACGGCGCGAGCGGTGCAGCTGCCCACTAAGTCCCAAACGTACCCGCACGCCACCAACATCCACTCGAACCTGAGCTGGGCGACGCCCGTGTCGGTGTCCGAGTTCGACGACTCTATGGACTTCATGACCCAGTTCGAGTCGTCGCCGATGACCATGACGGTGGACCAAGGCTGTCCGTCATTATCATCGTCGTCGTCGCTTCAAGATCTGTCTCTGTCGTCCGCATCGTCGTTTCAGCAACCCATGTTCCAGGAACAGCAGCAGATGATGATGCCTGCGGCCATCAACCCGTGTCTGACGATGAAAGACTGGCCGAACCAGGATGATTTCCAGCGTTACTTCAACCCTACCATGCTGGCATGACTTGCATGACTTAATGTCCGCAACCGCTCTCTTTTTTTTTGGAAAGGTTTTCACCTACCTTTGACGCGAATGCGAAGGGGAAATGACTTTACGAATATCTTTTATTTTCCTGGATCCAGTGAACAAATTGTACTTAATCCACGGGTATATGGGAGTAAACGGGAAAGGATCACTGGAATTATCGGATCAGATCGCTGGGGGGGGTACTCGTACGAGTGAGTAACGGGGACCACTTCCTCACTCCCTCAACCACTCACTACGTGACGTGTAGTATTGAGGTCGGGTGGTATTTTTTTTTCATTATTCACTAGCGGAAGGGAAACAAAACTCGGATAGGTCAAGCAAGGGTTGCTTTTTCGGTGTCTGGGGCAGCCAGCCGGATGCCACAATCCGTGGATCTGCAAACAGCTTTATCGCAAGGCTACTACTTACTGTTCGGAGGTCCTCTTATTTATGGATACCACAATATCGCATCTATTACACAGTGATGCGGGATGTCTATATGTAATGTACGAGATGGATGCCTGACTATCTATTTGTTTCCTATTTTCCATCTATGAATTTCCCGAGGGGTGCGGGTACACTTGGTCTAATGGATCATGGTACTCCCCCCCCTCTCCCCCCGACTCGTACGTGGAACCTGGAATCGTCTCTCGGCGGAGAGGTGCAACAACAAAGCTATTTATTATCGGTGGGATGAATTCAGGTTCTTTTGACTGCATTGTGTTGTGTGGTGGTGTCTGTCCGTGACGCTTTTGAATTCAGCCTATTGTGGCCACGAAGCCCCGGATAAAATGACGATGAAAAGCATCCAAGCAATAGTCTCCAACGCTGAATCTTTGCAATCATCATCATCAATCAATTATTTATCAAGAGTCGTCGGCTCGCTCGTTCCTCGTCCAGTGTTCTCAGCGTGTACATGATCAACAACAACAACGGCTCTCATCGCATCTCCATCCCGTCATATCTGACCCGACCTTTGGTACCTAACTTGACTGGAACGCGGCCACTCCCCCGCAGAAAGCACGAATCATGTCGTCAGAATCAAACTTCTCCTTTCTACCACAAGGAGCCATCATTCAAGAATTCAAGGTCGCAGGGCAGAACATTGTCTTGGGATTTCCTGATCCAGAGCCATATGCCGATTCTCCCTTTTACGGGGAAACCATTGGCCGGGTCGCCAACCGTATCAAAAATGCAGAGTTCAGCTTGAACGGGAAGACCTACAAGTTGGCTGCCAATAATGGGCCGAACTCTCTGCACGGCGGTGCTCAAGGCTGGGGCAAGAAACGGTTCCAAGGCCCCAAACCCGTCAACAGAGATGGCAAGGAAGGTGTCTTGTTCACGTATCTATCTCGCGACGGGGACGAGGGCTATCCCGGCACCGTGGAACTGAGGGTCTGGTACACTGCGTGGACCGAAGACGAAGCTGGCGTGTCCAAGACGGTGTTGCAAACCGAGTACGAAGTGGAATTCGTGGGCGACGAGTGTGATGAGACAGTTGTCAATATAACCAACCACGGGTAAGTAAGTTCTTCGTTAGGTTATTTGGCGGTTTCCGGTCCCAGTCCCAGTCCCAGTCCCAGCAGTCTACGCACGCTGGTCAGTCCCTCCCAAAAGCAAAATGACGATGTATGGCTGATGACGATTTTGCGCTCCCCAGGTATTTCAACATCACCGGCGGGCCAACGATCGAAGGCACAGAAGTCATTCTTCATACCTCGAAACATTTGCCTGTCGACGACACCGACATCCCTCTCGGCACGATCGAGGACTTTCCAGGCGTCGAGGCAGAGAAGCCCTTTGTGCTTGGTCCCCAGGAGCCTGACATCGACCACTGTTTCGTCGTGGACACAGACACCAAGGACCTCCCGCTCGACACTCGACAGAGACCACTGAAGCCTCTGATCAGCGTGTCGCACCCCAAGACGAAAATCCACCTCGACATCTTCAGCACCGAGCCTTCGTTCCAGTTCTACACTGGGAAGTATATCAACCAGGCCGCGACGGCCAACACCCCCGCCCGAGGGGCACGAGCAGGATTCTGCGTTGAGCCAGGACGATACATCAACGCAGTCAACGTGCCCGACTGGAAGAACCAGGTTGTACTGAAGCGCGGTCACGTCTGGGGTGCCAAGACGGTGCACAAGGCTTGGAAGGCGTAGCATAATTTACATACTGTACCTGTAGGTAGTACTTTTACCGGTACTGTAGGGACATCGAGCCCAACAAGTCCGAGTCCGAGTCCGAGTACGAGTACGAGTACGCGGTGCGAGGCTTGTGAGGCAGAATCAGCCACGCCAAGTAAAGTTGTGGAAAAAATAAACGCTACGAACAGGCGCGCGACAGAATGGACCGGTGTTGGACGAGCGGCCCCTGCCCTCCATCACGCGTGATTTCCAAGTGATGACAGCAAGAAGCAGCTAGAAGGTCATTGCCGTCTTTCCAGAATCTTACCCGGTGAGCACTATTGTAGCCTTACGTTGTACATACAGCAGGGGGCTTATTGGAAAGAGATCCACTTGGGAACCATTGCCATGGAGATTCCACGGCTTGGAAATGCTGATCGGGGCCGATAAAAAAAATGAACGTTAACTCACACGGAATACATCCGACCGTCGTAGTTCTACAATATTATCGCGGCGGGACCAAAATTCAGGGTCCCTCTGTGTCTGTACAGTAGTGTTTTGTGTGTCTGTGGGTGTTCGGAGAGTCGATCCGAATGAGAAAAATGTACTCCCTACACTTAAAGTACACTCCCCCCCTGTCTTGTGGAGGTGTAGCAGATGACCTACGAAGAGTAGTCCGTCTGTACGACTAGTCGAACTACAGTATCAAACTAAGGGAGGCACTCGTACAGCAAGAAGTACGGCGCATTAACACAATACGTCGATGGGGAAAATTGGAAATCAATAAATCCCTCAATGTTTGTAATCTGAAGCCGACTCCATTTCCCACTGGATCTCCGTCGTGCTTGTAGTTCGTCCTGGCAGGGGATTTGAGGGCAGGGAGAAGAAAAAATTTACCAAGACATAAATACCTGTAATCAATGGGCCTTTTGGTTTATTTCATCATCACTTGGCACTTGAAGGAAAAACACCGTTCGTGTTTCCGCAATAATGATATTTAAAATATGACTATGGATGACAACAACAGTCATTGAATGCTGATTGATGGAAGTTCAAGGCCGAAAAACGCGAGAAGAAGAAGAAAAAAACAATAATAGTGTCATCCTGCCCGACTGTAGGCTGGCCGTCTGGCCGTCTGTCAGTGAGAGTGGAAAAGAACTGTACAGAATGTGTGATGAGTGCTACTAAGATAAACTCGATGTAGATTCCGCACTGGAGGCTCCAATACTGCACTAGGCTGTCGATCATCAATTACAACTGACCAGCACCCAGGAAGACAGTTCCGGCCGACATCACTGTAGGGAGATCCAGTTTTGGTGAAGAAACCAAACAATGGTTTATTTCTCAGATAAGGAGAGAGAAGAGTGCATTATTAGAGTTTATTAACTCGACGTCATTGCGGTCAGTTATAATTATTATCATTACCCGTATGGAGTACGATGATAGATAACAGTTGAAACCTCTAGCAACGAGTTAGAATCTCGGACGGCTGGCATGTCCCCTCGGCTATAAATGGTTCCGGGGCCGAAAACCGCAAAAGGCGAAAGGCGAAAGGCGAAAAGGGACCAAGTCTGCATTAATTGTTACTATCGGCAGGGACCTGTAGGACCTTTAGGTACCAGTACAATATGTTTAACAGACCGAGCGAGGGCTTGTAGTCGTGAAAACAAACTCCAAAGACACTCGGGGTGTCGCAGAACACCAGGGTCATGGCACTTTGGCGGTCGAACTCGGTCACTCGAACTGCTCGACTCAGAGACTCTGGGCGGACTTAACAAGTAACCTATGCGAGATCAATCAAAAGATCAATCGAGATCGGGCCTCGTTCAGGCCAACCACGTCCCACCATACTCGGGGATAACGTAACTCGTACAGAGGACCGCAGCAAGGTCTGTACAGTACGAGTAAGATCCAACGTGACGAGGGACGCCTTACCAGGAACAGAGCGAGTTGCGATGGCGATGCACTTTTCTTTTCGCTTGGGCAGTTTCAGGCGGCAATATAAAGGACCCAGGTACTGTACAATAGGTGCTCTAGGGAGGCATCGCTGCATCAGCCCATGCCCCAGGAAATTGAGCTCCAAGCCTTGGTGAACCAGACCGACTATTACTATTTTTGTCATCCTTCGCGGCATCGCAACGTTTACGGAAATGCACCTTGCCTCGACGTGCTCGTATGTCGTCTGAGATGCCAAGGTCACCAAGATGCAAACGCTCAGCTCATCCGTATCGTCTGCTTGTCCCGTTCTCAGCGGCCTTGAGCAAGATACGGAAGGCGCCCGTAAAGAAGCAGCCCAGACCCAACCAAGCCACATCATCTGATTCTGGATGATGGAGAAGCACATGCGATTGGGCATAAATCAATAGTGACAAGCCTTGCGAGACCTCGGCATCCTGGTGCGCAGCTGGAGTCGCATCGTGCGAGGCCAAGAAGAAATAAACTCGTTGTGTCGATGCATAACGCTCTGCACAAACTCCGCATCGGGAAAGGGTTACGAAAGGTCTAGTACGGAATTACGTCTTACCGAGTCCGCGATTTCGGTATGACCGAGTTCAAAAGACACGTCATTTACCGCCGTTACCGTCATTGGGAATTTCCACATCCACCTCCATCCACCGCGCAAAAGGCACATTTCCCATCATTTTTGTTGCTGGTCAAAACATATACTTTCGGATCAGCTGCACCAAACTGGTGTTATAGTTACACCGATGCTCAACTGCATGCCTCTATGAGATCATCGACATCAGCCTTCCAGCGCCACACGCGCCTCTCGATGACAGACTTTCTCAAACGAACATCTTCAAACTTCAAGCTACTAGCCAGGTACATCTATCTCCCAAGCTCAAAATGAGCGACGGCCCAACGATGAACCCAACAGGCCTTTTGCCAAAACAAGAAAGAACATTTTTCCTTTTCAAGCTCGCATCGGGACATTGTTGATTGGGTGGCTGGAAGCTGAGTCAGAATGCTCACCAATCCGTGTCATCCTTGATCCTCCAGGGCGCTTTTACGTTTTTGTCTCTCCACAGTCTGGTTTTGGCAGCCTCAGTTGCACTGGGAAAAGAAAACCAGCACAGCGACGGCTTCCCTTATCTCGAGGACATGATTAGCTGCCGTCATTTGCCTAAAGCAGCTACTTAGCTATGATCGGGCCCAGGCGTATTGTTGTTGGTTACAAGATTGATGGACCGTTCCCATCTCAGGCTATCCTCAGCTGGGAAGCCATCGATTGCCCGACAAAGCTCGACGGAGGGCGTCAAAAAAGATTTAGGTCGTGCAGTGGTGGCCTTGCAGTTCTGCGGGCCTCCCTTGACTCATCATTCGAGACAGTCGTATGCAGCTTTGACCACGAACCAAAAACATCAACGCTGCAATCTCACCGCTATCGGGCCGTATATCTCGCTTGTCGACGCCTCCAGGAACGACGGCCATAGTCCGCTCGCCTATTGTCACACTTGATTACCAGATCCTAGATGAAAGCACGAGTAATCGTACGCAGACTGCTACAATACATCCCTTGTCCTGATATCGGTGCAGCAATGGATCTCCGTCCCAAGACCGTCCCAATTGCGAAACAGGACGCAGGAAAAATCTGTGATTGGCAACTCTGAGCTCCTCTGTTGGGATGATTTGGTAATCCTCTAACTTCGCCCCCCTTGCTGCTTCTGTTCGAGCCGTCCATCAATAGGTATTGTACAACGGTCGCGTACATACTACAAGGTTAAGCCTTTGGCGCATGTGCGTGTCGAAGCCATCTACAGATTTGTAATGCCTCCGACCACCCCACGACCATCTCCATCCTCCTCAAAGGGCTAATATTGTCGAACACTTGGTACGAGTATCAATCCTAGAGTGGACCTCCCGGTAGCGTCGTGCTTCTTTTGCATATTTGGAAGGCCCTATGCTACCTCGCGCGTCTGTTACTAACGCCCGAAAACAAGGTAATACATAAGCCACTTCTGGTATGGTCTGATTTGTTACGTGGGATCTGGACAAGATCTACTACTGTAGGTGTGGATGAAGTAATGACCCCCCTGAATTTCAAAAGGACACCAAAAGGCGATAGGATCTGGTTGGAATCGAGATTTTTGTTTTAACCATATGTGGTATGCACCGAGTGACCAACCAGCCGGCATTCAGCGTTTCAACGCCATCTGGCTCATCAGGAGCTTCAACTACTGTGAGGAGTCGGAACCGGTGACCGGCCTATCTACTCGCTACCGGACAGTCGAGCGTCTCAATCCTGCCTGGGTGTTTTGTTAGCCATGGAATAACGGTTAGGGTTACAGTCGACTTGAGGTTGACCTTTAACTCATCCTGGAGACAACGACGCTCGGCTGACGCAGCATGCCGAAACGGTAATCAATACCATACTACTCCGTAGGTACCAGAGGGATTGATTGGACTGCCGCCGCCAAAGCTGCAAGAATATCGCCTTTCGGGATACCTTTTTCTGGCAGCTCGGAACAACAAAGCAAACGCACCGAATGAAATACATTTGTCGAGCATTGCAAAACCCTTCTCACATAGTCAAAGCAGGTCATTCGAACTACAGAATGCAGAATCCCAACCATGCATGTGCTAGCAGGTTGCTGTACACTGTGACTGAGAAGTTCAATACGGGCAGAGCCTGAGCATCTTTTGCCCATTTAACTCACGGACAGTACAGGTAAGTAACCGGTACCGGTCCCGGACACACACACTTATTGGTCCGGTGTTGGGACTGGAATGCATGCATTCGAAAAATCGGGGCTTTCTTGAAAGGATCGACGTCTATTCGAATGATCGACGGGATGTTGGAACTGACTAGTGTGATCGAGAGTGAGACGGAAAGTCGTCAGAGGTACATCCTCGAAGTCTCTGAGGAGCTACTCGCGGCTCTTCTCTGCTCGTACGAGCAGCGAGTAATTAAAGTTACTGGGACGTTACTTACGTACAGCGCTCGCACGAGCAAACGCCGTCGGACAGGTGGAGAACCTCACGACAGGTGAAGTGACGACAGGATGGACATGGACCGAAACGGGAGCTCACTGTTACAATGCCCGAGGTAGGTACGAGAAACTAAACCTACGTGAGGTTCATGTCCGGAACTCTACCAGTACGGAGGAATCAAAGGTTGCATTTTTTTTTTGTTCATGCGTCAGTTTCAAAACTCGGAGCGAGTGACAATGATGGAAGAAAAAATGAGCTTTCTCTTGACGATACATGTATTCGGTACTCGGTCTTCAATCTTGAGAGTTTAGAGTTCATACCCTCAAAGCCTCGTAAAGCAAAATGGCTCGTCAACACTTTACCGATTAGACACATGGACGAGTATGGAGACTCGAGTATACGTGGGAGACATCGTTTTGCATTTTCCCACCTACTAGGTACCAATTACTAGGTAACCAGAAGTTCATGTAGAAAAACAAGGAAAAAAGAACATCCAACTCTGATAAGTCACGCTCTGGAACCGGTATCATCACCGTCGTGAGTGTCCCCTACATTCCTCAGAACGCTGTAACATCCATTTCCGTCCTCCATGGAGCCAGCATCTTTGCCCGTAACACATCATCGACCTGACCAGTGCCTTGATATGCCAGCGCTAGATCATCCGCTTCGAGTTTGCCACCGGGAGGTACCTGACGACTTGCGTTCAGCACGGCCATTTCTCCGGCATAGACTCCAGCATCTTCGTCTTGAACAGCTTGTGAAAGCTCTAGCCAGCCCTGTGGTTGTCCAGGGGCCAGCATGATCCCATCTAGCGCATCCGCGATCGTGGCCACCTGCGCCTCTTCCCCATCCTGCTGTGCTTTTTGTTTGCATCCAACGACGCCCGCCAGTACTTTGGACACCCGGATCTTGTCCAAAACTCCAACGTCGTCCGTCAGTCTCACGGCTTTGAGCTCTTCCTCAACCGCTTCTAGCACAGCCTCATCATCATCAAGCAGTCCCATGACCGCCAAGAGGCATACGGCCTGGACGTGCTTCGGGTTGTTTTCAACCACGTTGAACAACTGTGATTGAGCCGCCTCCTTTTCCGCCTCGCCACCCTTGGCCCACAGAACTTGTGCAAGCATGCAGACGATGTCCGGCTCATCTTTCCCTTCTCTCAGCGCTTCTTGAAACATTTTGATCGACTGCTCCGTATTGCCCAAATGACTATGTGCAAGGCCGCTGGTGACTTGCGCAGATAAGCGCCACTTCTGGCGAAGTTCTGAATACGCCGGCCCAAAATCATCGGCCTCTCCCGATAGATCGAGAGCCGTTTCTGCACTCGAAACAGCACCCGAAAAGTCCCCTCCTGCAAGTTGTGCCCGAGACAGGTCGGCTTTTGCTTGTGCAAACTTGACTAGATACTCGGTGGATTCTGACTTCTCAAACTCCGCTTCAACAGCGTCGCATATATCTTGAAGGACTTTGGAAGTACTTTCACAATCCCCCGCGCGTTCTGCCAAAAGAGCCATCAGATGGCTCGTGATCAAGTCCGAGGGCTGTTGTACATGATACTGTCGCATCGCGAAGAGTGGCTGCAACAAATGGTCGACCTCTTGTGACCTTGAAGGGTCTTTGAGCAGATAATCGAATGCCGAAATTGCATAGTGACGTTGTGCTGGCAAGCGTGATGAGTCGGCAATATCAAAGGCGTGCGTGAACAACCCTCTTGCTTCGCCCATACTGCCAAACAATAGCGCAAGCAAGCCTTGTCCAATCCAAGCGTCCGCGTATTCGGGATCTTCCGACTGTGCCCGGGTGAAAGCTTCGTTCGCAAGTTGATTGTCTCCATGTACAATGTAGAGAACTCCAAGGTTGGTCCAGGTCCTGGCACTGTGGTCATTGAGATGCAAGCTTCGAACGAAGGCGTGTTGCGAGACTTGTGGGCTGAGGTTCAGTGTGACAACTCCAAGGGCGTTCCAGAATTCGGAGTTGCTTGCTTCGAGCTCAATGGCTCGCTTAAAACACTTGATTGCTGCTTTCAAAAAACGGCGGTGTTTCTTCCCCCTGAGTTCTGTCGGTGCAGCTGAAATTGTGTATGTTTCGAATTCGGCCCATCCGAGGTTGTACCAAGCGACAGCCTGGGCATGTTGGTCTGTGGAAGAGGCATGAACGGCGCGCTTGTGGGCTAGTATGGCGGTGTGAAGGAAGGAGTCGCTCAGGCTTGACTGAGTCTGGTGGTCGTTCGTGGTAGTGGCGTCCAAATCCACCTTGTCTAGGTCTGCGAGGATTTCCAAGTCATTGCCCAGGGACAGCCGCAGTAGCGATATGATTGATCGGAGGTTTGCAGAATCGCCGTAGAGTTTGACCTGTCCCAGAACAGAACAAGCGTCACCAACCGATTTCCAGAGGTTGAAAGAATCAGTATTGCGCTGTGCAATGTCTGTTGCCACCTCGATGGCAGAGGCTGCAAGTTTGACGGCCTCCCCGAACATCCCCAAGCCAACCTTCGCACATGCACTCTCTGACAAGGTCTGAAGGAGGGCGATGAGCACTCCAAACTCGTCGGGCTTCAGGTTCAGTACTGCTTTGTATGCCAGAATTGCCTCATCATAAAGACCCATCTCGCGTTGCACATTCGCAAGCATATATTCGGCAAACCAAGTTTCGTCAGCAGGAAGGCCATGATCGAGGCTTTGAGCTTTTGCAAATGCTCGCGTAGCAGCAATATGGCGTCCGGCATTATGATAACTCTCTCCCAGTCCCACCCAGGAGTAATAATCCGTTGCGTTGATGCGAAGTGCCGCCTGGAAGGAAACTATGGCCTGAAAGTATTGTTGCTTATTCATTTGAACAACGCCCAACGCGGCAAATGGCCAGCTATAAGCTCTTTTCTTGGATCCCGGTGCTGGTTTGGCTTTCCCGGAAGCTACTACCCGCTGTGCAACCAATTCAACCAGGTCCCATTCAGCATCGTCCGCGAATGCTTTGGCCAGTCTATGCGCCGCATCGAGTTCGGAAGTAGACAACTCAAACGCCTTCTGGAGTGCAACTCGAGCTCTCTGCTTGCTTTTGCCATAGTCTTGGAAATAAGTGCCTAGCAGCGTGTACGCTGGAGCATAACTCGGGTTGGCCTTGACCGAAGAAATGAGATATTTATAGGGCCCTGACTTGTCCTTGCGTGCTTTTGCCGATGGGTTGAGGTGCCACTGGCACCAGGCAATACGGTATAAGACGATAGACTTTACCAATAAATCCTGATGTCGTTCTTCTTCAATGTCTGACAGAATGTGCTGAAGATCACGAAGACCGTCCTCAATTTCACCATTTTGAGCTCGACACCAGGCAAATTCGAGCTTGACCCGAACATTATGCGGGTCACGCTCCGAAGCTTGTTGCAGGAATTGGACAGCCTGTGGATAATCTTCATCCTCTTCGAATATCAACCCGATTCCAAGTAATGCTGCGGTCAGCTTCGGCTTGCGCTTGAGGATTTCTTCGAATAGTGACTTTGCTTCTGGGTGATACCTTGGAGACTGGTACTCGATCAATGCTTTGGCTAGGATAAGGTTGACGCCGTCCAGAGTGTTCTGTAGCTCCAGCGCAAAAAGATGTTGCGCATCTTTGACCAGTGATTGGGCTTTGCGCGCCACGTTAACAGTACCTTCCCAATCCTCGAAACGAAGATAGACGTAGGCCATGATGCGATGGGCTAGCAGAGAGTCTGGACAATCTTCAAGCCCCTCATTCAATAGAATTAAAAGGTCGGCACCATTTAGCGTCTCAGGCTTTTCCGACTCCTCGGAGGGATCGACAGGTGGTTGTGGAAAAGGTGAAAAGTCGCTATTGAGGAATCCTCCGAGGATCTTGCTCAAGCCGTCTTCTGGAAAAAAGCCAACGTATTCGCGAAAGATGTGAACATCCCAATCCTCGAGCTCCTCGGCATCTACCCATTCGAGAGCAACTCTCCACGCCAGGTTAAATGGCTGTTTGACGATGACCATACCATTCGCCATCGTCAGGACCTTGTCGCGTTGTTGGGGTTTTTTCTGTTCTGGAACTACATGCAGATTGTCATACATGCGCTTAAAGAGTTTTTGCTCCAGATCGTGGCGTGCATCATCGTCCCGGGTCCAATCGATTAGCGCCGCATAGATATCTTCGACATGAAATTTATCAATTGCCTCGGCCTTGACCTGTTTGGTGACTTGATCGATCCTCGCTCCCAATCGTGTTCTTCTTTCTCCTATTTGGGTGTTGATCCATTCTTTCTCCTCGGCCTCGGCTGACTCCAGTATGCGCTGGTACGTAAGTGATGGCTGCATAACTCGGCCCTCCAGGGCGGAATATAGGCTCGACGTTGGAAGGATCAATTCCAGTGCCCTTCGGTACTGTGCTCTGGTCCCATGCTTCTTTGCAAACAGCTCATACTTGTCAATGACATTCTGACACTGAGCTCGGTCTTCTTGCTGGGCGTAAATGTCTGCCAATTTGAACGCGACATCGTGATATGCGTCCACCTTAGAGCTGCCTTGTTTCTCAAACAACGTGATTAACCCCTTGTAGGCCTGGGGATCCTGGGGCTTCAAATCTGCCGCTTTGCGAATAGCCTTCTCAGCAGCGTCGAGGTCGTTCAGTTTTTCTCTCGCAAACCCAAGAAATAGTAGAGCCGTGTGGTTTTTGTTGTCTTGACTGAGCACATCTTCTGCCTGCGCGGCTGCTTTTTCGAAATGGCCACTATCAAGAGAAGCCTTGATGGCCTTCAAAAGCACTTTCGAAGCCATTTGTCTTCCTCCGAGGCTAGGAGGTAGTTGTCAGCCTTGGCCTGTAGGTTTGATCTGAAATCATTCCCATGCGAAGATGTAGTGGACAAGGCCTAAAGCAAGCATTTTCCCGTTTGAACAGTCCCTTCTGCCTCGCCGAGACCACTTACCACCAACAAGAGTCGTAGAGCTAGCAGACATGCATCGGTGCTTGGGCACACATGAGATGGAAGTGTTGACCAATGTGAAATTGTCCACTATGAAATTGAATGAGAGGCATAAAAGACTAAAGTCCGAATGGGGCAAATGACGTCGCAGGACGCGGGCAAGTTTGTACAGTAAGCGAGACACTCGGTATGCGGAACGATGGACCAACCACCCAGGTACTCATCAACTGATGCTACTACTGTCTCTTCCCTCTTGGTGCGAACCTCATACCGAGAGCCATCCAGTGGCATAGCCATCCCTCTTGTCCCTCTTCAACCACCTCCCGAGCCCATCGTCCATTTCCGGAACGCACCGTGGCCGTTTGTGCCGCATGGTCTGGTTGTATCTTGCCGACCTGGCGCAATCTCATGGCTACCCAAGGCCTCAGAATTGATGGGATCAGGCTCAGGGACCTCGAGAATCGCGAAGTCACCTTTCGAGGTATCAATGTCGCAGGAGACAGCAAATTCCCTCGGCATCCAGACCAGCCATCTCACGAACCCGATCGATTCTTCGATGCCGACAATGTCTCTTTTGTTGGTCGGCCGTTCACGGAAGAGGAGGCCCATGTGCATTTCGCGCGTCTGAAGAGATGGGGCTACAATGCCATTCGATACATATTCACCTGGGAGGCCTTGGAGCATGCTGGGCCTGGGAAATACGACGAGGACTTCATTGATCACACAATCAAGATCTTGCGCATCGCCAGAGACTATGACTTCTATGTGTTTATGGATCCCCATCAGGACGTCTGGTCAAGATTCACCGGAGGCTCTGGGGCTCCTCTATGGACCTTACATGCTTGCGGTTTAGACCCTGAGACATTTACTTCGAACCAAGCTGCTCTTGTCCACAACACCTGGTCTGATCCTGCGAAGTTTCCGAAGATGCTGTGGCCTACCAACTATACGCGACTGGCTACTCAGGTCACATTTACGCTTTTCTTTGCGGGTCGAGACTTTGCCCCCAACGCCATAATAGACGGAAAGAATATCCAAGACTATTTGACCGATCACTTCATAGCCGCTTGTGCGCATCTTGCTCAAAGGATTCACGATGCTGGTGGGCTAGAGGACGATTGCATCATTGGATGGGAATCCATGAACGAGCCTCATCGAGGTCTTGTCGGTTGGGAAGACTTGGATGCCCTTCCGGAAGACTTGAAGATGAGGAAGGGTACCTGCCCCACGCCATGGCAGGCGATGCTTACAGGGGCTGGACGTGCAGTGGAAGTCGATGTCTATGACTTCAACACATTCGGGCCCTACAAGAGTGGTAGAGAACTGGTCGACCCGGAAGGCGTATCGGCTTGGCTACGACCGGATTGGGATGATACGAGGTACGGTTGGAAGCGTGATCCAGGTTGGAAGTTGGGCGAATGTTTATGGGCCCAGCAGGGCGTTTGGGATCCAGACAACGACCAACTATTGAAGAAGGACTACTTTGCAACCATCCCAAAGTCTGGTATCAAGCTAGACTACGAAAAGTTCACCAACTTGTACTACATGGATCATTTTCGCAAGTATCGAGATGCTCTCCGAGCCATCCACAAAGACTGCATCATCCTGATGCAGTCGGCTGTTCTCGAGATACCACCACTTATCAAAGACACTCCTGATGATGAGCAGCGACTGATATTTGCTTCTCACTACTATGATGGACTTACACTGATCCAGAAGCATTGGAACAAATTTTACAACGTTGACGTCTTTGGCTTACTACGGCATAAATATTCAAACCCTGCATTCGCGGTCAGACTAGGGCAAACAGCCATCCGCAACTGCTTGCGAGATCAGCTTAAAGCGATTCGTGAGGAGGGTATCGAACACCTCGGAGAGCACCCTACACTATTCACCGAGATCGGCATTCCATTTGATTTGGACGACAAGTACGCGTACAAGACTGGCGACTACTCCAGTCAAATCTCGTCTCTAGACGCAAACCACTATGCTCTTGAAGGGTCTGGGGCTCAGGGATACACTCTGTGGACATATGTTGGACAGGTGAGTATTCCATCCATTCCGCCGGCTGTTTCCTCTCGCTTACTGTAGTAGAACAACCATCAATGGGGTGACATGTGGAATGGCGAGGATCTTTCAATCGTCTCGGTTGACGACCCGCTCTTACCAAATAGTTCTTCAATATCTCGGTTGCCAACTGCCAATCCCTCCACCAGCTCGTTGGGCCGAAAATCTGCTTCATACTCTGGCGAAACGCTGTCCGAATCCACTACCATCAATCCTGCGAATTTAAGAGATGCGCTCAAACTTCCAGAAATCACGCAGAAACCGGCGTCCACATCAGCCGACAATGCCGGTCTGCGGGCAGCAGAAGCCTACGTTCGCCCATCACCCATTGCAACCGTTGGCGATGTGGTGAAGTACGGATTCGACTTGAACAGCGTGACCTTTACGTTCAGCTTGGTAGCTAGTCAGGCCACAAAAGAGGAATACCCTACGGAGATCTTCCTCCCCGAGTTCCATTTCCCCCCAGGGAAGACCAGCGTCGAAGTCAGCGGGGGCAGATGGAGGATAGATGTCCTCGACGTGGACGGTGAGGGCATGCAAATTATGAATTGGTGGCACGGCGCCGGCGAGCAGAGTATGACTGTCAAGGGTGTCAAGAGAAAGCCCGGAGCGTTGGGAGAAGAAGCAGACGCCGAGGCTGGGTATTTGGATACCCTGAAGTCCTCGTTGGAAAGCTGTACTGTGATGTGACGAGAAACGAGAGACTACGTATATAACGGTGGGACCAAGGTGTTCTGTAGGCGTTAAGAGCTCGCTTCGCACGCTGGTTAGGCTTGTATTCATTTCTACCCGCTTCAAGGGGGAGCTGGCACACGCCAAACCCTCTCGCAAGGCTCATAAGATGTCAGACTGTATCTGTCTGCGCATGTTGAGGTACTTTCCGGATCTCGTCGTGACCCTTATCGGCACCATCGTCTCCATCGTGGCCATCCTCCTCTTCGTCGCTTTGTTGTTCGCTCTCCGCTCTCAGCTTGCCGCCTTTCCGCTTGGGGATGACTTTCATGAAGGCCTCTCCCCAGTCGCCGCACTCGAGCCAACGAACCATTATCTCCACGACGTGGTTGGTAGCGAGGACCTTTCGAGACTGCATTTCCAGGAATTCTCCAATGGGGAGCTTCGCGGTTTTTATGCCTCTCTCCCGTGCAATCTTGTAACAAATACCCTTGTGCCGGTTCTTGTCGACGAGACCGCCCACAATGTAGGTTGAGTACGGCGACAGTTCCGACAGGGTGTGAGGAGAGTCAGAGGTGAGGTAAACGACCTCGCCCTGGGGTAGATGGTTCGCAGCAGGCCCTGAGCTGTGCGTCGTCGCAGAAAAACCCGTTTGCGCGGTAGATTCTGTACTTGCACCAGACTCACCAGAAGTACCGTCGCCATTTTCGACGGATTGTTCAGTCACAGCCGGCTGTTTAGTGTCTGTACGAGTATCATCATCCGCGCAAGCGGTAGTGTCCTCCGAAACGGCATTGTGGCTTGCCTCTGCCTTTTCAGCAGCCACATTGCTAGTCTTTGCCTTTTCAAAATAGCCAGCTAGCTTTCCGCCGTTGGGGCCACGCATGAACGCGGCCGCGTTTTTGACCGCTTCCACGAAATCACCATCTTCAAAAACAACATTCTTCCAGTTGAGGTAGTGCTTGCTGAGAACAGTGTCGAATCGTTCTTTCAGCAGTCCTCCCCAGGAACTGATGACCAAATGTGCCTGGAACGGCGCCCGGTAGTTGTCCGAGTACGACCGGGTGATCTGCGAGCCCAACGAGATACGCTCCTTCTCCATCATAAGGTCGTCAAAGCCACAGTCGATGATGATGGTTACAGGCAGCAGGATTGGGCGTCCAGATTTCTGCTTCTGCTGTGCGGATGCCTGTGCCTTTAGATTCGCGACCACGCTGTCTGGATCTTCCCCTCGCTCAACAGCGGATTTCTTCGCTTGTTCAATCCGCAGTTCCTCCTCTTCGCGCGCCGCCTTCTTCCGGGCCTTTTTCGCTTGTAGTCTCTCCTTCCTCTTCAGCTTGCGGTCACCTCGAGCGGCTTCCCACTCCTCGCGCTTGCGCTGTTTTTTAATTTGACTCTTAGACATCGGCTTCGCAGGCTCGCCGACTTCCTCTCCGTGGTGTTGCGTAGAGTCTGTGGAGGACTGGCCATTCTGCGCCGCACCACTCCCGACTCCGTCTTTGTTGTCTTCATTGTGGTCTGACAACCGATCTGCAACATTAGCAGTACGCTCATCTGCCTTACTGTTGTGTGATGGTTCAGACGTTACAAAAGTATCAGCGACACTAGACGAGGACTGCGTGGTGGGCACTTGGTGAACATCGTCCTTGTCATGATCGAGCTTTCTCAGTTTCATTGGCCGCTCATCAGCTTCCATAGTGCCTGCCTTGTCACCTGCTGCCTCTGCCTCTGCCCTGAGCCGTCGTGCGAAGAATTGTGAACTATTCCTGCACACCCCAAAGTATCTACCGCACGGAGTCGCTCGAGAGCCATAAATTTCAGATCACGTGACATTGCAGTGGGTTTGACCATGCCGCTTTTGGAGCATCTCGGGCTCTCGCTCTCTCACTTCGAAAGCTGCCCGCAACGACCTCAGACTCTCCCGTACGTCAAGCTTCGTGTTTGTTCGCCAACGCACCAGCACATCTCTCCCCGTTCAAGATGCCTCAGGATTTACCGCCTACCGGAGGCTATGAGGCCGTTCAGTATAGGGTACGACAGTGCTTTTTTGTTTTCCGCCGCCCCGAAATTGGTGCAGTCTGTCCGAGAGACTGGCAACCCAGCGCACACACTCTCCCCGTTCGTTACCTCGACAGGTATAGCTAACCCCTTGATGTACAGCGTAACCTACCTACTCGTGGATTCAGACCGGTGTGGTACCTCGTTGGTGTCGGTCTCATCATGGGCTACGGCTGGCGGCAACTTTTCAAAGGACAGCGCGAGAGAATTGAGCTTTCGCGGGAGAAGATGTGGGCTCGAATCCACCTGACGCCCGTGATGCAGGCAGAGGAAGACCGTGACCAGGTCAGAAGGTACTATGCGGATCTGGCGCGAGAAAAAGAGCTGCTGGGCAGCCAGAGCAAGCCATACAATAGTGACAGGTAAGTGTGGAACGCAGCAGAAGTGGAAGAGGGAGAGAGAGAGAGAGCCGGGAACCGAGACATGCGAAGCGAAGAGCGAGCAGATCAGATCAAGAAAGGGCGGCTTGGGCGACTCTTCTTCCTGTGGGAAAAACATAAATGCTAATGAGTTTGTCTGTTTCGCAGATTTGTACGACCGACATTTACCGCGATGCCCGAACGGACAGCCGAGTGAAACGAACCAAGCAACCTACCTACCTACCAAAAAGACAGACAAACAAACCCCATTGCTAGTTCGTGACGATACTTTTACCGGCTTGTATTGCACCTGCACACTTGCCAACGGACGAACTAAGCCAGCGCGACGACGTCCTCCATTCTCGATACATAAAACAACATTCCATCAAAGGTGCACGGAGGGAACCTGGCGGATCTCAATGGCTTGAGCTTGCGGCAGTACTGGCACTTTTGCTGTTTTCCTGGAACTCGAACGAAAGACCCCTTATGTACATATCATACCCGAACCTTAACCAACTGCTACTCACTCTCCCGGAGACGCGAATTGACAGCTCACCGAGGAAGGCCAGGGAAGTCGTAGGTAGCTACGTACCTATGTAGTCTTCTAGGAGCCACTCACTGGCCTTGGAACCGAAATGACTACCCCGTGAGCAACTTCGTCTGAATGTCTGTTCTGTTCCTCAAGGCGTGAGAATAAGAAAACTACGCCTTCCCAAGATCAAAAGAAGCGGTTGCGCCCAGATTCTATGTCCGGATTTGGGTGTGTCTTTGCTTTGAATCAATCAGTCAGCGAGAATGTGTCACCTTTATGCGTCGAGGTAACTGATATTGAATCCATTTAGTCAATGTTACAGTAAACATACGTGCTCATCTACTCGTCTCAAGATACCACTGCGATGTGGCAGAACAAGATGTGCTGTCTTTTTTCTTTGTTTTTGCGTATCAAGACCACAGGGAGCAAAGGACTACCTGGCCTGGCGCCAACCAAGATGTGTGTGCCTGTTTCCTTCATAAGGACGGCTGACGCCACATCTTAGGTGCAAGTTCGCCTTTCTTTTTCCTCATCTTTTTTTTGTGTTTTATTTCTCATCAAGTTTCTAGCTCGAAAACATGGCTGCTAATCCGCCGAGGTCGACTCCATCATCCTCGACGGGCTTTCTGTCTCCCTCCACGCCGTGCATATCCAACAACTCGCGCTGTTTGTACTTCTCCAGAATCTTCGACCGTTGCTGTCGCATGTCGATCTTTCCGAGTTCGCTGAGTCTCACGCCTCTCACACCTTCTAGCAACGACAAGATGATTGCTCGGAGCTTCTTGGAGCGGCCCCCCAGCCCCTCATGGGCCAACTTTGCAGCGGCCTGGTCGACCTTGTCCTCCGTCATGCCGGGCAGACTCAGGATCACATTCCGTGGTGTCTGGGTCAGAGGAGGTCGATCGTGCGCCGGTTGGCCCTCACTCGCCGGTACATGAACTGGCAGGCCGTACGAAAGCCAGATGATCGCAATGAGCTGAGCGTAGTACTGTTGTTGATCTGCAAAGTACCCGTCGTTCAAGCACGTAATTGCCGTTTTGAGCATTTCTGTGGAAATGAATTCGCGAACGGCCACTGCTTCTTGCCCGGAAATGAAACGATCGAACGCAAACTCGGGGACAATGCGCCGGGCGGTCTCTAGCATGGTAGAGCACGACCTCGTGTCGCGGAAAGCAATTGAATGCGTGATGAAGACAAGGAGGCGGTCGAGGATGTTGATGTTGGACAGGAGAAAGTCCCGCATGGTCTGCCGGTTTCCCTGCGTCAGGTAGCTGCCGTTGACGATTGCCTTTTTGCTGCTGAGGTCCTGCTCTCGTTTGGGGTGCAACCAATGAGACACCAGGTTGACAGCCTTGTAATTCGTCGCGCGGAGGACGGCGTCGTCACGCATCTCCTCGCCGAGGTTTTCTTCTTCGTGTTTGATCTGTTTTCTCTCGTTCATCTTGACCCACTCAGTCGAGAGCTTTGCGTCCATTTGTTGCAGGAGCGAGGCCAAAATGGGTGTCAGGAATTGCTGTCGGTTCTCTGGCGGGCATTCGTCGATCAGTTTGGGCAGCATCTGAATGAGGACGGAAAAGTGATGAGGACTCAGCGGCGCCGCTGTATCAATGGCGGCCTCGGCTATCATCTCCGGAAGTTGCTGCATGCTGTAAAAAGCCGGGCCTAGTCGGCCCAACGTATGGAGAATGCTGTAGCATTGCTCTAGATTTTGCCGAATGCGACCGCGTACCGACGACGCGAACCCTTCGAGAGTCGACTTGGTCGATTTGACCTTGCTGTGGAATTCACTCACGGATCCGGCAGAAATACCAGACTGCCAATACCGGTCGCGAAGAACACGCTGGATGGCCGGTTCCATTTGTGGCGTCACGCCTGGCCACGAAGCAGTATCATGCAGTCGGTGGTTGTAGCTCGTGAGCCGCAAAACGTGGCTGAGCATATTCGAGGTCATAGGCGACCACAAATCACACGCCATCTTATGTAGACTCGAGCCTTCTTCAAGTTTTTCCGTTGATATGGAGAGAAGTATCCTAGATCTCCTCAACGGCAGTTTGGCATAGCCGGTCGCCATGTCTTGTTGAAGTTGTAGCCCGTGATTGTCGTACGGGACCAATGACCAGTCTTCAGCTTCGTTTGCGCGGAGTGAAGCCAAATAGGGCCCTACCCGATCAAAAGCTTGAGAGTGAACAAAGGATTCGAAGCTTTGGAGCGATTCCTGGACGCTTTCACTGGCCCAAGCGGCGGAAATTGGCTGGAGGAACTCCTGCAGTCTGGCTTGTCGATCAGCATAATCCACCGCCGTTGCACGTTGTATCACTGAAAAGAGAGTGGACTCAAGGTCAATCTGCAATCGTTCCTCAGCACCCAGTTGGTTGATAAGGTCGGTGAATTTCGATTGGAGTTGGTCGTAAAAGGTGACAAAGTAATCTGCGTGTTGCAACGAAAGTCGCCTCAATTCAGACGTAGCATAACCATGCAATTCGTTCACAGCCTCAAGGTACACCTGATTCTGCTGATTACTGATAATAAAAGAGGAGAGGATATGTTCCAGAACGTTAAAGGCGAAGCCTGTATCTTTTTGTAGGGCTCTGTTAGAAACTTCAACTGCTGTCTTGATCTGGCGTTCTCTGATCAAAGGGTCCCGGAAGTCTCTTTGGCTCATCATATCCAGCATCCAAGCCTTGGAAGCTTCTCGGACTCTTTGACCCATTTGCTCTTGTTCTGCTGATAGATTGTCACGATGCGTATTCTGCCAACGGTCAAGTCCCTTGAAGGCGGCATCGATCATGGCGAAATAGGCGTCGGCTTTGAGGACGTTCATGGAGAGCCTCTGGTAGTTGTCCAGATCAAGTTGTTGTTCAAAAGCTTGGACTTCATCCAAGAGTTCATCGGCTCTCCTCAAAACCGCCTGCATGGCCTCCTCAAGTTGGGCATAACAAATCCACTCGACAACAGCCGAGCAGAGTTTTCGATAATTGAGGTAAAAGCCTTGTCGCTCGGGAAAGAGTTCGATTTCCTCATTGACGAAGATCACCACGGGATTCTGAGCATCTTCAGGAAGTTGGTCGTATTGAATGAGCCGTTGTGACGCTACTTGCAGAAGGGGCCCAACACACTGCTGGACGACAGGTGCTTTCCTCCAAGATGGTACCTCCAATAGTCTGACCCAAGAGTGAACCACCGGAATTGACACTATCAGACTCTCGTGCTCGGCCATGGCAGTGAGCAAGTGCAGGAAAGGATCCAGGTTGAGACTCCCTGCGTCCGGTGGTACATACTGACACATGTGATCTGACAAGAGGGACATGAGTTCCGACAATTTCTTGGAGATGGTATAGTTGCTGCTGTCGATCTCGTCGACTGAGACCACAGACCATGAATACAAACGTTGGAAGGACAAAATGCTCTCCGGCTGCACAAGAGGATGCACGAGTGCTTGTACTTCGACCTCTTCCATGCGTGGGCGTCCGTAGAGTGAGAGTAGAACGTCGACAGCTGCAAGGATAAGATCTGCATCTGACTGGGTAAGGAAGTTGCAGGTTGCAGCCAGAGCCAAAGAATGCACGATCGCGGGAGTCATTACCCACAGGAAAGCCGACCGCAACGTAGCAAGAGCCTTTAACACGGTGTCCTTGGCCGCGCCCGTAGTTTGGCCTCCGTTATATTCATCCAAAAACTGCTTGATGCGCACCAACCAGCCATCCTCGCCACACCGCACATGGTGGACCGTATCTCCGGACTTGATCCCGCCGGTGTAGTTGGCGCTGGACGTGAAGACTTCCACGAGCGCAGAGTTGAGGTCGCGTCCGCGCAGTATAGCAATGCTATCATCGCGAACGAAGGCATCTTCGGACAAGCTCTCCAAGACGGTCAGGACAAAGTCCTTGTGTACGAGATCCTGAAACCAAAGCTTCACCAACTGTTCGTCTAAGTCGAACCAATCCAGGGCCCAGCTTCGCTTGGCAAGTTCAATCCAAAGTTCGGCAACTTTATTGCGAATGAAAGCTAGATCTGCCGGCTGGATGGATTGGCCCAAGTCAAGCACACAGTTCCGAAGTTGAACATTTTGTTCTTCAGAAAGATTGTGACCCTCGTGCCGGATAACATGGCTCAGGAGCGACAGGCCAAAATGGCGAACCAGCGGGGGCTGTGATCGATCTGTGGAGAGAGTGAATCCATACTGAGGCGCCTCGCTGCTCACTTTGAGGCTCTCCAGGTAATCTGATGCCTGTCGTCGAATGTCGTTTTTTGTTGAAGGATTGTGTATCAGGTCCAACGCCCGGAGAACGTTGCTGGTGTCGAAAGGCAGTTGAGTCGCTCCATCTGAGGTGCCATTGACAGTCGCCGTGCCTGTCATTTCCAGCCACTTGCGCTCAAATGATGGTCTTGATTTCAGGATGGCATGTCGCGCTCTGGCACATCAACCTCCAGAGTTCTGCAAATTTGATGTGCCGGCCACTGGGATAAGAAAGACAATTTAAATAGTGCCCAAGATCCAAAAGATGGCAATGACGGCGATGGTGATATAGGCAGGTTGCCACTTTAGTAAGTGCTGTCGATGCCCTGCTATGTCTCAGACCGCGCGTCGGATATCCAGACAAGCACTGTAAAGCAGAGCAAACAATCTGCTAGGCTCTCCAGACTATTCTCAAGCGATAAAAGGTACGTGAGCTCGTGAATGAAGGCAAGACGGATGGTCGCATGTCAAACGCTGAACACGCAGAACACAGCACACGGCAAATTTACGCACTAACCGAATGCAGAAACTGAAGCGGTTCGTTTCATTCCATCCCTTTCTGACGCGTTTGCCTGAGCCAGTCTACAGAGAACTTCAGGCTGAGAGGCAAGGAGCATGTATGCTCGGTGGAATCAAACGTCAAACTGACGAGAGAGATATTGGATAGAATAGCAGCTATGTATTTCTCCTGCGTCAGGAAGCTGGCCCTGCCATGCCTCTTCCGATCTTACGGGTACGTCCCTCTCGTCGGCCATGGTTTGCCCCTCCCCTTCCCCTGCCTTGTTCTTTGCGCTTCCTCGCCGCTTGTGTTGAGGCATCGCCACTGGGACCTGCTGTGCTTCCTCCACGGCCATGAGCACGACCCCTTCCACGCGACCTTGCCTGGCCTATTCGACCGTCCGGATTACTGCTTCCGGCTTCCTCACTCTCCTCAGCGGTATCATCTTGCCACCTCGTAGCAGCAAGCTCCGTCTGGTTCCCCCGGAACGTTCCCAAAGCTGAATACTTATGCTCCAGACGGTCTTGGAGCTTTTGATTCTTCTTCAGCATGATTGCCCATCCTTCAAGCTGTTCGTCGCTCATGCCCGTCTGGCGCTTCAGATCTTGCCGTATTGTAGACGCTCGTGTTTTGCTATCGCGTGCAAACAGCTCTTCATTGTCCTTCCATGCTCGGAACAACGATTCTTCGTGCAGATTTTGATCAAGCTGGTGCTCTGGTTTTGACCGAGAGTCTGTGTCTACCGTCGAGTCAACCGTGCCCCCAACATCAGCGACATCGTAACTGTCATCCCGTTCGTCGTCATCGCTGTCAAACGCAGCCAAGGCAGCCATGATCGCAGCCTTTCTTCGGACGTGCTCGTCCCCACCATCCTCCTCAATTTTGATCTCTTTCCGGCCTTTGTGCAGCCGTTGTGCCGAAATTTGCAACCGGTCGAAATCGTCTCCATCAAACACACTCTTTCTCTGTGGAAGTAATGGCGGGGTAGGCCGCGGTGCCAGATCATGTGCTGGTCCATCAAAGCTTATCGAGAGGGTTTCGGACCCATTTGACTCGCGGAGGCTGGGTGGAAGAGAGTCCGGTTCAAGTAACGCAGCAATTACCGCCTCTGGATCGTCATTGAAATGGTCCAGGAGTCGCAGGATGTAGTTATTGGATAGGTTAGGAAAAAGCTCGTGTACTTGCGACACTTGGGAAGCTTTGTGAATGTGCATAGCTTCAGGGATATCAGCCCGAGCCTTCCCCTTAGCTGGTTTCCTCCGCCGAGGCCCTGGCGCAGGGTACAGATGTGCGCTATTCTGACGGTACGCTGTGAGTGCATCGAACAAGCTTTGCCCTCGCTTCCCAGAAGTAACAGAGCTATCGGCGGCCAAATGCCTTAAGAAAGATGTTTGGCATACCAGGCTCGAGCAGAGGGTCGGCGTGGAAGCGTTGGACTTTGTCGCCCGATCAGTTTCTGATTTCAAGTGGAAGAGATGATCCAATAGCAGAGAGCTGTTCTGTAACCCGTCTGACATGAGGCTTCTCAGGCAGTAGAAGAGGTTCTCTGTCAACAGTTTGGGAAGTTCAAGAGCGCCAGGTAGTCCACACGAGCGACTGTAGGCTTCCATAAGCGACTCGATGTAATCAGAGCCAGTCATCAAGACGAGACCTGCCTCGGGTGAAACCTTGAGGAACGGGTTAAAGAGCCTTAAAGTTTCGGACACGGTCTCTTGGTACGGTTGAGCGGAGAGAGACTCCGATGTGATTCGCTTCCAGCTCTCGATTGCACTGCTCATTTGTACCTTGTCCCTGGCCCACAGTGAATGGATAGTAGTTTTCAAGTCGGCAATGGAGCCATAGACTGAGCTGACAAGACAAAGCATGCTGACCAATTTGGAATCTTTGAAGTCGAACGGAACATCTGTCCCCAATAGAAGACGTTTGAGAAGCATATACGCTCGTTTTAGCAGAAGCCGTTCTTTCTGTGAGCGTGACAAGGCCCATCTTTCATGGCTGGCGCATTCGAGCAAGGAACGCAGGAATTCGGCATCGCTTGTTGACTGTGAGAATTGTACCTTTGCAAAGTCTCCGTCGCTCAACCGAAGGCGGAATTCGATACTAGAAAGCCATGAGTCGAGATATCCCTCGTAGACATTGGCACCCAGGCTGCCTCTTTTGTTCGAAGCCGGGAATGGTGCCAGTGGGGGAATATGGTCTTGAGCACCGCGCCCACTCATTTCAGAATCACTCGAGAGCGTTTCGAGGATCAAGAGGCGCGCTTGAAGAGACTCTCGGTGAGATTTTTGTCCCACTCAAGTTGTTTGCTGTGACTGCCACTGGTAGTGATACACCTGCAGTCATACCTATGAACGACCGAAACAGCTTAGCGTCATCAATCATTTCACGCCCGCCTTACATAAGCTGCAAATCTTGGCAACGGCACATGAATTTTTGGAATAGACTTGAATGCGACTGCGACTCAACCTTGGATTCCTTTCCTCCAGCCTTTCATCACTTTACCGAGCCGCAGTTGTTCAGGTCTTGATTGGCGCCGACGCTTTACTCACGCTCACACCCTCCTACAGCAAGCAACCGATTTCTCCAAGTTCTCACCGACACTTGAACCGTCAAAATGTCTTTCCAAAAGCCAGAGAAGGATTTCGGCGAGGGGCCAGTATGTGAACATTCGCATGCCCGACTGTTTGCGCAAAATTTACTGACTGATTCCGTGCTCAGAAAATCCACAAGATCCGCATCACCCTTACCTCTCGCAAAGTCAACTCTCTCGAGAAGGTCTGCTCTGAACTCCTCGAGCGCGCCAAGTCCAAGCACCTCCGTGTCAAGGGCCCCGTTCGCCTGCCCACAAAGACTTTGAAGGTGACCACCCGTAAGACCCCTTGCGGTGAGGGTAGCAAGACGTGGGACATGTACGAAATGAGAATCCACAAGCGTCTGATCGACCTCAACGCCCCGACCGAGGTTGTCAAGCAGATCATCATCAACATTGAGGCCGGTGTCGAGGTCGAGGTCACCATTGCTGCATAAGTGGAAACGCATGTCAGCAAGCCATCTATCTGGGGAGGTCATGGATCAGTGAACGGAATAGGTCCTTTTTTTGAGGACACATGTATTTCAGACACCATTCTGGACCTGGGCCAAAAAATACCTATTCCACTCTCGAGCGGATGATAGACGAAATGTCAATCTGAACGGAATCATTCACCCATGGTTCCATTTTCCTCTTTCCGTTTCCCACTTGCCATATACCTCAGTTCTCTGTCCTTTGGTGCATAGACCACGAAAAATGATATCGCTCCTTTGACCTTCGCCCGCTATCGCGTCGATACTCGAACAAAAAGCTATAGTCTCGCGTTACATTCAGGCTAGAAATCGTACACATCCCATTCTCGCATGGGTGGGACTAACGGGATCTGTCCATCCTTAAACCGACCCTCCTCAAAAAGATACTTATACTGCTCTTGAATCTCGTTTGTGTATTCGTCGTCCTTGCCTTGCGTATCGTACTTTCTGTTTTCGAGGTTCAATACCACGACATCTGCAGTAGCTCCAGCATCGGGGAACCAAATCTTCTCCCACCCCTTGCCGTCTGGTCGGTTGTAACATGGTGTACCATTGAAATATTCCACACGTTGTCCTCTGTATGTGCTCAGTTGATTCGACCCATTCTTCTGTGGGGGTTGAGGTGGCAGGCTCTGCGTATAATGTGTCGCATGTGGAGGCCGCCCGATCAGAGGATGTGCCGTGGAGGATGTGTTGACGATCGGCTTAACAGGTGCTGAAGCTGGTACAGGTACCGGAGGCTGAGTAGAGGGCGTTGCGAAGGGATTGGCACGAGAGACCGGCATCGTCCCCGCAGAAGATGTTGTCTCCATGTTTTCATCTTTGACCCGCTCTTCTGCAGCCTTAGCCCCGAACGGGTTTGCCGGAGCACTTGGTTGCCCAAACGATGAAGTCGTCGTTGTGCCAAAGGAAGGCTGCCCAAAGCCCGACGCCGTTGGCTGTGAGGGTTGACCGAAACTGGAAGAAGTATTGGCAGGTTGACTGAACGGAGATGGGCTGGAGCTGGATTGCGTGGTCTGTCCGAAGCCCGAGGTTGACTGCGAGGGTTGCCCGAAGGCTGTAGCTGCCTGTCCAAAAGCAGGTTTCCCGAACGAAGACGCTTGTCCGAACCCTGAACTTTGCTGCGACGTTTGTCCAAATGCACCCGAAGGCTGGCTGGGTTGTCCGAAGGCGGCAGCTGGCTGGGACGCCTGACCAAATGCCGTCGAGGACTGACCAAACCCACCTGAAGCAGATGCTGGAGCGAATGGGTTCTTAGAAGCGTTGGCACCGAAGCCAGATGAGCCGAACGCTGGTTGTCCAAAGCCTGAGGGCTGAGACGGCTGTGCAAAAGTCGAAGAAGGTTGGGACGGCTGCCCGAATGAGCCTGTGGGTTGTGAAGGCTGAGACAGAGGAGATGATGCCTGAGCTGCCTGACCAAATGCTGGCTGCCCAAAGCCGGAACTGCCAAACGTAGGCTTTCCAAAAGATGCGGTCGAAGAAGGCTGGCCAAATCCTCCTCCAGAGTTCCCGAAGCCGGTCTGTCCGAATGCAGGCTTTCCAAATGTTGAAGGACTTCCGAATCCTCCAGGCTGGCTTGGGGTCCCAAATGAGGTGGCAGCTGGTTTTGAAAATGGATTGGCGGAAGAGTTCTGGCCAAAAGGGCTACCTATTGAGGTATTTGAGGCGGGCTTGTTGCCATCGTCCCGCGAATTTGAGCCGATCTTTTCGACAATGTCGTATCTGTTCGGATGTTTCTTAGCTGCATCTTCCATAAATTTGGTCACGTCTTCAGCATTGTTGACAATCTGCTTCATGTCCTGCTCTGCTTTATTCCAAAGCGCAATCGCTTCTTGATCGGCTTCAGCTTGCTTGCCTAAGGTCGCATGTTCGTAGAACCGAACGCGCACTTCTTCCGGGCTATACTCATTGCTCTCGAGGAGTGAAGCCGGGCAATCTGCGCTGGGCCCATAGGAGGATAAGATCCATTTTGGTCGGGCCTTATCAGGGGACAAGTCAGTTCTCACATCGGCACTATTCACGCGCCAGGAATCTTGTCGACCTACAGCACAAGAGTCAGTCCCAAAGCAACAGCCACTTCAATCATTTGGACCTGGGTGAGGCTCACGATTGTTACCGGGCCCTCCAGGTCGATTTGCACCACCGCCACTCAAAGCCCCGAACCTATTTTGATTCGCGAATCCGCTCCCTGGGTGATCATTTCTGCAATTGTCTGCGAGGGTGAAGTTAACGATCCATTGAATAAAACCATATAGAAACAAGAGGTGGGATTATGAACATACTGCCATATCTGCAATTACCCTGCAGGAAAAACTTGCAAACCACCATTGCTGCTTGATACAATGTCGTAGCAGGCAATGTTCCTCCAAAAAGCGGTTAAACTCAAGAGTTTCAGATCATGGTCTAGTTCCTGCTATATCCGAAACAGAGTGGAAGTTTCAGTGAAGTTATAGACGTGAAGTCTTGACCCCGGACCCGCAAAAGGGCATTAGACGTCTGTCGCGAACAGTATGGTTGGCGTGTGCGGACGTGATGATAATTCGAGGAGTAGAGGCCTTCGAATCGAAGTAGACAATAAGAGCCGGCCTCAAGAACAAGAAGACCACGCAACGGGGGAAATCATCAAGGATGGCTCTAGTTGTTGTTGTCGTCGTAAAGAGAATGTTCTTGAGCCGGACGTGATCTAAAGAATGGCGTTATTAGGCGCTGCCGAGTTTGAATTCATGAGGCTAAAGAAGTCTCTACACAGAGGTTGTACAGTGGCATTGCGGTAAGTCTGCACTGCACCAGCACAATCACGTTGCATCACGTGACCTTGCCTGATACTGTATTGCTGCGTTTGCCGTCGGAGTCTCGCACAGAGGCAGTTGGTCGCCCCGGCCTAGTGCGCCACGCCCAAACAATACGCTCCGGTGGCACCTTTCAGGCCTTTCAGAGGGCGCCAGGCGTGGCTGCTACTCAATAATAAGGGTCTGGGCTTCGCTAATCCGTGTCACATGGGTTTCATCGTCACCCGGCAGCGAGTCTCCTGCGGTCCTGTGGTCCTGCGCGCCTCCCTTCACTCGACCCATCATCGCCGGCCCATCTTCATATAGAATCCTGTCGCAGGAACCTTCGTCCGCAGATTATCCCATCAACCATTCTTTTGCCTGCCGTTTGGCATCATCACAATGGTGGCTTCTTGTCTCTGCTATTCTATTTGGAGGTCTCGCAATTGACTCGACTCAACTCGACTGTTTCCAACGCATCGTTCCTATCGCCAGCCCGTCTAGCTTGGCCCAGACCCCGCCCAGAATCATTTGTTCCTTTTCCCGCATCATCACCCATCTCGCCACAGAGGTCACCTTCCAACTCAATTCTCTCTCCTCCCATCAGTCTCTCGCCTAATGAGCGATGCAGCCCGGCGCTGAACAAGTCCATCATGAGCGATTGGCGATGACATTCGATACCTCATTACGATACTCTCCTACGTCTCTATCTTCCTTGCCAACCACCACCTCAATATCTGCCGATGTCACCCGTGGTGCCTGGCGCCCCGGTCGCTTTCGGCCACATGCTGATGGCTCGCCAACTTCTATTGTCATAAACATTAACGATGGCGGTTCAACAGGCCGCGGAATACTTATTGGGATACTGTCAGCGTTTGGGTCAGCAGGCGTCGCTGTTCTTGTTCTGGCCGTTTTCTTCTTTTTCAAGTACACCTCCCGAGGAAGGATCATACTAGACCGGATAGGCCGGCCTGGCGAATATGATGACGAACAGGCTTTTGCGCATGAGGAGGCGGAAGCTTTGGAGACGATGGATGAATTGCAAAGGACGGAATATCTGAGAGCGAAAGGTAGGAACCATCCAACTATTTGTCGGCAGCAGAACGCTAACTACCGCGACAGCTTTCACCCAAGCAAACCCTCCAGAGTCTGTACAGACTGATATCTCCTTGTCGCAGTTCTTAGCCATTCAAGAGAAGGGTGTATCGGCGTGGGAATTTGAACCCGAGTTGGAGATCGCTAATTGTTTTGTCGAGGCGAGGACGGAGATTGAATTCTTCGATTCAGAATGCAGCGTTCAAAGCAACCTGCCTGTGCCAAAACAGAATGAGGTGTATTACTGGGAGGCCAAGATCTACGATAAACCGGAGACAAGTCTGATCAGTATTGGAATGACCACAAAGCCATATCCGTTGTTCAGGTTGCCTGGTATGTTCTATCCCATTTTATATTCCATGATTTCATACTGATGAGGCAGGTTTCCACAAAACATCGGTTGCCTATACCTCGACTGGTCACCGCAGATACAATCAACCATTTAATGCCACACCTTATGGCCCTGAGTACGTCCAAGGAGATGTCATTGGTGTTGGCTATCGACCGCGCACCGGCAGCATCTTTTTCACACGGAATGGCAAGAAACTCGACGAGGTTGTACATAACCTTAAGACTCAGAACTTTTTCCCGACCGTTGGAGCCAACGGTCCGTGTACAGTCCACGTCAACTTTGGGCAAATGGGCTTTGTATTCATCGAAGCCAATGTCAAAAAATGGGGTCTAGCACCGATGACTGGAAGTTTGGCTCCACCACCGCCTTATGGCAGTGAACAAGGGAGCATTCTGCTCGAAACCGGAAGAGAAGGGACTCGGCAGCCTACCTACGAGCCTGGCCACTCGAGGACACGGAGTGGGCTTGCCAGACTAGGATTGCCTTCTGGGCCACTCCGCTCGCCTACGGACATTTCACTGGCTCAGTTGGCTCATGTGTCAACGCAAGATCTTCCTCATCACGGAAACAGCATACTTGATCTTAGTGATGTTCAACATCAACCGGTCGAGAACACCCCAGCTGGCCAACAGATCATCCCACCACCAGAATATAGTAGTCCACCTGAAAGTCGTCGGAGTAGCGGCGACGGCGATGAGGAAGAGAGACGGCTGCTGCAGGATCGAGCAGATCAACCACCCATATATGACGCCGCTGTAAGTGAAGAGGCAGGACCGAGTCATACATCATGAAAGATACCCTTAGTGTGAAATGAACATTACTTATGATTTGCGAATTCATGCCTCGTGTAGCTGAAGTGATGGGAACTTCTAGATGTTGGCATCGTGGCATGCGGCTTTGAGATCTTCTACAAGTACTATAAATCGCACTCCTGCGCTTGACCAATCACCAGCTTCTCGTGGGTTGCCATGAAGACCACATCTTCGGGAAGTCCGAGCGCAGCACCAATAACGCCTGCGATTCGTATTCAAACAACAATGACAGGCCATTCACTCGACAAGTGTACCACAGCGAAAGCCTAAACCACAGCACTATGATGCAGGCTTGCTACTCTGTACTAGCCTTTCACGAAGTCAACACCACTTCCCTACCCGAGCTGAAGTGACCGTTCTTGAGCCCGTTCCTCGCCGTCCCACTTCCACATGTCCAACGTTGATCCTCCGCATTCCTGGGCAACCTGCTTGCACAACGAGCATGTCGCGTGTTGTTGAGTGACTTGCCCCTTGTCTGGACATTCGACAATCTAAAGCCGCGCGTAACCCAGGCCGTTCCGATACTCCTCGTACCGCTGCCTTGACACGACGACCCTTGTTGCGAACAAGCTTGGTTCCAAATAGAACCAACAGCAAAAGTGGATCGTCTTGTAGAAACAAAGGCCTTGTGCAACGGCCCGACGGAGTGTGGACAAACAAAGAGCCTGAGACCGAAGAATAAACATATCGATGCGAGAGCACGATGCTCGGCGCGAAGCTCCTAAACAGCTTCGCGAGCTTGGTGAAAAGAACGAAGCATCCTTTCATGTTATAGTGCTGGTATGCCACGACGTTCTCTATGATGCTCACATGTCACAATTTCGGGACTCCGACGTTCATGCCTTGCTATAGATATACACATCTATCACCTCTGCACCCCTTCAATCCCGAGGCTAATGACAAAGTAGGGTTCTTCAGGCGGACCATTAGAACACAATGTGACCGGGCTTCTCATTCGGGCGCCTCAGACAAAATGGCGCAAGAGCTCAATGATTGCAGTCGACGCGGGCTCCCACCTTGCCAACATCATCCGTATCCTCGAACGGCAGATGCCTCCCTCCTCCGAACACCTCCCTCCAGCGGATTACTCGAGGACACTCGAGGCTGGTCCCTTTGCGGGCATCCCCTTTCCCAACATCTCTGCAAAAGCAAATGGATTGCATATTTTCCGCGAGATTCTACATGCCTTCCTCATTACACACCCTCATCTTGACCATCTGTCTGCAATGGCAATCAACACACCTGCCCTTGAGTACGGCCGCGAAGCCAAAGCCATTGTAGCGCTGCCCTCCACCATCGAGGCAATCAAGAACCACATCTTCAATGATTGGCTCTGGCCGAATCTGTCTGACGAAGGCAATGGAGTTGGATTTGTGACTTATAGAAGACTGATCGAAGGAGGCAACCCTCGTCTCGGATCTGGCGATTCTCGGGGCTACGTCAATGTGTGCGACGGTCTTGCTACCAAGTGTTGGGGCATTAGCCATGGGAAATGTCAACGCAGAAGAGTTAGTCTCTCCGGGCACCAACATAACGACTCCTTTGGCTACACGGGCGACTACACGTTTCCGTCACGACGTATGAGCCGAATTTCGGACGCAAGTCATGATTATTTCGCGGCTGTGGCGCAACAGCAGCAACAGTCGCATCTACCCTCGCAGCCATATATACATGGCACGTCTGCTGGACCTATGACCCCTGGAGGGAGTGGTGTACCTCCGACTCCGGGCCCAGACCCGAATTACCTGTTTGAGCCGGTAAGCAGCAGCGCGTTCTTCATTCGGAACGATGCCACTGGAAACGAGATCTTGATCTTTGGGGACGTCGAGCCAGACTCGGTCTCGATATCGCCCAGGAATCATGTCGTGTGGGAAGATGCTGCAGGCAAGATTGTGTCTAGCAGTCTCAAGGCCATCTTCATCGAATGCTCGTATGACGACAGTGTGCGAAACGAAGACCTGTACGGGCATCTGTGTCCACGACATCTCATTGCAGAGTTGACGTTCCTGGCCAAGAGCGTCATCAACAAGCGCAAGCAACACGCGGATCAAATGACGGGCATAGACCAGCGGACTCAAAGTACCGCCCCGGTGGTCCCAGACATGACCATGCGTCAGCCACCATCCCCTACTGATCTGAGAAGAAAACGAAAACGAGCGGTGACGTCCCTGAATGGCGAGTCTACACTTGTACCGACACTGGAAATCGAAGAACCGACCAATTTTGATGGCACAGCCAGCGGGCTTCCATCGACCGGTCCATCCACGGCTAACACGGGGTATGTTGGTACGAGAGCGACGTCACATACGCACCTTCACCAGCACTCGAGGCGAAAGACTTCGAGGGAAGTCAACAGTCATTCAAGCACGGCTTCGGTACCTCTTACCCCTGGCGGACGAGCGAAGCCTGCATCGATTCAGGCTAGCCCCAGGTCACCTACCACAGTCTACTCGTCTTCAGCGTCGCAGGGACATGGACATGGCGGTCAGTCGAGTTCGGGGCCGCTGCCTCGCGAAAAGCTTGGTGGACCGCTCAAGGGCATCACTGTACATGTCATCCATGTCAAAGACACGTTGATGGATGGACCTAGTCCCGGTGATGTTATCCTTGGACAGTTACGTGCTCAAGGCGAGGAAATCGAGTTGGGTGTCGAGTTTAATGTCACTCATTGTGAGGATAGCATTTGGATATGAAGCAATTGCCGATTGGATTGTATGAACAAAATGTTTTATGGAAGGGTCGGGGGAAGTTTGGTTGGGCACATTGTACAATTTTGGTATGATTGGATGGTGAGTGAAAATGAGAATGCTTTTGGTTTCTGAATTCTTTTTTGGTCTACATGTATTCAACGTTGGGGATCTTGGACTGGCTGGTTCGAATGTGGGCTTTTTTTGGTTTCCAACTGTTATAGTCAGTGTATGTTGTTGTTTCGGATACCTCTCCGTTTGCTGCATGGTTGCTTGGTTGCCAGTCGTGAGCGTAGTGTACATGTAACGCATCTAATCCTCTGCTTCCTCTTGAGTCTCTTGGTCCGAAACTCCTTTGCTGTGGTTGTCGTTGCCCCTTTCAAAAATCTATCATTCGTCACCACCTGCGCGTATACAGCGTGTTCGATGCGCGTCTGGACCCGTTGTACAACTCTGCCTAGTTGTACTCAATGTCGCGTCCGCCTAGCACAAAAACTGGTACATCCACTCCAATCCAATACCTTATTCACTTTGACGACGGGTATTTTGGATTTTTCCACAATGCTCTGCTAAGGGCGGCAGGTTCTGGACTCACATAAGTACCCCTGCTTGTCCCCCTGCTTCTTGATTTCCTTTCTCTCTCTTCTTCATTCAAAGCCGTCACTTGGTAAGTCCACCTTCGGGTGAAAAACTGAGGCGCCTCTACAGCCCAGGGCCAGGCTAGCAGTACACACAGAGTTGCCCCCCGACTGTCGGTTGGCTGGCTCTTCTGTGCTGCGGACGTCTGTTTCTGTCGACGGCCTGGGGGAGGCGGGATGGTTGGAAGGGTCTGATGAGCACAGTGCTTGAACTGTTGCGTTCGATTATACCAGACCTGGGTCCTCAGTTTCGTGCGGGTACGTATTGTGTGTACGTGTGTGATATCCCGTCTCGTGGGGTTGCTGATATTCTGCTCTGCGCTGCTCTGCGCTGCTCTGCTTTGCTTTGTTCTTCTCTCTCTAGGTATTGTATGGCATTTGCCGCCGTTGATGTTTCTTCTTTTCATCAATTTCTTGAGCTTTATGCTCGGGATTGGAGAAGAGTTGTGCGTGTCTTTCGTAGATACATGTCGAAGTCGTCGTTGTGTTGGTGGTACAATGTATATATGTATAGGTAGCTGTAGATGGCCTCGTCATCGTCGTCGTCATCCTCATTGTTGTTGTTGTTATTGTTGTTGCTGTCATTATCGTCTCCGTCGTGGGCTCGGTATGGCGGAAATGGCTTCTCCTCGTGCCCTCTTCTCACTGCCGTCGCCGTCACTTCTCCCCTCATTGCTGTTATCCGTCTCCTCTGTTCTCAACACCCTGTTCCTCGTGTCTTCGCGCCATACGGTGCTTCGGTGACACTTCTTCAACGTCATCCGTGCATGTTTCACGTCCTTCGGAATTCGCGTCGCCCACAGACCTTACCATTGACATTTCACATTCTCGGCTTCAACATCGTGCAGTCAACCTACCACCCACCACGGCACTGTTATCCCTGTTTAAGGTCGGTCAATGCTAGGAATGCACGGAGGAAGTCGAAGAGAAACAACATGGTAAATCAGGAAAGACGGCAAACTGTTCATGACAGAATTAAAAGAAGCTTTTAGACTCAAAGGCACAGTGTCGTTATGCATGGCCCAACAAGCACCCTGTTCCCCCTGCGAACCAGAACGGCAATCGAAGAGCATAGACCCAAGCGGCCTTCTTACCCCACGCACCGTTGATACCAAGACGAGTGGACTGCCACAACACCAATGAACAGACTATAGTCGTCGATATCCCCGTCGTGGTCATCACAACCCAAGATGACTTTGCACGACGAGCTGGAATGCGGGTGAAGAAGCATGGAACTGCCAATACCCAGAGAATGAAAGCATGCAGCATTGAAGGCTTTGGTCTCTGATCGGAAAAGCATTGTCAACAGATTCCTTGGGACCTCAATGTCAAACCATCGGCGGAGAGTTCGAACCCATATATAATACGCGTACGGGAGATATCGGCGATACGAAACTGTACTGTACATTTCGACGACGAGCCCTCGCAGACCTATAAGATTTGTAAGGAGAGGCAAAATATCTTCAGCGTCCATCCTGCATATCCTGCGCCCAATGAATGAGGTCGCGAGCAGGAGAAGCTTGGTGCGAAGCTGAGGTGACACCTGTACTGAGCTTCGACCGGAAAGGAAACCCACCGATTCGAAAGATTGGAAAGGTGAAAGAGCTCTGATGTCGTTCTCGCGATGGCGCAATTGCAATCTCACCTCGTGCTCTCCAAATTTATAATGAATATGCGCTGGAGCGACGCGATACTCCGGTGCTGAACTGAACGACTTCGGCTTTCGGCAAACGACATTCCACTTTAATTTCTTCAACCCCTCCTCATCTGCCTCTACAGTTTACCTCCTTGTGCTCTCTTCAAACCTTCTCACAAGTCTCGCCTTGCCAAGTGATCCGAAGACGTACTCGTACAGTTCTTTACTAAATCGAACGTCGATCAAACACAGCGTCTCGAAGACTGACAATTACGGTCTAGTCTGTGACTCCTTTAACCAAAAAGAGGGCCACAAGGGGATTCACAAGTTACAAGTTACAAGTATCCGAATTTCCACTTTTTGCCCAAACCATGTCGTCCGACTCGCACTCGCATTCTCACGACCACGGCCACGATCATACTCATGACCATGACCATGATCATGACCACGACCACTCTCACAGCCACACACACACGGGCCCAGCACACCTTTTCCAAGCGACGTCGTCGACCGACTTACCTCCAGACGACTGGCGCGAGTCCGGTGTGCGCGTGATCCCCGGAGACAGCCTGGACGCCAACACGGCGCAGACGCCGGGCATGAACCGCGCCGCGGCGGTCAACATGGCGCGCGTGGGGGCCCAGAGGCTCTGGGCCGGGACGGTCAAGATCCACCCCAACGCCAAAACGGGCGCGCACCACCACGGGCACCTCGAGAGCGTCATCTACGTCGTCAAGGGCAAGGCGCGGATGCGCTGGGGCGACAGCCTCCAGTTCACGGCCGAGGCCGGGCCCGGCGACTTCATCTACGTGCCCCCTTACGTGCCGCATCAGGAGATCAACGCCAGAGAGGACGAGGAGTTGGAGTGCGTGCTCATGAGGAGCGACGGGGAGGCCATCGCGGTGAATCTGCCGGACGTGGTCCCCGTCGAGAACCCGGAGGGCGTCAAGTGGATTGATCCCACACATCCTACGGGTGGGGTATAGAGTGGTGGCCGACCATCAAGGGCCGAGATTTCCAAATTCGCCGCGTCACGTGGGCATCAAAGAAAGAAAGGGTGTGTCTGAGATGGGTCGAACGCTGGATCATAGAGAGAGAGGTAAGAGGGCTCAGCTGATGCGCAAGAACTTGCTGGGTGCGAGGAAGGCAGGATCGTCGATGGAGAGAGATGGGGCGAGGAAGCACGAGACATATGATTCTGAGAGCATGATGATTTTCGTCCCCCTCACGAACGAGAAAATGGTCTGGCAAGATACGCCGTATATATATATATATATGGTGGGAGTGGATTGCCTAGGTCAATATCGTATGCGTTCGGAGTCGAGTACACGATTAAGGTCGAAACGAAAAATGAACAATATGAACAAGAGAATGCAATAGGAAAGGGAAAATCGTGTGCATACAATACATATATACATATGAAGCACCGAGCTGTACAGACATCACATGCACCTACGTACGCGTACTCGTTTTCGACAACTTATCTCCAGCTTCTTCGTTAGACGGAGGATTCTCAGGCACGCGATGCTCCTTTTTCAGATTCTTCAAACACGGCGCGAAGAACAAATGCCCTGACCAGGCACCCTTGGCCGTGCCCATGGCGACGACGCACCACAGGACCATGACGGCGACACTCAAGATCGTTCCGAGCACCTTGAAGAAGAGGCTGGGCATCTCGACGCCGAAGGTCATGGTGCTGATGGCGTACACGCCCAGCGGGAACGTGAACCCCCACCAGCCCATGTTGAAGGGGAACGGACGGGTCGAGTAGATGGTCGCCAGGGCGAAGACGAGCCATACAAGGCCGAACCCCCACATGATGAGGGCGACGAAGACGCCGAAAACGTACAAGACGTCCCCGGCCAATGTGAGTGGGAGGTCGCGGAAGAGGTGGACGCGAGGGAGAACCTCGCGGGACACGCGACCCAGATACATTATCGTGTAGCCGCCCATGCCTATCAGTCCGTGACCCCGTTGTTAGCTAAGTTTCCTGACTCGTTCTCGGTAATGGGTTGAAACAGCCATTTCAAAATGTTGGGATTGCGAGCGGCAAATCCGCCGACGGGGTGATCGACTTACCTAGTGGCCCTAAAGGGAGGAACGAACTCACGACCACTTCGCGAGGTGGAAGTTTATACAGCGCGAGGCGCTGGTAGTAGATGACCAGTATTGCCATGGCAAAGGGAGTCGCCATGCCCCACATCACGTACGAGGTCAAGAGCGTCCCCAAGGCGTGGTTCGGATCGGAGAGCAGTTCGGCGATTTCACTACCTACATAGACACAGAAGACAGTGGGTGTCAGTGGGAAGGGTTTCGTACTGGGTGTCAAACCCGCCGAGCGAGGAAACCACATACCTGCTCCGGCTGCTACAATCGTGGCAGCGATGGGTAGCAATTGTGCCGCTGTGATTCGGTCGAGTTGGTGCTGGTGGCTCTGGCTCATGAGGAGAAACGGCAGAGATACCGTCACGGCGGCGGCGACGACGGCGTCGATCATCCAGCAAACCCAGGCGAACGTGACGGACCAGTAGCCCCAGTAAGGACAACACAAGAATATCCAGCTCTCGACCAGCGTGGCGAAACCCATCGGGATCGTCCCCAGGAACAGCGAGTTCGTCGGGTCGGCGATCATGACACTCCAGATCTCAGGATATAGCGTGTATCGGAGGATGGATATGAGGAGGGCGAGGGAGAAGAGGACGGTGTTGAGACCAAAGAAAACCACGGATAGCCAGTAAAGCCAGTCCGCCTTGAAAGGGATAGTGATGAGAAGCAGAGAAACAATTCCCGTGCCCATTGTGACCGAGAACCATGACGGCGAGAAGTTGCGGACAACCCTGCGCCAGCCAACGTCGTATTTTGTAGGTGGCGGCACGGGCGACGGAGATGGTGATGATCTCGACCGTTTGGCAATTGTCTCTGAGCCGCCAGACGGGTCGGATAAGGTCTGCACTTTTTGGAGAGAATGGGATCGTGACCGGAGACGGTTGAACTCGCGCTGGGAGATGACTCGACTGGCCGGTACAGTCATTGCTGGGTTGTTGGACGCGAGTCGCTCGATCTCGCGCTCGTCGTCGGAATCAGGGTCGGGCATCTTGGAGGATGGATGCTCAAGACTCTTCTACTTGAGATACACACACAACAAAATGCAGATTCCAAGTGAAAAGTGTACTCACTGGCGAAAAGATTTCTTCAACTCACCTGCTAAATACTGACTGTGATTGATGGTGTTGACGGCTGGAAATGACGTCCGGTACGAGGAGGAATCGGCCCAAAGAATGATCGGGGATGTTTCCGAGTAGACAAAAACCCACCCTCCCGCATTAACGACGCTTGTCTGACAGAATATCCGGCCCTTAACTCACCTGAATATCTCCTATCCCCAGGCGTCTGACAAACATTGGCCATATTAGGTATGGTCACAGCTTCCACTTATTGAACCAAAGTGGCAACTCGTAATACTCCGTATGTCAAGTGAACATTGGCTGTGAAATGCTTCTGAGATTTCAGTTACACGACGCAGTTTTTCCTCTTGTGTTGCTTCTGATGTTCTATGTTCGATTATCGATAGATTGTGACAGCTCGGAAATATCCACGTAGACAGCTCATGGTCTCCGGACCTCATTATGCCAAATGATCTGGTTCAGCCTCGAGACCGACCACGCTTCCAGAAAAAAACTGGCATCTCAACGCGACCATCTAGAGCCAGCACCGGTAAGCACAGAAGAGGTTCCGTTACCAGCACCATCTATCTTTGCAAGGCAGATTCACCTCCTTATCACCCCCTGAAGAGACCACATATGCAAAGTGCAATGTGAAAAGGCCATGTTTCATCGACCGATATCAGAAACTCTGGTCTATCTTTCGCCTTGTCGTGAGTAATCCACCAGCTCAGGTATGTGGAACTAATGTCGGTCGAACGTGTCCCTCTATTTCGCAGATGTCTCGTCGTTTACGACTGCAGGCTGTTCCCGAGAATCGATGCGCCCAGATCAATCGCCCGCCTCACTGGTTGTCGACAACTTCGATTTTGATCCTCTTCGGTACGGATCCGTCGGGCCCCTCTTCCAGTCTTCTTGCACGGTGTTGTTTTGCACCCTCCATATCGCCCTGATATCACTATCAGCATCACGAAACTGAGTTGAAATGTGGATATTACCTCGCTGATGGGCTTTTCGGCCCCTACTCCCATTAATACTGACGGACTCGATGTCGTAGCTTGACTTGAGCCTTCCTCGGCACGGACTTCACTCTTCCAAAGCGGCATCTCCTCCCTCTTGATAGCGTTGGTCTCAACGCAGTCCTTGCAGATTAAACCTTTGGGGGGGACGGAACTCATCTCTGCTCTGAGGAAGAAGTAGCCACACTTCAGACATTCGAACTTCACAACACCATGGTGTGAGACCTCTTCCATACCTTCCCGGCTGATTGTTGGCTCCATCGATTGCAGGGAGGCAGAGTTACCAGTAGCCACAACGCTTCCAGAGGCCTCGGTATGGCTGTTTTGGCCGGGTGATGCTGGTTCATCCTGCTCCCTGGACGATCTGGCTCCCTTCAAAGCTTGAGCACGTTGTCTCTCGCGTGCAAGGCGCTCTTCCTCTTTCTTCCGAGCTCGTGTTCGAATGTCGACATCGACTACGATATTCTGCTTGATACGTCTCTTCAGTACCGCCTTCGGCACCTTGTAGGCTAAGTCGAACCAGAAATCGTCCTTGGTAGTGATCTCAACCCACCACTTCTTAGAGAACAGCTCCACACCTGTAGGCGGGGCGTAGGCTTCGGGGATATTTCCGGAGTAGCTGACAGTGTCTTCGTCGGAAGCACCCATGGCGAGATAGTGTTGGCTGAGGACAATGGGAATAGCAGGAATGCTGAAATGCAACACAAAGCGCGGTCAAAGATATCTGAGATTATTGCAGACATTGAGGTTTGTATCAAAACCGGTGATGGTATTTCAGGTTGTCCACAATATTGCTGGTTGATGGAATTTTCAGAGCAATGGTCCGCATCGGCTTGCTTGAAGTACCCTGGCCAGAAATGGATCTCTGGAGAGGGGCGGCTTATCAGTTGAGCAAGGTTAGGGTGATTCTGTATTCTCAAGGCAACTAAAAGTGAAACAGAAGGGCCTCAATGAGACATAGGAGAAAAGTCAAGCGATCTGGTGATTATCAAGGAAGAAACATTCTAAAGGTGTTAGGAAGCCAAAGGAATTGCCTAGGCTCGAACGTAGCCGGGTGTAACAGGCTTTTGAGAGATATCCAAGTCAGGGAGGGTAACGGAGTCGAAATAGAGAGGGTGTTCTCCTAACGCGTCAACCTTCTGCTTTTCAGAGAAGGGCAAGGTGATGACTGGATGATGAGACGGTCATTGTGTTGTTTGAAGAGAATATATGAAGCAAAAGGTACTAGCGGTGGTCATGAACGAGCAATCGAGAAAATGTGAAGGTGAGGCCAGACATAGCTGATGATGAGCTTTATGGCTAGAAGACTATCCAGGCGGGTCGTCTTCCTCGCTCTCTGTTTCCGTCCCACTGCGACTATCATCCTCATCGCCAATCAGTGGAACAAACCTGAAGTCGACGAAAGCAACACTTCCAGGAGACGGTGGCACATCGATGCCGCCATTTCCTTCGTCTCGCTTCGGACCCGAGTTCGCTCCATCGCCAAGATCAATCATGAATTGCAGGCTGAGTACTCCTTGTCGGTCCTGTCGGATGCTGACTCGACTCGCCAGAGCCATGGCCCTTCCGGCTCTCTTGATCATATCAAATTTGTATCTCTGCCTTATTCTGATCGGCCTGGTAGGGGTTCCCACAGAAAATGTTTCCATCACAAGAGGCTGCTTCTTGCCTCTGGCACCGCTCGGCGTCGGCTCGTTCTTGGCCTCCGGCATAAAGTCTACAGTGCTGTCCCCGAAAGGACCTCCTTCACCGGCCAGGGCAAAGAAGGGAGGTGAATTAGTGCAAGCATTAAGGACCAGGGTCGTCGGATTCGTCCCTGCAAGCTCAGTTATAGCATCGTGCAACCAAGTGCTTCGCATGATGGCTCTCAAGCGCAGGGACTCTCGATCAAGTGGGATTCCACCATCGTCCTCGTAACCCTCGTGAGCTTCGTACGTGTTCATCTCACACGTTGTCATTACAGAACCCTCTTGGATGGTGATGGTGAGCGGCGCGCCAACTTCCTGGTATGAGATTCGGCATGTTCCTCCTACTGCCAGAGCAGGAGCGTTGAAAGCATTACCATATGATGAGGAAAATCCACCATATGGATTTCGAGCAGAAGATGTGGATTCAGCTATGCCGAATATCTGAAGTGTTTCGAGCAAGGCGACGATTGAGATGGAAAACGGTGGCAACAACTGGTCTTCGTCGGTCAGATTCAAATTGTAGGAAGAGAACAGTGCCTTGTCAAGAAATGTGAGGCCTTGAACTACCCGAGCTTCTTCGACAGAGAATCTTATGCCAGAATGCGTTATTTGGACTTCTGCTCGTGGGGAGAATGATATACATCGGAGGAGAAGGTGTAATTGCCTTGCAGAGGTGGAAACTGCGGTGAATAAGGGAGGGCTAGCCATTTGTTGGGCTAGGTATAGGAATAGGTAAGAGATCTCCTGGCGAGTGCAGGGAGCGAGAGGTTAGACATATACTCCAAAGCCGCAAATGGCATACACGGCGCCAAATCTGTCTGATCGTTAGCGGCTGTACCGTAGCTTTAGTTGGTCTCGACGAACCCAAATGCCAGGGAGGCAGGGATTCCGAAGAGAGGAATCGAGAGAGGGGATCGGTCTGAACAATAGTTAGCTGTGTATTGTTAACGGGAGTTAACCTACTCAAGCCAAAAAGACCGGTGAGAACGAGGCCTGCTACATATCAGTTGTGGGATCAGGGAGGGAAGCGACCCATCATACCGATGAGCAACAGCAGCAGTCCCAGGGAGAGTTGGCTGTCTTTCCCGACTGCAGGCTGGAATGGGCTGCTTGCAGCTGCTTGCCAGACTTCGAGGAGCGACATTGACGAAGAATTATATCAATTCTGTAGCACTGAGTCCAACAGAAGGGCGACTCGCGTTGATCTGGTACAAGCTTTCGGGAAGTGTGTCGAAGTTGTACTCTGTCGTTGTGCAGCGAATGTATGTACAGGGTGGTCTCAGTAGCCGGCCAGTCAACGCAGTCTTCTGGCGGGGAAACTTTTCCGAGCCACTCGATTCGGGCGGTTCGGGGTTCGCGAACCTGAAGACGACGGTATACCTCTTGAGAACCCTCGTAGACTAAAGTAACTAAGGTAATTTTACATCGTGGACTTAAGAGCCTTCTGATAAAAGGCGTAAAACAACCCAAAAGACTGAATTGTTCTGACGCTTGAAGACTGATTGTAACCGTGGTTCTGTCTACACCCCTGGGTTAACGTCTTTGAACTTTTGTCCCGTTGACCCAGCCACATGTTGCGAAATTCAGAGGCTTACAGGTCGGGCAAAGGCATGTCTGCTGGGTTCGAAGAGTCCAAGAAACCTTGGAGTTGCCACAAAGGATTATTCTCCTCGTACGTGTCAAACCACAGGGTGCGCGGAGAGAAGTCCAACACCTGATCGTGGAATGCATCAAATCCACTCAAGGACATGTCGTCTGCACCTTCACTCAGGCTGAAACCTTGGTTTTGCTCAGATATCCAAGGCGACTGGTCAGGGAGTTGCGTGGATTGCAAGGTAGCCTCATATGGTTCGAGTTCGGGATTATCTCTGTGCGGAGTCTGCCGGCCGTTGCCATCGATTTCTTTCACGAAAGGATCGGACGACGCAGAAATCGTTTGCATGACGGGTCTGGTAACGTTTGAAGGCAACGGCATATTCTGCTGCTCATGAAGAACACCAAAAATGCTTCCAATTGCTCTCCTGTGACCGACCATCTTCTGACGATCTCTCCGTTCGATGTAGGTTTGGCATGCTGCTTGAAGATATTCAATAATGACAAGATGTCTATGTGCTAGTGTATCGTGCGGTGAGAGCAATCGCAAAGCTGCTTGTGCGTCCTCAAGCGCCTTCCTCAAAGGAAAAGATCGGTCCAGGTTCCCGAAGAAAGCAATCCCAGTAATCATAGCGGCCACGAAAACCGAATTAACCACGAAAGGAAGTCGTTTCGGGACGTTCTTGCAGTTGTGGAGGATGTTTAGCAGATTAATCGATCGTAAAGCGGAATCGACACAGGCATCAACCAATGTCTGATTCGACGAACGAGTTGTGTGTGTCGCTGGTTTGTCATTGGCGTTCCGCATGGCTTCGATGGTTACCGAAACGAAATCGAGTAGAAAAGGCCTCGTGAGTAGTATAATCGACCAGTAGTATGCCTCTTTCAAATGAATGAGACCAATATTCGGTAGTCCTCCAGGAAGCCTCTCTTCTGGGCTGATGCCGTCTTCTTTCAACCCTTCCTGAAAAAGGGCTGTCCAGTACCGATGCTCTTTGCTGATCTTTTGGACAGCTTCCGTACTTACCATCCTCTTGGCGTAGACTTCGGTTTCGATATGTTCAAAGATGGAGCAAAGATTCGCGGCTGCCGAGTAATTTTCTCTCTTGGTGGTGTCCCTGGTCTCTGTAGTGGAATAAGGTCTTCCCAAAGAAGAACTCATCTGTGTGTGTCAGCAAGCAGTTCAACCATATGCAAGAGGACGAGGCGCCGGCGCCAAGTGTTATTGAATGTCAGGAGGACTTACAAAGCTATCCAAGACACGAAGAACTTTCCAAGTCCTTTCTCTAGTCCTTCGCTCCGACTCGGCAAACAGGTCGGCAACTTCTTTTTTATGGAGTCCTAAGGCGTGAGCTGCTCTGGCAGCTGTGCCGAGCTGCATGAAAGCGGCGTTTCGCCTCGAGGCCCCCAACATGTACATAGCAATCAGAACGTGAGACTGCACTGAGAGGAGACTTGGCTCTTCCATGTAGAGCAAGGCGGTTAAATAGCGCCCATAGTTGAAATACGTTTCGGCAACGTCATCCCGATCCTCTGGTGAAGTCTGAGCACCTATGGCAAGGACGAGGTAGTATATGGATCCGTAGGAGTCGGTGTTGTTCGAGGTGCCGTCAATCCATTGGGGTAGATATGCCAGCAGATCCGTCTCGTCAAAAAGATCAAGAACACAATTTGTCGTAAACATGTATTGTCGGATGAGGGCTTTTGCTTCCTCCAAGGTCGGCTTCAAGACAGCTCCGTTCCTCTGGGAGTCGAGCCAGTGTCCCTGTCCCTGGGACTGGGGAATATCCTCAACCATCATGTGCCGTAAAGGGTCTTCTGTGAAAGCGCATGTTCCTATAGACGCTTCCACGAGCCTCCGAATATTCTGCAAAAAGGCAAGGTTTGCTGAATCGCCGATGAACATGTACTTGCCTCTACTATCACGAATCAAGCGAGTCAGCTGAGGTACAGGAGCCACCGAGCTTTTATCGTTCTCCATGCTATGACGGACGCTGTCTGCGGCATGGTCAAGGACGGCATCCGCACGATTTTCGGCTTGGATGCCCTGGGGGACGTTGTTAGTGACTTGACGTTCTGATGACTGGGCTTCATGAGCCTGCAACATTGGCCCATTTACGAAGCGGCATTCCTGTTCGACTCTTCTTGAGATGCACCGCCCACATGGTAAGACTCCATTGCAGCGCTCCTTGCGCCTTTTGCAGTTCTCACAGGCCTTCAGACAGCGACGCCTCGTGTCATCGGAGCTATACCTGTGTGACATTTCTTGCGACGCGTGCCGTCATCTCACATTTCAGGTTGCATAATCCCTCCAGTTTCCGCGAACGCAAACACGATAGCAACTGCGTGGTAGATCAGGGCTCTCAGTCGCCAGATACGAGTGCTCGAATACTTGAAGGAGGCATGTGACCAGGGACAAAGTTTGAAATCATGAGGTTTTTCACATGTGACGATGTGGTCCACCGTTCTGGTACGGTGGGGTGTTGATGCAAGCGAGCCCGGACTTCGGACGGACATCAACAGCCACTCCCACTTTCCACATTTGGACTGGACAATGTTCTGGCCAGCCCATTTCGCCACCCGCCAAGCAACGTTTGTGCTACAAGCCTACCTAAAGGACCAAGGTACCTAATGGATCAGTACAACATGGGCTTGATACAGTACTCAGTTCGCGTACACGGACATGGATGAAGACTTGCCAGTTCAGTTGCATGATAAATGCCATCATTGGCGGCTCCCTGTCACTGAAATATTCCTACTGGCTTAGGCAGTACAAGGCCCCGGCCTCAGCCCCTTTGATCCGTGTTTGGACTTCGATGCTCAACCCAGAAGAGGGCGAGTGACTCACTTGTCAATCTAGAACAGTTCATCCGCATTGTTGATTGAAGCCAGTTACGTCACCTGATGCCGTACTGAAAGTCGTATATATGTAGTTGACTGCCGTTAAGACAAGTGAGCTAGTACCAGCAGAACAATCGTCATTCCCAGGTGCGCCTTCAAACCCCTTGCTACAACTTACTTCTACCCGAGCAACATCTTCAGCATTGATGCCACTAGCCGGTGACACTACCGCTTCCAATACTACAATCACCGCCAATATGGCCGCATTGGAAACCGAATCACATCCCAACGGACCCCTCATCCCAAGTCGGGAACAGACACCATACAGTGATGAGGACATTTGCAAGGATTCCTCGTCTCCCAGCGCCGAATACATTTTCGATGAAGCACAATGCTTATTCTGCAACGAGACAAGCACCGACTTGGACCAGAATTTAGGCCACATGTCAAGGACTCACGGCCTATTTGTAGATTCGACGAATCTATTAGTAGAACTGAGTACCCTCCTGGCATATTTCCATCTGATCATCTCTGGATACTACGAATGTCTCTACTGTGGAACGCAGAGAAACACTCTCCAAGCAGTGCAGCAGCATATGATGGCAAAGGGGCATTGCAAATACGATATCATGAATAAAGAGGCTGAGTACAGAGATTTCTATGACTTTCCGTCGTCAGATACTGGAGAAGAAATGCACCACAATCTCCTGGCCAGACGCTCCCCAAACGACCCTCAACTTCCTTCACAGGCCAAGGCAAGAAAACCACGAAGGGCAAAGCCTTCAGACGCCACCAGAGAAGGCCATAGCCCCACAGCTTCTCCATTTGATCAAGTCTTGCAGACTTCGGCGGCACAACCACAAACTGATGCTGAGCGAAGCTCAAATGATGCCGAGCCTATTCCTCATTCCAACACTGAATTGAGTACTAGAGCACTGAAGCAAGGAGTGACTCTTAACAACCAGCTTGCACAACTTCGGGCTGAAGACCGGAGAAGTCTCATGCATTTACCGACTTCGCAACAAAGAGCACTACTTGCAACTCGCCATAAACAAATGCAGAAGGCCAGAAGGACGGAGCAGGCTCAGCGCGGTCGTTTGGAAACTGCTGGCAACACGTTCGGTCGCCTGGGTACAGTGAGATTGGTACGGCTACCTCCCCATTTCGGGAACGTTTCTGGTTTGAATCGATGAGCCGTTCGGGTATGAAAAGGGGGAATGGCAAATGAATGGCCTCTTAATGTTCCATGTTTACGACCTTCATTCGGGGCGAGTCAGGATATCAAATGACCCATGGTCTTTAAATTTCAAGCCTAATATATTAGAAAGGCCTACTGTACTAGCCTGAGCTCCGGCAAATAGCAACTATAAATCTTGACAATCACTGTGATGAACATCTGATTTCGCTCATGAAAGTTTGCAGCAGTTTCTGGTACGTTTGATTGACCTAGTCTCAAATGGAAATCAGCACTCGCTGCCTGAATCTTCAAGCACGTCGCTTAAAACAGCGATAGTGACGTCTCGAAGTGTTAATGATTTACGCCCTCCGCGTTCTCCATTCAAGGATCGCAGTCATTCTGCGTGTTGCCCTTATTCCCAAGATTTCAATCGTGAGGAAGGCTGCGAATGTTATGTGTGAGATCTGTACCAGCACTTATCATTCGTACATTCTTATACAGGTCCTTGGAACCACGGGACTGAGACTATGGCGCACATGAATGGTGAAAGTAAGTCGCGCTAATGTCCTACCGTCGATGTGAACCCGACCCTGACTAACGATACGTCTCAGATGTTAAAAGAAAGGCTTCGGAAGATGCCTCATCGTCTCGATCGAAGAAGGCGCGGACAGAATCCCCCATCCTTGATGAAGGCGACGTCACAAAACAAGAAGAGGTGAGAATAGCCCGCGTTATCCTGGCTGACGCCTTCGTGGCTGGTCCTCGACAATTGCAGTTTGCGCAGTAGCGACATGAGGGTCTCTATTCCAAGAGTACTACCTATACAGAGAAGAATCACAAGCTAACAGAAAATCTTGCAGTCTGACTCCGAACCTCTAATTACACCCACCCCAGTTGATTTCCCCGAGAAATCTGCAGTCCTCGAAGAGAAACAGGGTCTGATTGAGTTCAGAGTCGTCAACAACGATAATTCGAGAGAGCATAACATCATCCTAACCGGATTGAAGTGTATTTTTCAGAAACAGCTACCCAAGATGCCCAAAGACTACATTGCACGACTAGTATATGACAAGACCCATCTTTCAATCGCCATCATCAAGCAGCCTCTCGAAGTCGTGGGCGGAATCACATACCGACCTTTCAATTCGCGCAAGTTTGCGGAGATTGTGTTCTGCGCTATCTCTTCGGATCAGCAGGTCAAAGGATACGGAGCACATCTTATGGCTCACCTGAAAGACTATGTGAAGGCAACCTCTCCAATAATGTATTTTCTCACCTATGCCGACAATTACGCCATTGGGTACTTTAAAAAGCAGGGTTTTACTAAGGAAATCACCCTGGACAAATCTATATGGATGGGATATATCAAGGACTACGAAGGAGGCACTATCATGCAGTGTAGCATGCTGCCCAAGATTCGATATCTACAGGTACCACGAATGTTACAAAAGCAGAAAGAAGCGGTCATGGCGAAAATCCGGGCAGTGAGCAAGTCACACATTGTCCATCCTCCGCCAGCTGCATGGAAGAATGGTGTCTGCGAGATCGATCCAATGTCGATCACCGCGATCAAGGAATCAGGCTGGTCTCCCTCCATGGACGAGCTATCACGCCAGCCTCGTCATGGCCCGAATTATAACCAGCTCCTGCATCTCCTCAATGACATGCAGAACCACACGGCAGCTTGGCCTTTTGCTCAACCAGTGAACAAAGACGAAGTGCCAGATTACTATGAGGTGATCAAAGAGCCAATGGATTTGTCCACCATGGAGGAACGCCTACAGAACGATCTATACCCAAGGCCCGAGGATTTCATCAAAGATGCGAAGCTAATCTTCGACAATTGTCGCCGCTACAACAATGAGACTACTCCATATGCTAAAAGCGCAAACAAGCTAGAAAAGTTCATGTGGCAGCAGATCAAGAACATTCCCGAGTGGTCGGTAAGTAATGCTGTGATCTTCGGCATTTTCGACCGGTTTGCTGACTTTTCTTTAGCACCTTGCAGACTAATGCTATGAGGTTTAGGGGGATTTACACGATGCGCTACAAGTGACACTTTGGCTAGGTCATGCTGTGACATTCTTTGGATCAAAAACGATGCGCAGACGTCTGAACTGAGTGGGATCTCGACAATCAACCTAGACCCTACAAGCCTTGGTTGCGGCAGTCAGATGCTAGTCGTTGGCTCACTACTTACGACTGGAGATCATAGTCTAATTTGAGTTCTGTGGAGTTTGCACGAGAGTCGTGTGAAAGCGGGTTCTCGTATACGTATAGGTTCGACGATGTGGCAGGGCACCAATCGAGGTGGCTCTGCATTTCAGCCGCCGTTTGGAGATCGGCTGAGTGAATGGCTAGGTACTTTTCACCGGCAACTGGGGGGTTGGGTTTTTTATTTCTGTGATACCCTATTTGCGTGCATGAGCTGGCAATGAAGATATAAACGAATCATGAAACTTAACTCGGCTTTTGCTTTCTCTGCGTGTCGTGAATAGCACCTGTTGATTTGTTGCAGACGAAAAGGAGTGGGAGCGAGTCCGAGTCCGACGCGCAACCAATTGCGAGTGGCCGTTGCCCCCCTGGAAGTGCGTTGCGCAACCAACTTCCCAGATTCAATCCAGTCTCACCAATACAACTTCACCTCTTTCATCTGATTGAACCCGACATGTTCCTCTGCCGAACAGTGGAATAAGTCACCTCTCCCTCACCGCTTCCCTCACTTCACACGGTCGTTCGCTACACGCCATATACTCAGTGCGATTCAAACCTCTAGCTTGTTTACCCGCGCGGCCCTCCAGTTACCTCCACCGATCTCAGCTCCTTAGACCACATTTGCGCGATTCAGACTCCGAACTTATGCAAACCTACTGCGACTGTTGCTGATCGCACGGTGAGAACGGCGTAGTAAACATAGTCGACACAAGTAGGGCGTTCATCAACCTCCAGAGCCCACAGAGCCGGAGAAGTCATAATGGCGCACGACACGAGTCCTGAGCAGGAGCTTGAGCAGCGCAACCGGCTGCCAACTCTCATGGAGGTCTTGGGGAGAAGAACACTAGCCCCAGTGGACTTGTTCTCGTTCTACATCTACATGCGCGATCAACAGCGCTCAGTTGACTACCTTGATTTCTGGTACAGTCAAAATCAACCCAAAGGCTTGACTGGTTGTCTGACTTCAATTTAGGCTCGATGTCTCACAACACATGTCTCTTTGCAGGCACTACGTTCGGGAGTTGCGGCGCTCAATGCTCGTAGATACTCCTGAGATGGAGAAAGCAACTAGCAAAAGGTCGTCTGCGCTTCTGGGAGACTTCGATCTCGGTGAGGGCATGGACACAAGAAAAAGCGGACAAGAGTCCAGGGTGTCAGCAATTTTGCGGGGGGACAATGGAACTCGCACCAAGCCGACAAGCAGAGGCAGAGGAGGGTCTTATGATCATTCACCGGCCCACAGCATGGGTTCATCACACTCGAGAAACTACAGCCGGCCATCAGGAGACCGGCAATCTCTCTCTGAACAGCTGCCGCAGCCTAGCTATGCTGCCACCGAAGTACGGACAGACTCGAACTCCCCCGGCCATAGTGTCGCTAGGGCCGACATTAAGGCCAGCGCGGAGAAGATCCTTTACACGTTCGTGCTTCCTGGGTCAGAAAGAGAGATCGTCTTGCCAGATTCGATGCTGAACAAGATAATACGCGCCATTGAGGAAGAAGGCCGTGATGATCCCGAGGTATTCGACGATGCGAAGGATTATGTTTTCCAGGCCATGGAAAGAGATGCCTTCCCTGGCTTCCTTCAGGCCAAGGCCCTAGGGAATCTTGTACCCTTGAGTGTGTTGATCAGACTCATTATCGGCCTCTCCAGTTTGATGGCGGGTTTTTGGGGCGGGTATTACATGATTCTCAGAAACATTTCGCGAAGTACCAGGTGTTGGGTAAGCATTGAGTGTCCGGATATTTATCCTTCGTGACTGACGTCTTTTAGCTCATTCTGCCGTTCGTCATTGGTTCGTATTTCCTTGTGTCGTACCAGTACAAACTCGATATCATCACGGCATATTTGGGCTTCTCGGAGTACACGTGGATGAACTGGTCAAGGGTTAGGGAGCCTTTTGTCAGGAGACTCCTCCTGACGCGAGCGACCATGGCGTTCTTTATGTTCGCAGCTGTAGCTGTCGGGCTAAGTGTACTATTCATATTCGTTCCTGGGACGAATTTCTGAACCGCCAGCATGCATGGCTGAATCACGGAGCTATGCAGACAAATGAGTTACGGCAAGGTCTTTTGGGGCGTTATGGATATCGAGACGTTGTGCAACGGGAACAGCAGGCCAGGAAACTTGTACACAGTCGGTATACGTTGTTGATCTTGAAGCGCGGCGTTGAACTCCCAGTTTTATGCGGCGTAGGGAGAGATTTTCGCAGGAAAGTCAGTTAGCAGCGCCACCTACTTCGGGCAAGTCAGGTTCGGCGACAAGGATGTCTCCGCATTATAAAAGGAGATGGTAACCAGAGCGCGGCTTGGAGCTTGAATACATATTTGCTTTCATACCCTTTACTTTCCGTCGGACGACGAAGCGGACAGTGATCACGGACCATGATCAAAGGTCCTTCGTGTCGTGGGGCGTTTCCAGCAATTACGTTGCTAAATGACTCTTTTTGCCGTCACAGTATTTGTTTCTATGGGGGTTATCTTCCGTAAGGGACCCCTTACCCCAGAGGTTCACTAGGCTGCCCATACACTGCCTAATAGAAGATGTGGCCTCTGTCCGCCTGTCGTGGGGGACAGTTTCTCTCGGGGCTCGCGAGTGCATCTCTCTCGCACGTTGGAGAAAGACGGCACAACGATCGAGAGAGTAAGAGAAGTAGCGGACGAGGTTCGCGGCTCCATCGTAACCTCGAAGATCAAATGAATCGTCGTCACTATCATAAATTCGTCGCACGGGCAGGTCACCCAGTTTCTATTTCACGTCCGTCGAATCGTGTATGCGACAAAACCCGTGTTGTCGCGATGCGTCGTGTTCCATCGTGAACATACAAGCAAAACACACCATACTTCCCTTTTTTATGGCTGGCTGACTCGGTAGTCTCTCCCTTTTGTTTGTCTTTCCTCTCATTTTGAACCGCGACCTCTGTTTCTCTTTGCGCCTCTGGAGCTTCCCCCGCCGTGTCCTCCGCGTGAGCTGGTGCCGCTACTAACGTCGCCGAGGCCCTCGTCGAGATCCATCTGCACGTCGTCGTCGCTGATGTCGTCGCCCTCTCCTTCCATTTGAGCGTCGAGGTCTCGCTTACCAGGCAGCCTTCCTCCGGCGCGGAGTTGGGCACGATCGGGATTCGCCACGGGCGGCTTCGTAGACAGGACCGCGGCGTCGACGGCGTCCTGTCTCCTGCGCTCGGTCGTGTTGCGCTTGACCGCCTCCTTCCGCAAGCTGGTGATCTTGGTGTCCAGGTCGCTGATCATGGTCGTGCAGCGCGACTCCCACACTTGTAGGATCTGGAGGAGCGCAGGGAGGGATTGAGGGCGCAGGTCTCGTAGCGGTGCCACGGACGTCACGTTCACGGACGGTGGCGTGGATGTTGGGGAGAGCCGGGCGGCGAGGAGGCCTGCGTAGATGGACTGCGTCACGAGAGACTCTAGGCTGGCCGTGTCGGGTAGGACGAGTGATTGCAGGAGGGAATCGTAGGTCAGGGTGTTCGTTGTTGCCGGTGTGTTGCTTGGTGCAAAAGGCGAGGAGAGGGTCAGGAGGCTGAGTTGGCGGAGTTTGAAGGCTTGAGAGTCATCGAGAGGTGGGAGGTTTGGCGTCGCTTGTCATGCATGGGTTAGCAAGTTTGTTCCGCTGTGCATGCCGTTGTGCATGAAGTTGGGTGGCCGGGGCGTACCTTGGTACTCTTCGTACGTGCCCCAGCTGAAGATCTCAAGAAGGGTCAGCCACGACTCCAGGTCGGTTCCTCGGAGGCTCTGGCACGCTGGTGTCTGGAGAAGCTCGGTGAAGATGTAAGTGCCCGGAGCGGAAATGGTGGATTTGATCAGTTCGGCGACGAAGCGGGGTGAAGGGTTCTTTGTGGTATTCGCGACATGGACAAAGGGCTGAAGACATGCCAGAGCCTTCGTTTGAGATTGATCCATATCGACGCGGTTGAATCGAGGAAGCGATATGGTTGTCACGAGCTGGTCGCGGGGAGAATATGTGGTGTGGATTCAGATGTCAACTCAATGATGTCTACGGAGTACGGAGTACAGTATGAGTGCCATGCAACCTGGAGTGGCAGCCTTGTCAAGCTTGGCAAGAGAAGCACAAGGCTGAGCGTAACGGCGTCAGGTGATCTATATATAGTATGTTGCCCGGAGAGGCCCTGTTGTGCCTGGGGGACGCGTGCTCGATTGAGTGCGCCCAACGTAGTGCTTCTCATTGCTGCAGTAATCTTCACATTCAAAAAGGCTGTGCCAGACCAACACAGATTCAACTAAAGCGCAATCTTAATACTTTACCGCCATTGCTGATGTGGTCTGACCTGGCTCACGTGATTGCATGATTGATGAGGCCGTCAGATGAGATCTGGGGTGCCGACCACGAGGAGGGAGGTATTGTACGGAGTACGAGGTACTGATCAGTGATCGGTGATCAAAGACTAGTCGGTACGTAAGGCAACAACAACAATAATAAATAATCTTTCGGCGCTGTCGGTGACTTTCTAGGCGCGGCCTTTGCGGGACAAGCCCCCTTTTTTCTGGTGCGAATCTCGTTTCTAAGCAGAGCCACGCTAAGACCTATACATAGGATTTCACGTTCCGGCTTCACCATCCCGTCTCACCTTTTCTTACCCCCGTTTCGCAGTTGTCTCCCTTCCACGATCACTCTGTTTCGACTGTTCCCGCCTCCTGGGTTCAGCTTGGCTTCCCTCGGGCTCAGGCTCTCACGCTCTTTATCTCTTCTGTATTCTATTCCAACTCTTGTCTTCGCAGCACACATCCTCCCCCGCAACTCTCGCTCGCACAAACCGAGGCGGTCCAAACGATGAATTTCTAATCCTCACGATCGTCCCGCGATATTTTGGCTACCTTGAAGATCGACCTTAGCAATGACTGTCTCCGAAGGGAGTGGCTTGGAGCCGCTTCCCAATACCAAGCCTATGCACTATGCGACCACTACATTGAAAGTGGACGGCATGACTTGTGGCGCGTGTACATCCGCAGTCGAATCCGGCTTCAAAGGTGTCGATGGCGCTGGGGCTGTGTCGGTCAGTCTCATGATGGGAAGAGCAGTGATACACCACGATCCTACGCTTCTACCGGCCGAGAAACTGGCCGAAATAATTGAAGATCGTGGCTTCGACGCCGAAGTCCTGACCACCGACATGCCTCAACTGACAAAGCCCTCTGTTGATACGAGGACTACACGCCTTAGTACGACCACATTATCCGTGGAAGGAATGACGTGCGGTGCTTGCACTTCTGCTGTGGAAGCTGGGTTCAGGAATGTCCCTGGGGTCAAGAGCATGAGCGTGTCGCTTCTTGCGGGACGTGCAATAGTACAGCATGATGCGAGCATCATTGAGCCCAAATCTTTGGCTGACATCATTGAAGACTGTGGTTTCGACGCCAAGGTATTGGATTCGAAAGTACAAGAACCCAAACCTACCCTTCATCTATCCACAAAGGATCAGTCGCAGAATACATGGACCACAACTGTGGCCATTGAGGGAATGACTTGTGGGGCATGTACTTCGTCGGTGGAAGGCGCGTTCAAAAATGTGCTCGGAGTGGTCCGTTTCAACATCAGTCTCCTTGCAGAACGAGCCGTAGTTTCTCACGATCCAGAGATTTTGTCAGCAGAGAAGATTGTTGAAATGATCGAGGACGCAGGGTTTGACGCCAAGGTGGTGTCTTCAAGTGCTGATGCGACTGTTCAAGGCAGTTCTTCTGTCTCTCAACAACTCAAAATATACGGGCTTGCTGATGGTGTTGCTGCCACTCAACTCGAAGACGAAGTCAGATCGAGGCCTGGTGTCCAGAGCGCCGTCATCAGCCTGTCGACTTCACGTGCTAATATAACATACGACCCCTCAGTCATTGGTCTCCGGGCGCTTGTTGGCATCGTTGAGGCTGCTGGCTACAATGCCTTGGTGGCGGATTCCGAGGACAATAATGCCCAGCTTGAGTCCCTCGCAAAGACGAAAGAGATTATGGAGTGGCGACGCGCTTTCCTGACCTCTCTTGGATTCGCTATCCCAGTTTTCTTCATCAGCATGATCCTACCTATGTGTTTCCCGACGTACAATTTTGGCGCTTTCGAACTGATACCCGGTCTGTTTTTGGGCGACATTATCTGCTGCGGCTTGACAATCCCGGTACAATTTGGAATCGGAAATCGATTTTACGTCTCGGCTTACAAAAGTTTAAAACATAAATCCCCTACCATGGATGTCTTGGTGGTCCTTGGTACATCTGCAGCATTTTTCTTCAGCTGTTTCGCTGTCATTGTGGCCGTTTTGTTCCCACCTCACAACAAGCCCGCCACGCTCTTCGACACAAGCACTATGCTGATCTCGTTCATCACCCTGGGCAGGTGGCTGGAAAACAGAGCCAAGGGTCAAACATCTAAAGCTCTGTCGAATCTCATGTCGCTTGCACCGAGTATGGCAACAATCTATGAAGACCCGCTGTATGCGGAGAAGCTTGCAGGGACCTGGACCGCGCCATCTTCACCCGTGCTAGAAAAAGTGCCGACGAATGATTTCAACAAAGCAGCCGCTCCAGCTACAGGCCCTGGCGCCGTTGAAAAGGTCATTCCCACAGAACTGCTCGAGGTCGGTGACATCGTCATCTTACGGCCTGGTGACAAAGTCCCAGCGGATGGGATAGTGACTCGTGGCGAAAGCTTCGTTGACGAAAGCATGGTCACGGGCGAGGCTATGCCCATCTTCAAGAAGAAGGGCAGCGTTCTCATGGCCGGGACTGTCAATGGTGCAGGCAAGGTCGACTTCAAAGTCACTCGTGCTGGTAAAGATACACAGCTGAGTCAAATTGTCAATCTCGTACAAGAAGCACAGACAAGTCGAGCTCCGATTCAACGTCTGGCAGATCTTGTTGCCGGCTATTTCGTTCCCGTCATCATCCTCCTTGGGTTGATCACTTTCGTTGCGTGGATGGTTCTCAGCCGCACCTTATCGAATCCGCCCAAGATTTTTATCGACGGCCAAAGCGGTGGAAAATTCATGGTCTGCTTAGAGCTTTGCATCTCCGTTATTGTTTTTGCCTGCCCTTGTGCTTTAGGTCTCGCGACACCGACGGCTGTTATGGTGGGAACCGGCACAGCATCACAGCAGGGAATTCTCGTAAAGGGGGGTGCAGCCCTTGAGACGGCCACTCGCATTACACATATTATTCTTGACAAAACCGGGACTTTGACTTTCGGCAAGCTCAAAGTGGCCGAAAAAAACATCGAACCGCTCTGGACGTCCAACAAATGGAGAACCAAGCTCTGGTGGACGCTGGTCGGGTTGGCTGAATCAGGCTCTGAACATCCGATTGCCAGATCCATCCTTGCACAAGCACGAGAAGAGCTCGAACTTGGACCAGAAGATCCTCTTCCGGGACTAGTTGGCAATTTCGGCGTCACAGTTGGCCAGGGTGTATCTGCCATCATCGAGGTTGAGACCCCCGGCGAACAGAGCCAATACAAGATTTATGTTGGCAATGCGACTTTCCTGCACAACAAGAAAATCGAAATCCCATTTGATGTGGAAGAAGCCGTCAACGCAGTCATGTCACCCACAACCCGAACAAAATCGAAGACTGGTATCACGACTACATATGTGGCCATCAACGATAAATTTGCTGGCACGCTCGGACTTTCGGACACTTTGAAACCCACTGCCCCAGCAGCCATCGCAGCGCTGCATAAGATGGGTATCAGCACGTCTCTGGTGACTGGTGACACTTACAACACTGCTTTATCCATCGCAGAACTTGTCGGCATTCCCAAAGACGCTATCCGGGCATCTGTTTCACCTGGCGAGAAGCAATCCATTGTGGCTGAACTCCAAGCCCAAGGAGAGGTTGTTGCTATGGTCGGTGACGGCGTCAACGATTCTCCTGCGCTTGCCACGGCAGATGTAGGCCTCGGTCTCGTCTCAGGCAGTGACATTGCTGTCGAGGCAGCTGATGTTGTTGTCATGCGCTCCGATGATATGCTCAACGTTCCCGCGGCTCTGTACCTTTGCCGAGTCATCTTCCGACGCATCAAGATTAACCTCATCTGGGCATGCGCATACAATGTCATCGGTCTTCCGTTCGCGATGGGTGTTTTCCTGCCTCTAGGATATCACATGCCACCGTTGATGAGCGCGACGGCAATGATGTTTAGCAGCATCAGCGTCACTCTCAGCAGTCTGGCTCTCCGGTGGGCTAGTCGACCTAAATGGTTGACGATTGAACATATGGAGATGGAGCGGAGCAAGATAAATGTTCCAGTTCTTGGACGAAGGCCGAGACCAAATCTGGTGGGCAGATTTGTCGATGCGGTAAGCGGGCTATTTGACGGCTCAATTGTAAAGAGAAGAAGAGAAGAGAAGGATCGAGGAAGTTATGTTCCTCTCAGGAATGTTGACGCTGAGGCCGTATGAGCTTTCATGCTGGGCGGGAGATTCTTCCTTATGTACTATACAGCCCTGATACCCCCTATATATATATATACTACGGTTGCGCATTAAATACGCGGCAACAAAAACGTCGGACATCTACGCACAAGCTCACTATCGATTTCCTATCTTTGAAAGTCTTCCGGTGGATAGATAGCCCTTCACGAAGCTGACCGTCGTAGAGTTATATGCAGACGGGCTGGTATGATGCTTCACTCGAGGAGAGTTGTCACCCGCTCTCGGAAAGGTTGATACTGTTGGCTGAACCTTATCTTGGGAGCTTTAGAATCGTCTGGCTGGCCCTCGGAGATGTCAACTTCTACCATCAGGTCGACACCTGCAATGGCGATGGCCCAGGAAGTCCCTGCTGACTTCAGTGATCTCCCTCTCTCATGTCCCTACACCATCTCGAGGCTCTTGACAGCTGCCGGTGAGCCTTCAGCGACATGGTTGATACGGGAGCGCGACCAGTACGGAGAGTATCCTCACATATATGCCAAAGTGTGCGAAGGGGTCGAAGCTGCAACAGGCGCAAAAGGACAGCCATCGACGTACAAAGTCATCGTGCTCAGCGACTCTGGTTGTGGAACGGAGGTGATCAATGATATTAGTCCTCCTCCTGTTCGGCGCACAGAGGGGGAGAAGGATGATGACCATGTCGTCTCCCGGTCTCGGAGAAGCGAGCCGAGTCGCTGGAACATTCACACGTTTCTCCTCTACACGCTCAATCCGGGCGGATGTATCCCGTACATGGTCATCACGAGCCACTGCCACTACGACCATATCACTGGGATAGGCAAGCTTCCGCCCACCGGCGGATATGACCACGAGCATGTCAGCAGTACCAGCACCAGCAGCGATAAGACCCAAGACGGCGCGGATCGTCTTCGCACGACTGTCTTGACATCGTCTCTGCACAAGTCGTTCGTCACCCCCTACGCGAATCTGCAGGAACACAGCTTGAGCGCGTCGGTCGGCCTCCAAGCACCCAGGTACAGCATCACGTGGGCCGAGGACCTCTCCGAGGCGACGTGGCGATGGACACGGCCGGCACAAAAAGACGCAGGCATCAGTGCCGCGGAGGTCGCCATCGGTGCTCGTATGACTATGATCCAGACGCCGGGACACACCCCGGACTCGCTGTCCTGGTATGACGAGGACCTCGCCCTGCTGTTCGTGGGCGACAGCTTCTACGTCAAGGAGTCGCCCGAGACCAGGTCGGCGCCGTGGGGTCCGGAACCGCCCATGCCGACCATGTTCGACGTCGAAGGCGACCTCGCCGATATGTGGGAGAGCATCAAGAAACTCCTGCGTTTCGTCCGGGTCAAGAACGAGGAGCTGAAGCTGAACCATGACAAGCACCGCGCGACTACTGATACCGTCACTACCACCGCTGCTACCGATGGTGGTGGTGGTGACGATGTTCAGAAAAACATGATACCGCATGGAGAATGTGAGAATGGCCGCCGGCGCGGCGGTCTCACGAAACGTCATCCCTCTACGTGGTACGAGGCCATACCTTTCTTTAGGTCCCGAGGTCTCGCGGCATCTCAATCTCAACTTGGATCCCAATCTCACCTCCCTGTTCCTCATACGCGCTACACCGACGACGGATGGGTGATGGTCGACAGTCACCCGGGCGGCGGCCGCGGTGGCGCGACGACACCGTCGTCCCAAGCACCGCCCAGGGTGCAGCTGGCTGCCGCGCACACGACGGCGGGCGGCGTCGACGCCGAAGCTGCCATCCTGTCGTTCCGCGAGTTCCTGGTGCTGATCCTACGTGACGAAGTGCCCAAGAAAAGAGTGGCCGACGGGTTCAGAGGACATGAAACATGGCTGTATGATTTTGCGCTCGAGGAGTCCGGAGGAGGCCAGGTCAAAGAGGAGATTGACGACGGCGACGACGACGACGCCGACCCTGACGCCGGAATCGGCCCACTGAGTTATCTTCGCCAGTACAGCGTCCAGGCGCCCTTGACGGTCATTGAGGAAGGGAAGAAGAGAATCTCAGAACAGGAATGGATGGGAATGTCAGAGCCTTCGTCGTCGTCATCATCATCATCATCACCATCATGACCAAAGGAACGACGAGCTATTTGGACCCTGAGCATTGAACAACGGTCACGCGAGCTACTCTCCGGCCACGCGTACAAACAGGTTATGGAGTAAGTACATAGGCAGTTGGGTAGTTGGTGCCTCCGAGTTCATATGAATTGTACAAGTTACATGTCACTATAAGTGAGTGAGCGTAAGAAGTGCCAAGGGACCTTGGGATACATTCCCCAAGAAATCCGTCGCCGATTTTCATGTAATGTCTACACAAACACAAAAGCGAATCGTGACCCTCTCTCTTCTTTTTCCAAGGTTAGATAGAGAGGATTGTTCGATTCTGTTCGTCAGTCACTTTCGTCGCCGCTCATATCCACGTTCCCATCAGGCATGAGTGCTATTCTCCTCCCGTTCGTATGGTTCCTCCGGTCGTCTCTGCCCTCTAGCTCGTCGGCGTCGTTGACAGCCTCCTCGTCGGCATCCTGTTCTTCTTCCCCCTCCTCTCCCTCTTCTTCTTCTTCTTCATCATCATCCTCATCTTCGTCTTCGTCTTCGTCCTCCACCTCGTCCTCTTCATCTTGATCAGCGTCATTTTCGCCCTCATCATGGTCGTCGTCGTCATCGTCATCGTCATCCCCGTTCGTCCTTACGGCGTTGCCGCCATTGAGTTGTGCCTCAAGCAGCATCGTCTCATCGTCATCGTCCTCTTCCTCTTCCTCGGCGCTCATCCGTCTCGCTTTCTTGTTGCTAGGTTCACCCCTCTCCTCTTCGTCTTCATCGTCAGCGCCAGCGGCACCAGCACCAACAGTCCGATCTAAGTTTTGCCCATCCCCGACGCCCTCCCGGGCCTTGACTTTGTCACGGTACCCCTTCCTCTTTCCCCTGATGTGCTCCTCGTACGCCTCGAGTTCCCTCTCCAACCTGCCGCCCCGCCTGCCGTCTGGCCCCGTCGCGCCCAACCCCATGACGGCGCCCATCTCGATCTGCTCCAACGCCTTGATCACGTCCTGGGGGCTGACGGTCTTCTTGGTCGTCTGCTCGTTGGCGTGGTGCGCAAGGTACGATATGAAGACCGTCGCCGACTTGGCGAGCGCCAGTGTCGCGTCTTTCTGTATCGACGTGTTGGCAGGCAATACGCCTCGCGCGAGACGTGACACGAGGCTCCGTGGAAGAAGGAGATCCTGTGAAAAGCAAAGTACGAAAGGTATATGTTAGCCTGGCTTTTGAGATGACACAAAATGCAAAAACAGCAAGGAGCCAGGAGCTCAAATAACGGAGATTCACACAGCGGCAAACAGAAAAGATTGGGCCAAAACATTATACCACACGCGCGCACATACATCTATACTGACTCCGTCATCTTGCTGCTGCTTGTGTCCACCGGACTGTCGCGACGATTTGGGATGTGAGGCTGCCGCTGGATGTGCGTGTGTCGTCGTAGTCGTGGTTGAAGCGTTCGATACCATTGAAACGTCGCCGTTGGTCTCGGCGTGCGCCGTACTTGAGGACGTGGACTTTCGGGGAGGCATGACGATTGCTAGGTACTGGTTTGGTTTGGGTTCGTTATATGATGGAGGTGGCCTCTGGAAAGGGACCCAGAGGTATCGTATGGGTGGTAGAGACTCGACTCGAACTTCTCGTTGATCCGTAGAGCGGACGTAGTAGTATCGGGGATGCGATCAACTGCGAATGTTCTCTCTCATGTCATGCGGTGCTACTCGATATTGTTTGGTTTGGCGATTGCATCGGCGGTGGGCAGACGTCCGTACGTCCCGGATTCCAAGCACTGTGATTGTGTTCTTGGGTACCAATCTCAACGAGTCGCGAAGGGGAAGGCGAGCAAGAAGAGTCGCTCTCCACGTAGATGAGAATCGACGACGGAGGGTGTATTTATTCGGTCTGGTTCCCGGGGATGGAATGAATGGACTTCGGGAGCAACTTATTGAGACGCGAACCGGACGGGGTTTCGAGCCGACGCGACTTTTCGAGACATTCAACGGCCTTATTGGAGCAGCCGCGGGGCGTTTTATTATGCGGGCGTCTCAAGTATCCAGCATTACGCATAATTAAACAAGGATATTCCAGGTGTTTCCTTGGAACAGTCGAGAGACGATGCGAAGACGAGGTTTCTTGACTTTTACTTGCGTAGAGAGGGCATCTCATCTACCAAACAGACCGAGGTCAGGAAATACTAAGGTTGGTCGACACATAAGCGCATCCTGTTGTATGGTGTAATTATGTTCCGTGGTCTGAGGTCTATGATTTTTATTCAGCTAAATAATTCACCTTCACTTGTTGCAACAACAACGTTTTTTCTGGTAACAAAGAACGATCCCTTTCCCACCTTCTGATGAAACATTTTTGCTATGAAACTGCTGTTATTACATGGACCAATCCCCCCCCAGGTACAACGGCCGCCGACAAGACCAAGTGCTCATGAACCTAGGTAACTTGTACACCGAAGCGCGAAGCTTCACACCCAGCAGCCAGCCTGGCCTGATTCCCAATGCGCCGAAAGATATTCTCAAAACGATGTCGATGACAGTGGCCGTGCAACGAAAACTCAGAACCTCCTCGACATGACGCCGGCCTCGACACTTCTTTGCCCCCGGAATTTTTGGTACATGTTACAAAAGCTTACGCCGTCGACCTATCCCCCTGGACGTACTGAAAGCTCACCGAATGGGATACCCGTCTCTGTCGAGGTCGCCCTGCCAGTCCGGGTCATAGTATTCACTGTTTCTGTCCAACGTCGCGACATAGCGGTTCCCTCGGACGCCCGCCTTTTTGGAATGGGTGTTTCTAAGGTGACTTTTCAGGTTGTCTGTCCGCGAAAATGGTTTGTGGCATTCGGGGACCCAACATTTGTAGATGTCATGTTCGTGCTTTTCGTGCACCGTCTTTTCGTGCCGTTTCCTGTGTTCCTGTCGTTTGAATCTCTTTTGTTTGCCCGTCCCCTTGTCGATGCAGCCGGGGTAGGTGCACGGGAAGGGATTCCCCTCGATGACGGGTGTGCAGGTGACCCCGGAGCCCGCGGTCCTAACCTTGCTGCGTTTCGAGTTCTGCTCTCTCTTGCGCTCGTACCCGCGTCGATGCAGCCGGTCGTGCTGCGCCCGGTGGCCCTTGGCCGAGAACCGAAGCAAATGGTCGACGTTGGCGTACGCCATGTTCTCGACGTCGTGCTGTGTGAGGACAACGGGAGGAGACATGATCGGAAGAGGGCTGCTCCTCAGGATGGCGCTTAAAGGGACCTGCACCTTCATTGGCGTCGACGGCTCGAGCTTGTAGCTCGGAGAGCTCGGCGGTATCCTATGGAAGGTGACGCTGGGCTCGATGGTTTCCGGAGGAGCGTGGGCATGAGGGGAGTACAGCAGGTCGTGGTCCACGCCGTACACGGCGGCCGGGTCCAGAGGTCCGTCGAAAATCGACTTGGTCAGCATGGGGTTGGACATCGCCTTGTCCCCGGCAAGATCGTTTGACGCATACAGCGTGTAATTCACCGGAGGCGGGATTATATCATACGTGCCCGTCATCATCGGCAGGCCGGGAGGCGAGCTGAGCCCGTCGAACCATACGCAGTCGGGTTGGTATGGAGTTGCGTCCTGCAGTTGGAACATCGGGTGGCAGCTCTCCAGGGAAGACGCTGTCTTCATGTACTTCGGGCAGGACATGTAATCCGCGGGCTCGTTGGTCATGGGCGTGACGGGACTGGCAGTCCTCGCCGACGGGGTAAAGAACATTTCTGGGGAGTTTATACTGCTGCATGACCCGAGTGAGGAGCGGCGGGGTCCTTGTGAGCCCAGAATGGAGGTGTCGCAGAGGAAGCTGGACGACATGGACGGGCAGTCCGTCATGAAGCTCAGCGGCGACTCACCCCCGAAAGCGCTGTCGAGACTGGGGAGGACATCGATGGGCGCATCCTCGGACTTGAGATGGAGATGAAGAAGAGCCGTGGCTGGTCCTGTTCGTCAGACGGAGCAATCGCAATACGCCAAAGGCGAGCACTTACTGTCGACAACCATCTTGCTCCGTTCGTTGTCCATATGGGATAGCTGGGGCGGCGGTCTGTTCTCTCTTGTTCAGGATAATCAATGGCGAGGACGGTCGAGCGTGGGTTGAGAACTCAAAGGGTAGGTGACTATCGACCGTCCATATCTATGAATCGAGCTTGCGGCGCGTTGTCCTGGTAAATGCAAGGCGTTTGGTATGTGCCAGTCCAGCAGGCGGTTCGTGAACACGGGTGACAGGTCCACTTTTGCAGTGAGCCAGCCAGGCTCCGGAGTCTCAAGCAGACATGTCCCAAAGAGTGTCTCTGGATTCCTGAAGCGAGGCCAAACGGGGGTGCCAGAAACCCGAGGAATGGCTCCATCTCCATCTCACGGCAAGGGATGCTTCTTTGGATCAACGCGCGGGAGGTGCAGCACAGATCAAGGAAATGGAGTAATGCACTAGAACCATCACAAGCCGAGATCTCTTACGGTGCCCTACCTGGGCTCTGTGTTCGCGAGACGAGCGGATACAATACCTGATCGATTAGGCCTGACAGCCCGCTGCAGGTACACGAGGCTTTCGATTTGCTCCCACCTGTTTTGGCCGAGGGGGCAGCACATCATGAAGACGGCCATCAGGCTCAGAAGCTCCAGAGTCCCTCTCTCTGGGTCGACAGCCTTGTGTCAAACTGGGATTGACTTGCAGCTTCATTATCGATAATGCAATGCAGGCACGAATTATTGGACTTGTCAATAAAGTGCTTGCATGTCGCAGTGTCATGGATGGAGGGAGGGCCTTCGCCCATGGTCAAAACAGAGATAGCCTGACAAGCCAAAAGATCCGAATTGGTGACCCTTGTCCCACCGACTGCATACCTCCGCAGGACAAATTCGCGAATACGAGCTGCCCAGCGAATCGTGACGGACGAGACAAAGTGCCTGCATGCAGGTGGTGCTCACGGTACCCCGGTTTGCTGCGTAGTTCGGTCAAGTGTGCTGGACACAGAAGTCAAGATTGTCCGCTGGCCTGGCTTCTCTGGCTTGTCCGGTTTGTCCGGCTTGTCCATGATTATTTGGATGGGCAACTACAGCTCGGATCTGCATTCGGTCGTTCGCTAAACACCGTGCTCGATCGCGTCTGGCATGCGACCAAAGATGTGAGGCGCCTGTCCCACGCAAGACACAAAAGTGGCAAAGAGGCTACGATCTGGGAAAACCGACACCACTGGAAATGCACAGACGGAGAGAGATTGGTCCATGATTTCGTGCCATCCCCAGGTATGTGTCACAGAACGTCCATCAGCTGGCAGACAGCACTGGAGTCATTGGCTGGCGGACCAAACGATCGCAGGCGGATATCTGGGGAGTCTTTGCAATGCCGAGCCGAAAGTATCCTGGTTGAGTTCCGGGATGATCCTTGACAGTTTTCAAAAGTCCCAATCCAGCCTCCATCCAGTGCCAGTGACATGTTTGTCAAGTGCAATTAGGAAAATGTTCGGAACGCTTGCTAGAGAGTGCAAGCAGGATTGGAGTTTGCCGGAGGCTTGCAGGCCGCCTCTGGTCGGGCACATGTCTGGCGGCGAACCGTATGCGAACTGTCTGCAAAGACGAGGCCCAGGCCTCCTGCGGCCTTGCATTATGTGCCCCTCGGGCGACAACGAGAGACACAGAGCCCATACACAGGCGCGTAGGTTTGCCGAATCAAGCATGGTTCTGCCTATGGCACCCGTGCGGGACGAGGTCTACTTACACCTCCAACACGATCCGACCGGGGATGTCCCCCTTTTCAAGCATGTGATACACCTCGGGCAGCTCTCTGAATGGACGAATCTGCACGCGAGGCTTAACCTTGCCGTCCCGCACCAGTTCGACCGCTTCCAGCGTTTCCTTCAACGAGCCCACCAGATTGCCCTGGATTCTCAAGCCCTTGATGACGATGGTGGCGATGGGGATGTCTAGATGCACCTCGCCCGGAGGAATCCCTACCATACACAACGAACCACCTACCCTGGTCATGTCGGCCAATCGTCGGAAGGCTCGAGGATGGCCGCTCGTCACGACCGTGGCGTGCGTACCCCCTCCAGTGATCTTCAGGACTTCCTGCGCAAGATCCTTGCATTTGCTAAAATCGAGGAATCGAGCACCCAGGTCCTCCACAAACCGCCTCTTGTCGTCACCGGCGTCGACGCCGAGCACCTTTGCACCAAGACAAAGACCGTACTGAACTGTTGTTGTTGTTGTTGTTCCGTCAGCAAAAACAAGTGGCGTGACACGCGCGCGAGATGGCGGCCTCCATACCTGCGAAATGGCCTAGACCTCCGCCGGCGCCAATGACCGTCAGCCATTCTCCTTCCTTGAGCCGGGCGTTCACCACAGCCTGATGTCTTCCTGTCAGGATGGATCTGTGACGGCGTAGAAGAAACTTGCCTTATATGCGGTCACACCCGCACATAGCGTAGGCCCGACGACCTTGGGGTCCACGTCCTGGGGCAACAAGGTCAGGTATTTCGTATCGAGGACGCAGTACTGCTGGAAGCTGCCGTCCTCGTGATGGAGGTGGTTCGTCGCGTTTGTGCAGTGCTGCTCTCTCCCGGAGGTGCAATACTCGCATTGGTGGCACACGCGCGATGCGAAGCGTATGCCCACCAACGTCCCGAGTTGAAGGTCGTCCCTCGGGGACACGTTGGGCCCAAATCCCACGACTCGTCCCACGCCTTCGTGTCCGCCGACGTGAGGGAGCTTGATGTTCGTGATGGGCTGGCCATCCGCACCCGTTGCCGTCCCAGCTTTGGTGTGCAGGTCTGCAGGGTGATCGGCATGGCTCAGTGTTGGGGGGCTTGATGTGTGATGTGCTTACCACTCTGACAGACACCGGTGTATAGCACCTTGACCAGAACCTCGTCTGTACCGGGCCGTGGGACGGGATAGTCATCGTCAAAGACAACAGGTCCACCTTGTTTCAGCACGAGCGCCGCTGTCTGCTTGATGGGAATGTCGACCTGAGACATGACGACGAGGACGATGTAAAGGGAGATGCCGGGCAAGGGAGAAACAGAACACGATGCAATCTCCCAACCAGAGACAAGATCCTAGATGTCCAGTAGGGCTGTGATGCGTTCATATACGAGCTCCAGAAGCCCGTGGTGCGTATTCTGTGGCCGACTGTCAATGCGGAGAATGCGCGCAAGAGTGAGCGAGTGGTCACGATGGACTGCGGGGGGTTCGAAGTGATACTCTCCTGGTTGGGGACGTCGCCCACAACTCGCTGGACCGCGAACAGCACCTCTTTGCTCGACAGCGTGAGAAGCTGACGTCGAGAAGGGCGCTGGGTGACCTGCATGATGCATACAGAACCCCGCATGAAAAAAGGGCCTGGACAGGGGGGCCAGGGCAGGACATGGAAAAGACGAAAAGAGCTACGCAACGGGACTTCTGGTGCCGTGAAGCCGCGCTGCTGCTTCGGTTGTCGATGGACAATTTCGGCGCTGGCTTCTCATGAGACAGACGCCCACCTGTCAAGTGGCGTCGAATGTATCACATTGACGGTTGACTGTTACACACAAGTATGGTTCGGTGCCAGCTGGCCCTTTTTTGGACCCAACAGAAGGGCAACGAGACATTGTATGGCCTGGCATGTGACGGTAGCTGAGCTGCTTTGGAATTCTCTTTTTCCCATCTGTCTAGGATCAATTTTTTCCCAGGCCGACAGATGGGTTGAGCAGTCCGTTTTCGTCGCCTTTGGTTGCTGCTCACATTGGACATGAGAGTCACTTGTAGGGACCAAGACGACTAAGCGAGTGGGGAGAGTTGTTTGACCCCCATGAATTCCCCATCGAATTGAGACCGAGCATGTGCACTACTTGGGAACTGGATGACACAGAGATACAAATCACGATACATGTGGAGGGCGACTGGACGCTGGTGGCGCAAGGAGACTGTGGCGCAGGCGTGTGGCTTGACCTGCTCTGAAATCACATGACCACACGATGAGATTTTCTCCTCCGCGTCCGCAACGGGAATCGGGGCTGCGATTCTTGTTGTGTGTATACAAATGACGTCGTCGTCCAGACCCCAAACGGGTGCAAAGTGCCAGGCCCCCCCAACCTCATCTGGCTCTTTTTGGTCTTCGTCTGGGCTTTGACCAGCCTGCGATGCCGCATCATTGCTTCTCATCTCCTCTACCATCAAGCGAAGCGAGCGAGACCTCCGTCCCCTCTCATGCACTGCGGTGACGTCTGAACGAACTGCGGCGCCATGTCGCCCTACAATCCAGCCTGCTACCTCCCTCATTCATGGTCGTCCCGTCTTCCCACGGCGCTCGCATGCCCTCCGCCGCCGTCCTTCTTCACAAACGTCTACAACTACGCGACCTCGCCTTTCTGGTCGACCTACACGACGCTGCGCACGATGATGGACGCCATCATCGGCCTGCCGATGCTGAGCTTCCTCCTCATCCCGACCTTCTCGTCGTACTCGACGTCGCTGAACCTCCTGTTCTTCTATCTCACATGGTCGACGCTCGTGCTGTCGCACCCGCCGCTGCGCGTCGAGCTCGTCGCGACGCTGGCGGTCAAGACGCTCTTCTACATCCTCCCGTCGGCGTTCTTCGTGCTCTTTGACGCCCTGCTCCCGTCGGCCGCCGAGAGCTTCAAGGCCCTGGGCGACGCGGCCCTCCCGTTCAAGAACGCCAGCGGCCAGCGCACTGCGCGCACGCTGCGCGTCCTGGGGTGGTCGGTTCTCAACACGCTCCTCGGCGTCGGCGTGCAGGCGCTGGTCGAGGTGCTCTTCACGCGCGTCCTGCTGGTCCGCTCGGCGTTGCGCGTGACGACGACGCTGCCGCTGCCCTTTGGCATCGTCAAAGACCTCGCCAAAGGCTACCTCCTGCGCGAGGTTTTCGCGTACGTCCTGCACCGGTACGTGCTGCACGAGTCGCGCAACGGCCTCGCGCAGGCGCACAACCGGTGGTACCACTCTCTCGACACCCCGTTCCCGCTCTCCGGGAGCTACGACCACCCGCTCGCCTACCTGGTGCGGTCCTTCCTGCCGACGTACCTCCCTGCGCTGCTGTGCCGCTTCCACCTCATCACCTACGTCATCTACGTGTCCATGGTGTCGCTCGAGGAGACGTTCGCCTACAGCGGCTACAGCACCGTGCCGACAAACTTCGTCCTGGGCGGCATGGCCAGACGCACCGACACCCACGTCATGTGTGACGGCCAGGGCAACTACGGCCCGTGGGGTCTCGTCGACTGGCTCATGGGCACGAGCGTGGGGCAGGACGTGCTCGACGACGTCGCCCTGGAGGCCGAGAAGCACGACGTGCCCGCCCGGGTCGAGGGCGCGAAGCGCAAGGCCTCGCGCAAGGTCAGTGGGAAAATAGAGGAGGCAAAGAGCATGCGCCCGCGGAGGAGGACCAGGCAACGGAGTAGCAGTTGAAGTGCCCCCGCCAGGACGACTTGGACGAAATCTGGAGCACCTGTGAGAACCGACGATCCGAGTGGAAAAGGGATGTTGTTCTGTGCGATCTCGAAGGCTATCGTCGTGCATTGGCGACGTCAGTCGGAACCGTTGGATTTTTCTTTGGATAGTCACGTATAGCGAGCACCTTTGAGAATCATGATACCCCCTCTTTAGAGTTTGCCCGATCCCACTTGCTTGTCCAACTACACTTGCTTGTCCAACTACACTTGCTTATGATATCAAAAGGTAGTGATTCGGCTGCTAGAATGTTCTCAGAAAACGAATCACTCGATCACCATAGGGACCAAAAAAGCAGATTTCATGTCGCTTATCATTTAGTCTAGGCTCGAAGATTTCTGAAACTTTGACCTGAAGCATCATCTCTGTCTGCAGAATTGAACCCATCAGAAACTTGGGGTTCGAACCTTGGTGCACACAGACGGCTCAGATCGGCATGGGCCATGGAATTCTTCTTCTTCATGGTCACGCATGGAGTGGCTTGTCACATGGTGTTTTTTTTCCTTTTTAAAACTTGAAGCAGGTGCTTGAATATCATCGTGCAAGCAGACAACAAACGCCTTTCTACCACGTCTCCCTCCCGTATCTCTCCAGATCAACGTCGTTTAACGTCCTGCCCTGGACGACGGGGTGTCTGGCTTAGAAAACCATCTCGTGTGGTCGTTGACCGTGTCTCAGGCTGAAGCTGGATCGCAGGTAGCTTGCCAGGAATTCCTCGTTCTTGATTGCGGAGAGGAGGGGCTTGTCGATGGCCTTCTGATCGGAAGCGCGCTCGGACGTAGGTTGTTTCTTCTGCAGAGGAGTGTCAGTATTCCACGGCTGCTACTCGCAAGGAGCGTACAATGCCCACCTCTGGCTTCTCGCCTTGCTTGATGAAGGCATCCTCGCCCTTCTCCTTCTTGCTCTTCTTTTCCCGGGCAAAGTATTCGGGTTTGGTGACCTTCTCCAGTACCGACTTGTCGAGCTTGGAGATGTCGACGGTCGTCGAGGTTCCGATCACGTATCTGGCATTGACTCGGCGGATGGGGACACCGTTAATCTTGAAAGGACCGGTCACGATGACGGCGTCCTTGGAGTGTCCGAGGACCACCGCTCGCTTTCCGCGAAATCTTCCAGCCAAGACGATCACGACCGCGCCCGGCTTGAGAGAAGCACGGAGCTTGGTGGGATGCTGGGTCTTCCTCGCCTGTTTCGAAATCCCCTCACGTTAGCCAAATCGTCCACACTCGCCGAGTTTCGAGGCGGCAGAATGTCGTCTTGACGACCAGAACTTCTGCTGTCAATCGGGAGAAAAACGCACCTTCTTGCGCAGGGGCGTATCGTCGGCCGGATCTGTAGGCGGTTAGCAACTCTGTCGGGGTGGCAGGGTATGGCGGGACTTACACCACCTCGCCGCTTTCTGGACAGCTGGGTTTGCCTGTGTGCTGCTCATGATGGCGATGGGCGATGGGCGATTTGGCGATATTAGGGAGACAAAAAGGTGGTGGTCGCAGGAGATGTTGTTGGTCGTCGGTCCTGCGAAGGTGTTCATGCGAATTGATGGTGCGCACCCAAAATGTCCACAGGCTTGGCAGGTGCGATCGCCCAGCCTGGGGCAGGTTTTCCGAAAAGTGCGGTCCACGTGACCCTGGCGGTGAATTTGGGCTCCGCTCAGCGCAGGCTTCCTGTCCAGTTGCGTAGACGCGAGCAAGCGGTTGTTGAAGTTGTACCTTTGAACCGCCTTACGCAATGACAGTTTGACGACCTCCTCACACCTTTCTCACAGCGAACGACCTCCAAGACCCGTTTAACACCGCGACTACACCTTCTTCCACAGCCAGCATTTTCTTTGCTTCTTGTAACGCGTCTAGCTCTCTGCTTTCCTCATGTCGATACAGCCCATCATCACCTTCAAGGCCGGGCTCTGTGAGCTTCAGGTGAGTGTGGTGACTTCCGATCTGAGAGAGGCACACACTGACCTCTGTCCAGTCTGGCTCGACGCCGGCCAGAGTAAAACCCCTCCCGACACCCGGCTATCTCTACCTCTACGCCGAAGATGAGCTGCTGCACTTGTGCTGGCGGCCACGGACCGCACCCTTGGACAGCCCGGAGCTGGACCTTTTGATGCTTCCCACCGACGGCACCTTCACCCCGTACCACCCCAAGAGCTCAGAGACACCGGACACGTCCAGACAAGTGACGAACGGTAGAATATACGTCCTCAAGTTCTCCTCGAGCTCGCAGAGATACCTGTTCTGGCTTCAGTCCCGCAGCCAACATCCTCAGGGTGATCCTGCCTGGTTCAGTGCTCGAGATCTCAAGTTGGGTCAGATTGTGGACAATCTTTTGCAAGGAGAAGACGTCGACGTTCAACAGCAGATGGCAGAGCTACCAGGAGACCAGCGCGGGCCGGATGACGACGACGACGAGCCGATGGAAGACGTGGAGGGTACGAATCACGACGTCAACCGAAGACCGTCTCAGAGCGGTCCTGGTGCGGGCCCAGGTGCGACGGGTGGCGACTTTCGCGAGGAGGGCGAAGAGTCCAGAGAGGGCGGTGCCGACGGCGGACGAGCGTAGGTAATACACACGAGTGCTGGTGGAAATCATCCCCGACGGATCTGACCTTTTGCGCAGGGCTGCCGAAAGGGAAATGCAGAGCATCATTCAGCAGTTTGCGCGGAGGTCCGGGGCAATTGGTGCCGCGTCTCAACCTGCCAATCCCGTGTTCACAACGCTGCCCGATTTATTGACCCCAGCGTCGACTATACCGTGGATAGACTCCGCAGACAGCGACACTGTTGACCGGTTACTTCAGTATCTTCCCCCAGCATTGGTGACCTTGGCACAGCAGGCGGACGATGCGTCGGCCCTGAACACAGATCACACGTCGGTGGAAGCGGCGGAACAGGCCCTTAGCCTGGGTCAGAAAAAGGACATTTTGCGGCGAGTTTTACGGTCTCCTCAGTTCACTCAAAGCTTGGCCAGCCTCACCATTGCCTTGAAGGACGGTGGTCTGCCTAGTATTAGTGAAGCCTTGAACATCCCTGTTGCTCACGGTGGCTACATGAGACGAGGCGGGGTGCCACTGGGCGGCGCCGAAGCTGTCAAAGCTTTTGTCGAGGGCGTCAAGAGCATGGTGACAAAGAGAGAGGACGAGGATTTGATGGAGACGGAGTAGATGGTTAGCCTAGACAAAATACCCAAGAAGCATGGAAAGCCGGTGCCATCAGGTCGTATTTTCCTCGCCTTTTTCCAGCAGTGCACAAGCAGTCCACACGCGTAGTCCACATAATGACCAAGAGCCGGACGTCTCGCCAGCAATGCAGTCCTGCCGCGGGTGTCCCATTGTCGAGTTCGATGGTGGCAGCACGACGCGCAAGAGCCCACGCCTCGACAGTTCGACATCGTGCAGCGATACGTCGCTGCGAGCGGTGGGTGTCGACCGTCTTGTCCACGCACACCGCCACCAACGCCTTCAACTGGTGGTAGCGTTCGTTAACTAGTGACGGTGGTAAGTCTTGTCTGAGTCGGGCAGGGTGGTCACGCTGCAAGGGAACTACGCTACGACCAGTGAAACTGCGATTCATGAACTACCCTGAAGCACAGCGTGGCTAATGGACCCTGCACCCGGGCGCCGCGCCGCACATCACAGTGTAATAATAAGGCCGTACTCTATAGATCTGGTGGGTGACGATTGCATGACCTATGAAGGATTACCCAGTAGCTGTTGCATACATTTTAGCTCAAGATGTTCTCCCCCGATCGTCGCCTGGACAGGGCCGTGGAGTCGACCTCAGCCCCCCCCTCAAACTCGCCTGATGGGAGGATTCTGCTTCTCGCCCAAGCTCTGGAACAGCCTCGATGCCAGCCTGACACTGGGCTCGTCGACCACCTTGGTGACGATCTGCGCCGTCCAGAGCGTGACGGACAGCAACACCACGTGGGCCATGAGGAAGTTGATCTCCAGACCAAACGGGCCCCAGCTGGGAAAGGGGCACAGGTTGACCCAGTTGGGCACGAGTTCCGCGGATTCGTCACGGACCCGTCCGGTGGCGGCGTAGATGCGGTCGCCGAAACACCACAGGATCGGGCCGTGGACCAAGTACAGGGCGAACGACACGCGACCCAGATACTGACAAAAGCTCGTTTCGAAAAAGGCCCGGAGCCTGGGTATGCGAGGGATGGCGGGGATGATGCAGATGGCGCCCAGGGACTGGAAGTAGAAGCGAGGGTCGAACGACACCCGCGGTTTCAGGAAGGACAGATAGTACCAGCCGGGCGACTCCCTGATGTGCTCGAGCTCCATGGCCACGGTGGGCACGTTGCCGACGTAGAGGCCGACGGCGAGGAGGAGGTAGAAGATGTAGGACTTGTGTGGCTCCAGGGCCGCGAGCGGGGCGGGCAGATCGCCGTCGACGGCCAGAAGGTCCAGGTCGCAGAAAAGCATGCCCGCGATGAAGAGGGCGCAGTACCAGGCATCCACGACGAACAAGAAATACACCACCAGGACCGTCTCGCAGAAGAGCCGGGCGTTCCTCCTGCACTTGGAGAGCGCCAGGAGACAGGTGAAGACGGCGATCGAGCCCCTGAACTCGTGCGGGATCGACCAGAGATGGTCGTTGTACTTGTTGGATTGGTATTCGCGGAAGGCGAAGCTGAACCACTGTAGTTCGTCGTACCACCGCCGGACGTCGGCGAGATAAGTCTCCTCCGGTTGCATGGCCCCGGGGGAGAAGGAGCGCAGGCCAAAGAGGTGCCACGAGGTCATCCAGGCAAAGGTGACGACGGCACACGGGAGGTAGAGTCGAAACCATCGTCGAAAGAGGGCCGAGCTCAGCAGGTCGGCAAGCCGGGTCGTGTCGCCGTGGTGGATGGCGGCGAGGGACTTTGTCGACAGCGCGTAGCCCGAGATGACGAAGAAGACGGCGACGGCCAGGTGGCCGCCGGAAAAGAAGGTGCGGAAGAAGGGGAGGCTCGCGAAGTAGTACCTGTCCTCGTAGCCAAAGGCGTTCTCCAGGATGAACATGCCGCCCATGGCATGGTGACCCCAGACCTGATGATGGAGGATATAGACCAGGAGAGCAGCAAACCCCCTCACGCCGTCAAGGTAGGCCGTTCGATGCAGCGTCTTCTTCGGCTTCCCGTGCCATAGTGTCGACAAGACCTGGCCGCCTCTCCGTACGATCCTTGTGACGAAGTTGCCAGCGCCGCTGAAAGAAGCCTTTTCGTCCAGTGCAGGCAGCGCTTCCTCCAGGAGGTGGTCGTGCTGTGACACAGCGGACAGCTCCGGTGTGTTGACGCTCATAGTTTCAGGGATGCGAGACTGTGCGGTAGCCGACCAAGGTATTTTCGGATGCTAGTTTTCGAGTCTCGACGCTCGACAGTCGTGGGGTTGGAGAGTAACGACCCTCGCGTACCGAGCGTGAAGCACACAGCGTTTTGCAATGTGACTTTTTTTTATTAGTTCTCTTTCAAACCGAACTCGACTTGGCGATGAGAAAACATCAAGGGTCGCTCCGACGCTGCAAACAGCACGGGTGGACGACGGTCCCGTGAATTGAAACCTTCAGCCCACGGGGATCCTCCGTCTTCGGGGTCGGCGTCGGCTTTCGACACCCTTGGACGGCCAACAAAAGGCACGCCTGCACACTCTCTCAGGACCCCCTGGGATTCTGAAAGCGCCCGAGGCTGAGAGTGCGACCACATTATCGATTTGAGGTCTCAGTCGGTCACGGCATCTCTGTATTGTATCGTTATCGTCTCGTCGACCGTATCGCCATCGGTAATGGTAAGGTACTTCTGCATGACGGTACGAAGCAGTACAGTACAGGAGGTGGAAGACACAGGAGACCCATCCGGGCCGAAAAAGGACTAGTGTGTTAACTACTTGATGTGAGTCTCTCCACCAGTACATGCACCACCGGACTATATATGTTAGCTGGGTAATTAGTATATTAACTTGCAGACGAGAACTCCATACGATCCGTTGGGTAATCATCCTCGCTTGATTAGCCTCATGAGCGGAATATCAGACTATCTGTATTGTACAAATGCTTGTACTCCGTAAATGGGCCGAGTCAACAATCCTGGTGTGTGTCTGACCCCCACCCTGCTGGTCCCCTGCAATCTTGCCTGCATTCAACCGGCAGTCTTGGATTGCCCACTGCCAGCTGCTCCTTCGCGTACGCCTCTTCACACACACTAGGTCCATAGGGCAGATTGCACAAGGGGTACCTTGATCGCCTGGTCCCATATTCGATAGCTGAATTGCGTCGCGGTAATCTCGCCCACCAGAGAGATTGCACTTTCGCCCCCTCCCCCCATCCCCCCCCTTCATTCCTAGTACAGACTGCCCCTCTTGAGTTCAGCTCACAAAATCTTTTGTCGACCGGGGTCCAGATCATGATCTGAGAAGCCGGCTTTTCCTTTTTGAGGATGGGAAGTTGGATGTTTTCAACGACCAGGATTCCGAATACGTTTCCCCCCTGGCCGAGATGTTCCAAAGAGGCCAGCTTGGAGCTCGTGGGGGTTTCAGCAACAGACCAGATTTAACGTGGGCAGTTAATTGACAGAATAATGTCAAGCATGTGTGCTTGGACCACGCTCTGCCACATGGGCTCTGACAGGAGGAGCACGATTCAGCTCGATGTGCTCCGTATTGATGTCCCCCTTACGTACTCCGTACTGGTGACGGGAAAGACCCCAGTTGCAACAGGTCGGCGGCCCTAGTTTTTGACCGTTAGACTGTCGTTGACTGGTTGTCAGGTCGTTGAGACAATTGTCTTGTCGCCATTTTCCACGTGGCCGAGCTTGCAAGGATCTGCAGTCCTTGTAACGATTAATGTTATGAGTTAGTCCTCGGAGACATGACTAGTTGAGTGAGTTGTCGATGGAAATTGCATCCGTACTATCGATAAGAATCGGGTACATGGGCACCAGTGAGCCGGGAAAGGACCTTTCCTTTGGGGCGTACAGCCTTAAGGATCTATTTACGGGTGCCGCTGATGACCATTACCTAAGGGTACTGTGGCGGATTGGTTCGTTCAGCAAGGGCACGCTCTCATCCGTGTAATGATCAAGACCGGTCTTCACTCTACGCCTCACCCATGTCCTGGACGTGCTGGAATTGCAATGGTACAGGGTGCAAGATGAGACGGTTTAAAAGGCACAGAGGACCAGTCAGGGAGGCAGCATGGCAAGCGAGAAATCTATGAGACAGAGAAATTTTTTCTTCATTGTTTGACCACCCTTGAGTCCCCCCTCCCCCGGTTGTGCGACTTCAGATCGTCCAAGTTGTAGACATCATGCGCATGTGAAAGTGAACCGTCTAGAATTATTCTATCAACAACAAAAACTCCTCATTCTGCCTTTCCCAATCCGGCAGTGTGTGTGTGTGTGCATCCGTTGGATAGGAACGCCGTGACAAGTGCACCCCAAAAAAGAAGATAAAAAAAATAAAAGGAAACATTCATAGGGAGCAGTTCGTCTCCCGGTAAGAGGACGAGACGTCGTAGAATGTGTCCCGTCTATGTGATAAATCTGCCGCCCAAAACGAGAAATCGTACATCGCCCCGCCGACGCGCCGACGACATGCTTCAAATCTCAGTCTGAGTTGCTGGGGCGATATCGGCACAAGATCCCAGGTCTCGTAGAACATCCTCGGCGACGACGTCGATGGTCGAGGGTCTCGTGTTCTCGACGCCCAAGTTGATAAACAGCTCGTCGTCAAGGTATCCGTGGTATTTCTGGCCGTGGGTCTTCCAGCTGATGCTCGAGACGTAGAAGCTCTCCGAGTGGCGCCACGGGTAGATTTTGTTGTCCCAACCCAGGGCGCCGCTGTAGACGGTGAAGGCGTCGCGGCCGTGGATCCAGAGCGGCTTCTTGGCGATCGAGTGCAGGGCAAAGGGGGCTTGTTGCTGGAAAAGCACGACGTAGGGCTCGTAGATCGGGTGTCCACCGTAGTCGTACTTGAAGTGGACGATGTGCATGACGAAGGTGTTGTCGGGGCCGGGTTTGCAGCCGGGGTCTTCGCGCTTGCACAGCGTGATGGACAGCGAGTTGCTGGCCTGGCGGACGAACTCGTTGTCGCTGCTCGTCACCGGCATGTAGCGGTCCATGCACAAGTTGTCGGCCTCGGCGGTCTTGGGCGCCAGGTCCTCGCCGATGGTGCCGTCCATCTGCAGCACGCCGAACGTCCGGTTGGGCGTGATATCGTGGTGCACGTACATGCGGTTGTCGAGATCCCAGAACAGAAAGAAGTTCTTTTCCTGCTCCCGGTGCTCCTGCGAAGCCGGGCGCGAAAGCTCGGTCGGCTCGCGGAACAGGCTGGCGATGGCCGACTCGATGGTATAGTCCTCGAGGAGCATACGCAGGTCCTGGATCCAGACGCCGAAGCACGTCTTGCTCGAAGGTGATCCCCAGAGGATGTACGGCGCCGAGGGCCCGTGGACGACGCGCGCGTCAACCGCCCGCAGGCCCGCGTTGAAGTCGTGCGGCGTCTTGCACCGCGGACCCCGGCGCCGCTTAAGGGGGACGGGGACGGGGGACTCGGCGCATGTCAGCACGTCGCCCAGGAATCCGGCGTTGCACGCCAGCTCGATGATGGGTTCGCCCTTTTCCGCCATCGCCTGCTGGGCGATCACGATCCAGAGGTCGTGCTTGGTCGGGTGAGGGATGATGCTCGGGTTGTAGGCGTGGACGCCGCCAAAGTGAACCCGGATTGCGTCGCCGTTGGCAGTCGACACGCTGAAAACCTCGTTATACTGTGAGTAGTCCACCACCGCCCGTCCATCGTCGTCGACGTCGATCAGTACCGGCGGCGGTACCGGGAGGTGCCCGATGTCCTTGCTTCCCGCCAAAAATTCTTGCTGTGCCTCTCGCGTCACCCCCGCGACCTTCTCGCTCTTCGAGAAGCCATTGAGCCGAGACGCCGCGGCCTTCCGCAAGCTGCTGCTACTGCTGCTGCTGCTGCTGTATCTGTTGTTGACGAACAGCCCAAACACCAGGAACGGCACAACGAGCAGGATCAGCTTGATTGGTGCTCGGATCAACATGGTTGCAAGTCGTCGGGCTGAACGGCACCAACGTGCATCACTCGCCAAAACCAAGAAGAGGACAAAAAGTCGTTGTCAAAGAAGTCAAAGACGTCGTCGATGTTCAGAAAAAAATAAGATCGGAGATGATGGACGGATCAGTAGTGTGAAATGAACTTGAGCTCACAGCTCAAACAGTAAAGGCGAAGTCTGACGACCGCGCGCTAAGGAACAGCAGGTGGAAATAACAGGGCGGGCTGAACCCTATCGAAGAAAGCCAAAAGCTGAGAAGGTCGTGGCCAGTTGGCAGTCGGGGGCTAGAAGGTCTTTGGACGTGTTTTCACCCTCTCTGCCTCGTGCTCGTACTGGGCCGTGACTAGTCACGAACTTGCAATAATACTAATAAGAAGCATGCCGGCACAGGGCGAGCAGCAGACCAGAAGCAGCGGCGGATTTTCTTCCAAGGCTGCGTGCATGTCCATGTAGCACATGTGCCGTGCGTTTCTAGTAGACCCCCATCCCCGTCAGGTATTGTACAAAGCATCTATCTCGGCAGGGTGCTAGCAGAGGCCCGCCGCACATCAATCCGGACAATATCGACCGGGGTGGCGGCAAAAGGATAATTTGCTCTCAGGGCTGGATTTTCAGGGGCGCCAGCTAGAGGGATCAAGGTTTTCGCTGGCCCTGTATCTAGCCGGGTATCAGAACGTACAGTATACGGCATTGTTGCACATTAGTAATTTAATACGGCCCACCAAGGCCACGGGCCGGGATTGTACACCCTGGTGGGTCCACACGACCGGGGCCTTGATAAGGTTAGATCACTAGCTGCAAAGCTAAGGGGGTGCCATGCGCACCACCGAGTTCCCAACTTCTCAGTCTCTCACAGACCAGGGACCCCAGCCCAACAGTCTACGATACACGTCAGGTCTAGAGCACCGGGGCTGGCCCAGCTACCGGCTGCACAACGTCAGAGCAGAATCAGAGCCCCCCCGGCCGAGCCTACTCGTTACCGCCGGTGGACAATAGTAATGACGGGTGACACTTGAGGCGTGATGCAGGCACGGGTTCAGCCTGCTGTTGACCCGTACGAGGCGTTCTGAAATTGTATGTACAGCGCCTGCGTGCCGCTGGGGGCGTTGAATTGGGAATTAATGTCTCGGATACACCGACTTGACAATCGTGGGAACTGGCTGGGGCATGCATGGCAAAAGAAAATCTACTGTCCATGTCCTTATTCCAAAGATGGTGCGATGGAGGAGAGGTTACGGTAGTCCAGGCTTTGATCGTGGACGGACCAACATTCGGGTGTATCTCGTCGGGTCTCGGGATAGCGACACTGTCACGATCTGATGACGAAAATGTCAGGATGGCGATCCGGGGAAGGCAACAGCATTGACCACGGTCCATGGCGATGGTTCATCGGCCTTACCTGCCGACTTGCCCATAGCACTGAGGGATAAACGTGGCAGACACACGCGGCTCCCACGTTCCGATCGATGTTCCAGAAGACAGCCCGTCAGCGCAGCACAGACCTGAACGATCGCGCACGAGCACAGTACCGACAGCCTGGATAGACCAGCATGATGTTCCAGACGACAGCCCGTCAGCGCAGCACAGACCTGAACGATCGCGCACGAGCGTAGTACCGACACCCTGGATAGACCAGCACGGTCGCAGCGACGAACCGTGCGCATGTTCTCACCGGCGAGCGAGCCACGTGTGAAGGAAGAAAAAAAAACTCGATCGACATTGAGGGCAAAATTCTATTCCTTTCAATTCCAAATTCCACAAAGCTCTAGGTGACCAAGAGACCAAGCCATCCGTCATTGACACATACTCCGTGCTCGACCCCGACAAACCCGCATTAGTAAAAACAAAAAAAAAGCATGACGACGTGTCCCCTGCACCGAGGTCGTTCAACAGGCCGGGGTCGAAAGAACTTGACGCGGTGCTTCTCGTGTACCTCCCCCACCCGTCTCATAGCAGTGACCTGTATCGTAGACATCGTCACAGTCGCCCCCGTAAGTAGTAAGTCAAGAGCGTGTCTGAGTAGTGAACTTGAAGCCTGACCGGCTCAACATGGCGGTGCGGTGGAGAGGCCGGGACAGAGGCATACTTCTGGTCTCAAGCGTAAAGAACCTCCTCTCCAAAGGACCTGAATGGGAAATCCATCGTCCAGGAACCATCGTTGTAACCAGGAGCTGGATCGCTGCCATAAAGCGTGAGATGCCGAGCATGACCACGGGTTCCGACCAGAGGGGGTGCACATAGGAGCATGTTTCACACGTTATTGTCACCGACGTGGACGCGATTCACGTCGTCATTGCTTCTCGCCCTTCGCCTCCTCTTCTGCTGGGGCGGCGGCCGCTTTGGGGTCTGCCTCTGCTCCTGCACCTGCAGCCTCGAGCTCCTCGGCGGGAGGCATGCCTGCCACAGGCGCCATGCCGCCGATGGGACCTTGCTCGTCGATCTTGGGTGGATGCTTCTTGTCCTCGACCTGCTTCATGTGCACCAACTTCAGCTGCTCTTCCTCCGGAAGGGAGTTGAAAAACGCAGTGTTGGAATCCCACAGCTTGACACATTCTTGGTCCCAGTTACACCTTTCCACTTCACCGTAGAGAGGGTGCTTGAACCTCGGATGGTTGGTGGGCCACGAGGAAGCGTGGAAGTGGTGCTTGATGAGTGCGCTCTTGCCGTCATGGTTGCCCGAGGCCGAGTGGCCAGTACCAGCGGCAAAGGCTTCAGACGTCAGTACCAGGACGCCAGCCACCACCTTCGAGTCCAGCATGTTGTGGAATTCATCCCACAAGACCTCTCGACCCGCCGCGATCGACATCTCGGCCAGGACGGCCGACGTAAAGGCAGAGGGCCCGGTGCCGATCAGGACCTCGTCGAAGTCGAGATGGATCTGCGAGATGGGCTTGTCCTGCTCCTTGGAGACGGTGTTGAGCCATTTCATGATGTTCTCGATAAGTCTCATCATGACAGGCAGGCCGGGTTTGCCCATAAAGGTCCACTGGACAAACGACTGTGACTTCTGGCCGAGTACCGGGTGGCCCTTGAAGTCGGGCATATCAGTTTCGATACCGATCACCATGTCGATGTCCTTCTCTTGATATCGGTTGGGGATGAAGTCTTTAATGGGCTTGAGACATTCCACGTCGATGTCGGCGTAAAGTCCCCCATCGATGTACATGACGAGATACCGGAGGAGATCAGCCTTGATGATTTTAAGTTGCAGGGTTTCGTAGATGTGCACAATGTCAGGCCGATTGATGCCGTTGGGACCGTAGTGGTGTTTTACGTAGCTCATGGCATTGTCGTCGGTGAGAAGCTCGTACCGGTGCTGCGGGTTTTTGGTCGTCCAGGTGCGCACTCGAACTGCGTCTTTGGCATCGAGCCCCGCCGCATCAGTCTTCCACGTTTGCCATATCTTCTGTGGAAACGGTCCCCCGATGGCTCGATATGAGCTGCTCCCGAAGAGATTGTGGAAGGAAAAGAAGAGACCAAGTGCGACAAGGAGCGGCAGACACCGGTAAAACGCCCTTGTGAACACACCCCTGGAGGATCGTTCAGACCCTAAAGCAACCATGGCTCTGTGGTCTGCGACCTTGCAGTCGACAGGAGTTTTGGTAGACTTGAAGTGTCTTGAAGGGAATGAAGATGCAGAAGGGTAGAAGATCAAGCAACCCAACGTCTCATGGTCGATCTGATTTGGGTGTGGACACTATCGGTCAAGGTATCTGAGGCGTCCACTAGAACGAACCACGGGCCTCTCAGAGCAGAAGAATGCCAGCTGGAAAAAGCGTCGCCGGCGCAGCCCAGATTCAACCAAAAAGTTCCAATATCGATATGCAGCCGATAGGGGTCTCAGTGGGGGATAGGGAGATGATGCTCCGTATGGTAATTTTTGTCTGTGCCACGATACCCAGGTAGCCTGGATTCAGTGTGAGACCGGCCCAGGGAACCCCGGCTAGGGGGATGCGCTCGTGTCGAGACCGTGGTGCACTGGCGGCGCCTATTTGCATCATGCTTTCATGGCTTGGGCCAGATGGGACTGACGGGCCCGGGCACCGCTCGGTCAGCCTGGATAATGCCACCCTGTTTGGGGGCCACATCTCGGTGGGTCGATTCGCGAGGCTCTCCGGACCTGCATTAGGGCCACACTTGGGTCCGGACCGTCTTGGATCTGCCCATGTATCTGGAATAGACTGAAACCAACGTCGTACAGGGGTTCACGGTTGGGAAATCTGCACTTGGGCCGTTCCTGGTTAGCCGCTTGCATAGACTGCACAACACTATTTTCAGTTCAATCCAAACCTTGACCTGGACTGCCTCCTCAAACCCCTACCGCACGCAGCGGGACTAGACTTTCCGTTCAGCCATCTTCTCAGGTGCTTGTGCTCGCGGTGGCGGTCGAAGTCGAGATCGTCCGGTTCTCATCTCGAGAGCATTATACTGTGGCCGTCCCTACGCGAGGTCGTTGGCCGAAACCACTTGCTCATCACCATAGTCTCTTCAACCTTCGCTTCCCCCTTCTTTACGACTGCAGAAGTCTTACGGTGACAGCCATGTATCCCACCGCTGACGACGCAGTACTGGAAAAGGGTCGTCTCGAGAGACAGAAGTCAAGGCCCAAGTTGCCGTCCCTGAGATCAGTCTCGAACACATTTCGACCGTCCCTGACATGGATGGGACGTCAAGCCAGTAACGCCGGCAACGCAATTGCCCCTGCCGGCAAACTGCACAAGACAGCGTATCTCGATGGTCTGCGAGGCTTCGCGGCCTTGATGGTCTACTGTCTACATCACCAAGTTTGGGGCCATGCAGGCATCGGCGGCGAATTCATCCTCGAGAACGTCTACGGCTGGGAAGGACAATACTACTTCATATGTCTGCCTGGAATTCGACTTTTCTTCTCGGGAGGGCATTTCGCGGTCGCCATTTTCTTTGTCATCTCGGGCTACGTCCTCTCAGCGAAACCGCTCTCTCTCATTCAGTCCGGCGATACAGTGAAGCTCGCCCAGAACCTCAGTTCAGCGCTGGCCAGACGATGGGTCCGTCTTTTCGTGCCCGTCTTCGTGACCTCCTTCATTTGGATGACCTCATGGCACGTCTTGGGCATCTACTCGAGCGAGCCAATTGCTCCTAAGCCGGAGAAGAACTGGGCGGACGAGCTCTGGATGTGGTATTGTGCCGTCAAGAACTTTAGCTTCTTCTTTCAAGGCGAGCCGTGGCTCGTATACAACGACCACACCTGGTCTATTCCAATGGAGTTCCGAGGCTCGATCGTTGTCTATACTTCGCTGCTGGCCTTTGCGCACAGTAGCAGACGTTACCGCCTCTGGTGCGAAGCGGGTCTGGTCCTCTACTTCATCTATATCGTCGACGGGTGGTTTTGCGGCCTGTTCGCCATGGGAATGCTGCTCTGCGACCTCGACTTGTTGGCCCAGAAGAACCAGCTACCGAGGTTTTTCTACAATCTCCAACCAGCGAAGCAGTACATTTTCTACACGCTCTTCCTTGTGAGTCTGTACCTGGGTGGCGTCCCGTCCATCACAAATGACTTGCAACATCTTCGAGATTCGCCAGGGTGGTATTACCTCTCCTTCTTGAAGCCCCAAGCCTTCTGGGATTTCCGCTGGTTTTACCGTTTTTGGGCGGCGACTTTCCTGGTAGCCTCTCTACCGCACATTTCCTGGCTAAAGGCCATCTTCGAGACCCGAATCTGCCAATACTTGGGAAAGGTGTCCTTTGGCTTTTACCTTGTCCATGGCCCTGTGCTGTGGTCTCTGGGAGACAGAGTCTATGCCATGACCGGCAGAGTCCGCGATGCTCATTCGATCGTCTGCCCTGAATGGGTCAACAGATTCGCTTTCCCCAGCTGGGGCCCCTTTGGTCTTGAGGTGAATTATCTCCTCGCGCACCTGATTCTGTTGCCAGTTACACTCTTCCTCGCGGAGATGGTCACCATCTTCATCGACGAGCCGTGTGTGAAGATGTTGCAATGGGCCTACAAGAAAAGCTTAGAAGGCGCCAAAGACGAGGATTACAAGCCCCCATTGGGCGTGTGGAACAAGTCTTGACGTTTTACGCGTCTCACTCGAACATCAATCAACTGCTTTACTTTCTTTTTTGGTTATCCGATCATCGGCGTCCGGGAGTGCTGGAACTTGTCCGAGGGTGTTGAGAGCATCTGAACCTTTGGAAAGTTGGGGGCCGGGGCCAGAGCCCCCTTTGACGGCCATCTTGACATCATGGCATTCCAGGGTTGAAACTACCACCGTCCAGAAAATTCTCAAAGAAAAGAGCCTGCAGGATTGGCCCTTGCCCTCTACGTGGACCACCGGCACCACCTATAGGCATTCGGCTATCGCGAGCTTCTTCCAGTTCGTTATCTAGTGAGAGCCACGCTGGTGAGGGAGGGCGGTCTGGCGCCTCTCTCTCGTTGCGACACGTCTCTTCGATAGCATGACAGGTCGCTAGAGAAGGGTTGGGGTGAAATTTTGCCATGGGAGTCTCTTTGAGGAGCCCGTTTGTCAACGTGCATATGTAGAATGTCCACTTACAAGGCTTTATTAGCTGGAAGATAACTTCAATAACCACCCACATGGCCTAGTTCGGCGCGACTCCGGCGAAACCGACACAGCAAGAGCTCTGCTTGCTGATAAAACCGGTCAAGCATGTGATAAGCAGATGTCGTCTGGACGTAGTCTACGTCAAGAGCAGCCGGTGTTGCATGCCGTGATGGGCAAGAGGAATGTGCATCATAGATTCGTAGAGCGACCAAAACATCATCGCCTGGGGACTAGAGTCCAAGCGAGTAACCACCGGTCCGGTCGTCTGGCGCCATGTTCCACAGGAGAAATGAATATTGCACAGAGATGGTCGCGATACCAGGGTATCCGCTCTCAGACCAGGTGGTGACTGAGGTAGAATCCGTCCAATAATAAAACTTCACCCGGTCTCGACCGCCCAGGGGTGGTTACCGCTGACCAGGGTTACGGGATGGAGCTTGGTGGATCCTTTCGCTCCGTAATAATTACCATGGTCCGAGTCCCAAAGCCAAAGGCCTCAGCCCAACCTAGAAGTCTCACTCACCCTGGTCGTCACTGATTGCATCGCTGTTGATTGTCATGGCAAAAGTCCCACGAGGCGTTCGCGAGCCTTTCAGCCGCCACACCGTCCATCATTAGTGTCCTGTGCTTATTGAACCTTTCCCGACTGTTCTGCAAGCCTGTCCCATCTGGCATTGACTATCCCGGTGGTCGAGATTAGTTTCCACCCTAGTCGCGCTCCGGATCAAGACATGCATGACGAGCTGAGGGGGACATGCCCATGTTCGATTTTCTGCGACCACGGAGGCGGCTTGTCTGTTGACACAAATTTCCACCATACGATCAGCCCAGCTGGGCTTGGCACATGGAAGGATTCATGTCCTCGTGTTGTGATTTCGTCGAGCTCCATCTCATTTCTGGTAATGCCATATATCCTCCGCCGGCCTGCCGTTTTCACTTACTTTTCTTTCTGTACCTGACGTTCGCTTGTCACGTCCACCACGCTCGCTTGCTTTTCGCTTCTTGTTCTTTCGTTAATCACCTTTCACCATGAAGGGTTTCAGTTCGCTCCTCGTGATCGGCCTCGCTGCCTCTGCCGAGGCTGCCCGCCTACCACTCTGCTCGGTAAGCTCATGTCGATGAATCACACAAGGGCTATTGTACTGACCGCGCAATAGGCTGTGTGCCTGACCAACGGTATCGCCGCCACCGGCTGCAAAGCCATTGACACAGAATGCATCTGTCAATCCCCAGAATTCATGTCCGCCGTGACTGAATGCGTCGAGGAACGATGCTCAGAAGATCATAAGTCCAGTAAGTCGCAATCCCATTGTTGCCGACCTGGCATGTCATGCACAGGCCCACTGACCATTGTGCAGCTACTGTCCAGACCGCTGAGTCCTATTGCTCTGCCGCTGGCATTCACGGCCAGCTTAAGAAGCGTGAAGCTGCTCCAGAGCCTGTTGCTGAGCCCGAAGCCGACCCGGAGGCTGACCCTGAGGCTGACCCAGAGGCCTGGGGTGACCACGGTGGCTTTGGTTTGGGATGGTTCCGGAAAGGTGGTGGTGGTCGACCGCACTGGGGCTGGGGTAAAGGACGACCCGGCCCTGCTGTTGTGAAGTCGCCACCGTGGAAGTGGGTTCCGGACTTCAACAAGCCTGGCTCGGAGGAATGGTGGAAGCAGCAAGTCGCTCAATGGTGGAGGGACAACGGCTACAACTGGTGGCGCTATAACGGATGGCACTTCGCACCGCCCAAGCCCAAGGACTCATCCCCTCCCCCAGCCCCGTGGTGGTCTCATTTCGATGAAAACTGGTGGCAATCCAACGCTGGCAACTGGTGGCATGGACCTTCGGGAAATCAAGGACAATGGCACGGCCCCAAGCCATGGTGGCCAACTGCTCCTGCCTCCACGGCCCCAGAGCCACCTCCACCAACATCGACCTGGACGCCAACCAGCACGCCTACTGCACAACCGTGGACTGACTGGATTCACACCGTCACCGTCACTGCCACCGCCACCCCATCCCCAACACACACACACACAAAACCATCGTGGACTCCATACACGACGTCCAAACCAGTACAAACTGTCATCCCTTGGAAGGATTGGTAGTTCAGTTGCTTCCCGCTGATTCTTCGTTCGGATGGGTGTTTAATGGGTTCATGGGCCACGTTTCTTCTTTAGACATACCCTGCGGCGCGCGTGCCTGGGTCTTTTATAATCACTTTTTTTCCGGTTGATCCTGCTTCTCAGTCGATCGTACGGACATATTTCACGGATCGTAAAATCAGATCTCATTGAACACGATCCATTTCAATGAATATTCGTTCTTTTTGTCATGCTACTCGTCTGGCGGAACTCTCGGGCGCATCGCGCGGTCATGATAAGGACGAGGCGTTCGTGCAGATCCGTAGTGAGCACTGGTTCCGAAAGGTCAGGTTAAGGCATCGAGATCGTGGACACGCGTCTTCTAGAAGTACCATGGGAGATGAGAAGTGCAGCTTGTTTAGTGTTGAGAGCTTTGACACTGTTATCATGTCAGCTGCGATAAGCCAATATTTGACATAAGTGTCATTTCCCAGGACACCCATTGCCACGCGCCGTTGTCTCGATTGGATCTGGAGACTGGAAGCCGTTTAGAGAACAGTATTGCATCGCGTGGTGGTCGGTTGAAATGGTATGACATGAACGTGCGGGACAGTGCGATTGTCGAGGATCAAAGGCAGAGCCCGGATATGCTGCCCGGCCCATCGTGCCGGCTTCACGTTGGCTTCACACACTTCTTGTCGACGTAAGAGTCTGGTGAAGATGTGCCACAATTGGATTTAGAGCTACGCAATGCAAAGCTGGGGTTTGAATGGAATTGATGCATGGGACTCTGATGGCGGGGTTGATTGCAACGCAGGTACAAGATGAAGCTCCGAAGTTTTCCCCCACATCGACGTCGACGCCCTCACGCTCTCTCGCCGCTCCACGCCTCGTCCAGATGCATCACGCTGTCTGCATCGCCTTCGATTTGAGGTTCTTAACGACGAGCGGCTAGTCAGGCAATCAAGACATATTCACAACCGAGTGAAACCTTTGCATATGGGCATTTGTAGTTGTCGTACACTCAGTCGAGAAGGCCTCTTGCACGTGACCATGGCATGTGACCCTGCACCAGGCCACGCCCAGGTATTTATCACTCGCTCAGTCGCTCGATGGTGTATGCATTTACCGTCAAATATGATCTTTCAAGTTTGAGATCTTGGTAGTAGCCTGGGGAGCAGTCAGGTGTAGACACGAGCACGGAGAATTGTCCCAGTGCTCAAATAGTGCCCTTCAGCCGGAATACACCCCGAACGAAGTACAACCGTTTCCCACCATATCGGGCTGGTACTCGATATCTCTCTGAGGTGGTGACCGCGCCATAGCAAAAATATCAAACTATCCTTCTGCTACCGTGGTGCACAATCAATGGCCTGTCCATCAATTCCGACTGCGTCTACCGCACGCTGCCGGAGGAAAAGCTTCCGGACGTGTCATGCGGTGCACTCGATTGTTATCCCCATTACACTGTCCTCCCCCAGCTACTTGTCCTTGCGGTTGTACAGATTGACCCTATCTGAGAGCTCACCCCCCCAGGCCTTCCTGACGCTGGCGTGGACGGGTGTGTTTGAACCTGCAGGAGATTGAAGAGCATTTCCATTTCGAACCCAGCCAACGGTGGGTAGATCTCTGAGACATGCAGACTTGTTGGACACACTCTACGGAGTCTTCGTTTCCTGCAACAGTCTGATTGGGGGGTTGTGCTCCTACAGACGCCGCCAAATCGGTTGAGTGGTCGTCGATCGACTCTGGACTGTGGAGCACTCTTTCGAGAACAGATGATCCCAGTATGGAGGGCAATAACAATAATGATGATCCATGTCCTAGGGAGTTCTGCTGAGCCCTGCTCAACAGTAAGAAAGTTTCCCTAATCTCGTGTCCTCGGATCCTAGTTAATCAGAATCTGCAGCTCCGGCAAGGGCTGCGGCACTCCTTCGACCGGTTCTCCACTCTTTGTAAATTGGGTCTTTTTGGGTCATCTGAACTCCGGCCGCCACCCATACCCGACGCCTCATACAGTAGAGTCCAATAGCTCGCCCAGATCGCTTGTGAATGGCGCGAAAGGTAGATATCCGTAGGTGGGAAATTAGGGCTGCGAGGGTATTTCTACGGCGCCAGCGTCTCGTGAAGGTGTGTAGACTACTGATGCCGCAATGCGGATAGATAACCTCCGGCCAGGGAGCTACAATGAAAACGGTTTGAGGCACAACCAAAAGTATCGCGGGAGAGGCTTCATGAGTGATGTAGTGAATATCGTAGGAAAGGATCTACCTGGACCTTTCCTGAGCACTTCCACATACCTACCGAGTAGGCACTCAGGAGGCTCATCGTCACGCTCGCCCCTATAGCCAAGTGATACGAAGGCTTCCTTTTCGTGGGCAAGCATTGCTGCGATAAGAGGGCACTGTACTGTTCGCGGTAAGCGAGGTGTGTACGGAGAGCGTAAGCGGTGCGCGGAGTATGGAGTTTTATGTACTAGGGAGATAAGGGGCTGAGGGCTGAGCTGAGGCGTCCTGAGGCGTAATCTTTGCCTCCTCTGTGTGAGGTGCCTCGAGAATACAGTAGTAGTATTGATTTGTTTGTCGACTGTTCAGCCTCATCTAGCAATCTACAACGGGGGTTGCATGAACGGACCGGCACCCTCCCGGTCGCTCATACAATTCTGTATTATTTTATTTGTTGTGAATGCTGCCACCGCGCATTTCTCTCTGTGCAAGCTCCCTGGATCATTCCGTTCTACTGGTCAATGGGAGTATGCTCTTATGTAAACAGTCTACCTGCCTAGGAGAAGCGAGCCTCAACCCAGCGGGTAGTGCTAGACCAAATCGGGATGTGGACTCTCTCCCAATGCTGAGGGCGACAATAATGCTTTCTTGGCCCCGCTCTCTTGATTACCACAAGGATACGGGATGCATGGTTCTGTACGGTAGTGGTGGTCATTAGAAAATGATCGCAGGACGCTAAAACTCTAGACCAATTCTAGAGCGCCACCATCGACCGGCCCGGCCTTCTGCAGCCTTTCACGCCACACTTGATTTGGGGACGGAACCGATTTAGAGGCCAAATTTCTGAAAGGGTGATACGGATTGTTCTCCAGGGTTACCTCCTCCGTAGGACATCTAGATCGTGATAACGAATCCTTGTCACACAGGACGGAGTATCTATCTGTACCAATACTCATTTTTGCACCAAGGGGGCCATGAAGAGCACCGCACCCACGTGATCTGCCGTTCCGCCCTCACGCTGACCTCTTCACCACCAAAAGAAAGGTATTCATGTCAACTGCTGGACATTGGTCAAACACCTGGCATCTCGTCGTCGACCCTTCTGCTCGCCGGTCATCACCATCATGTCGGACACTACCCCCTCGCGATTCTATGTGGCCCTTGTTGTGAGCTTTCACATTGGCACCGCCCTGGCGGTTACCATCCTCAACAAGTTGGTGCTGAACATCCTTCCCACGCCGGTCACACTTCTTCTATGTCAATCGGTCATGTGCGTTGTCCTCATCCTCATCGGAAATGCATTCAAACTCTGTACGCTTCCAAAGCTGGACTCTAGCTACCTGAGCGGCGTTGCGCCACTGCTAGCCATGAAGATTGTCGCTCAGCTGTCCAAGACGTATTGTCTTCTGGTATGGTTGTCAAAGGCCCTGTTATAGCATTCCAGTGATTGCTGACCAAACGACTGTTTAGAACGTCAATGCGTCTTTCTATCAAATCGCCCGGGGCCTACTACTCCCCTTCACCATCATGCTGTCGTTTGTGTTTCTACGAAATTCCAAGCCAAATTCTTGGGCGCTCTTTGCCTGTGGAATCACCACGTTTGGTTTTCTCATGGGGGTTTCCGGGGAAGCTGCCGGACAGACGTCCACCGTGGGAATTGCATGGGGAATCTGGTCATCGATTACAACCGCCCTTGAAACCGTCCTGGTCAAGTACCTCGCCTTGAAGACCGGTGTCATCGATCTGGTTTACGTGACCTCCTTGGCGACCACACCAGTCTATGCGTTGCTTGGACTTATGAACGGCGAGCTGCGACAGATTTCTGCCTTGGGATTACTTCATCCGGTCGCGATACGCTTCGAGAAACACGTGTTTGTGGCTGGCTTGTTCAACTTTGCCCTGAGTGCGGCTGCATATTTGCAGATCCGGGTGACATCGCCAACAACGTAAGTCTCCTTTTTTTTTGCGTGGCCGAGTCAGCCATGCAGTGATTCTATGGAGATCCTCACTGAACAAACACAGTCATATGATCTCCACGGCTGCCAGAGGCGTCCTCCAGTCGGTACTGGCGGTCGTCTTCCTCGGAGCCGAGCGGCTCACGGCATCTCGAATCAAGAGCATTGCAGTCATCTTGACAGGAACAATGTTATATGTGAGTTCATTGTCTTTGCAGGGCAAAAGCTGGGTCGATCATCGCAGCTGACATTCGATTCAGACATTGGTCAAAGAAATGGAGAAGAGAGGAGCTAAATTGAAGGGAGGGCTCCCTGTCCACAACAAGCGCGACGAGACACAGTCAAGTCGCACGAGCCAGGACAGCCACCGCAGACCCTTGATCGAAAGCAATGCGTTTAGCGAAAAGTGAATAATCACATCGGAACGGCGTTCATTTATCTGAAGCACTCTCGAGTCTGCAGGAGAGGCTATTCCCCAGTGGTTTGTTTACATGATCATGTCTTAAGGTACGAGAAGTGGCAGTGTTGGAACTTTGGATCAATGCCAACCCGCCTTTTGCAAAGCGAAGCAAGACAACACCACCTCGGACCAACATTGTCTCGATTCTGCAGCCTAGCAGCCTTCAGGCTCAAGGGTAAGGTCTTCGAAAGATGGATGGCATGTCTTGAACTCAAGTAGACCTCAAGTGGGAAGGTCACTCTAGCTACTGTTTTCAGCCTCGTGCTTTCAACAATGTCTAAACGCACTGGCGAGTGTTGTCTTGAAAGGGGAAGGCGCTATCGGATTCGTGTGCACTTAGATTTGCTTGCGATATTTTAAGGCTTCTAGTTAATGATTGTCCCTTGTTGAGAAGAGCAGATGGTACTATCGATGAAGCTGAGTATGTAAAGATGGTACAATTAATGACAGCCCCCACTGCAGGGTTTACCTGAACTCGAGGTACCTATGTATGTACTTCTATAGTATGGCCTTTTCGGGCTCTTCCGCGACGGGCTTTGGGCTTTGGCTTTGGCTTACCGCTTGGAGGTCTGGTTGTAGCCTGTAACCTATAGCCTACAAGTTCCAGGCTATCAAGACCCATGGACAATGGCCATGCATGGCCAGCCTGTTCCGGCCGTTGGATATTATTACTTACCTAGTAGGGTATTCGGATACAGAGTAGGACAATACGATCGAAATGACAGATGTGGTCCCGGTGATCTTGTTGCCCGCTTTTAGAATCACATTAGATGACTCGGTTCGATAGTGCGGTGTCGCACCAAATGCGATCATGATTAGTCCCTACCCTTGTAAAGGCTCAGTGAACAGATTGTTAATGATCACAGCCATTATTGTTGTACGCCACCAAATACAATAATTTAGTCTTGTACACCATACGGAGAATGAAGGTTCAGGGTGTTGCTACAGCTGATATTGTAAGCCACCACCGCCGCCAAAGGGGGCCCATTGATTCACGGGCCGGCCGAGCACCAAAAGGTGCATGGCAGCATGGCGTCTGAAACCGGCTGAGGCTGCGTGGCAGATAAGATTATTGTTGAGGGCCAAAGAGCCATTGCGGTTAAGCCAACGAAAATTCAAGCTCAGCTGCGGAATCTTGAATTTCGGTCGTGGCTTGCAAGACGGTTCCAGAGGTGTAGATTGATACTCCGTATTCGTTCTCGAAAGTGTAGTGAAATGGGAAATGCACAGTGGGACAAAGAAAAAACCAACTGCAAAAGGGCGAAGAGGAAAAAACCGATACCGATACCAATCGGTACGGATTCGTAGAGTTACAGGTCTATTAATTTACAATATGCTATCCTTTTTGGATGAGTGATGCCGCATAAGGGGGTGGCACAATACCTAATGCACGTCCGGAAGTTCCTATTGTTAAGGACCAAGGTCAGGTACATACAAGTATTATTTACCAAATTATCTACTCCGTACCATATTGGGTCCTTCTCTCGGCCCTACGAAGAATCCCTACGGAGTATCCCTGCTAGTCTACTGTTCTCATCTCTAGTCAGGGGGGTGTCTCCGGGCCATGCATCCAGAGGCGTGGGTGGGTGGGGCTGGCCACCCAACGGACCGCAGGATCCCTACCCACCCTGGATCTGGCCCCGGAACCTCTCATTATTACAGTTTCCAATACTGCTAGACGGGCGTCTAACTCGGGGCATGAGCCACTTAGCCCCTACCAAGTAATCCCCTAGTACACAGGCATTGTTCTGCCATTCTAACCGGGCGACTTTTTGTAGCAATAATGTCCCCTGCAGTCTCAGCGGTATTGAAACTCTCCTCAGTCTAACCCACAACTGACGGCCGACGGGCGACAAGCGAAAGCTGGCCAGAACCCTCTTTCTTTAGCTACAGCCTGCAGTAGGGTCTTGGATTCTCAGATTCTCAGATCTTCAAACCCGCAGACTTCTCAAGATCTCAGTTGTTCCTCAGTTGTGAACTTGAGGGCAGCTGTTTAGTGTAGTGCAGCGCAGTGCAGCGCACTGACCACGAAAGCGAGAGACACACGCTCTTTTTTTTCTCTCACACTCTCTCCCTCTCTCTCACTCACAAACGAACAACCATGTTACATTTCAGGAGGAGTCGAAAACCGACAATCATCATTTGCTTGTTGGTCTTTGTGGGCTTCATCATTGTCCTCTCTCATTCAAATGGAGCTCAACTAGATGCCACGGCTTCCCTGGTGGGCTGGGAGGGCCCTCAATTCTCGCTTCCGTCCTGGATCTCGACGGACGCTCTGAATTTCTACAAAAACAATCCTCTGGGGAGTCGCACTGGGTTCAGTGCGTCGTCGGACCCCCAGGAAGCGCCGCTGAAGCCTGAAAACGACACCCCGTCACCATCAGAGGAGACGCCAGTCGAGATTCCAGAGGACACTCCAGCGACCACCTCAGATGAGACTGAAATTGTTCCACTGGACGCCCCAGAGCTCACACCAGAGGTGACTGAAGATGTTCCAGAGGAGATTCCCGCCACCGCTCCAGAGGTCACTGACGATATTCCAAAGGAGACTCCAGCGACCACTCCGGAGGTGACTGAAGATGTTCCAGAGGAGATTCCAGCGGCCTCAGATGAGACCGAAAAGGTTCCAGAGGAGACTGAGATGGTCCCCGAGGTGACCCCGGAGGAGAATCCTGCGGCAATCCCAGAGACTGTACCAGAGGACACTCCAGCGCCCCTAGACCAGACCTCAGACGAGACCTCAGAGTCCGCTGAGACCACAGACAAGACTCCGAAACCCTTGGAAGAAGTTCCCGCTGCAATCCCAGGAGCAACCCCAGAGGATGAGGCTACACCAGCCGCGGCTGTTGTAGCTTCAACCACCGATGCCGAGCCGACAGCGGCGACGGAGGCAGCGGCGTTAGAAAGCCTCGACTCCGCGTTCACCAAGGGGAAGATGTCGTTCCAAAACGACCTCGACATCACCCTTCCCAAGACGGATCTGACCCAGTTTGCAAAGTACCGGCCTCATAACTACGAGCCACTGGGACCGGACGAGGACAACAGCTTCAACTACGCATATGCGACGTTCCTCAGCACGCGGAACCCATCGCTCCGGGACCCGTACTTCCTGGCGGTGCAGTCCCTGATCTACCGGGTGCTCTGGTCGGAGCGATCCAAGAGCGACCAGTACCCTTTCATCGCATTCGTGGCCGAGTACATTCCCGAGCCGCAGCGCGACATCCTCCGTGGGCTCGGTGCTGAGGTGCGCGAGCTGGCGCCGGTGGTGTGGCACCCCAACGTCGAAGGGGTGCACGCGCGGTGGGCCGACCTCTTCGCGAAACTGCACATGTGGAACGAGACCGAGTTCGAAAAGATTCTGTTCATCGACGCCGACGCATTCCCCGTGACCAACGTCGACGAGATGTTCGAGCTGGCGCCGTGGCAGGAGTGCAACCGCACGCTCCTCGAGCTCGACGACGTGTTCCCGGACATCACGGACTCGTGCGAGCCGTACGCGCTGGCCGGCGTGCCCATGGACGTCAGCCCGGCCGACGGTGTCTCGTACAACTGGAACGTCGGCTCCATGGTCATCTCGCCGTCCCCCGTCATGCACCGCCGCCTGCTCCAGAACTACGTCAAGGCCGATCACTTCGACAACCACATGGCCGAGCAGGCCTTTTTGAACTGGCAGTTCCGCGTCAACGGGCCTTTCCCCCCGACCCTCCTCAACAGGACCTACGACGGATTCCTGCCCCAACCCCACGAGGAGGGCCAGTTCAAAATCATCCACGAGAAGCTGTGGGCCTTCGACAAGGACGGTTGGCTGGGCCGCGAGTGGTCCGAACCATGGCAGTGGATGGTCGACTGGATCGACGGAGGCTTGTTCGCAGAAGCAAGGGAGAACGACGGTTTACGGAAAACGAAACCCGTCACTGGCACTTTGCCAACTGCCGCAACTGCGGGCGTTGAGAAGTAAATCTCAACCGGGAAATGATATTTTATTATTTAATCTTGATGTTTTGATATACAAGAATTTATCATGTCTGTTACCTTGCTATGGAGTCAGGATTGGGGAGTACTCTGTCGAATAGGTTGGCCCTGCACGGGAGGTAGTTCAGTCAAACCCCGGTTACTTTATGACCTTTTACCTCATCTTACACCTTTGCATATCATGGATTTGGAGTTAGTGTTTTTTTTTTGGCTGTCTGAATGTGAAGAAAGGGGATTTTTCGATTTTGGTGACAGGTTTGAAACAACGACAACAGATCGAACTCTGTTCTATGCCCATTTCCCTAGCGTGATTCCGTACCTGGGTTTGCATGTCACGGTATGACGAAGGACACACGGGGCGCACAGCGCGCAATGCTTTTGGGCTCTGATATCACTATCCCCCCATGCCAGTACGATGCCGTTTGCCCGAGGCAGAATCTCGTTCGTCGTGCGTCGTTCGACTAGAAGTAGAAGTTAGCGCAAAGCAGAATAGAATGCCTCCCCGTTGCACTATGCCGCGCAACAAAAATACTGGGACCCCGCATGAATGGGTTTGTGTTTTTGGTGCTCGAGAAGAAGGGCTGTGTTTTTATGCGAGAAGGAAAGGAAAAACAGACATTCAGACCTTCATTTCACATGAATCGATGCTAAATTGCGGCAGATCGTTCTATAAATCTATTCAAACGAGCATGTCGCCAACAGTGTCGTACCCGTGGGACGGAACCTTTCCTCCGCCCTCGCCAATTGACGCCGAGGGTCTTTCTGTGGTGGTCATATTGTAGTGCTACCATTCGACCATAAAAACAAGTCTCGAATTAGTTGGTAGGTACACTGTATGCATGGTCAAAAACCGGTCAATAAAACACATCATCTTGTCAACACCTTTCCACTGTTCTCAATGGCAACCTCATGGTTGCTGTGGTGGTGGTTCGCCCATGTTTTCGACGTGGCCCCTGAAGGATGTCATTTGGTCCATGGGCCAATTGGTCGTCGGACGGATCGGGGAAGAAACTCTTGAAGACGGTCTCGTGGTTGAGCAGAGCGAGTAAATTTTGCCGGATGGAGAACATGACGTTTTCGGATATTTAAGGAGGTGGCAAGGAACGATACTCACACCAAGCGTGCCGTTGTAAATATCGCCTCAGTTGTCTCTCTTTGTGAAGTGATCCAGCCCCAGCCGCGGAGACATGGATTGCTTGAGCTCATCGGGGTGAGGCGAGCGATGCCACAGGGCAAATGGGAAGCTGATCAAAGCCAAAAAGCACCAGGGCGTATACGACATATCTTCTGGCCGCTCGACATTGCTAGAGGACTGCAGCAGAGACTTCATGATGCACCGAGCCGCATAGAATGACAAGAATACTAGGGCTATTCAACCCAGTGTAGGTGGTCTAGTTTGGCGTCGATGAGGAAGAGTGCGAGAACTGCCTGGGTAGTCTGTGGTGAAAGGTCAAATGGGTGTACAGTCGATAGTCGCCAAAGAAGAAGTCGGGTCGTCGAACAAACCTCAGGCATTTCCGTGTACTAGAGAAAGGTGCCCGACGATTTCAACGGGAAATTTACAGCCACATAGGTGATAGGAGAATTGAGAGCAATTCTTTAGGGGGGTTCACCACATGCACGGTCGGGGGTGTAGATTGCATACGGAGGAGGAATTCAGAATCGAGCCTTAAGGTTGTCAAGATATGACGCGACCGGTATTGAAACGCCGTACGGATACTCCTACATGGTATTGAAATGGTATTGAAATGGCGGCGAAAACGCACTAATGCAGGTACTGCAGGTGCTGCAGGTACAAACCAATATTGTGTAATCTAGCGCGTACAGTATTGTACGGAATGTCCGGCTAACGCACCAAACCCAGTTGGGGCTAGTGCTTGGCTAACGTGAACTTCTTCCCAGATGGTGCTGAAATTGACCGCGGATCCTTATTCAGCCAACACTCTCAGACTGAAACAGTGAAGCCTCTTCCGGCCCACAAGAGGCTCAGCTAAATGCTGCACGCTGAGCTCGCTTATCGACCATGGAGAATCCTGCTCTCCTTACGGACGAGTCGTACTTCATAACTTCTTGTCACCCGCCCAGACCTCCTAGTCGCCTTCGTGGCTCCGAAGCCCCCTGCCAGGGTCAGCCGCTGTAGTGGATGGGGGTCTTCGACCACAGGCTGAACTTCAGCGTGCTCATTGGAAAACCGTGAGAGATACTGTAGGTATCCATGAGATCCTGACACTGACTGACACGATAATGTCATGCCATCCAAGATTTGCATGAAAGTCTTTCGAGTGGGCACGACTTGACTAAACACAATGGCTTCCACGGCCTATCAGATTCTCAGTATCGTAAGAGCGGCACCTTGTGTAGACCAACGGCATGGGGACAACGTGGGCAACAATCGATATTGACAACTATCTGATATGGCGAATTCCATAGATGAACACAACACCTAGCTGCTAGGAAGTACTCTCCCCGCAAGCTACTTTGCCGCCACGTTGATCGATTCTCTGGAGGCATAGGAAGGGACAACGCTGGCAGGCAAAAGCCTCGCATGCCTCTACTTCGTTCTCTTGTCCTGTACCTGAGAGTTTTGAGGGTAGAGTTCGTCATGAAACCCTTCCGCAAGGTCCTGGGTCAATAATGTTTAGATATCAGAGGACCTTGTCTAGCCGTCTACACAGTCAAAAGAGCCTTGTTGACCCCATGGCTTGGTGCTTGGAAAGCCCGTAGACAGATTAGCGACTTCTTCCTCTCCAGGGCAGAGCCTCTCCTCCAGATATACGAGGGCGAATCACTCGACTATGCATCAGGCGCAATAACTTTCTCGAAGCAAGGGCCGCTGTATAGCTCAAAGATTCTTTTGCGTGAGGAAGATCCAGAATAGGACTAGTGCGGTAAAGCGCCAGCCTCCATCACGTGACACACATCAACGATTGTGACGCTGACGAAAGTGACCACGACGACGATGGTACCACGACAGTCGAGCAAAGGTGACCAACACGCCGAGAGCATGGGCAAATCATTGATTCCAAAGTTGGTATGTTTTGATCGTGATCCGCTTGACTAAAGCTATCAAGCCGCGGACAAACGGCGGTCGGAAAAGGGTCGTAAAATAATGTGCGGCCACTGGTCTGCGTAGGTTGAAGCAGATCAAGATCATGATTAGGGAGCTGATAAATATCGCCCTCAGGCCCAATGTGCATGGAATTCGGGAGAGGTGGGTGATGAGAGATGAGAAAAAGGTAAGACTGAGAGATGAGGAAGGGGATATATCCGCCAGTCGAGAACAAGACATCCGTCACCACTGGGCTGTGCATGGTCAGCCGCCCACGAGCAACGAGCAGCGAGCAATCTTTGGAAATCCATATCGACTTTTCTGCACTTGCCAGAATCTCCAGACTCCTGCCAACAGATAATAACACGTCAACAATGGCCTGTGCATTTGTCAATCCCAGCCTTGGTAGGGTTAGGGCCGCCGCGAAAACAAAAGCTACAGACGACATCAACATTCGAAGTCATGTGTTCCTCATCCATCACCGCTGGAAGTCGATGCGGGATGCGTCTCGTCGCGCATTCTTGATGGCTTCGGCGAGACTCGAGATCATCTGACCCGCAACAATCTCCGGAGGAAAAACTTTTACGGACAGGTTGAGCCTAGTTTCAGCCTATGAGGGGAGGCGTGAATATGCAACATGGCATCAAGGTCACAGGTAAGCCGCTGTTCCAGCCAACCTGAAACCAGTGCTCTTGCCCATGCCCTAAGTTGCCTCGTCGGCACCCGGAGTGCTCTTGATTTTGATCCTCGCAAAGCTGAGGCTAAGCCGGATCACGGCTTCGATTCAAGGCCTCTCTCAGTTTGACATCCCGCTACGGACCTTGAAGCGGTCACCAAGTAGCACGATACTTGGCCTAGGGTATCCGGTGCGCGAGGAGCTACGGGGGATTGCCACCGCAAATGCCAGCCATCCCTCAAAAGCTCTCGTGGCCTGAGGGATTTTTCACAACGCTGATACCGGTAGTGAGTCGGAGCACCTCGCGTTCTTTCAAAGACTGTATGCCGCCCTAGCAGCTCTCAAAATACAAAGGAGGGCAATGACCTTTCGAGATGCCAACAACCTGGCGCGAGAGGCCCTTTCGCGGCTCGAGACCATGTTTCACAGACTGGAGAACCTACCACACAGGCATTTGCAGTGCTGGTGGATATCTTGTTGATGCGGTATGGGGAAGCTTTTGGAACGTTACCGGCCCTCCGGTCACCTAGTCCCACAGCTACTTGACCCCCTTTTTTCGTGCCCGAAACACCTCCTTTCTACCGGCGGCGGGGTCATGGCATCGTCATCGTCTGAGTCCTCTAACCTCGAGAGAGGTATATAATCGCATCTGATCCGACTTCGAAATCAGTGCTGCTGGAGATGATTGAATCTGAAGGTGAAGTCCATACCCGGGGAATGTCATCGCACCAGGACAATGTGGCTTCTTGGACTCCACGACCAATCGGCACCGGTCACTTAGCAGTCAGTTCGGTACGGCTGAGGAGTTCACGACAAAGAGCAACAACAGCACCAACTCCTGCTACTTGCTGCTGTTGCTGGATCCGATGAATACATATGACTGCGCCTTCATTCGGCAGGCGGGCGACCAAACAGCGAACGCACACCAGTATGACAGACATTAGTGGTAAGACGAATCAAAGGAATGCTTTGATCATGACCTAGCAGTCAAAGATACTATGCACGGTTCATTTCGAGGTTCCTTTTAGCGGGCAGATGAAAACCAATACTGAAGTTTCGAAGGGTGAACGGAGCGCAGAATCACTGCATACAACAGCGACCGCCTCAGGGATGCACCACTGAGTGTGATACCAGACAGAGATTTCACCAGTGACGAAGAATGGACAACAATGAACCAATCTCCTCATGTGGCCCATCCGGAGTCTCAGTTCCTGAGAACAATACAGGGTCTTGCGTAACTTAGCAGAGCTATCCCGGGACGGCGGGCTAGGAGCAGTAAGCTCCACTGAAGTATCAGGCCGGCACAGGGACGACGAGGCCTACAGCAATGGTCTTTCTGTCTAGCGAGAGCTGCCATAGTGTTCACAAGCTACCTCCTGGTACGACAGGTACGGTGACGACGACCAGTCTCAGTCGACCTGAGTTAGAGGCACCTTCGACAATCCTCGACCACGATCTAGAACGGAAGGACTGTTGGGAAAAGTGAAGAGACAGCTAGGAACACTCCCCTTCGAGAAGAGAGATCCGACCACTAAGAAATGAGAGAGAAGGGGGTAAAGAGATTGGAATGCATGTCGCACCGGCGTCTAGTGAACCACTTCTGGCGGAAAACGCTCTCAATCACCACCGCCGCCGCTATCCAACTATCTCGCATTGGCGCCATGGAAAGCAACAGTCGACCGCACCGGTCACACGAACTCTCGAAGATGGGGCCGCCATGGGGCATGGCTTATCTTTTCTTTCGTCCCGGATCGTCGCTCGTCGCTTCGCTTGGAAGCATGTCTCAGTCGAAAAATACATCCTAACAGATACGAGACTACTGATAGTCCTGGACTCGCGCGTGAACCAATTTCAGCCTTTCTACTCCGAAGAAGCACTTGGCAGCTTATGGAGAGCAGCAACGTCTGGTACAGCAATGCAAAGTCGGGCCGTCAACCAAAGAACACCATATTCCCACCACTCTACTACAACCACAGCGAGTGGATGTGTGTGTCATGCGCATTATTATCAGAGGCAAATTCCGGGCGATTTCCCAGAGACACCATCTTCCATGATTTACCGTTATTTCGAACGAAAATCATTCGTGAATGCCATGCCACGGCATATGCACAACCGGACAATAATCCAGCCCGAGGAACAACCCCAAAAACCTGAATGTCCAAATCGACCTCCCGGCCCGTCCTAAAGGGAGGTGCATGCAAGGTTCCGAACCCTCCGGCCGAACCCTTGCCAAAGTTTATATCAGCCGAGCCGGAACGATAACAACAATTTTGGTGTCGAACCTTTTTGGTGCTATCAGCCTCTTGAAGTCCGGGTCCGGACACGCAGAAGCAAAAAAGGCAAAAACCGGAAACAAACCAAAAGTCAAACAGACAAGGACCCAGACCATCGAGAAGGTTAAAAAAAGAGAGAAATAATGGGAAAAGGAGAGGGACAAAAATATCCCGCATACTTGCAGCACGGTGCACCGGATTTTGTCACAAGATCCGAAAGGGATCTTTTTCCTTCACACGAGTGCACGGCCTTGGTCAGCGGAAAAGAAAGAGAGAACAATCGAGGCTGTCCCAGCTACACGGTTCCAACTCACGCACGGAGCAGTATCACATCCCAACACCTCGAACGCACATACCACTCATCTACAGCTCGTCAAGTTCCGATCAAGAATTAAGGGTTGTCAAGAAAATCCAAACCACGTGGGAAGATCACCCCTCTTCGTCAGTGCGTCACCCAACGCACCTACACGGTTACACCTAACTCCGGTCATTCTGTTGGACTGAGCCCGGTCCGTTTAAACCCTTCTCGTCCTCGTGGCCGCCCACAGAAACACACGGACCTTTTTTTTCTGCTCTTCTTTCCAACCAAGAGCCCGTGCATCATTATCCTTCACACCACGGCCTGGCACCCACCACATCGCCCGCCGCCGCCGTTCCAGAACGAAACTATTACATACATCTGATATCATCGGGCCCACCCATCTCAGCCCGCCCCTCCTCGATCTTGGTTCTGGCCCGCTATCCATCCACTTGCCGCTATCGTGACCCCTGTAACTGCACAACCGGCAGAGCGGTTCAGGAACGTAGCAAGAAGCCCTCCTCTCTCAAGCCCCGAAGCCAAACCCTAAGCGGAGACACCAGGCCCCTGCTAATCTGTGTGGTGGGAACAGGTGCGTTCGTCGGCTTTGATGCCCCAAGTTCACAAGGGCACCTGTACCGTGTGCGTAGTGTGCGATCCTCGGATGAAGTTCGCTCCTCCCTCCCAGATCGTTCCCACCCGCCTGGCTCAACCTGGCACCGCAATCGGCAACCGGTTTGCGAAGAGAGCTCCGTGCCCCAACCAACCTTGCTCTGAACGGGAACACGCACTCTCCACGCCTTGTGTATTGCGTTCGACCGCCCAAGGGAGAACTGCTTCGACGACGAAAAGAGAGCAAGGATGCCATCGGTCTTGGAGACTGCTTTGTCATTATTCTGGGGGTGGCACCGCCTCCTATTGTGGGAACCAGACCCCAAGGGTAGTGTGACGATGAGATCAAAGCGACCCGTGCGCTCAAGCGAGGAAAACTGAGATCCAAGGATCAAGCGACCCGTGCGCTCAAGCAAACAGAACAATCGACCCGCTCATTCCGTCGGAGTATTCGTACACTACCGAACCAACCTGGACGCCATCAAACATGCTAAAGAAAAAGAGAGAACGGTAATGATGTGAGTTCACACTGAGACCTGGGAGGACGGCATTGCTCTCGCCCTTGCCCTCGCCACTTCCCATGCACCTCCTCCCTCGTCAGAATCCCCCTTTTCCCTGCCAGACCGTCCTTCCCAACGTATCATCCAAGCCAAGACTAGGTCAAACCACAGTCAAGCACTTATTTTCGAGTGCTTGCTGGTTACCTGTGATGGCTCCTGGAGAAATCCTGCGTATTGTTACATGAAGTGACTTCCCTAGCACTTCCTGTAAGGCACTGACCGACGGGGCATCCTCGTGCCTACCCGGTGTCCGGGCGGCGATGCTGTCGCGTGGACTGGTGTTGCGTTCAGATGCGCATCCCCTGCCCTGGGGATGAAGGCATTGCATTGCCTCCCACAACAAAAGGAACTGCTGGGAGTATCCATAAAGCCAGTCCGCGTAGATTATCGACATGACGATTAATTATCCGTATTCGTATCCCAAACTCGTGAGTGCTGTTCATATAGACCACGTAGGGTCATATTGGAAGTATTCTGCGCCTGGAGGGTAGCTGGCGGAAAAGACGTCGTGGCCTTCGGTCGAAGATATAGCTAGACCCAAGTTCGTTCCATTTGACTGCGGCCGCTGAATGGATGGGCTTCGGAGCGGCCAAATTTCATCCATTGCAGTGACCGACTCGATCAGGGACCGCGAGCCGACGTTGGAGGTGGGAGTAGCCCACGGCGGATCCTGGTGAGCGGGAGTCCACGGAGACGAGCGCGAGTCGGACTTCATGGCGGCATGTAATCTCGCCAGGACGCTCTCTCCGACGATCCTGGCGCTGTGCTTGTTGTCGACGCCGAGGTCGATCATGAGCTCCGCAACCCCGCGGACGACGTTCAGGTCCTGCGGCCTGACGCACTCCATGCCGGGGAAGAGGCACTTTGCACGAATGACCCACTCGCAGGCGAAGGCCACCATGGCGAAGGTGGACTCCGGCGCGAAGCGGATGGACGATTTGACCAGCGGTGTTAGCTCCAGGAAGAGGTGGCAGAGGGTTGATGCCCTCTCTACCGACTGCGTAACAAGGCTCACGACCGACAGAGGAAGGTTTTCTGCCGTGGCCGATGACTGAAACAGCTTGTTGGCGTGCGTGCTTATGCAGAAGCGCGAGAAGCGTTGATAGAGATCAATGCAGCTGCTGCGCGCCGGGTCCGAGGCAAAGTCACTGCTGTGTTGATGTTGCTGGTGAGGTTGAGTCGGCCTGATCCACCGTCGGCGCCACTGGTTCAAGCCATCATCCAGGGTGGTCAGTAGGGCTAGCGCTGAATTTACGTCTGTTTCTATTGGTATGGAGCACCACCATTCCGCCAGGGAGCGGTCGTTGAGAGCGCTTATGTCCCAAAGTAGGGCCAGGCTGACGTCGGCGAGAATGCGGCGTGTGCATTCATCATTTGTGTACTGCTCGAGATGTTGATTTGCCCACCTGATGGTGGCATCTTCACGTATGGTCGGCGGCGTCCGAAGCAGCAACGATTGGAACTGAGCCGTGCTAAACATCCACAGCCAATAACAGTACTTGCGAAACACGAGCAATTGAGGAACATCGCTTCGTCTTTCGTGCTTGAGGAGACGTATCACCTCCTCGCCGGATCTGTGAACCGAACACGCCGTGGCCATCATCTCCAGGGAAGCTCTGAGGGTGTCCTGCCGGAGCTCCAGTTCCCAATCTTCGCCCCCGGCGGCAGGGACGTGAATGTTGTGCGGCGTTGCCCAGGTACATAGAACAGCAAATGCTTGGAGCAGCGTCCAACACTCGGCATCATCACGCCCGGATGGATCAAAGCGGATCCTGAGCATGGAGAGGAGCTCCGGGACAAGCATGGCGCGAATTGGCTGACATCCAGGCACAAATCGCGCGGCGACATAGGCCATACTGTAGGCCAGTTGTCTCTTGTTGTGCTTGATCATGTCGTCAAAGTCACCGACATCAGCCTCGGTCAAGATCGGAATGTGCACCAGCAGATTCATAATGAAACTTGGAACCGTTAGAATGGTTCTTTGGGGAATCGACAACCAAAACTTACAATTTACATAGATGGGATAATTCTTCGTTGCTCGGCAGCTTTGGTGCGAGCGGAGAGCCGGAGACTGTACGGTTTCTCTGGAGGGGTGTTGCTGGCATGCTGACACTGGAGATATTGACATCGCTGGAGGCCAGCTGTGGTTCGACATACTGAGCACCGGCAACGTCTAGAGACGCTAGCGAGCTGTAGCTGTAGTTCTGAGGAATCGTTGGGACCGCGGCGCGTTGGGGCTCGACCCAATGCTGCTTGGTCGATTGGAGAGGTATCAAAGGCAGTTCCATGACGACCCCAGGCTGTGTCGTCGACAGGTTGGGTGCCATCATCCTAGAATAGTTGTGACCGTGGCCCCAATGCATCGCAGGGTCAGGGTCATGGCGTGTATCGAGGGCTGGGGTGAGAGGATATGCCACCGGTCTGGCATTTTCGATGTTCGCTAGACCAGCCATGTTGTCGGCGGAGCTGTACGATCTCACTGTTTGTGCATGGGGAATCGTTGGTGGTACAACACATTTTCGTCCAACTTTGGCACACCTAGCACATGGCGGGTTTTCTGCTCCGACGCATTTCATCTGCAGCGATATGAGCACCGGAGAAGACAAGCAGGATGTAGGGCCTACCTTGAGACGTCGACATGCAACACAGGCTGTTTTAGCCAGCGTGCCGACGCGACTGTTTGTCGGTTTTGGGTTCGCGGTCATGCTGTGAGGACATGCGAGAGAAGGCGGATTGAACGTGACAAGTTGCTCGCGAGCTGAGTGGGAGTTGAGTATATGTTTGGCGTTATTACGTTCATCTGGTTATCAACATTCCAGAAGTCGAGGCCTTGTGGACCTGAAGACAATGGGCAAAAGCGCAAAGTTTCGACAGATGGCGTCAATGGCCGTTACTGCCAGCGGCTCGCGCACGACCAAGACGGGCAAGAAGGTATGGGGTTTGTCGAGGCCGTGGATCGAAGCGGCATGGTGCGCCTTTTTGAGTTAGACATAGCACCATCACACTGGCGGCGGCGGGCGGCTGCAGCGTGCTGCAATGATCGACAAATCCGTGCTCAGTGTGCGACGAGACCGTCAAGGAGCAGATGTGGAAGCGAGCACCGACGTCGTCCAGATCACGTTCTTGGCTTGCTGTGGCGCTTCCGCCCCTGCGCAGCTCAGGGCGTCCACCCCGAAGTTTACCTTTACCTAAGGGCGAAGATGGGAGCGACGTAGAAGCGAAGGAGCCAGGACCGGCCAATGAGCGGTCCAAGATAAGACACAGATCCAGGATACGAGAGAGAGGCGTGCTTTGGGATTCCAGCATAATTTACACCTGCACGCCCATTGAGTGAGACGCTCGTGAAGGCTAATTCGTTACACCCCCTGCGTGACGGACATCCCCTGGTTGGTTTCCAAATCCAAGGTCGGCCGTTTTGCGTGACCCTCTGCGGGAGAGAATGAGAAATTCGCACCGACAAGTCGTGTCTGTGCGGTACCCCGTAGCATCATGGTGCCCACGTCTTCAGCTGGTTGTGGGAAGACAGGGCGTTGATGACTTGGATACGGGCAGGGGTCTGGCTAGGGGGGTATGGATGCGGTAAGCGTGGGCGGAGGAGACGCCGGCTGATCCACCCATCCAATGGGATGGTGACTGGCGAGGTTGGCCGATCTGCAAGTACCTCAATTCCGGGATTGCTCGTGGATCTGCTAAAGCGAATGGAAAATTCTGCCCAAGGGACGAGGGAGAACTTCTCAGGGCCTGTGCTGGGCTCCGGCGTAAGGAACATGCAGAGGATCAGTCGACGACGTAACAAGAATCCCGTGCACAGACAGTCTCGATATTTTGGGGGAGATCGGACGTGCGACGACTGCTAACTCAGGGAGGAAACTACTGCCTGATCGTGGAGGGCGAGACGTCAAGAGACCTGGAAACTACCGGGAGGCTGTAGCTGAGTGCTGACTCTTACCGAACGAGCTGAGGCCAGCCCCAGTGGACTGACGCGGGTGAAGTTTGGCTGGGCGGAGGAAGCAGGATAAGTCATACTGTGTTCTAGGAGCTCCCGAGTCATCACTTCTAGTCTAGCAAAGCACTAGAGAGATAAGCTTCGGCTTTATGGTTAAACCGCAGCCTTGCCATTGGTCATCTTCTGTCTAATTCGCAATGCGGGGCTTAATCGTCGTTCTCGGTGAAAAATGTCTCCCAATGCGGAAGCTCCTTCTCAAAGGGGTTTGGGCAATGTCTCGAATTGGGCCCAATCATGACCCTCACAATCCAATATCACGGGAGTTCTAAGCTGAAGCCGTGATAGTCTCTTCGACGAGCATGCATCCTGCTTTGCCAGCGCCCGATCTTTCACGAGGCGAGAACTCACGACACAGGCTTTTGCTGTCCTCACAAAGCGCATGCGGCGATCTAGACAGGTTCCCATGTGAAATTCGGCCGACCACAATCACCAGCCGTATATTACCATTAACCGACATCGACACCCGCTCGCCTATCCAAAGATAACATGATTCAATCATCGCAGAAGTACCTTGCGCCATCGTAGCTGCAGTCCTTCTGCCCCGACGATTTTGCGGAGGTCTCGGAGCGAGACATCAGGCCATCTTCAGCGCTATATTCGGGGTAGACTTTCTCTCCGATACTCAGGCGAGGCGATATCGATAACGAAAATGAAAATGTTGAGGTCGTAATGGCCGCAAAAGGATATCTTCAAGTATTGACACCTGCATGATGTGCAGCCATGCCGTCCGCTAACGGTGCGACCGTCTGAAGTAACTGCAAGCTGTCAAACCTACAGGTCTTATCTATTGCTTGAGGCTTCCCAACAAGCGACCATAATCAAGACTTTTCTCATCTTCACAGGCACAGGTCTGCCACGGCATAGTCCATCTCACAGCGTATGCATAAAAGCATAAGAAACCATTGCTATCGTAGCTAGGCCACAAGTGGCGACAAAAGAGCGACATGCAACTCACTTCCAAGTTGGAGGGACGGCACTGTGTACCTTTTACCTACTCCGTATATGTCCAGGTATTGTAGCTAGTTCAATTGTCAGACGGGGATTGGCTTTGGGCGCATCGTGTCCCCGTACACTGAGTTTGGGTGTCATTTTACCTTTCAATCACATGCTTCCAGAATCATACTTGTACCCGATCAAATGTGGTCGTTATTTCACGTGTATCCAGTCAGCTGTTCTGTGCCGTCTCACATGCATGAACCGAGTGAACTGTTGGCTTGGGCTAGATTGGTGACTTGTTCTCTTCGGTTCCTGGCTAAAGGTCCCTAGTGATCAACTAGCCCTGAAACGTATACATTCTTACTATTACAAAGGATTCTTCTCCTCAGCAACCCACCCGCTGTGGGTCCGGACTCATGTCTTCTGCCCCTGACATTCGCTGCCCCGCCCAGAGTCGAGAGCCTCGCCGAGATCCCACGTGGCTGAGCTGAAAAGCTCGGCCTTGCGCAAGGCTTGCGCGACGAGGATTTTTACTTGCTACGCACGACTGAGACCTGCATGAAAATAGGGGCGGGAGGATGAAGGCGCGAACAAAATTCTGATTTTTGCTTTTCTTTCTTCTCATTCCTAGTGCGCAGGGTCATTGATTGCCCTTTGATCGAACCACAATTCAAGGGGGCAATGCTTTTTTCTGTCTGCTGCAAATAGGGTCCAGGGTAGTTAAATCCGCCGCAGGCCTGGAAGGCGCCGAATCGGCCGGTCCCTATGGCAATTTTATCAGGCTTTTTCATCAACCTTTATCCGAATTCGACCGTCCTTGGCAGTCAATCCTGCATTGCTTTTCCAGCCAGATCGAGGACTCTGTCGTCCATACGGATATTGGACGGAGTATACAGTACATCCTCATGTCTTGACCTGGTGGCTTGAAGGAGTCGTCCGCTGACGCCGACGCCCCTGCCCCTTAGGGGGGCTTACTTCTAAAGCGCCACGCAATAATTACTTCCTCAACATTAATCTTGCCAGGGGCGAGGCGTTCAGACCCTTGTAGGTCTACCTACGGATGTACTGTGCCGTGAATAGCACGGCGCGTCTGAGTAGGCAGTGAGTGAGTACCGCACCGGGATAGGCCGGGGGAAGCTGGAGGTCTCGACACGTGATAGCACGTGACAACCCCCGACCCAGGTATCGCTACCTTGGCCATGTCCGAGTAACTACCCTTAATGTACGTACAAACGGTGCACTGGTGTCTTTTCTGCAGACTCAGGCACCTCAACACTCCATGCATATACGAAGTTCTCCGTCCAGGCAATCTACCTTGGACCACAGCAGCCCTATTGGAGCCGTCAGAGGCTAACCAGATCAACGTTGCGGCTACTGCACGAGCTACTCTTATCGACCGTCACTAGATCTACGCCCCCAAGACCTCCAGCGTTTGGTCTCAAGTCTGTACTACAGCACTAGTACGGCGATGTCGAATCTGACGACATCATGCTTTCAGCTCCCCCGTCCAGCTTTTGGGTATGTATGGTACTGTACCGTATTTACATGACCAGTCTAGAAACGCAGCCCTGTAGACACGAAGCCCCAATACAGCTAGTGCAACTATGAAGGTCCGGAACCTTGTTTGTTTCGCGGCTCCAAAAACCGTCTAGGGGTGAATGTCCAGAAGGGGCTTAAGATTTGATGAGGCCGATCCAGAGCAGAACGACGAGAGAAAATCACAAGCAATCAAAGTCAGGTTGGTCAGCTCGCCACGACCGAACACCACGCAAGGTCTACTACAGACACGGCGCGGCGAGAATAATGATTGTTTGTTCCCTGGTCGCCACTGTGCTGGGGGTCCCTGGGCCTGGCTACGGCTTAATAAATCTACCTTTGCCGGGTGTGGACGCGATGCCAATCTCTCCCCCCCAGGCCCAATCCGTGCACGCCCCCAATGGGCAATGAGTGATGGGTCGCATTGTACGACGAGTTCCGAATGGCCAAAGCCTACACAGTGAGTTCCCTTTCTGTTTTAACACTTCTCCTCGACTGGAACCGCATTCGATTCCACTCCCCGAAACTCGATCAGTTGTTATTATAATTTATTTCCCTAACACAAAGAGAAGCAGCGCGCCGTGCATGATTGGAGAAGACTGACTGGACAGTTACATGGCTCAGGCTGTCCCCGGCGTCAACCAACACTCCCTTGGAAACAAGGCTGCTAAAATGGTGTCGTTCCTGCTACCTCGCTCATCGTTAGACAAGAGTGGCTCTTACATCGACTCGATTGGTGAGTTTTATACGACTGTCCTAACTCAATATCGTCGGTGCCCTGACTGACCTTTTTGCCTCTCCGTCCAGTAGAACGAGATTCACTCAGCGACAGCGAGAGTAGCGACTCGTCGACGCTGCTGGAGTTCGACATGATCGAGAAGGGTCACGATGCCAGGTCGACCTCCTTGTTTCCGCATAAAGCACCCTCGCAAAGGAAGTCCGGGGTACAGCAGTTGGTCGATGCGATGTGGATGGGTCTCAACATCTTCAGCACTGTGATCATTGTCTTCCTCAACAAAATGTATGTATACACAACTCAATCCTATTCTCACCGATGAATGACAAACAGCAAACCTGAGACTATTGTCATCGTCCTCGTCATCGTCATCATCATCATCATCAAAAGACTGACTGGTCCTTGTAGCGTCTTCTCCGACCCTCAACTTCGACACTGCCAGATCTCGGTGGCGATATGGCACTTCACGGCGACGACGATAGTCTTGTACCTGTCGACGCGCCGGCCCTGCAATGCCTTTGAGGCGGTCCGCATCCCCGTCCTCCAGGTCCTTCCTATATGCATCTTCTTCGCCGGGTTCTTGCTGCTGGGCAACCTGTCGTTGGCGCTCAACGACGTCGACTTCTACCAACTGGCCAAGATCATGACGGCGCCGACCGTGGTGGCGCTGAACTTTGTCCTGTTCCGCAAGTACATCTCGTCGTCGGCCCTCATCGCCGTCCTCGTCACGTGCGCCGGCGTCGGCCTCGTCACCGCCGGGAGCTTCAAGACGAACCTGCTGGGCACGTTCGTCGCCACGGCCGCCTTCACCGTCACCGCACTGTACCAGGTGTGGATCGGCAAGAAGATCGAGGATCTCAAGGTCTCGCCGCCCCAGCTGTTGCTCAACCAGGCTCCCGCGTCCGTCGTGCTGCTGCTGACCATCGTCCCCTTCGTCGACACGCGGCCCGATCTCAGCACCATCCCGTCCAACGTGCTCTACGCGCTCTTCATGTCGGGCATCATTGCGAGTCTGCTCAACCTGTCCCAGTTCTTCATCATCGGACGCACCTCGCCCTTGACCTTCAACGTCGTTTCCCAGGTCAAGACCATCCTCATCCTCGGCCTCAGCTGGCTGTCGACAGGTAAACAGCTGACCTTTGTCGAGATCGTCGGCGTCGCCTTCGCCCTGGGAGGAGCATATGCTTATGCTCAAATTTCGAGGCGGTGAGACCGGGGAGGGGCGAGAAGTGCCCGCAAACCCAGCCTTTGTTGTCTCCCGCCCTTTTTTTTTCCATATCAAACATAGAAGGAATGGAACTTAATGATAAAGTTCTTTGCATCATTGTGTGTACATTACATCTTCAGTCCGCAGTCCTCACTACATCAGGAGGATGGGAAGCGTGTCAGGACCGAGCAAGATATGATGAAGACATGTATCTATACTATACTACCGGAGAGGGGAGGAGCCCCCCAAGAATCGGCCCCCTGACAGGAAAGGGACCAGGCCTTCGTACCGTGCTGCTGCTAGCAACCCGCGCGAACTACCAAAACAAAAACTTGTCAGTAGAGCCCGGACCACGGCTACAATTCACACGAGTGATACACAAACTCAACATGGGCATTCAAAGATACACACGCACTCACACTCACACCCACCCAGGGCGGGATTGCTGTGGATTGCGACTTGTTACGTCTTAAAAGGGGCGTACATGATCTATGATATCTCCCACACTGGACACTTGAAGAAGAGCGATCCCCAAGTAAAGTCCACGTCCAGAGAAAACAATTTCAACATCCCAGACCGGGGTCGCAACTATTTGTCATACCATGTGCACACCCAAAAAAAAACAATGAAAGTGACGCAGAGCAAGCCAGTTACTTACTGTGACTGCCCCCTCTCGCGAAGTCCCCCCGGCGTCGTAAGCAATTTTGGTAGTGTGCCAAACGGTTCTGGCGAAGCTACTCTGTCTGGTAAAATATATACACAGGGGAAGACATCATGGTTAAAAATTCCCCGGACACCTGGCTCTCCTTGAGAGTTGTGGATCGGATACGACGTCGATACAAGTGTCAGCCTTTGGGATTGAAAGGCGACGCCCTCCAAAAAACAGGGTATCGTGAGGGTGGCCCCCCATCAAGCCGGTGGCGATCTTGGTCAGGAGCTGGTAGACGCGATGTGATCCGCGCACGAAGGTTGGGTGTCCACCAGCGCGGTTTCTGGTTCGGCTCAAGAGCGCCCAGTTGCTAACCCGAGTAGCCAGCCTCGCAAGCTGGAGTGGCCGAGAACTGCAAAGTCGTGAAGAAATTGGATGTCGTGTCGGTCCAAGTAGACACCGCCCTTTTTGGAACAGCTTCTCTAAGCGTACAACTTCAGACTTGTGTTCGACCGCATCGATGCGAGACGCCGCTTACCGCAGCGACCTCGGAGCCTGCAACGTAGTTGAATTGGAGGTTTGGAATGACGAGGACGGTCTTGGTCCACCAGTTTACATTTCTCAAAGGGTGATTGGGGACGGACAAACGTGCTTGCGTTGGCATGGGTGTGGATATGCATTTTGTCGGGTTTGAGATGGACATGGGCGCCATACACGACCAGAAACTGTCTCACTCCGAAGCAGACCTGGGTCCTGGTCGCTTCGTAGAATCTGGACGTAATGAACTATGCGTGGGTATATCTCGTGACGAGAGCTATGCGAGAAGGTTGAGGATTCTGGGCATTTTCGGCTGGCTTTGGAAGAGCCGTTGACCGGTCCGCTGTTATTGAAACGGCTGCTATACTTGGTGCTCACCCCCTGTCACTTCGATAACTCGGGAACCAAGGTGAAACTGCCATGCGCGGGCCAGGATGCCTTGACACTGAACCTTTGGCGAATTGGACGGCACCATCAACGGCAAGCATGTTGCATGTCAACGGAATGTCAACAATGATTTATAACCGGCAACCTAGACGAAGTGTAAGAGTGTACAAGGATCGGTTCAGGCCTCGCAAGAACCTCTCAGGTCTTAATCAATAGCAAGTGACTTCGCCCCCTGTGAAAGCGCCCTGCAGGGATTCTATCCTGAGACAAGAATTGACTGCCCGTTCTTTCGTGTCCGGAGTCGTCTAGATACCCTCGACCACCGTACTTTCGCGTACTGACTAGGCCGACAATAGCTGGCATGGGTCTATGGTCCCGGGGTGAGTTGTCGAGAGTGACCCGGCTGGCTGAGGACATACTCTGCCGTCCTCATAGTCCAATTATAGCATCGTTGCGCCATCAGGTAAGTCTTGTGGCCAGCTGGATTCCACCCCGGTTTGTCGTCGTGTATAGCCCTAGAAATGGTCAGTCAATATGCGTGTAGTACCCAATAGGAGATAATTTAATCCCCGGGCAGACATACCCACGAGACATGAATCGGCGAAAGCAAAGCGTAGCGTCGGACAACCTTCCCTAGTGCTGAGCGTCCAAGAGTCTGGAAATCTGAGCCGACTCGTGGAGGCCGAGAAGGCCACTGCAAGGTTGATCCTTGCAGGGAGGGAGCGCTAGGGTAGGGATTGATGCAGGACCGGAACCATATAACCACATAGCCCACTTGTCTTTACAGAGCCGAGAAAATAAAGTATTTTTGTTCGGGAAGTTAGATCGACGGAAATCGGATGTTGTATCACGTTGTGTGTGGCAAGGGGGGAGTAGCGTCGACCAAATGGAGCTGAATAATCTCGAAGCAAGGACGATCCAACAGACAGACCTGAGACCGACCGGGGTACGCAGGAAAATTAACACTTGATTCAGTGGCGGAAATGCATCCTCATACCGGGGTACATGCTGCTTGCATTCGGAAATGTCGAAGACATCCTTGTTTGGAGGGGTAGGAGCAATCTCAATCCCAGAGACTGTGTCGCTTCTTCATGTGGAAGGAGACAAGAGCTGTCGGCCTCGTGTTCGAACATGGTACGTTGAGATCCAACAAATTTCGATGCTGTAGGACGGTCGGCGTCATTCAGTGCAAGAGTTTCAGACAATGGCAATGCCGGTATGGAGTAACTTTGTAACGAGCATAGCTGGATAGTGGGATACTTCGTACGGAGCAGCATTGAGAGCTGGGTGGATTCTAGTCCGGAGAGGATGAAAAGACTTTCTGATCCGGATCGTTCCCTTTCGGAGATGGTGCGTTCAAACATCTGAAAAGGGATAAATACGGAGTTTGAGGACCAGAGAAGGCCCATGGCCATATTAATCTGTCAAACTGAACACAGGCATCGTAAACGAATCAAGTTCGACTGGTACGGTCTTTATTCGTGGTTGATGGTCTGGACATGATCCGTCGTTGCATTTGTAACAAGTCGCGTTCAGAGGTCCTGTGTCCAAGTGATAGCTCCTCCCGGGTGACATGATTCCACACGCCACTCTCGACTGAAGGAATTCAAAAGGCTGGTTCAATATGTATTCGCCCTCGTATCCTTCTGGACCAAGGATTGCAAAGTCCTTCGGGTTGAAATCAGGAGGTGAGAGCTCCTCGCGTCTGTGATATTCATCCAAGTAGAACACGTCTAGTTTGAGGGAGAAGACTGGTTGATTTCGAGGATGGCCCTGACAATGGAGCTCTCGGACGACGATGCATGGTAATCCACTCAGGATGTCTCGATCGATGACTGACTGCAGCCCAACGATGGGCGCGACTGTGTTGATCATAATACAACGATCCCCTTCAGCTTTGATTGAGAACTTGAGAACAAAAGGACCATCAGGCTGCCTCGGATTGACTGAGCAATACTTGTGGGGGAAGGTCGCACTGAACTTGACCTTTGACTGGCTCCTGCTGGTCAAAGACTTTTGGTAATTCGGATCAGCAGCACTGGCATACGCTGTATAGTCCATGTTGCGGGTGTGGCGAATCTCAGCTGTATATCAGCATGCAGGGCGAACAGATTCAGGAAATGTCGGGGGGCCCTATATATCAACGAATTGCTGGATATACAGCAAACACGCTGTTTGCACCAGCAAGCTGTCATTCTGTATGAGGCCAGCACCAGAAGCAAACTGCGTGACAATGCACAAGGCACAAGACAGCTCTGTCATGTCAACATTCTGGATTTCACTCCATGGCCAGCGACTAAACACCGGGCAATTGTGCTGGTCCTGATTGCCCTAATGAGGGCTCTCACCGTGATCATATGCCCCATCACTCCTGGCCGTTTGCGATGATCTGTGGAATGGCCACTGACACGAGGCTGAGGCATCTTGTAACGACGGGTGAGTAAAGAGGTCGAAGAGCAACGGTCAGCTGTTTGTCAGTGCGAGTCACAAGTCAGAGACACTTGCCATTCATCGACATCATTGCCATGGGCAGATGATCCCGACACTTGTTCACAGATGAATCGGCATGCTCGTGGTTTGACCAGAAGAGGTTGACATTAAATTGGTTCCTTCTGACAACAAACAATATGCGCATCATTTCGGGACCGGAACAACATGGGCCGTGCTGGGTTTGCTGACAACCGTCTGTTATGCTCTCCAGATCCCCCCAAGGTCACTCCGCTGTTTACTTAGGCTAATTGGAAGACGGCCCGAAATGGCATATTCGCGGCGGTCAAAGGCCGGTGGAGGGTCGACGGAGGTGGAGGCAAACGTGGGGGACAGTGTCGTGCGTCTCTCTCGATGCGACCGCAGCACGATAGCCGGAGCATCGCAAGAGGACTCCCATCACGGACGGCTGGCAATGGTCAGAGCCGATGGATGAATTGGCTGGCCGACAGTACTGAGGAGGTACAAAAGGAGGCAGGTGAGTAGAAGACGCTCGAGACCGCCAGGGCCACACAATTCACCACAATTCACCGCACATCCATCAGCAAGACTATCTACAGGATCATCGCCGTCCATACAACGAGCTCCTCCTCGATTCCACTTTCTCGCCCTCTCCTCGAACGAGTGCCGTTGACCACCTCTCCATCTCCGTCCCAGACTCGGCCCGCTCTCCTTGTTGAACCAAAGGACCCCAAGGAAAAGGATACCTGCACCTCCCCCCCGGGGCACCCACGCTTCCACAGTGACTTGTGCATTGTGCATTACTACCGATTTTGAAGTACTTTACACGGCTCTCGCACTGCCACCCCAGAAGATCATCCGACCACTTGTGCTGCGACGTCTACCTCCCTCTCACAGAGTGCGAACCTAACCACCACAACCACCTCGTCCTCGTCCTCCCCCCTTCCCCTCCACGCTCCGACAAGATGAGCACCACGATCACGGAGCTCGCACCGAGCAAATCGAACATTGGCGTCTTCACGAACCCAGCGCATGAGCTCTGGGTCGCCGAAACCACACCAAAACTGTCCGAGGTGCAGGCTGGGTCGGACCTCAAAGAGGGCGAAGTGTACGTGGCGGTCAAGTCGACGGGCATATGCGGTTCGGACGTCCACTTCTGGCACGCAGGCTGTATCGGGCCGATGGTGGTCACAGGCGACCACGTGCTGGGCCACGAGTCGGCGGGCATCATCCTGTCGGTGCACCCGTCGGTGACGAGCCTCAAGCCTGGCGACCGCGTGGCTATCGAGCCCAACATCCCGTGCTTCAAGTGCGAGCCCTGCCTTACCGGGCGTTACAACGGATGCGAGAGCGTCGAGTTCCTCAGCACGCCGCCCATCGACGGGCTCCTGCGGAGGTACGTCAAGCACCCGGCCACGTGGTGCCATAAGATCGGGGACATGAGCTACGAGAACGGCAGCCTGCTGGAGCCCCTGTCGGTCGCGTTGGCAGGCATGGACCGCGCAGGCGTGACGCTCGGTGACCCGGTGCTGATCTGCGGTGCCGGGCCCATTGGACTCGTCACGCTGCTGTGCTGCGAAGCCGCCGGAGCGTGTCCCATAGTCATCACCGACATTGACGAGGGCCGGCTGAAGTTCGCAAAGAGCCTGGTGCCGAGGGTGTCGACGTTCCAGATCCCCCTGGGCAAGACGGCTGAGGAGTGCGCCGACGGTATCATCTCCGCCATGGGCGGCATCCGCCCGCGCGTCGCCATGGAGTGTACGGGCGTTGAGTCCAGCGTGGCCAGCGCCATCTGGAGCGTCAAGTTCGGCGGCAAGGTCTTCATCATTGGCGTCGGCAAGAACGAGATGAAGGTTCCCTTTATGAGGCTGAGCACCATGGAGATCGACCTGCAGTACCAGTACAGGTACAGCAACACGTGGCCCAAGGCCATCCGCCTGGTCGAGAACGGCGTCATCAAGCTCGACAAGCTGGTCACGCATCGCTTCAACATGAGCGACGCCATCCAGGCCTTCAAGACGGCGAGTGATCCCAAGAGTGGTGCCATCAAGGTCCAAATCAAGAATGATGACAGTTTATAGTTTATGTTCTATGTCATTTTTTGATTTCCCTTTTTCCTTTTCCTAAATTTGCACCCCATGGCCAGAGAGTATGTATGTCCAAACGTACACCTGTTACATACTAGCATAGGAGGACTCTGAGAATTTCTCCATCATGAAAGGAAACGAGGAGCAAGAGCAAGAGCAAGAGCAAGAGCAAGAGAAAGAGAAAGAGAAAGAGAAAGAACAAAAAGAAAGCCCTGGTTCTGGTCCCAGGGCATGTTCACAGCATTGGTAGAATATACACAAACATCGTATATAAATATATGCCTAACCTAGGTACGTAGGGAAGGGGATATAAAGTTTCATCTCAACATGTCATTTTGTCGCCGCCGGTTGCTTTTTTTATTCTCTCGTCGCACACCATACGGATCAGGTATGTTTTTCCCCCTCGTTTTCGAGAACTTGGTAATGTCTCTGCGTGCGTGTGTGTCCGTCTTGTCGCTCCGTCTTCTCTCAGTGAATAATACCCTTGATCTCACCTCCTTCCAACCACGACTTCAAGGCTTCTTTCTGCTGCTCGTACCACCCGTGCATGGTCTCCTCCTCGACGTATCCCATGTGCGGACTGATCAACAGCCTACTCCGGCCGTCGGTGCCCCAGTAGCCGCTCCTCCTCCAGGGGCTGTCCCGGGGGAGGGGCTCCGTGTCAAAGACGTCCAGGCCGGCGGCTCGGATGAGCCCCCCCTCCAGGGCGTCGACCAGGGCGGCCTCGTCGACCAGCGGGCCCCGGGACGTGTTGACCAACACCGCCGTCTTCTTCATGCGGCCCAGCTCGTCGGCGCCCACGATGCCCCTGGACCGGTCGCTCAGGACGTAGTGCACGCTCAGCACGTCGGCGCGCTCGAAGAGGTCCTGCTTCGACGCGGCCACCTCGAACGCCCCCGCGGGGAGGCCGCGGGAGCGGGCGGCGTCGTCGGCCTTGTCCTGCGTGAGGCTGCTGCTCCACGCGAGCACCTTCATGCCGAACCCCAGCGCCCCCGTCGCGGCGGCCTGGGTGCCCAGCTTGCCCAGGCCGAGCAGGCCGAGCGTCTTGCCCGCCAGCCCGGCGACGAGTGTCGTCTGCCACGCCGTCGGACTCGACTTGACGACCGCGTCGCCGCCGACCACGTCCTTGGCCGCGCCGAGGATCAGCGCCCACGTCATCTCGTTGGTGGCGTCGTAGCCCTTGACCGCCGTCGGCTTTGCGCCCGTCCCGACGACCGTGATGCCGAGCTCCGCGCACGCCGCCATGTCGATCGCCGCGTTCCGGCCGCCCGTCGTCAGGAGGAGCTTGAGGTTGGGGAGCGCCGCCAGGACGCTCCGCGGGAACCGCGTGCGTTCGCGCATCGACGAGACGACGGTGAAGGGTCGCAGGCGCTGAACGAGCGCCTCGTGCTCGGCCGCCACGCCCGCGTTGAGCGTTTCCGGGAACGACTGCACCTCGAGCCGAGATGACAGGTCACGGAAATGCTCTGGCGCGATGCCGGCGTAGTCGTCCAGAATGGCGACCTTCACTTTCGCGGAGCCCGACGACATGGCGGACGATGATAGTAGTAGAGACGGCGATCTTGGTCTGTAGTAGCCGAGGGTCAACGCTGTGCTTCGGAGTCGTCTTGTTGTTGTTGTTGCTGCCAATGCTGCCGTGGTCTTTGGGATCTTGTGCATTCATCCACAGCCCTCAGGCAGAGGCTGGCTTGCAGGTACTATATTATAAATACAGAACCGGCGTGTGTTGTTTTCCTCACAGGGCTTTGGAAAATCCGACAGCCGGTGTTCCCTGCACCCAGATAGATATCGGTCAAAACGCACTACGTGTATGTGATCGTTTTGTCTCTCACGTAATATCCCTCTTCTGCTTGCGAGTCCTAACAGCGCACAATGTCGAAAGTGTTTTGACCGGCCACTCTCCGCAGAGGGTCAGTCAATTGCGTGCGTGCAATTGCCGATGCCGGAAGAGGGTCGTGTGGACAATGCCGCCGAGGGACGAACAAATGCACACAGCGCTAACCTCAATAGGGCACAATCGGGTAGGGACGAGAGAGAGAGAGAGAGAGAGAGTGAGTCTGTGTGACTACGAGCTTCGTAGGAAAGGGTTTGAGATATCAAGGTGTCTTACGGGTGAATGCCTTTACATCGTACATAGGCAATACACGATATAGGTACTACAATCACTGAAGCCTGGCTAACGTTGAGCACGCATATATACGCCTTAGCCACGTTGATATCACACTTTGATGGTGGAAATGAATACTTTATGAATTGATTGATGATGATGATAAAAAATGGGCTTTTGGATCTCGTAATATCGTCGTTTATATACTTGTCCCTAGTTGTTACCTTGGGCACCTAGCCATGCCCTCCTTGTCTTGTGCAAGGCCTCCTCTCGATCCACCCGACGTCCTGAATACAAGGGGTACTTTTATTTCCCAACGAAACTCAGCGCCGCAACAACCATGGCATCCACGCCTGTGCGCAATGTCGGCTGAATGACGGGCGCAAAGAACGGACTGTGGTTGACAGGCACTTGATGTGTCTTCCCGTCTTCGGTCATGGCATCAACATACCTTGGATCATGCCCGCCGAAGAACCAAAAGCAATACGGTCGCTGCACGCTGGTCCCCAGGATGCCGAAATCCTCGCTGCCGAGCACGTTCTTCGCCTTTGGGTCGTGCTTGTCCCCAAAATAACCCGTCAGCGCTGCATTTACGGTCTTGGTAGCAGCCTCATCGTTGATCGTGAGGGGGAAGCGGCTGGTCGGCTCGATCGTCGGTGGCTGCGGACACCGGCCCGCGACGCACTCGGCCTCGAGGATGCGTTTGACGCTCGCGAGGATGCGGTCCCTCCACTCTGCCGTCACGGTGCGTATATTGATTTTGATCACGGCCTCGTCGCTGATCACATTCTCGGTGCTGCCCGCCTGCAACGCACCCACGGTGACGACCGCAATCTCGTCCGGGGGCACCTCCCGGGACACGATGGTCTGAAGCCTCACGACGACGTGGCTGGCAATGACGACGGGGTCGATCGTCATGTGAGGCATGCTTCCGTGCCCGCCGCTGCCGAAGATGGTGATCTTGAAGCTGTCTGCCGCGCTCATGAGGCTGCCTATCTTGGTAGCCGTGGTCCCCGCCCGCTGTGGGAAGACGTGCTGGCCCAGCACCACTTCTGGGATCGGGCAGCCATGTTTGGACTTGTCATACAGCCCGTCGTCTACCATGGCTTGTGCCCCGGAACCGCGCTCCTCGGCGGGCTGAAAGAGGAAGACGATTGTGCCGGACCAGTGCGCACGCGAAGCAAGCAGTGTCTCAGCCGCAGCAAGCATGGACGTAATCTGTCATTGTTGTATCGAGGGATTGATCAGCCGCCGCGATCGATACAATCAAGCACAAAGAGACCAATTCCAGGAGAGCACTTACGTGGAAGTCATGCCCGCAGGCATGCATGACGGGCTTGACCAGGCCATCGGTGTCCATCATAGTCTTCGTGCTCGCATAAGGGAGACCTGTCTTTTCTTGCACAGGAAGGGCATCGATGTCGGCCCGCAGGAGAATCGTCTTGCCGTCGCCGTTCTTGAGAATAGCAATTTGGCCATGACCCCCTATGCCGGTGCGGATGTCGAGATCACCCGCACCAGGGAGCTTTTTGAGATGCGAAGTGATCAGCGCCGCAGTCTCGCTTTCCTGAGTCGAGAGTTCACCATTGGCATGGCAGTATTTGTAGAGGTCCTCGTACGGGCCGAGGTCAGGGCGATATTTCTCTATAACCGAAGCGTAAGGTGACGAGGCCGCGGATACAGCCATGGTCACTTCGCTATGTTGGGTTTTTCGAGTAGTGCAGAACCGTGGAAAGATCAGACATGAGGTCGTGGACCAAAGCCGAGTTTGGTCAGTTGTTGTTTGATGGAGCATCGGTATCGACGATGCCTTTCCCCACGCACGACATAGCAACAGGAGAAGTCCGTTCGGTAGCAAGTGGAGGATGAATTCGATACATATCATTTGTCATTGCCGGACAACGGGACAAATCTATGTACCACATACACACATGTGAACTTCACCCTTCGTCCTGCTTGAAGAGAAGCATTGCTGTAGCTGAACGAGCCCACCCATTATCCGCCGAACACCATCTCTCGTATGAGAGCCTTCGCGTCAACTCATATGCCATCCGTCCAAAACCAGTCGTCAAATTACTATAACAGTGATGGTCTGGGTTTTCCAATCACAAGTCTCCTGCTTCCTCAACAACGGGTCGAATCGTTCTGCTCCTGCCACTCTCACGGCCTCGAACCGTCCTGACCACTCGACTCCTGACACTCGAGGTCTTCTCACGCAAGCTGGAGGACCTGCGTGGCGGTATAGCAGCTCGGGTCGTTTTCGGTTTCAAGATCAACGCTGTCGAAGATGATGTGGACACGATCCGCTGATCAGCCTTCTTGCCAACCGCCTTGCCCTTTGCGCTCTGAACTAGTCTGTTCAGCTTCGACGGGCGCCTTGCTAGCCCGAGAGCAGTCGCACTGGTCTTTCGACTGACAGCCTTTTTCAAGAGCTTGACCTTGCGAACCTTGATTGGGCTGCTCTTGACCGAGTTCTTGCTACTACTCTTGTAAACTTTGGCCTTAGGCTGGCTGATCTTGACTTTCTTTGCCACGCGGTTCGTGGTTTCTTCAATCGCCTCAGCAATCTTTCTCTTGGCTCCTGCCAGTTTGCCAGTCTTCTTCGTATCCTCGTCGGGGGACTTTTGCTTTCTTTCCTCCTTTGGCCGCGGTCCCAAGATGCCGCGACAGTTGTCCGCACCACACCGGCATTGTTGGACGTTCTTCTGAGAATAAGGGTCGAAGTTGTAGTCGTACGTGAGCTCTTCGCCAGTCATGATGCCTCTATCACCAGCAAATAAAGCCATTCGGGGCTTTCCATTGACCGTCCACTTCTCCATTCGACAATTTGGAGCGCAACAATGGTTGACGAAGCGAGCAATCGAGCCTCGAGTTGCGTCAATAATCATATTTTGGTCGAACAACATAAGATAATAGCACTGTGTCGTGTCAGTCAAAACACCAGATTGAGACGGAAGTCCTTACTTCGTTATTTTTATACATCGACTTCATTCTTTTCTCACACTCCTCTTGTGTGATGATCTCGCCGGTGTATTCAACAATGATCTGGTTTGGTTCGAAACTGCGATTGCTTCGCACACCGTACCCCCGATCCTCAGTCTTGATGACTTCCACACCAATGTTGAACTTTCCACCTTTCTTGACTCGTTGACGCAATTCCTCAAAGGACCGATTGCCGCATTCTTCAGGCTTGAGATTGCAATTCCGCTCATCACATTCGTAGAACATGTAGCGGTTCATACAATCCTGGTCACAGCCAGTCTCAGGGATGCACAGGCAACTGGACTGCTCTTCGTACTTTGATACCCTCCACGATTGAGCTGCATCGCCAACAAATACATTCTTATTCACCTTCTTCCACTCGTCAGGCTTCGGCTGACCGGGAGGGAGCGGTGAGAAAATGTCAAATGGCAATTTGAAGTCTCGCCCCTGCTTGAGAAGGCGCTCTCCAGCATACATAGGGAGAGGGAGTACCTTGTTTTCCTGGATGGATGTGGCAGTTTGACCGCTCTGGCGTCTGTTCTTGCTCTCCGTGCGCCAACTATCAAATGGTCTGGGTTGACCGACGTAGAGAGCGGACGAGAGCCATCTCTTCTCCCGTCGACGCGCGGGCACTTTCTTTGGGCTTGGCTCTTCAGACGTGAGAGCATCTCCATGGCTCACACGGCGTTTCTTTGATTCAGGTTCTTGAGCTGGCTCAGACAAGTTACAGCCTTCACTTTTCCTTGAGCCTGGTCTTGAATCCGTCGATCTGTCCTTTCTCTTACCAAGCACACTGTTTGCTATACTGGAGACAAACTCTCCAGCTTTATCAAGGACCGGCATCCGGGAAGACCTTCTGGTAGCATGTTTCTCAGCAGCTTTGCGTCTTGCTTCCCAGAGTTTGTTGTTTTCCTCCATCTTCGCCCTTTTTGCGGCTCGTTTCTCCTTTCTGAGTTGTTCCTCCGCGTCGATTTCCATTATTGAGTCAGCGTCCGCCATTGCTTGGTAATGTTTGCTTTGGAGGAGGTCTCGCTTTCCATCCTTTGAGAACACAGCGCTCATATTCCAAGGAAGATCCAATGCAGCGATGCCTTCTTTGACCAAGGTTGACTGGCTGGCATTGTCCAGGTTGACCAGAGTTTCTCCGCTGACGTTTCTGCTCTTTGCACTGTCAATATCGACATGTTCCAGAAGGCCGTCCTGGCTTTGACTCTTTGCCAGACGTGAACTAACGCGTCGCGCCCGACCCTTTGGCACTTGCTGCATCTTGATGAGCTGGGCATCCAGAACGGACACGTCACACGAGCTCTCGGACGGGGTTGGCAGTTGAACTGCTGGCTGGGTTGAAACCACTATAGTATCGGGATCCGTGTCTGAAGAGCTCGAGCTGAGCGTCCGGGTCATGGTGGGACGTGTTGAGAAAGGCTCGACGGGTTTAGACTTGACACCTTCCGTCCGTGACCTGTAGAAGCTGAGGAGGCTCTGCCGGAGAGGCATGGTGAGCGAGGCGTGGAGGGGTATGCGGGAGCAAACGCGTCGACGGTTGCTAGACACAGCGTGGATTTGCAAAACAAACGGTATGCTCGCTTTTGGAAGGCAACGAAGAATGACAAACACGCGACTTGGAATTGTGAATGTACGGTTATGGTGGCTGGGAGAGGAGAGGGAGACAGTTGCTATTGTATCAACTGGAAACGGAGTAAGGCTCGCCGACGCCAAAATTTAAGGGTGGCCACCAATGGCCGGATGGTGCTGGGAACAGGCCAGGAAGCGCCCAGACACGACAACATTCCCCCTCCGATCCATTTACAAACATCACAGCGTCCTACGAGTGCCCGGGCAACTCGCGACACGCTGACACTTTGCCGGACAGAGGGTTCACGAGCTGACGAATACGTTGCACGCAGTCCAACTTCGTATATAAGAGAATGGTGGAGCTTGGATATGTTTGCGCAGATCTTCTTCCTCCACTGACATGGTACACTGTCTAAAGCACAGAATTATTGTACAGATTCATCTCGCTTCCTTCTTGGAGATTCTCCCAGTCGGTCCTTCAAATGCGCTTTGGGCTCCTTGCACTGGCTTCATCTCCATCCCGCCATTCTGCGCCTCTCCAACCAACTTGGCTTGACGCTGCCCTCGTCTGGAGCCGAAGCGCTGGTCTCCTTCCTCGTACTGCTTCTTGAAATGGACATATGTGGGGGGCTTTGGTCTGGCCAGAACAGTGATCCAGTTCTTGATTAGATTTCCTTGGGTAAACGGTCGATGCCTTTCAGCCTTGGGAAACCTTCGAGACGCCAGATATTCTCGAGTTGTTTCGCCTTTGCCGGTAAGTAGAAGATGGTACACCCACAACGAGAATGGGTACATAAACCCGAGAAGGGAGTAAATGAACACGGCGAACGGGACTCGGTTCTTGTCGATTGATTCCGCCAATGAAATGTGTTTTTGTTTGTGATAAGCAATGACTTGGCCCAACGTCGCACCAGCCATCATGAGACTCGCGATTGTCGCAGTGCTGACGAAAGTGAAAAAGTAACGATAGTTGCGTCGACCGACACAGTTGTTGATCCATACACAGTGGTGGTCTAGAGTATCAACACAGTTATCGCAAACACGACAGTGATAGCACCGAGGGGGTCGCCAGATGTTGCAGGTCTTGCAGTATTTGACTGGAACATCCATGGCTGCGGTCGTGGAAGTTGCCAGTCGAACCATGACCCAGTCATTAGTTGGTGGTCCAAGGGTAAGAGGATCATCGTTCTCCCCTGGTGGAAACGGATGGATATTCCGTGGAAAGATCTGAAGGCATCAGCAACTCGGCATGCATCCCTCAAGCAAGCTACTTACACCAGGATCAACAAGTGACGCATGCAGAAAGGAAGATAAACAAATGAAGAAAAGATAAGCGAATATTATAGGGATAGCCGGCGACACATGGTGCCAGAGCCACGGGGCTCTAAGAAGGTTGTCAGTCAAATTTTCGCTATCTCCCTGCACCACTTACGAGAAAATGAAAAACAGAACCGCTGGGAGGACCACCAAGATGCAAGTGAGCACGTTTATGGGTCGATCTCGGGCATTTTGAAGACGCCCGCCCCACCAGAAGATGGTGTTGCCCTCGAAATACTCATAGTTCTTGCCCAAGGCGCTTCGCCTGGCGATGTTCGTATTGGCATCTGGAGGGTACCGAGGCGAGGTGGTGGTAGAGGGAAGTTGTTGATGACCGGTTTCCAGCCGATGCTTACTTCCGAGGCTCAACCCCGATCTGAAGGAAAGAGGTGATCTCTGAGGTGGATCGCCGGCTTTGTGAGTGCTCGCAATGTTGAGCCGAGAAGGCCTACGTTGATGTTTCTGCGCGGCCGGCCGGCCGACTAAGCCAGTGTCGCCCTCGGTCTGGGACACATCGTCGGGAAATCGCGCATCGACAGTCTCAGGCGCATCTGATTGTGTGTATTCTGTGGCGATGGAAGGTGCCGGGCGGTGGCTTTTGGGCATTGCATGAAACGGGCCTTGTCTACTGGAAGCCAAACTCCGGGTATCTTCGTCCCCTTCTGCATCGGGGATTGGCGCCTGAGGCTGAACAGTTCTCGCACCGAGTGGCTTCTTCAATCTTTGTGCCTGAAGTCTCTGAGAGCTCATGGGCTTGAAGAAGCCTTGTGCGGTCAACGACGGCACGTGAGTGCGACTGGCCTGACTGACAGGGCTTTGTGGTCTGCTAGACCCTGCGGTGCTCGAAGCCGCATGGTTACTCCGTATTGATCGATTTGCGGGCTGGGTAATGCCTCTTAAATGAGTGTAGCCGTGTTGCGAAGGCGGAGGGTTTGGTAGGGAAGGTAAAGGATTGACACTCGACGGTGGTCGCGAACCAAATCCATCGTCGGAAATAGCAGAAGAGATCTCGCTCCTCGCAGTTGAAGGTCTACCAGCCATTTGCGTGGTTTAAGATAGACACGAAGAGAGATCTGTCGCGTCACCAGTGCAACGTCGAGCGCATAGCGTAGTTGGTGGTACAGGGGGGACGCTGGTAAACCTGGGGACCGCGGTTTAGGTTGCAGCACGCACCGCGTAGAGGTCGAATGCGCTGGAGTGGCTTTTCAGAAGGAGAGACTGGTACAACGCTGAGGCTAACACTGCGGACGGAATTTTGCAAAAGGCATAACGAGGGGCTCGACCATGGTGGTAAGGGTGAGGGCCCGAGAGGTTCAGCTTGGGGAGGCTTTGTCAAGAAATGAAATGAACCATTTGGCACAAAGGACGAGTGATCACCTTCACTGACTTCGGCTGCGCCAGCCTGGAAACACCGACGCAATTCTAAACTTTAGGGGTTTCGCAGTCATTTCCAGCTCCAATGACATACATGGAGTCACGTGAGACAGCACCGGGACACTAGACCCGATCGAGAGCTTCAACTGCGCTCGAACTTCGATGATCGTGAACTCACACCACTTTCTGTAGAGCTTGCAACCACTCCCAAGGACAACAACAGACTCTCTTCTCTGCCACTACACTCGATACTCTCGCCATGTCGTTCGTCCCGACTCTCGCCCGCCGGGCTGCTTTTGCTCCAACACTTGCGAGGAGGGCCGCAGCTGGCGAGCAACGTGCACTGAAAAAGGCGCCCAAACGAGATCCCGAGCTTTATGTACGTCGCAACTCCCTGCCTGTCGGTCGAGTAAATGTTGATCAGGTTTAGATTCTGCTCGGTGTAATGTGTGGTGCTTTCGGGCTGGCGGGTTTCTACTTTGGCCGCAAGCCTACCTCTGCAACCTCAGAGGCCGAAGTTTCCGTAGCCAACAGCTCAATGCCGTGGCAAGTCGAACACGACGACCAGGATGAATCCAAGCACTTCAAGTACCAATACCATCCCAAGGGCGACCGGTCGCAAGCCCCGAAGAATGCTCCAAGCGCTTTGAACACAGTCATCGTCCCTAACGTGACACTACCAAAGGTGGGATTGCTACCATTGATCTGGATTTGGATCTAACCGAAACTCTCAGGATGTCCACGACAAGTTCAACAAATGGGGACAGGAGAAGTATTGAGCACGAGCACGGGATATTTGAATATCTTCGCAGTTCAGAAAAGCGAGGACGAAGCAATAGCTGGCTTTCAGAGCAAAGAATTGTACATACTTGGAGTCGAAACAAACAATACAACCATGTGATCTATCATACCGAGGTTTTCTGGCGGATAGTCTCCCGTATCGAAGTACCGTTGAGATCAATAGGGGCTGCATTCTGGGTGACGCTGCTGTGCGGTGTGCGGTTCCCGCTGAGTAACGCTTCTGGGGAAAGACCATCACTAAAGACACAGGACCAGGCTTTTGTAAGTGGTACCTATGCCAATGACGCTGAATGCCACATACATTTCGCCAAGGTGGGAGATCTTATTCACCTCATCTGCGATTCTTGGTGCACCATAGGTAACCATCACTTCCCAAAAACACGTCCACGGGTCGACAAACAAAAAAAAAACAGCAAAAACTTGACTGGGAAGACTATGATAGCCCCTCACAGATCATGGGAATATTCCTCTTGAGGTCAATTATCTCGCTATGCCTAGATCCGGGTTAAGGGCCCCCCTTCCCACCAAGCCGCCGAACCTGGAGAGAGGAATCTGGACCTATACCTGCCGCGCCAGCATAGACCCATAGCAAGTCTTCCAGTCGGATTGTTGATAGGAATTTTCTGGATTAAATGTATCTATTACAGATCAGGCACGGCATAAGTACGGTCAACACCTTGACCGCCTTCTGGCTGTCACTGCGTGCGGGCCATTCCACTCTCGTATTCACTGTCCCGCACCAGAATCCTTACGGGGAGATAGTCCAAGGGAGAGCTCATGTAATGACCGAGATGAGCCCCTTGGGGGCACGTACAGCGGTTGAATATCAACCCGATCTGCAAAAGAGGAGCACGGTAGGCGAAAATGTGCCCTCCCTAGATTGTTGGAAGATAAGGTCGCGGAGACTGAGGAGCCGACAATATCCTGCCTGGATGGCGAGTGCTTTAAGTCTGAGAGGTGGCTCTGGACGCCTGACGCAGCGCTGTAGGCCCCTCGCTCGAGGGAGCGACGTTGCTTTGCACGAGAAGCAAAAATCGCAAGTGATAGATGAGGTTTGAAGTCGAAACTGGAGCGAATGGGACAGACAGAACCTCGTATGATCTCCAAATTCTAGGTGGAGTGATTCATAACAGTACGAGCAAACCACTGGGTGGATATCTTTTCCATTAGCCTCCTATGCCCTAATGCCTATGCGAACTCGGAGCCGTGGAAACAAGTCGGTTCTTGTCTCATGTCGACATTGTCAGAGCTTTGAGAGCGAGCACTATTCTCACTGGCCCCTGAAGGCTCTCCTCTCCCGAAGCGAGAGTCCCGTGTCGGTCGCGCATTTCAAGTATCTCTTCGCATACTCCAAAAAGATGAAGCTCTCGCATTCGACCAGACGGCGAGATCTCGCGATCCTGTCCTCGATCCTTCGCATCTCCAGCCCAGTATGCTCGAACTGTGCTGCAACGAGAAACAATGACCGGTCGCGACGCCTGTCATTGCCTCGATCTTTCTCGGTCCTCAATCGGCCGCCCCCAAACTACCCGGGCCATGTTCCTCTGACGACCGTCGAGCGATTCGGGCTTGCTGTGGGCAGTGCTGTTACATCCCTTATCGATCCATATCGGCACGACATGGTTGCTGCACTGGGCGAAGCCACGGCTCAGCCCTTCTTCATCTCATGGCTGCGGAGGCGAATGCTCTCCGACCCGACAGGACGGCGAATATTGCGGGACAGGCCACGCATCACATCGAAAACTATGCCGTTGGAGTTTCTACGAACGCTGCCGGAGAATAGTGTCGGCAGGACGTACGCCGCGTGGCTAGATCGCGAAGGCGTCACTCCTGATACAAGAGACGCGGTGCGCTACATCGATGACGAGGAGGAAGCGTATGTGATGCAACGCTACCGCGAGTGTCACGATTTCTACCACGCCGTGACGGGTTTACCGGTCTGGGTCGAAGGAGAACTGGGACTGAAAGCGTTCGAGTTCGCGAACACCGGGCTACCAATGACGGGCCTCAGCCTTGCGGCCATCATCCGACTCAAGCCCTCTGAACGTCAGCGGATGTTCCAGATCTTCCTGCCTTGGGCATTCGCCAATGGCTGGCGCAGTAAGGACCTCATCAATGTGTACTGGGAAGAAGAGCTCGAAACTGATGTCGCTGAGCTGCGGAAGAGGCTGGGTATCGAGCAACCGCCGGACTTGAGGCAAATTCGGAGGAAGTTGAGAGACGAGAGGCGTGCCGCGAAAGAGGCGGCAGAAGCCAAAACAGCTCCCCCGTAAGATGTATAGTAAGACATGTACGATAATTTGGCACTGTGATTAGGGGTATCATATGCAAGTTTCCAAACTTTTTGTCTCGTGTCAAGACTCGTTCAACAGGTCATCAAGGTCATCATCATCCCATCCCCCTCTCCTCACTACCTTCACACTCTCCATGGATTGGCCGGATTGCTTTTCATGCTCTGATAGACTGGCCAGCATCTCTTTCAGTTGGTCTTCTGTGACCTTTGCGCGAAGCTGGCCTGATCGCGCCAGCATGATGAGTCTGTTCTCGACGTCCGTAGCGCGTGATTCCTTGACCATGCGAATTCTCCCGAGACGGTCGGCGGCTTCAGGCTCGAGGATCTGGTTGAGAATGGAGGATCGTGCTTCTGATTCTTGTTTTCTGCGCGACTTAGTGGTAGCACGTAGATATCATTGACCAACCCACCTCCTTTGTTCTTCATCTTCTCCGCCGGCTGCATTGCCTGGTCCGCCTCTGCCCCCTTGCTGCTTGAGCTGAGCAAGTCGTGCGGCTCGGATCTGTTCTTGTGAGTCAAAAAAGCCAAGTTTCACTGGTTCTTCTCCCTCAATTTACCTGAGCAAGTTCGTCGTCTGCCATGGCTGTGGTGTAAAAAAAGTGTGGGATGTAGCGAAAGTGCCAAAGTGCCCGCGGGGCAAGAATGGAGGGCGCAGTTTGTGTCCGTGAGGAGCGTGAGTGGCACTGAATGAGTGGCAGATGATGACGCCAATTGCCCGGCCACATGGACAAGGACTAGTCCGTTAAGCGAGAGTGCTTCCACCGTTCTCTTTCTGGAGTCCCCTTCACCAATCCATCTACAAGACTTCACTGCCGTCCGTGTACGACAGCGCTTATGAGTTGCCATTCGACCTGATCATTCCATCCAGAGCGGCTGCCTTCGTCCCACGCAACTCCTCGTGAGGCGGGACAGCCTCGAAGCACCAGCGCTTACAAGGACCACCGCATGGCATGACAGGTGCATGAGACCCGTCCTTGCTGAACAGCTGATCGCAGACCGATCAGTCTTGACCTCAAGAAACACTCGCAGATGAATGCTTGGATTCATCATGGCAGTCTCCTAGGAGCACACGGAGTACCGACACACTCGCGGTCCATCTCTCTTGGTCCTGCACTCAATTCCTTGCCACGCAATAAAGTGTCCAAGGCGAAATCAGCCTCGAGCCTTCGCACAATGGCCACCGTCGAACAATCACCTCCCGATAACCCTCATGGAGCTTCTCCGGAGACCTCGTTCCGGACCATTGCAGACCCAAGGACAGCAAGCACAACAGATCTCTCGAGACCAGATTCTGCGTCCTCAAAACACCCCGATCTCAACAGCGAAGTAGCCGCGCTAAGCGACAAATTGATAAGTGCCATCAACCACCAAACCAAGTTAGACGACACTCTGGCGCAGACAAGACAAGAACTGGAAGCGTCGAGGACGAGGATTCTCGAACTAGAAGCGGAAGCGAGAGCATATGAAGAGAAGCTGAGAGACACTGTGGATGAGCGGAATAGCAAATTGTTTGCCGAGTTAGCAGAGGAGAAGAAACAGAAAGCAATCATTCAACAAGAGAAGCGTGGGATCGAATCTGAATTGGAGACCCTAACGGCATCGCTTTTTGATGAAGCCAACAAAATGGTCGCCTCCGCAAACCGGGACAGGGAAGTCATTGAGAAGAAGAACCAGCAACTTCGAGATCAGATCAAGGACGGGGAGGCGCTGATTGCATCGCAGAGCGAGCAACTTACCGAGCTCAAAACCCTGATGCAACAGATTGGGTCAAGCCCAGACTATCGAAGAGAGCTAGACTCACCGAGAGTATCTTTGGCACCCTCAAGTCCCGCAGCAGCAAAAGATGAGGGCAGCCTCGCCCGCCTGCTCGAGGCAATGAATCTCTCACCCGTCAGCGCAGAGGGAGAAGTACAGCCGAGTCCATCAACAACGCTGACGCACCTAGTCAAGCCACTGTGTCGAATAGATATACCGGCATACGAAGACTTCCGGAGCCTCGTTCAGACGGCTCATTATCGATCTCATAATCCTTCTCATGCCCCCTCCCGGGCAGGTTCTGGCTCTTACGGCGGCCTTAATGTCATGGGTCTTGGTTCGCTAAGTAATACTTCGAATCCAAATCTCACCCAGCTTCCCCAGTCGGCAACTTCAAAATTAGCAAATTCTCCAAACATCCCAGGGTCATTTAGTCCGAATCCAGACGGAAAGGGTCCAACGGCCTTGAAGGATACCAAGTTCTACAAGCGTATATTGGTCGAGGATATAGAGCCTACTCTGCGCCTTGACCTTTCACCCACACTGTCATGGCTAAACCGACGGAGTATACTCTCAGCACTTGGCGAGTCGACTTTGATCGTTGAGCCTATACCAGAATCTTCCGTTCGGCTGTACGGGCGGTACACTCCCTGCGCCATATGCGGAGAAAGTCGAAAGGAAGGCCAGAATCCTCGAACGCATGCGATGCGAGTACATGAAGGTGAGGGAGCGACGAAGTGGTCCATATGCATGCTCTGCCTCGAAAAAGTCCGTGGCGTTGGTGACCTAGTAGCGTATCTGCGCATGGTGCGGGAAGGCGTAGTCAAAGTCGGTGATAAGAAGGACGAGGAAGATGCATGGGAAGAGCTGGTGAGATTGAGAGAGCGGCTTTTCTGGGCTAGAATGGCCGGTGGTGTTGTCCCTGCGTTTCTACCCACGCCGAAACAAACGCCTATCGATGATGGTCAGATAGCAGAGGCTATGGGTGAAGGAAGCGAGAGGAGGAGTGAAGAAAGCGTCAAGAAACCAGATATCATCACTCCACCTCTGCAATTGGCCCCGGATCATGAAGACAGTTCCCAACAGACGGCTTCCGATCAAGAGGGCTTCGATGGGAGTTTGACAACATTCGATAACGTCAAGGACAATAGGATAGAAGTGCACCGAGGGCGCTCGAAATCGCCGCCCTCCACGCCCTCGCCTTCCCGTCCACCTGTCAAAAGGGACACTTCGAGCGGAAGTGGGATCAGCTTTCCCAGGATTAACATTCCCAAGTTGCCGTCGGGATTTTGGGAAGCACAGGTCAATACTTTGCACTAGTAACGACTTGTCGGTCTGACTTTAAGAGCACGAAGCGTTCCGACGGGGAAATTTAGAATACCGCCCTTGGTCAGGCAAGGCAGGCGGCGTGTACATTACCATTTCATAAAGCGCATTTCCTCAGAGGCCACGACGGTAGGGCCTGAGACTAGCAAGCCCCTATACGGACACAAAAGTACAGGAGCTTCATGAGGCAAGCTATCTAGGTACTTGATGAAGCCGGAGAATAAGCCCTAGAGATGACTTGTGTATTATCATTGCAACCACAGTGTATTTAACGGGCATTTCAAGACTTGTATCAGGTTGGCGATGAGTAGTTTGCTTTTATAGCAAATAAGAAACCGAGTAATCAAAGCTGAAGATTGGATTGGTTTCGTCGTGTCGCCGTGTTAGGTACCTTACCTGACCTGAATGTCTGCTCGCTGAGTTGCATTTTACTTCGAGGTATCTTGTGGATGCCGTCTGGTTAAGACGGGAAAGTCTTTTTTCAGTTGTCCAGGGGGGTGGCATGCCCCCTTTCTGAAGAAGACTCCGTTGGTCTCTGACCATTTCCTTTCCGCCCTGTACGTACGTACGTACGGGTTCGTCTCTTGATCAGAACATCTCAAAGGGGGTAGTCTCCACCCTGTATGTACCTCGTACCCAACAACCTCCTAGGTAGGTAAACAGACAATTTGATTTGCACACGGCAAAAAGAAACAAGAGAAAGAGGACTTGAAGGGGGCCTTGTCTTTTTTTCTGGAACGTCAAGGCTTTCGACACAACACCTCGCCGTTCGGAATGGCAATCATACAGTCCTCCGTTTCGCCCCACTTCTTCCACGCCTCGGAAATGGATCCGATCTCGTCGTCGGTGCTGAAGCCTTCGCGCACCGCGGTGCCCATGAACCCGGGCTGCAAGATGCGGCCGTGCCACGAGAGGCTGAACTGCGTGGCCCTCTGGCCGGCGTAGCGCCACGAGTTCCAGCTCGGGGTGATCTCGCCGGGGGCGAACCCGGCCCTGCGCGCCCACACGTGGAGGTGGCGCCCCGCGTCGGGCTCGCCGCCGTTCGCCCGCGCCACGAGCTGGTACAGTTCGGCCCAGCGTCTGATCTCGGGCGGGAAAGGGTAGAGGGCGAAACTGGCGTAGTCGGCCTCGCGGGCGGCGACGATGCCGCCGTCGGACTTGGCGACGCGGCGCATCTCGCGGAGGATGCCCACGGGGTCCTTGACGTGCTGCAGGAGTTGGTGGCAGTAGACGACGTCGAACGTGTCGTCGGCGAAGGGGAGGTCGTTGCCGTCGACCGTCCGGAAGGACACGTTGCCGAGGCCCCTCGACGCCGCGTGCGACGACGCCTGCTCGAGAACGGAGGAGACGGCGTCGCCTCCCACGACGCTCCCTTGGGGCACGAGCGCCGCCAGGTCCGCGGTGATCGTGCCGGGCCCGCAGCCCAGATCGAGGATCTTGTGCGTCGGCCGGATGTGTGGGATGAGGAACGCTGCGGAGTCGTTCGCCGTGCGCCGGGCGTGGTCGTTCACCACGGAGCTGTGGTGGCCATGCGTGTAGGACGCTTGCTCTTTCTTGGATGTCATCGTGATGATTGTATTCCTTTGCGCTGGGCTCACGACTCGCAACTACTCGTAGCCAGGGAGGACAGGATGTCTGAAAGGATGTGCAGCAAACAAGTCGCCGGGCGTCTGGATCGGCAGAGACGATTTACCGAGTCTGTAAGACGGAGAAGGATATCATTTTCCAGCTCCTCGAGGCCGTTGCGTGTATATTTATACCGTACAGGTACGAGTATACGAATACCTAGGCCTCAAATGAATGTATTGTCGAGTCACCAGTCGACACCGATATCGGCGACTCGAGTCTATCCGGACGTGGCTTGCAAGGGTCCCGTACTTTAGTAAAGTGCGGGGGGCTGCATCCAGCGAGTAAGAGAGATGCTTTTACACATTCTTGAAGTCCCTGCGACTGTTGGACGGACGGCGACCGGAGAGGTGCTTTGAATGAAGTGAAACGAACGACCGGACACTACGTACAGTAGACTGAAGTCCAGCTGGAATACGAGTACGAGTCTGAGGGGTGTCCTCTGACCAATGACAGCTCTCCGTTTTCAGCCTTGCCAGGAAAGCCTCGGAGGGGGGCCAGAACTTCATTTTCACATGCTGCGTCCGTATGTCTCTATCCATCAACCGCAACTTATTCTTGTGTCTCTCCCCCTCAGCAGCGATGACCTTGTACCAAGAATGATGTGGGACTGCCCGTTGCCTCATCATGAACGCCTTAGCCCGGTGTCTGGGAGAAGTTTGGACCATTCTTAGGTACTGTGTCCTCGGGCTGTGGCTCGAACCCTGGATCAAACCACAGTCAACACAAGACGCAAACACGGCAGCCACCTATGATGACTGGCGTGCCTGGCAATATACATATGACGCGATACATGGCGCCGACGACTGGGTCAACACCGACCGCGATCCAAGCTACGATTGGCAAATCGTCAGGAGTCTGAGAAGAGATCTTGAGCGATGTCGACGACTCGGCGACGATCGTGGCCTCTGCAGTCAGCTGAGAGCTCAGAGTTCTCGCAACATGGGCCGCATTCTATCGCCCGCTTTGTATCTCCGATCTCAGGTGCAGACAAAGCGACTCATCCACGAATACATATTGGAAGTGAGACTCTGCATTGTTCAGATTGCCAACCAGACGTCAACCGGCAACGTTAGCACCCTGGTGTCAGCACAGGAAAAGCGACAAGCACTTAGCGACATGAGGACTGCTCTTGGCCGCACCAGTCTCGTTTTGCAAGGAGGCGCCATGATCAGCATGTGCCATTTTGGAGTGGTCAAAACGTTGCTCGAGCAAAGGCTTCTTCCTCAGATCATCATCGGCACGAGTACTGGGGCTCTGGTCGCTGCGCTCATCAGTGCCACCCCGAACGAGAACCTTCCTACCGTTCTCGACAGCATGCACATCAATTTGGATTCTTTTGTTCGGGCCGAATCAAGACAGATCAATGGCCATTTCAAGAGTTGGATGAGCTCATCTTTCCTGGCGAGTGCCGTGAGACGCTACCGAAGATACCGCACCACAAAGCACCTGTTTGACATCAATGTACTAAGAGACTGTGCGCGAGACAACCTCGGCGACATCACGTTCGAGGAAGCGTATGCGAAGACCGGACGCATTTTGAATATCACAATCGCCATGTCAGAAGTGGCTGGAACCCCTCAGCTCCTCAACTACATCACGGCGCCCCACGTGCTGCTGTGGTCTGCAGTCACAGCATCTATCGCGACATCGAAGGACATGTATGCTCCCGTGCACCTCTTTTGCAAAAGCGATACCGGTGCCATCAGGACGCACTTTGCTGCCGACTTCTCAGAGAGAGGATGCACCAGACAAGGCACTGCGCATCCAGAAGCACCATTGACACGGATTGGAGAATTGTTCAATGTCAACCACTTTATCGTCTCGCAGACGAGACCTTATGTTGCTCCATTCGTTCAGATCCAAAAGTTCGCCGACCATCATCAACCTTTGGGAAAGCTGGTGCGGGTGTGTATGGACGAGCTTCTGCATTGGCTTGAAGTGCTGAACAGCTTCGGTCTTCTCCCGACTTGGCTACAACGAGTGTTAGTTGACGAGGTGGTGCCGAGCTTCGCGTCCTGGTCAAAGATCTCAATCACTCCTGGCATCAAGCCGGGGGACCTGTTTAGTTTGTTCAACAACCCCAATGCAGAAATGCTTCGAGCGTGGAGTGCTCGGGGGGAGAAATGCACCTGGCCATACATCTGCGAGCTCAAGTGTCGCTGCGACATTGAGCTGGAGTTGGACGCTGCGTATGCAAAGGTGCGGCGACGGCCGACGATCCCAACGGCACCGGCCTGATATGTGGACGAGCAGGACGAGGGCAAGGACGATTGGTGACTACAGGCAGGATTATGCAGGTCTCACTCGCTGTAGATTCGCTGGGCATCGTTCGCCTGCGCCCCCCCGGTGTCAAGCGGCGCGGTGGTGACGAGGCCGGCCGAATGACATCATCGCACATCAACTGGGTAGAATGAGAGACCCAAACCCTGGATTGTGTCCTGTGCCGCCCCCAACTCGGCTTCTTGCTCGTTGTATTGTCTGCTCCTGCACTCCTCATCGATGTGAGAAATGTCCCATACTGCTACAGTCATGTCCAACTCCCAGACAGAGGCGAAAAAGAAGCATCGCAGCCTCGGCCGCCTCCTCGGCAAACGAGACAAGACCCCCGAACGCCCTGAGCCTCTTCCCGATTCTGCGTACGGGAGCTCAGAAGCCAATAGTGCGGATGGCCCCGTGGCGCGAGAAGAAACTCCCGAAGTCATCTCCGCCGAAAAGAACAGTGAGATCGCCAACATCGACCAGGACCGCAACTTGGCTCTCAGACCCTCCACCGGCGAGGTCTTTGACGAAGACACGGGCGAGGTGGTGACAGTCGTGACGACCACCACAACCACAACCACTACAACAACCACAAAAGGCGGGAGGAGGCAACAAGATGTGCAAAAGGAGGTCCAGAGAGAGGTCCAGCGTAGTCCCAACCGGCCTATGCTGCAGGAAATGCCTGCTGGACCATCCGAGCACGAGGGCCTTGTCCCGCCTGCCACCATCTCTACAAGCACAGCCCCGGGAGGGCGGGTGCCAGTATCCAATGGACGATTGTCCGCAGACACACCTCCTGTTCCAGTCAAAAGTGCCATGCGCAGATCTGGAGAGATGCGTCGGGCTATGCCTGGAGCGATGCCTGTCGACGACGCCCCGGTGAGCCCTGTAGACAGTCACTTCGCAGGACGCACAGGGATGACGCCGCCCGAAAGTCCTTCACGGCCCAATTACAGCTACCCCAAGCGATCGTCTCTGAAGACGATGGACCAGCCTATGAAACATAACCAGAGTACGATCAACGACCTGAAAGCAGCCGCCAAAGGCATTCACGTAAGTGTTTGGGTCTATCATCCCGAATTGCGAGTCAATGCTGACCTTTGGGAACAGGGCGTAGGAGAAACTCTTCGGGGCACTTTCAGCTCCACCATCGACAAGCGATTCCCGTCCAAGAATGCTGAGAAGGCGGCCGTAAAGAATGCTCGGAACGATGAGATTGTGCAGAAAGGCCGAGCCGAGATGGAGAGCGTCCCAGGAGGATGGCCAGGCTATGAACACACTCCTGTCGATGCAACCTCCTACCACGAACCCGCCATACCTGTGAATGGCGCGCCGAGGACCACGACGCCGCCCGGAAAGGAGTCGAAAGGACTAGGCAAACTGTTCAAGAGGAAACCAGTGGCAGAACAAGGTATGGAAACAAGGTGAAAACTGGCCGATGTGTGTTGCCCAGCACCTCACGTACTACAACTTAATGCCCACCTCTCTGGCACTATGCCACTCTTCTCTGTCGAAGTGGTTATCTGACGTTGATTCGAATGACAGATGTGTCGACTGTTGATGCTTCTACCGGCAATCGATCTTCTCGTCGTTTTTACTAGCGATTTATGTTACAGCGACTGCAAGGGCACAGTAGATGTGAAATTCTTACGAGTATGACTGAAAGAAAGCGACAATGTGATGTGGATTATGGGGATTTGGATGAGATATAGTTATGAATAATATACGTCTTGTCAATCTGATGGCTGGGCTGAAGGATCCTTGGACTTCCTCTCGCCTGATCCTGCGATAACCTTCTCTGCCCGGTTCATATCCACTTCGATTGCCAGCATTTGTAAGCCGACGCCAAAGCTATCTCATGAGAGTTCGGGATCTTGTGTAGCTTGATGGAACGGGGCTGCAATAGCCCAATGTGGTTCCGCTGGTTGCCTTTTCGTCCTTCTTGTGCCTTTGATCAACACCTCGGCTGGTTCGCGACACCAGCCATGACGATGGACGCTACAATCTGGCCGTGTCTCCCCCACGCCGCCGAGCGTCTGGCGTCAGGTCCAAAGCCAATCACGCCCTTGGGACATCGAGTCAATCGCTTCACTTCTCGCGCTCTCGTTTCGCACTCGCACTAGAAGCTGTTCGGAAGTTACAAGCCGCGTGAATCGACGACTCCCCCACGTGCGAGGCGGTGCTGACGACGGAGCCAAAAGAAACAGGGCGCTTTCTGCCTGATGAGCCGAAGCTGCCTTTCGCATCTTGACCTACGGTGTTGATGCCCATTATACACGATCGTGCTCTTTTGTTCACTTCTGACTCGCCCTTGTTCAAGACAGAGAGCTCTTTCGGAGTCCGCCGAAACGATGCAAGACCACGGACTTACTTTCATTCTACTCTCCTTGACTCATGCCCATGTCTTATATATCGTCAAAGACGACCTACGCATACCGTACGGTCGTCTCAACTACGAAAGACTCCCAGACTTGACTTGAGACTAGTATTCATCAGCGATCAGCACTCACAAAGACATATGGGCGCCGGCAGCCTCGACAGCCTTATCGTCTCTCCCGCCGACTTCCAACTATACAATGGCCACCGACAGGTTCATACCTTTGAGCTGCCACGCCCAACGGACGACCTGTCGACAACTCCCTTGGACTCCAACATCTCGCCTCACGACCTTGTCGACTGGCTCAATCAACCCTGTCCCCGATCCGACCGAGACCATGGTACGATGAAACTGGTTCTTCTCCAGACTCGCAACCAATCGACGGCCAAAAAGGCACCGAGTGTGTCTTCACCACCACCTGCATATTTCCCTTACCCAGCACCTAATGAAACCAAGCAACGTCAAACAGATGTCGACTTCGTCCTCGACCTTCTCCAAGGCATGGATCTTCCTCTAGCCTCGTTCGGTAGCTACCTTCGAGGCCACATCACGTTCGTTTGTATTCCGGCCACCTACACCACAAACAACACTTCTTCATCAACAAATATAACTTCTAGATGCACGAAATATTATTGCAGTGGAACGAGTTGGACGATAACGTGGTCGTTCTGTCCTATATTCAAGCATACGTCGGCCATCATGTGGCATAGAGAAGGGGATGGCGACCAGAGAAAGACCGAAGTACTCGCGGACCTCGTCCGACTGCAACAACACCTTGCGCACCCAATGCTTCTGGGTTTCGTCAAGACCAAGATCTCACTGAGTTTCACGTTCGATATGCTCGACGATATGAACCGCGAGACCCTCGAACTCGAGCAGGCCATCGGCTTTCCTACGTGGAACTGGATGCTTGACCGCGCCGAGCCTGGCCGTGGCGTAGGCGACGCCCTGGACCAGGCTGTCGAGGGATTCAATCTGCTCTCGGGAAAATTAACCAACATCAAATTCCGACTACGGACATTCCAGCAGCAGATAAAGTTCATATCGAGATGCAATGCGGGCTACCGATTGAGTCTGGACGGCCAAGCGACCAATTTTGAAAGTTTGATGCGTGAATGTGACGAGTTGCAGTTATACATGGACGTCATGTGGGACTATACTTTTGTCCAGTAAGTCGACAGTTTGTTTAATTGATCTTACTATTTGCGCGGAAGGACAATATTGATTTGTTCCTTTTTTTTTGTTTTAGTCTCTTTGACGCCGACTCCCTGACCGAACGTCTTCAAAACGCCATGAACTCAGTGTTTCAACTCACGACGCAACGCGACTCGCGCGCCAGCTTGGCAATCGCCGACATCAACAACGAACTGGCGTGGCAGGGGCGCAACAACAATACGGCCATGATGACCATAGCTTTCATATCGCTTTTGTTCCTGCCCGGTACGTTTGTCGCGTCGTTCTTCCAGACGCCCATTTTCAATTTCCCTTCTCCGCCGCCGCCGCAAGATGGGGGCAACGGCAACGTCATCGTGGCGCGTCCGTTCTGGATCTATTGGACCGTCAGTGGTGTCTTGACCCTGGTCCTGGGGGCAGGGTGGATCAAGTATCTCCGTCGTCGGCGTGAGGTGGATATGCAGGAGCGCGAGTTTGAAAGAGTGCAGTTTAGAGAGAGGATCAGACGACGAGGTGTGGCTGCGTTTGTACTCGAGAGACGAACCGGGAGACGTGGCTGGGGAGGGATATGGGGAGGAGGAGGAGGAGGTGGTGGTGGTGGTTATGATGTCGGTGGTGGTATCGGTGGAAGGGGAGGTGGAGGAGGAGTAGGAAGTGGTGTTGGTGGTGGTGATGGTAACGGTGTGCGGCAAGTTGACGCAACCGAGAGTCAAATTGGTACTACCGCTAATACCACCACCACCATGCGTCCGTCAAGAAACCACCATGACCGTGAATACGGAGGAACGACGACGATGCAAGAGTGTGGATTGTTCTCACGGGGAGGGAGGAGGATGAGGAGGAGGAGGAATGATCCCCCTGACGGCAACGACAACGACGCTGGCCGGAGGCGAGGTACTACTCTCCGTACTCGTCCTCGCAGTCGTACCTGTACCGACTGGTTCGGAACCCGAACAAGAGATAACCACGACGAAGTCGATGGGATCAAGATGTACGGGTACAACAACGACGACGACAATAACGCCCCGTCAACGCGGACGTGGTGAAGGCAGGTTAACCCCCCCTGCAGGAACCAGGCCAACTATGTGGTTTAGCTTCATGTTAAAACCCCCAATTAGGCACACTGGCAAAGTATCTACTCCTAAGTACGAAATAAAGATACGATGGTACAGCACCTGGAATATCTATCAAACATGACTGGCACACTGGAGTGGTGTACAAGGATACAAGACAAATACTCGTGTATGGGTGAGGTGTGCGTGCTAGAGAATTTCGTATTCTGGATTATTTTTAAAAGTCACCGGACACGGTATCATCGTCCGACAACGTAAGAACACAAGAACACAGCGCACACACCTTTACTTCACCGAAGGTACTCAATCGACATGAGAAAACCCCTTCTGCACAATACATCACCACACACACACACACGTCACATCCGAAAGGTCCGTCACTTCCTCCCCCTTAACTTCCCTTCCCTTTTCCCTTCCATTCATTCAAAACTCACCGACATGATGCCAGTAAACGTGAGCCGGGGATTCCACGCACGTAGTAGACAAGACCTCCCTCAAAAATGGCGCGGAAGTGAAATTACATTTCCCTAATTGTTCTGCTTCAGGCGCTGGTCCGGCTGTCCGTCCTTGCGGAGTCCATCGCCGCCGAGGTTCGAAGCACCCTGGGGGTTCTCGCTGCCACCACCGGTGCCGCTGCCGCTGTTTCCACCGGAGCCACCAGAAGACTGACCGCCCTTCTTGCCGGCCTCGTGGGGGTCGACTTTGCCGTGGGCGAAGCTGTCCTGTTGGACGCGCTGGTCTGGTTGGCCGTCCTTGCGGAGACCATCGTGTTCTGTAAACCAAAAAGGAAAAAAGAAAAGGGGTTAGCCAGGGTATGTTATTATTCATGACACGGGAATCGTCGAGTCGACATGGCTGGCATGTCCACGAGGGTACCAGCCATCCATGACAGAGAGAGAGAGAGAGAGAGACCAGTGTTGTGAAGCTCCGCTTAAAGGAAAAACAAACATACCAGTTGGCTTGTAGTCAGACATGTTGAGAAATTGGTTGTGAGGGTGATAAAGAGATCTAATTTGATTGATGTTTTTGAGGTTGATTGATTGTTCTGATTGTTGTTGTTGATGATGATGAAGAAGAGGAGAAAACATTCCCAAGTTGCTGCGAAGGACAACCTGTTCTTATAGACGACTCTCACCGCTCCATCATCGCTTCCCTGACGTCGTTGACATCCAGTTTCCCCTGGTTCATCGTCAAAACAGAAAAGAAAAGATACATCATCTCGTCCTGTAAATTGTCCTTAATGAATCATCGATCTCATGCAACCGTGTCTGTGTTGCCTTAGCTGGATCGAAGCACAATGGGGTAATGAGATCTGATCTCCGGGGCAGGAATGGGAATTGACGTCAAAATATCAGGCAACAGGGCCCGTAGTGTCACGAAAGAGGGAGATTCTGACTTGAAAAGACGTATTGTTGTGGAAACCCCCCGCCAGATGATCGACGTCTCAATAGATCTGAGATGAGCCGTGTGCTCGTGGACGGGAACAAGATCCATGGAGATCGCCGGAGAAAATGGCAAGCACCATTCATTACATCGGAGTGGGAAGACAGAGTGAGGCTCGGGCTATGGCCGCCTAGTGGCCAGGAATATGCCATGTCGTACTCGTATACCCAGATGCGAAACGTCATGACCCGAGAACAGAGCACAAGCGTCTCTCACCTCCCCTGATCCCTTTGGTGGATGGAACTCGACAGGGACCTCTGTTGTCGAGCACTCGGCCGGTGATGAGGTCAATGAAAAGGCGGTATAGGTGAATCGAAGTGTCAGGAATGGGAGAGAGTGGGACGCCAAATCAATCGGATCCAAAAAAAAAAGACGTGCAGTCACTTAGAAAGCTGGGGCTTACTGTTCCGATTTTCTTCGTAGTAATTGGCTGTCTCTTTCTCGTCCCAATGCTGATATGCCCCAAGGTTTTAGCCATGTCTTTTTGCGCAGTTGTCTCCCTCGTGAGGCTGGCTTCTGTTCCAACGGACAGAGATGCCAAAAAGACAAGGTCGTAGCAGCCCGGCGCATCGTAGGCGAAGTGTGAAGCCGATCGGTTGATTACATCTCAATACTTCCGCCCTGTGTAGCTAGATCCATGCAGCCTGGGCAGTTGATGTGGTCATCAATCAGGGGAGAAGCATGTACCTGGTCCCTGGCTAGGAGCAAAGATCGCATCTGATTGGAACGGATCACGAACGGCCTTCCCCCAGATAGCCTGGACAAAGGCGGGAATCCGGTTCGAGCGCCTGTGTCCGAGGTTTTGTGGATGGAAGAGGACAGCAAGGAATGAAGGCGGAGAAAGTCATGACGAGATTGTGTAAACGAGGCGGGATAATGCCACAGCCTGACATGTGACCTCAGCCTCGTCCAGAGCTGAGAGTTCGTTGTGTCATTCGGATCGTAGTCGTTTGGGACATGTCAGATGAAGCGTTTAGAAACTTAATCATAATACAATCGATGCGGTCAATTACAGGATGAAAGACTCTAGAGGTAATTTGAAATTTACATTGTCCAATTCCAGAGGCTGCTCCCTTCCTTCCCATCGTGTTCAAAACCCACATATCCTTCGTCAGCTCCAATTACCCATAACGTATCTAGCCAGGCAGCACTGGTACCTGCCAACATCATGGACCCATTTCTAGTCCTGGTCCTCGTAAGGGTTTCGTACCTGTCCATCTTGCCCTTCGTCCTATGGAAAACGCCTGTAATGACACATACCTTCCATCGGTATTATGAACGCTCAAACAAATATACAAGGAGAAACTATAGGTAAAATACACGTAGTTAGATAAGCCGTGACGAGTGAGTCGATTCGATTATTGCTCATTCGCCTGTATAGTCTTGAGGCGCGGTGTTTGCAAAGACGTAATTCTTGGGCTTTTGCTGCGCGAGCTGTTGAGCGACATGAGCGTGCTCTTCTTTCTGATTCGGAAATTCTTGAATGTAAAACTCCGTCTTCTTTTGCTCCATCTGAGCCTCGAAGTCTATATCGGGGGTGGTATCGGACGGCAGGACAAACTGCTGAAAAGAACCCGAAAGGGCGTCTCCTTGCTGCGAATAATTCAAGGAAGGAACGTAAGTCACCGGCGGAAACGACGTCACCTCGGGAGATGTCAATGCATCTGACCAGCTGCTGTTGGTCAGGGGACCGGCTGAGTAAGGTGGGGTGTATTCTGGAAAGGAGGCGTATTGCGGAGGAGCTGACGCAGGCGGAACGAGTGACTGTTGTGAAGTTCCCCGTGCCATCATGAAATCCGAAGGAAGGGGAGTGATCGGTGGCGATGCCGTGCTGGCGGGAAAGGTCTGTCCCTGCAAGGAGTATTGACCAGACATGTCCATATTGTGACCAAAGAATGGGTTTTTCTCAGGGTCTGTCATATGTGCACTGGAAACAATGTCTGGTGATAGTGCGGGAGCAGGAAAGTCTGCCAGAGTCTGCGCATTCAGGGCCTGTTGTGCCATCAAATGACTAAAGGCCTGAGTCTCGGCAAAGCTAGGAGTAATGGGAGACCGTTGGGCAGAGCTCGCCTTGCGGATCCCGGCATAGCGCGAGTTTAGAGCTTGACCGGCAGACTTAACGTGGCGGATGGAATGAGGCATCGCAGGAGCGGCGGCACTGGGTCGGAAAGTAGGCGACACTGATGTGAGGGCTCCATAGGATCGACTGCGCAGGGAGGCCGAAGCCAAGGGTGTGGGACGCGGTCGTTTCCTTCGCGCAGCGATATCCAAAGGCCCGCTAGATGGATGTTGGATAGGTTCAGAAGGTCGACGCCGAGCCATCCCATTGGGAGAACTACTGGCGAGGGCGCAGTTTCCGAAATTGTGCGACAGCTCGTCTGTAATGGCGGTCGATTGGCGGCGGGAGCCAGGATATGAAGGCAAGCTGAATCCGGGCGAGGGTACATGGTCAACCGCGTCATTCTGCTGAAGGGGCCCTCCCTTTGGTGTTGTCAATGCGCCATGGAGGTCCTCCGGACTGACATATGATTCCTGGTTAATGAACGAGTCAACCAGAGCGGCATCCTGGAGACTCCTCTGTACGTCGATCTGGTCGTCATCAAAACCAAAGTCGAAAGTGTTGTCCTGTAAGGTTATCGGGGAATGCTGCGGTACTGCACTTGAAGTCCACGCCGGCAAGTTATTTGGCAATGACGCATTGGCCCGGTGAGGACTGACTCGCAATGGCAGCTGTACTGCTATAGGTCGCACAGGTTGAGGCATTTGCGGTGGAATCATGAGCACTTTTTGCTGTGCCATTGGCTCGGGTTGGTGAGCCTTCGGGTGACCGAGAGTTCGCTGAAGGGAAGCTTGAAGGGAATCCCAGCTCGACTCTTTGGCACTGTCATGGTTCTTCGTGGGAGAAGGTGTCCTGTCGCGAGCCGGAATCGATGCTTTCCTGGGCGATGAAGACACGGAGCGGACTGGCGATGCGATCCGAGGTTTTGGAGTCTTGATTGTTTCACCAGATGTCGGTTCTTTCTTCTCGGCCGCCTTTTGAGTTTCGTACTCTTCCTGGCGCTTCTGCTGCTTTGCCTTGGCTCGTCTGTTCTGGAACCAGTTCTACCACTTGTCAGTTGCGTGCACAGTGCATGACGGGGAAGAGTTTACTTACTCCTACACGTTGGAATTTGAGGTTGGTCTGGATGGCCAATTGTCTTTTGACCTGGGAATTGGGCTTGTGATTGGCCTGAAATTGAGCCTCTAGAACTTCGACTTGCTCTTTGGTGAGCCTGGGACGAGTCGAGATCTCTTCCATTTCCGGTCCAAAATCATCGGCCATCATTCCCGACGCCATGTAGTCGGCATAATCATTAGCATTGTAGCGAAGAGAAGGATACAAGTCATCGAGTGGCTGTTGAGGATGGGCCATGTAGGAGGGCGGATAGGGTATCGCCTGGTAGTACATTTGCGGCTGGTGTTGTGCCGGGAAGGCGAAGGGTTCCTGCATATAATCCATCATGAGGAGCCAATGTTATTGTTTACTTCGTGCTCTCGACTCTTCTTGGTGGATTTGTGTTCACTCAAGTTGAGGGCATTTCAGATGATACTAACGAGCGACTGCGGCTGCGGAATTCGTGAGGAAAGATGGATAAATCGTAGGCCGCACCCGAGGAGCGAACGTCTGCAGCAGGAAAGAGTTGTGGACGGTCGCGAGTCTCTCGAACGGGCCCCTTCTGCCAGAAGAGTGCAGAGGCCGACAGCGTCAAAGACCTCGCCTGAGGTGCACTCGTGGTCGACGGGCGATGGCACTGTTGGCGGTCGAGGTAGGCAGTCGGGCACTGTGATGATGAGGTACTCGGGTGTCCAAGTGATGAGAGAGAATAGTATAGTTTGGCCAAGTGGACAAACGACCGGGAATTTTTTAGATTTAGAGGCGGACTCGCGAGGGATGAGGCGAGAACTAACGAGATCAAGCGACCGGGGTCAAGGGAGGACGGTGGGAAAATGAACCAGGTCAGCCAGTCTCGGATTTGTTTGAAAGAGATATCAGGCTTTTGAAAGTTGACGGTCGGTTGCGAATGGGTGATGACAGGGAAACAGCTGGAGCAACAGAGGGCGCACGTCCCCTGGCGGCTTGCCGATGCGCCGCGAGGTTCGATATCAGGACGTGCACATCTCTTCGCCCACTGATGAGCCTGTGTGCGGTTGCGCATTCGCTGAAGACCAGAGCAAGGGCCTGTGGGGGACTCAGCGAGAGCCTAGAGAAGAGAGTGAGAGAAAAGTGGATTGCGAGACGCACCGAATGGGGACGGGTGGGAGACGGGCCATTGGACCAACACCACAGTGGAACAACCTTGCAAGGTTTCGTGTGGGCAGATAATAGACGACGGTGGAGAGCGACCACAGCAAAGCTTGGGAGCCACGGTGGGGATGGGCTCAGCGGCGATTCTACAGTGTGCAATCTTTCAGCTGTGGCACAGTGGCACAGTGGCTTCGACTGTGCCAGTACAGCGAGCTTCTGGGGACCTGAGATAGACGGTGGAGATGGACAGATGGAGGGAGCCGGCACAATCTACGCCCGCAGATGCGCGCTCTGTCGCACCAAAGAGGGCGGAAGAATGGGCGAGGGAGTCCCAGAGTCGCCGCAGGAACCTCGATGGCGCCCTGGAGAGAGGCGTCACTGAGTCACTGAAGGCCCCAGACAACGGCGCTGGGGGCATTCGGGGCGACTCTAGGCGCTCTCTAGGCGCTCTTCAGCGTATCTGGGCGCCTCGGGAAAACAGAGAACGGGTGCTTGGCCTGCTCGGGGATTGAGTGGGAGAGCCTAGACTCGACTCTCCTGTCAGGCTGTCGCACAGTGGCGCCGTTGACGGCGCAGTATCCGGCCTTGCAGCGAGTGGCGCATGAACCTCTCCATCCCTCACATGCGCTCCTCGCATCAGACAATTCGGTTTGTGTCAAGGACTTCGGCATTCTCCTTGCCTCCCATTTGGCTGGCTGGCTGCGTGTCAACAGGCGCATCTCATGTCCCCTTTGAGGCACTGGTTCGGCGCCAATGCAGGAACAGAACAGCGCCAACAACTCACCCTGCTGCAGGTGCCGGTGGGGAGAAGTTTGCCTGGTGCCCACCACCACCAACAAGCTTCACCATCCTGGCTCCTCAGACCACCTCAGCCCGGCAGTCTCAGCCCAGTGCCACACGAACCCTTGGTCGGAAAGCGAGACATGGAGTTTCTCTTGTGTGACGTGCGATATTGTTCTGTGCAAATGCGATATCTGAGCATAGAAAAAGATGCGCTGTGGAACACGCACTGGCAAACGGCAAGGTGCTGTCGCCTCGACCGACATCAGCATCATACTAAATCTCCGTGGCGATCTCCCCGTCAACATGCGTGTGATGGCGACATTGACTCCCGTGCTTCCCGTTGCCGTCAGCATCAAGACGGCGTGCACAGGGCAAGAGGAGGTCCAACGTTTCGAAGCCTCGGGCTCTCAGGCCTTGCTACGTCTCGGGCTGTACGAGGAGGCACAGAACTACAAGTACAGTACCTACAATATCCATGTATTGTGCGAGGACGAATACCGACCTGGGATGCTACAGAAGGCAGTGCGGTCGACAGGGCGAGTACTTTCGTTGTCATGGATGAGAGAGACCAATTCCCGGACCAGAGCGGCATCTCCTCGCGGCCCTTTCAGCCCGCCCAGTCCGCCTGGAGCCTCCTCGGGCAGAGCCCTCACTACCCTACTAGGTTCGTATTTGCACTGGCCTCGAGCCCAATCCACCACCCAGTCACATCATGCGCTCCTCTCCGTTCGTCATTGCCCTGTTCCCCCAGGGTCCTGGTACAGGCAGGTCAATAGTCGGTATACAGGCCCATCATACCAACCAAGAGATATTCAGTGGTATGACGATCCTACTGTATGTACAAGGGGATAGCCTCGTCATGTTTGGGGCTCTGTGAGAATGGTCGATTTCCGACTTCATGGTTTGTGGCACCTTGGACGGAGTACTTTCATCCTCCCCCTACCCCTGCTTCGGGTCGGCCTGCACCTAGAGATGCACAACACAATCTGGTACCTGCGTCGGTGGCTTTGCGAGTGCAGCGTTTGGTCTCTAAAAGCAGCTGACCCTGGGTGACCTAAGTTGCGCTCACTCCAGCACAGAAAAGGCGCCTCTTGGTCTCGTCATCCACTCCATGCCCACATTGCTAAAATCACCCGTCACACCCACAGGGCACGTCAGTGAAGCACCACTCGCACGGCTTTGTTACACGCTGGCCCTGCTGAACCCCAGTCGACCAGTTGTTTGGCCAGGCCAGCCCCTCCTCACGCTTCTATATCACACCTCGGATTCATACATGCGCTTTTCTCGATGCCATTCACCCACTATGCAGGGGCAAGCTGTGGCACTCACCACACGGCGGTCCAGCTGGCCATGTTCCAACTTTTCACCAGATTCACGTAAATCTTAAGATGGGGCGGGAGTACAAAATCAAAGACAGTAATCTCCCTCTACTGTCTCGGGGCATTTTCTTAGCGTATCCGAAATCGCAGGCCTCTCCTGGAGAGTCCCAGGTCTTGCCATCCGAAGTAGCAAACTCAAGCCTTCGGTCCTTTGGGGATACCTCAGAGTTTAGGACAAGAGGCCCAGTAACGGCCGCGGATAGCCCACAGGGCTCTAGTAAGCGATTCCTTCTCTGGGCAGAGGCTGCTCCTCCAAAAGCAAACAATCCCGCTCTTGTTCGCTAAATCTGCTGGCCACCCAGTGAACCCGGCTGAGCCCTGGAATTGCCTGGACCTTCTTAATTTTCCGGTTGATTTCAGTGTCCGCCAATCAGCCGTTCACGTTGTCGGGGTCTCTCCTAAACTCGTATCGACCACCATGAGTTGGCTTACTACGGTACAAGAACCTTCGCTGATTCTCCGTGCTGGTACGTTTGTTCCGTACGAGCTCCTCGTACGGATCAGTCTTCCCCTTTTCGAGCATGCTCGCTCATGGTTCCGAGTTCGTCCTTGGCAGATCGACAGTGTACTTGCTTTTCTGGTGCCAAACATCACAAATCACCACCCCGACGAAGTGTACGAAGTACTCGGGTCTCCAATGTGATCGTCTGTTCGTTTCTATTTGCTGTCACCTTGTCGATCGGGGCGCATCCATCATCGATACAGTACTCGCATTGTCCGATAGACTGCGAAGAGTCGAAGGGTCTGTGCGATAAGACCTCAGACACGAATCGCACACTATTACTCGGCATCCATCCAATCACTGTCTTTTCTTCCGCATCCCGCTGGATCTACGTCAAGTCATTCGTCAAGGATCGCTATCACAGCGTCGTACTGCTCAGTGCTCACTGAATGCACTGGCCACATCCAACGCTTTGTCCAGCGGCAAAGGTTCGTCACCTGTTCGACGTTTGAAGTGATGGTTCGGTGACATTGGTTCTGGAGCGCCCAAAAGGACTTTTAATCCGCTCAAACGAGGTGTAGCTCTCGTTGCCAATTGATCAAGGTTCACCATGCGATTGACACGAGACCCGATTTGCCTTTATCGAAACATAAAGGCTTTTTCCTCTACCGCTGCGCCGCTTCCCACGACAGAGGAAGCAGAGCGCCTGAAGGTTCATTATTCACATCTCGGACAGACTTGTCCTGTGTCATCATATCTACTGACTCATTCCTAATCCAGCTTGAATCCACCCCCTCACATCACCGAGGCAGCCCAATATTCCCCAGTATTATCCATGTCACCACAATTCTGTGGAGTCTACATGACATTTGGCCAGCTCTTAAAGCATATCGATCTTCACGATCGACGCACTCTCCGTAGGCTGTTGCAGGCGAAACACCTTTCGTCGTCAGGGCGCCTGCTTCGTCAAGGCTGCACAAGCTTTGATCCACATACTCGTATACAATATCCATGTACTACCATCTATTGGGTGTGATGACCGACCCGTTCTATGGGATGATAACTCCTTGCGCCATGCTGGACCATTTTCAGTCCCTATACGGGTAATACGAGCATGAGCAACTGATCTTGAAAATCCCCCGTCCCGTCTTATGGAGCTTGGACCAATGTATTGGTGATTTCGATCTGCACATTCCCATCTGGCTCGAGGCCCTTCAACGTCACACTCTTCAGGTCCTCGACGATCCAGTCTGCGCCAGCCTCCTGCAACTGGGAGATCCTGTGTGTCGTAGCCAGACCGATGACCTTGAATCCCGCGGCCTTACCTGCACGGACACCCGCTGGAGCGTCTTCGAAGACGATCATCGGCGAGTTCTCGGGAAGTCCCAGTCGCTGGCGACCGAGCAGATAACAGGATGGGTCGGGTTTACCGTTCTCAACGTCTTCCGCAACGACCAGACATCGTGGGTGGGCAATCTTGAGCACTTCAATCCATCCATTCAGGAGAGCACTTGTCCCTGATGTTACAACAGCCCAGGGCGCATTGACTGCCTCGAGACTGTCCAAGAGTTTTCGAGCACCTGGGATCTCTACGGCGTCTTTGCCGAACAGCTTTGGTATGAGGCCTTCTTGTCTGTTGACATCTGCTATCGCGTCAGTGTCCACCGGCATTTTCCGTGCAAACGACCTACACTCCCAGTTGGCCTTGGAAGGATCGAACTCCATAAAAGTATCGATACTCCTTCGTCCGTGAGAAGTGGCAAGAATTACTTCCGGGTCGACCCCCATCGCTGCGGCCTCCTTGTGCCAATGCTTGACGACTGCCTCTGTGCTGTCTATGATAGTTCCTGTCGTAGATTGTGAGAAAGCATCTCTAGTCCCAAGGCACGGTGATGCTCACCGTCGAAATCAAACAGTAGCCCACCAGCCGAAAGAACTTGCGGTGGCCCGGAAAAAGAATGCTCTTCGACAGACCCCATGACGCCACGCCTGTGTCGGACTTGGACAAAAACGCAATCTTGACTTGTCCTGTCCTGTCCGTAGACTGAAGTAAAGAAAACCAACCGATTCTATGCCACGCCGTCTCCTTGTGCCCGTCGACAGTTGTTGGATGTTGGGGCGTTTTTATGCTGCTGCATGGTCGGCATCGTTTCCTTTTTGGGCACGTCGACCGCGGGACATTGTCCTCCTCTACATTATGGCCGAGGTTCTGCCGGTGGAATTTTTGGGCAAACATTTTGGCCGTTGACACTTGGGTATTGTAGACGGAGATCAACCACCAGCGTTCACGATCGGCCAACCCTAACAATGGTCAAATCATGTATGCAACCCACGGTGACTTCTGCGGTGTTGACTGACCAGTGACCAGTTTCCAAGTCTAAGCGCACGCCGGTGCGATTAAGGCACAAGATTGAAAAGGCGAGTGCCGCCAAACAGAGGAAGGCAAGAAAAGAAGACAAAAAGGTACGACAGCGTACAACAAGCCCTTGATCGGCGCATTTCTGACCGTGACCAGAACCCACAATGGAAATCAAGGCTGAAGAAGGACCCGGGTATCCCAAACCTCTTTCCTTTCAAAGAAAAGCTCCTCGAAGAAATTGAAGAGAAGAAAAGACAAAAGGCAGAGAATGCACAGAGATTACGGGATGCCGCAAAAGATAAGAAGAAGCAGACCAAACAACAGAACGCCGCAGATGATCAAGATGACATGGACGAGGATGATCTCATGGAAGAGGACGAGGATCTGCTGGATGAGGAGATGGACGAAGACGAAGACGATGATGTACAAACCTCTTCCAATCCTCTAGCTGCCCTGGTTGCATCAGCCCAGGCACGAGCGGCAGAGTACGATGGAGGTGCTCTCGCAGGAGACGTTTCAGGGGACGATGACGACGATGTCGAGAGTGGTGGTGTGCAACTTTCCGAGACCGTGGCTGCCGACCACAGGAACCCAGATTCGTCACGGAAAGCATTCGACAAAATTTTTAAACAAGTCCTGGATGCTGCAGATGTCGTTTTGTACGTCTTGGACGCTCGAGACCCCGAGGGGACGCGATCGCGAGAGGTCGAACGACAGATCATGTCCGCCGAAGGAGGATCGAAACGCTTGATTCTTGTGCTAAATAAAATTGACCTGGTGCCGCCACCTGTCCTGAAAGGCTGGCTGACACATCTACGACGATACTTTCCCACGATACCACTGCGAGCGTCGACGCCCGCTTCGAACGCGCAGACTTTTGATCACAAACAGCTCACTCTCAAAGCCACGTCCGAGACGCTCTTGCGATCATTGAAGAGTTACGCGGCCTCCAAACAACTCAAGAGGTCGATTTCTGTGGGTGTCATTGGATATCCGAACGTGGGCAAGTCGTCGGTCATCAACGCCCTGACCTCGCGGTTGAACAAAGGCACCCAGAGCTTCGCCTGCCCGGTTGGGTCGGAAGCCGGGGTGACGACCAGCCTGAGAGAAGTCAAAATCGATAGTAAGCTGAAAATCCTCGACTCGCCCGGTATAGTCTTTCCTTCGGCGGTGGACGGCGAAGACAGGGAAAGCAGGCAACGACGCAAAGCGGAACACGAGGCCAGGTTGATTCTCCTGAATGCGCTCCCCCCCAGCCAGATCACCGATCCTATTCCTGCGGTGAGCCTGCTCCTCGATAGGTTGTCCGGGTCAGAGGCCCTCTTTGAGAAGCTGTTGTCTCACTACGGGGTGGTCGCGCTTGGTCCTTTCGGCCGAGGGGACAGGACGACCGACTTTTTGGTTCAGGTCGCTCGGAAGAGAGGCCGCCTTGGACGAGGTGGTGTTCCGAACCTGAACGCCGCTGCCATGGCGGTCATCACCGACTGGAGGGACGGTAGGATCCAAGGATGGGTCGAAGCACCGACTCTCAAGGTCGCGCAGGACATGCAGATGGCGGAAGCCGAAGACGAAAAGACTCTCCCTACCGGCGTCGACAGAAAGGAGATTGTCAAGGAATGGGCTGCAGAATTCAAGATTGATGGACTCTGGGGCGACGACAAGGCCGATGCCGCTGGAGATGATGCCATGCAGTTGTAGTTTCCTCATAAAAAATTTCCAACGACGAAAAAGAAAGAACAATGAAGGGGCTCAAGGCGTACGGTGTCAAGAGTCGAGTGTTCGGCCGTAGAGGTTTTCTGGTACATTGACGACATACGGAATGAAATCAAAATTAAAATTTTGAAAACTGATCTCTGCAAATAAAAAAGCCATTGAGACTCTCTTTGTTGAATTCTTCATGGAGGCCTTCTCACAGACCGGTCTGTACTGTCTTGTGAAGTACATTGTAAGGATAAATTGAACGAAGATGGGAACGAAAAAGGAAAAGTAAAGAAGGAGAGTAGCAGCAGGAGGAGGAGGAGGAGGTTTCGAGATTTGCCATCGCCCACGGTCAAAGACATATTCCAGATACGACTGTGGTTATGATACTCCTGAATTTCCCATACTGACTATGAGTCAACATGCCCCCCCCCCCCCCCCCCCCAAGTCTATCTTGTTTGATCCGACTTGCCCGTGGTTATCATCTCGATCGGTGAGGGAGGGAGGGGAGGTAGGGAGGTAGGGAGGTAGGGAGGTTTTCGAAGGCGGACCTTTTTTCTTCTTCCATGCTTCCCTGAGGGAATGGCCGTCCATCACACAGTCGAGTTGGTTCTAACTCAAGCCATCAACCGGGTATCTCGGTGATTTGTCAGTGGAATTTCACTGGTTGAGATGATTACACCACTTGATACGTGGACCCGTTGTTGGTACTGCTCAGAAACCCGCCGTGGTCAAAGACTGTAGAGTGTATTTCGATACCGGCCATCATCACCTGTCAGGGGAGAAGGGTGTTCTCAAATTGAGACTGTACTGGTCGACGACGGCTCTCTCTCTCTCTCTCTCTCACACACACACACACACACACACACACACACACACACACACACACACA